CAAGTCAATGATTGAGATCTTCTTGTACAATGTGACCTCACCATGAATAATCCGTCAATTTCTCCGTCCCTCACTCCGTATCCGTACTACAAGCGCTCAGTCTCCATAACACAAACACGTATCTCCAGAGCACAGAGGTAGTATTTAATACCAAGAGGTGGTATCTAACACAAACACAAACGCAGCGCATACACAAAGAACATGGCAATTTAACTCACGAGCGTCATCAAACTCAAAAATCAGCAGCGGCCCGTCCCCGTGTCCGTAGAATGTAACCGTATTATTCTCCCACTGTAACATGGACAAGGCCATTGTGATAATCGACCCAATGACTCGGATGCCGACATTCTGTCTCGGAAAATGCGATACTACGGCGCAATTATTCGCGTTGGATCTGTAAGTTCGCCTATCCTCACCGGATATCTCCTTTTGATCGCTTACAGTCATGACTCGATTTACTCCAGGCTGTGTATCAGGTAAGCATGCAGCTTCTCTTGAGAAGAGTCTATCACTGCTTGATTCGGAGTCATCGCCACGCCGTTTTGATGGCGTCAGTCGGTTAAACCCCAGATGGCAGTTGAACAAGCCCTCTTTCTGAACTGTTCATCATGTTTAGATCTCATTTGTTGATGATATTTTCCGTGACACTTCTGAAGCCCCTGAGTGGGAAGAATAGTGGTCCCTGCATCCGTCCATATCGGTCCAGGCTGTTCCAGGGATGCAGAGTTCGGCTCAGGTTCAGGGGTGATGCAAGTCAGACGCCCCCTGACCTGAGTGTGATCCTGGGGGTTAATCGGCCACTCTCCCGTTGACGATCTACTCTGTGAAGGATGTGAAGATGTCTCAACTTAGATATGAGATGTCTGAGTTAGTGCAGAGACAATTCCACGTCGAGATATTCTCTTCATTCATGACCAAGACACAGCATCCCATCATCCCATCATCCCCTCTCTTCAACTCTTTCAACCCCCGAGATCCATCGTGGCCTGTCACTCTCCGCTAGTACCCTCCACTCCAAACATGGTGCATGGATCCCTTCCTCTCGTTCGTTGGCGTCATCCACCCCTGTCCCCCCCAGACCAAGCGTCTTGTCTGTTTTAGGCCAAGGATGATGTCCGTACCTTTCTTCCAAAGAAGCTTCTCAAACCAAACAGCGAGGAATAAAACAAAAGACCAGACCTCCCACCATCTCCTCCTAAACTTTAAAGCCACAGGACACTGAAAAAAAAACAGGTTCCAGTTCACTGGGCTTGCATTAGTCTCACGTTTTCACCTGGGCGGTTTTGATACGGTACTTATAAGCGCCTGGTTTTCCTTTTTCCTTTGCGCCCCGATTGTGCGTACTCTTTTTCATTTCAGATCGGAATGCGAAGATCTCATCTTGAAAAGCGCTGAGGTGTCCCTTTGACTTGGAGTCTCTCAAAATACCGCGAATCATTTCTTTGATGCCGACCTGCCGCATGGCAGGTTAAGGCGATCATCATGGGCTTCTTTAGCAATATCTTTGCGCGAAAGAATGGGAACAGGGCTTCGCTCCAGGGTCAAGCGTACAATTCGACTGTAGCGTCGATTCCACCAGTTCAAGGTAAACACCACAATCGATATCTCGGGTTCTCTGTCTAATAATATCAGGAACATACCCAGTCGCTGGGAATGGTCCGAACGTATTGGATCAGCTGCAACGAGCAGCCAGAAAACGCAGCCAAGCCCAATTATCAACGGTATCACAGGATCCAGCCGCGCCGCCTCCCATGGTCCCCCGATTCAGAGGCCCATCTCCCTCCCGCCCAACAACAGCACCAAACCAAGCCAACAGTCTCTCATCCCGCCCACTCTCCCTCTCACGCAGTATCCGAAGCTCTAATTCAGCTTGGAGTGTTCCAGAGCGACCAACGCGAGGTCGCGAACGACCACCGCCCGTACCATCAATCCCCACACACCATCGTCGCGAGAGCTCAACAGATTCAGCGCATGATAAGCGGAATTCTTTTATAGACATTCTCGATGCGCAGGGAGAATTTAGGCCTTCGAATTTCCGATCGCGGGTTGCTGCTTCGGGGGCGAGGGAGTATGGGGAGGACGTTGCGGAGAGGAATATTGGCGAGAATGGCGTGAACCTTAACAGCGCTGCTGCAAAGGCATTTTATCGACTTTCTGGGGGACGGGAGTTGCAGTCGTTTGAATATGAAGAAGACGAGGATGATTCTGCGCCTGCGCCGGGTGTTCCGCATGGTGATCTGGGGACGATACGGGAGGCTTGGTCAAGACCGTCGAGTTCATCGGCATGGAGATCATTTTCTGGATCAATTGGTAATGATCTGCTAAGATCAGGGAAGTCAAATCGACGAGAGTCACAATCGAATCTCAATCCAGGAACATTATCGATGCGGGATCGGAGAAGGTCGTTCAACGCTTTTGCTTCTCCATCAGAACCCGAACCTCAACCTCGTAAGCCTAGGCCCATGAGTCTACATCCTTCACTATCCAGTGGTTTAACGTACGAGACTTCATCCTCGCCACCGCCGGTTCAAAGATCCCGACCAAAGACGAGCGAAGGTCGAAGTCGAGGAAGGAGTTTTGGTCGCGTTGAGATTGATACCGTTGACGAGGCTTTCGATGAACCTGCGCCGTGTCCGATTATTCCAGCGCAATTCATACCAGACAAGCGAGCAAGTGTATATCTCGAACCAAACTACCGATATGATCGAAACGATGTCCATCATCCGCGCCCAGAGTCATATCATGGAGGATCAACTCTCTCATCTTATCCACGAAGCGAGCTGTCACAACCTTCCCGTCCCTCGAGCTCTTCATCAATCGACAAACCATTTCCTCGATCCCGCACAATGGCCAGCGTTGCTCTACGAAACCAACGCCTGGATGATATAAACGAACACATTCCAGTGCGGACATCTTCTCTAAACGTCAATTCACAAGCAAATATCACTCCTACGACACAGTCATCTGATTTCTCGAGCATCCAATACCCCATTGGCCATCATACGCCAAGCACTTCTATCGATGCATCTCTGCCACCTTCGATCAAGATGCATCCTGAGCATGAGCAGAGTGCTGCAGTTAACCAGAATACGCGGCAAAGCTCACCTGGGGATGACTATTCCGCCGAGACGCTTGTCCCATCACGGACGGATATTGAACAACTTCTCGGCCACCCCATGACAGCCGGCCACGACATGGATCTGTACCTCTCGGATGCGAGCGAAGACTCGGTAGACTCTTTCGTCGCATGGAAAGAGAAGCGCCGTGATGGCGAAGGACTCCTTATGAAGGACAGCTACGGCATGTCAGGCGACGGCCTCCCGGGAATATACGAACCCCTCCCCATCCTCAAAGCTCCCGCCTCACCTCCCCCGATCCCCATGATCCCCTCTGAGCCAGCCCCCAAACGTCCCAAAACACCAAAAAGCCCAAAAAGTCCCCAACGACCTCGCACACGAAGCAACAAATCCACCCCCCGACGCACCCGCCAATCCCGCAGCCGCACAACAACACCCCGTCGAACGCGCCAGGTTTCTACCTCCGAAGACCCAGACTCCGATTCATTCTGGGAGAGCGACACCCCCGCCGCACCAGGTTTTGTGTCTCTCGCAGACTTGGGCATTGATCTTCGTGAAATAGGTTGGGATCAGTATGGTCTTACGGAAGCGGATGATGCAAAGGTTGATATACAGACTGCTATTAAACTGCGCAAGGCGATGGAGAAGAGGAAGAAGCAGCAGAGGGTTGATGATGAGGGGTGTGCGGCGGATGTAGAGGATTAATGAAGAAATGAAGCATAGAGTTTGGGATAGGGATACTACGATACGATGGATTTCTTTTGTATGATGATTTGGGCGTTGATATATGGGGGTGTTGTTTGTATAACATTGTTGGGTCATGGATAGATGATGAGTTATAGCATAACGATGGATACCAATGCGCATTTGTTTCTTTGTTCAACCAAACTTACATGTGCTTCGATGTGATGTTTTTGTTGACTGAACATGCTAAACCCACGGAAATCTCTCATGAAGTCAATTGACTGAGCCGAGCTTACCACAATCCCATGAGAATCTTCTCACTCCGATATGCAGTCACCCGAAACCACGGTAAGGTAAGGTCTGCGCTCTCATCTCGTCCCGTCCCGTCATGCGCACCCAAAAAAGGAGATTCTCTCAAAGAGGCAGTTTTTATTCCAACGACGAGGAGTCTGCAAAAAGATTATGATATAAATTGTGATGATATGCAAAAGTAATAAATCGTTTTGCCCCGTACTGGAATCGAACCAGTGATCTTCGCATTACGAGTGCGACGCCTTACCACTTGGCCAAGAGGGCTAGATGAGTTATTAAACGCTAGGTTGTTTTTTGAGTATATCCTCGCTGCCTGAGCTTACCGCCTCGACGGGGTGATTGACCTAGGCGTGTAAAATCTCCTTATCTATCGCTGGTGGAATTTCACCGAATGGTTAGCTGCTAAAGATTTGGTTTCGGATGTTGGGGTATTGTTCTCCCGGCACGGTGGACAGAGCACCGGGTTGCTCTTTAAGTCCTCGTCTAGACTTGTCGCGTCATTCTTCGAGGTTTCAATATCTCTTCGGTATGACGGGGCGTAAAAAAAGAATGAAGAATGGCCAGATAGCATGGAATAGGTCTTTATTCACTCTTAGCATAGTATCTCTTTCACAAGAAGGTAAGAGAGTTCCGTATTGTATTCCGGCGGCTACGGCCGGAGGGTCTCCACAAATCCGGCGACCGGGGCTCCGACCAGGACGGGGTGACATTTTCTGGCCGGTTTCTGAACTAACCGCACTGTCACTGTATTATCAGTGAGATTGTGCATGACAATCCCTCGGTAAATAGATGTTATGACGCAAAACCTGGAGTTTATGTTACAGCCTTGGCAACTCACGGGTGCATCATGATGATATCATGTTACAACATGATCGCTTAAGAGACCACCGAAGCCATGGTGCGCAAGCTTGAGATGAAAGAAGAACAATCTTATCAAAGACTTAGAGAGTAAAATCGTCTTCACAGCTACCATAATGTCTCATGTCAACTTGCTCAAAGCCGCCCGCCCAGCATGGCGAGCCTCAACCGCAATCCCCAAGGCCGCTATCAGGCCCTTCTCAGTATCCCGTCAGCTTAGGACTCCTCCGATTCTGTTGGAAGATAAAGACAAAGGTTTCGGGTTTATCCGCCACAACAAGCGTCCACCGAAACCTCGGTCTGTCGGAGTGACTGAGATTCGGGGGCCATATTACTCAGTGTTGGGAAAACGATACCTACAGGATGTCCTTGAGACGTGAGTATACCAGATAATTAGAGGTAATGAATGCTGACGGGGAAAGGATGGGACACCATGTCGATGGACTCAAGTTTGCTGGTGGTTCCTTTTCCCTATTCCCAGAAGATAAACTCAAAGAGCTCATCAATCTCGCTCACGAGTACAACGTCTACGTTTCTACTGTAAGTATCTTCGCCTATCTCAAAGCATTACTGACCGCAATATCAGGGCGGATGGATGGAGCACGTCCTTCTTCAATCTGATCCCGCGTGGGCTGTGGATCAATATCTCAAGAAGTGCAAACAACTCGGCTTCGATGTTATCGAAATCTCATCAGGCTTCCTCTCTATCCCCCAAGACGACTGGCTCCGCATCGTCGATAAAGTCCACTCCGCCGGTCTAATCGCCAAACCCGAATGCGGCATTCAATTCGGCGCCGGCGGCGACACAGAAGCTTCCGAGCTCTCATCACTCGGAACATCTGACCCTTCCAGGATAATCCACATGGGAAAACGTTTCATCGACGCTGGAGTAGAGCGCATCATGATTGAGAGCGAGGGCATTACAGAGAATGTCAAGAGTTGGAGGACGGATGTAATTCAGCAGATCTTGAGGGAGTTGCCGCAGGAGAAAGTCATGTTTGAGGCGGCGGACCCAAAGGTGTTTAATTGGTATGTAAGAGAGTTTGGGACTGATGTTAATTTGTTTGTGGACCATTCGCAGATTGTGCAGTTGTCGTGTTTGAGGGAGGGAATTTGGGGACAATCTGATACGTTTGGATCGGTTGTTAATTACAGGCCTTGATGTTTTGTTAGTTGAGGTGTAAGTTTGTTGAGGTTTGGACAAGCAATTGGCTCGTCTAAATCGTGATGCCATCATGATGCACTGAGTGACCCCGCGATGGGGCAGGACAATCTCGATGGAAGCACTGCACGCTGACATCATTGCTCAGAGATATAAATAACATGTCATGATCATTTAAATTTCTTCCTTCACTTACATTTACTGAGAATCTGCTACAAGAGAAGTGTGTTTACTGACTGACCACAATTAAACAACATGTCTCAAGCTGGAAAAGATGGTTCATTCCACCCTGTTCCTGAGGCTCAGGCACAGAAGCTTCCTGAGTACGCACGCGATCAGTTGACTTGTCTCGGATGAACTTCTGACATCAGGTCACAGAACCGAAAAGGATATGAACCCTACAAGCGAGTCGACCAAGCTCGAAGGCAAGGATGAGTTCCACGAGTACAGAGCCGCCAACAAGCTTGAGGGGGCCAAAGCTCTCATCACCGGCGGAGAGTAAGCTGCGACAGCCTCCCCGATGTAGACAATCACAACTGACATCTGTAGCTCTGGTATTGGCCGCTCAGTAGCAGTCCTCTTCGCCCGCGAAGGTGCAGACGTAACAATCGTCTACCTCCCAGAAGAACAAGAAGACGCCGAAGAGACCAAGCGCATGGTCGAGAAGGAAGGTCACAAATGTCTTCTCTTCGCTGGAAACCTCATGGACAATGAGACCTGCAAGAACGCAGTCCAGAAACACGTTGATGAATATGGCAAGATTGATGTCCTGGTGAATAATGCTGGGAAGCAGTTCATGTGTGAGGACTTTAAGGATATTGATCTAGATGATGTGGAGAGTACTTTCCGAAGTAATATTCTTCAGATCTTCGCTATGACGAAGTATGCGCTTCATCATATGGAAAAGGGTGGCTCGTAAGTCTACACTTCCTTTTGTGAGCCTAACTAACTATTTAGTATCATCAACTCAACATCTACCGTTGCATTCAGAGGAACAGCGCACATGGTAGACTACGCATCTACAAAAGGCGCCATCACTTCCTTCACACAATCGCTGTCAAAGCAACTAGTCAAGAAGGGCATTAGAGTCAATGCCGTAGCTCCAGGGCCTGTTCATACACCTCTGCAGCCTGCTTCTCGACCGGCGGAGCAGATGGAGGGATTCGGCAAGAATTCGCAGTTGGGAAGAGTTGGACAGCCGAGTGAGATTGCACCGAGTTATGTCTTCTTGGCTTCGAAGGATGCGACGTTGTTCCATGGACAGGTCCTCCATGCTTATCCGCTTGGTGACTAGAGGTTGTAGCGGTAGTTAGAGCAATGGATATGTATGTTTCGGAATGTAATCGAGACTGCTGGTGCATGGCAGAGCAAGTGGAACGGGCTCACGGTTTTGTTGCGTGCCATCCTGTCAGAAGCTTCAGCCGCAAGCAATATACAAGCCTCTATCATCATCAAGATGCCGAGCTGAAAGTGCGGTGAACTAAATACCATTCCAATATGCAAATCCTGTCATCGCTGACCATACTTCAGCATTCTCAACAATCACAGAACCTCATACAAGCCACGGACGTACAGTATCTGCATGTTTCAACAGGATAGGCATCCCCCTCAATTCCCCCTCAATTCCCCCCCCTCAATTCTCAGCCTCAGCAGTCTAATGCACTTGAGACGAAGCATCATCATCACTAACCCCAATATAAGACACAATGGCCGTATTAGTCGTTAGTCGCCAATAGTCTCATGCCGGCCAGCCACATTTGGACAGCACCCAATTATTCCGAGAGCTGAAGGGCCGCTCGGTTCGTATTGATGCCGCTAGGAACGGCTACGGCCCGTGAGATCTGGTGTTCTAGGCTTGGATGGACTGCATCGATAGTTTCGTTGGTGAGAAGACGCGCAGTCATCTGCGGGGAAAGCTCACCACGGTATGTGATGAAAGTCTCAATTTGAGCGGGGTTTGCTATAATGCAGTCGATTCATCCTCCCTCATCACATTGCTTGGCTCAGCTAGCCACTTTGTTGGTGTTGTGATGGAGCTTTCCGGATGGGAACCTCCATGGCCAGACTCATTAGCCAAAGGTCCTGCATAAATAGAGCGCATGTTCCCAGCGAGAAAGCCAGTCTCATTCAATTGAAGCAGAGAAATATATAGCAATTGTCTTCATCATGTCTCTCCCAGCTGAAGAACACCACCTCCATACCCGTGCCTTCAAGCACATGTGGGCACGACACGTCGCCCAAAAAGGCTTCGAAGATGATGTCCAAGCCGCAGCCAAGCGCGTCATCCAAGCTCAACAGGAGCATCCTGAGCTTTTCCCAAAGAAGGTTCATGAAGATGAAGGCGTTAGTAAGATCCTAGACAAGACCCAGAAGCTCACTGGTGTTGGATTCGTCCCCAGAAAGTCCAACCATCTTGAGATTGGTATCATCGGCGCTGGTGTCGCTGGCCTTTTCACTGCTATGGTGTTCGACTGGTTGAATGAGCAGTGTGAAAAGGAGGGATTGAAGATTGAGTATGACATTATGGAAGCGGCGAAGATGAATAGGCTGGGAGGAAGGTTGTATACGCATCGGTTTTCGTATGGTGAGCATGATTACTATGATGTTGGCGCTATGCGATTCCCCAACAACACCATCATGAAGAGGTAAGTCTCTCGATGGATCGTTGGTGTCGCAATTGCTCACATGTTGCAGGACCTTCCAGCTGTTCAATTATATCGGACTCAAGCCCGGAAAAGGTGGCCTGATCCCATACTATATTGGAGATGAGGACAATGTGTGCCCAACATACTTCAACGATGTTTCCAGCGTCGGGAATGTTTGGACCGCAGAAGCGGATGATCCATTCAAGATCAACGAGGGTCTTCCTGATAAAGCCAAGATCCCCGTTCAGTACGTCTACTTCCTCCATCCCCGGCAGGTCACTAACAATAACATAGCCTACTCCAGGTGAACCCTTCAGACCTAGTCAGTGAGGCCTTGGAGGACTTCATCAAGGTGGCTGCGGAGAAGTTCAAGAAAGCTGTTGACGAGAATGATGAAAAGGGACCTGAGACGACTAAACTTTGGGCCCTTCTCATGGAGGCTGATAAGCTTAGCACTCGCCAGTTTCTCGCTTCGTGAGTAGCCCAGTGCACGTGGACATTTGTAGTAGACTGACGCCGTGGTAGGGGAGATGGTGACAGGAAGAAGAGGGAGGGCATCCCTAAGGACAACTCTGGTCCTATTCCCGAAGGACCGGGATACAACTACAACACCATCGAGTGGCTCGAGTCAGCCACATAGTAAGTAACCCTCAAGAACGCATTCGCATCTGTACTGACCCTTCTCAGCGGCACTGGATGGTACGACCAATCCCTCACAGAATGCGTTCTCGAAGAACTCGACTTCGCAACTCCCAAATCAATCGATGGCCAACCCACCAACTACTGGTGGTGCATTGACGGCGGCGCCCAAACCATCGCGCACCGCATGGCAAAAATGATTAAACAACCCGTCCAGTACAATAGCCAGGTCGTCGCCATAGACGCCCAAGTCGAAGAGCGCAGGAAACGCAAGCCCAAGGACTACACTTCGATGAAAATCCGCATTAACAAGAATCAAGTTGTCAAAGATAAAGAGTACTTTGCTGTGTTCAACAGTACCACGCTTGGTGCTCTTCAGAGAATGGATCTGAAGGATGCGGGTCTTCTTTGGGGTACGAAGCAGGCAATTCGGGCTTTGGGATATGGTGCTTCGTGCAAGGTTGGTATCAAGTTTGAGACCGCGTGGTGGCAGAAGGCCCCTTTCAACATCAAAAAGGGTGGTATCGCGCATACTGATCTTCCCCTCCGGGTTTGTGTGTATCCGTCCTACAACATCGAGTCCAATGAAGGCCAGGATTGGGATCCTAACAAGCCCGCTGTTCTTCTGTGCTCTTACACCTGGGGCCAGGATGCGCAGCGTATTGGATCTCTGATCTCACCCGAGACGCCCAAGAATGAAGAGCAGCTTCTCTCCGTTCTTCTCCATGATCTTGCGCTGTTGCACTCAAAGCAGAGCGACTACACGTACGATCAGCTTCTCGCTCTTCTCAAGGATCAGTACCAGGACCATCATGCGTACGATTGGTACAGAGACGAGAACATGTCTGGCGCTTTCGCATACTTCGGCCCAAGTCAATTCTCCAACATGTGGTCAGAGATCATCAAGCCCAACGCCTACGGCCAACTGTACCTCATCGGCGAAGCGTCCTCCTCCCACCATGCATGGATCGTCGGCGCCCTCGAGAGCGTCATCCGCGCAGTATATCTGATGTTTGAGGGCCTTCAAAAGCAAGAACCCGACAACGCAGCTTACAAGAAAGCCATTGAGCTCTTGAGTAAAGAACCCGACACTCCCAAAGAAGGCGGTGATGTCTTTGGTGGATTTCCGGGTGATAAACCCCAAGAGCCGCAGAAGTTACCATCTGGTCTTCCGTTCCATCCTCTGCCGGAGGAGATGCCTAAGAGACAGCTGGATGCTGATCGTGATGCGAAGTTGGTCAGGGATCCGTTGGAGGATGTCAAGTTTGGTGACGAGGTTTCGCTTTTGTTCTCGAGTGCTATGATCACGTTGAGTTTGATTGAGAGCTTCTTTGAGCTGCAGGTTGATGAGGCCAAGGACAAGCCACAGTGAGCAGGTAGTGTTGACATATGTCGAAAGAATTCAGAGATTCTTTTGTGCGCCAAGTTGACCAACAAAATGAGCTTGAATTGGTGAAGTCTGCCAGAATTTCTTCAAGTCTCTCGTAAGACTTATCACCATGAGGAGTCGTCGTCATCACTCCAGTCCGCGCCATCATCGTCATCAACCCATTCATCATCGTCTTCTTCAACTTGGCCCTCCTCAAACACTATTGGCGGAGTTACAGGCTGACCTTTTCGCTCAACTTCACTCCAAATTGTACCAAGCAAAGAGTGATCTCTGACCCAATCCTGGCATGAGGTAATGGGTCCCCTTTTTCTTGCCTTTCTATCATATCTCGCATGGGTAGCCACATTCAAAACGCTGATTTTATTGTCGGGGTCAACCTCTTGCCAGTGAGGTATCATGCTGTTGAAGTCGGGTAGGTAGGGTGGCCAGTTGCAGAAAGCTATTGTCATCTTAGGCTCTTCGTATACTAGACCGTCACGCTTCGTGTCTCGATGGTTTGCTGTAGCCCATGCTCTCGCCCATCCTCCTTTGATATCATCATTTGAAAGGTCATCGTCGGAAGGATCAGGTCTTATGAAGACAGCGGATTCCAATTGTGGACACGAGGCCATATCTTTCCACAATTGCTCCTCCATCATGACGTTATACAGGCATAAACGTCGCAGTTTCGGCCATTTGGTAAAGACTTGATATTGCCCAATAGCAGTCTCACCAAGGTATAATTCGTCTTTGACGCTGATGAGCTCTTCGACGTTGACCAGAGCCTCAAAGCCCTGTCTGAGGGACTTTAAAATGATTACGTCTTCCCAAGGATCTATATCCCTCAAGGGCATATCCACGATGAGAGTCTTGAGGACTGGTGCAAGAGTGATGAGAACGTCTTCAAGAATATAAATCGTTCGAAGGTCTTGCATAGGGTATCCTGCCCAGTCGTGCCTCGAATGCTCAGAATATCCATCGTCCACAGCAGATTCTGACCGAGACACTTTGGGTGCTGCTCGATTACGGCGGGTTTGTGACCCATCGCTCAAATCATCACTGAAATCGCCTGACATATTACTGTCCGAGTCATTGTTGATACGGCCAGACCGCCTGCTTTTGCGACGAGCAGATGGGGAAATTGTATCATAAGTGGAAGCCGTATCAAACTTGTAACGCAATGGGTTGAGGTATAGTCGCGCTGACCCATAGATGTCGCATGGTAATCGCCCGGTGATAGGGCTCTTTTTTGAGATATATCGTCTAAACCTGCGGAGTTTTGACTTTGTGTCAAGATAGAGACAATTTTGCCAGATGAGTTTGCAGACAGTAGGATATATTGCCTTAGACACTCTCGTCAATGACAATAGCGTTTTGGTAAGAGGATGTGATGCGGGGAGAATCGGTCGTGTCGCATCATTCTGAGGGACCAAGCTCTCAACTATCAACAAAATAATCTCGATTGGGAGCCTGGCACCACTAGAAGCAACAGTGTGTTTAGGTTCCATGTTGGATATTTGTCGAGGTGATAAAACTGGATTGTTTTCAGTTGGTTGATGCGGTCTGCTGTTGCCTTACGCATTGAGGTTATTCTACTAACCGACAAGCAGCTCGCTTAAGTCGCCCCGGTACGTGAATGTGCTTAAACACAACCCGATTCTACTCTGTTTATGCGCTTAATATCACCCCGATTGAAGTAGGTTTTTCTTTCTCATGTAACCAGAGACTGAAGATTGAGCAAGGTAAGCATCGCTTATCGTCTCAAGTGTTTATATTGGAATAACATCTTGTTGAGACATCATGAGCTTCACCAGACAGATTAGAAGTTACAGGGGCATCCTGCCTGTTTGTCATTTAGAAATGAGGTGCTTTGAATGATGTCCAATTCCCAGCAAAGCACAGTTTTCTTCGTTGCTTGATTTGCAAAGACTTCAAACACAGCAATCTCTTATCCTATGTTTGTATGCTGCCTTACATGCGGGTGCTTGTTTGAACAAGCAGAGAACCTTCTAAAGCTCAACATGGGCTATATAATCCCCCTTCCTCCCATTAGTTACCCTGACAAAATATTCAGCGTATATAAGCGTCAGAAGCAACCGCAATAGCTTAAAAAAACGGGAAGCTACTACTGCGTATCCCTATCTTGGTTGCCAAGCCTTTGAGAGTGAAACTTGAGGCCTATAGGTGTCCACAGAATCGTGAACATGCCTAAAGTCTGGATGACAGGTAGATCATAGCTCTGGCATTCTGCAATGAAACCATGCCTACGGATCCTTTGCCCGTTATGCCGGTAAACGATTGTCCACCGCATATGCTCCCAACTGCTCTGATACGCGTTGAACTACAGGGTACAGCCAGATCTTCTCCCATCTAGTGCACATTCCCGTAAGTTTGCATCCACAAAGTCAATTCGCCTCACAAGGCTGGGTTACACTACATCTTGCCTCAACGAACGGGTAGATCATTCCTCTAAACGCGCGAACACATGCCCAACGCACTGCAACACTGCATCGTGAAAGAATCGTCGTCTCACAACAGTGCAGATCGTCATTGTAACCAGCCACACTCGGATAATCACGACTGATTCGGAAATAACTAGTCTGTGGCACAACTCAATTGACGACAAGGTTTCTTATCTTGCTGACCCACGTCGATGGCAAAAGAACCGGTGAGCCCAAGGCTTATCCGAACAGGCTTTTTCCAAGCTTGACTACAAAAGTCCGCCGAGGGTCAAGAAAGAGGGGAATGCTTGGATGGAGACATTTTTCGCCCAGAAAAGATCATCATGTCATTTTGCGGTGGCTGATAAACTCATCTCTCTATCTCACATCCCTGTCGATACGACGAATAAGCGTAGAAAGATGCTTAATGCCCAGCGCCAACTCTATCACAGCACTAGTCATTACTCTATCTCTCGTGACCTATCTTTGTGCTTGGCCGAGCGGTCGATAATCCCTGCGACCTGCCGTTATCAACATAGGTCGGATTGGCGAATACTCCAAAAGTTCCAGGCGACGTGGGATCTGAGTCGGCGCTAGTTCCTGGAACAGGCAGTTCCTGCGGGGAAGCAAAGACAACGCCAAGATTCGATCGCCAAAACATCCCTGGAACTGCCTGATTTGGATCCGCGGCCGTGAGAGGGTCGTTGTTCGTGGGACATTTCCGTGCTATGCAGAAGTGCCGTGCAGGATATTGTACTATCACGAAATGGTATGGGTTTGTGACGAGTATATTACAATAAACTTAATTCCGTACGATCAGCAACATATAAATATCAACTATTTCCACCCTCAGAAATCCCCTTCTTCACTCCTCATCCCTCTCCTTGCAGTCCAGTCCAGTCCAGCCCAAGATGAGATTCACCACTCTATCCCTCCCCCTCTTCGCCCTGGCGGCCAGCGCCACCAAGAAGCCCCTCGTCAACGAACTCAAGCTCCAGAAGGACATCAACATCAAGGACCTCATGGCCGGAGCCCAGAAGCTCCAGGACATCGCTGAGGCCAACGGCAACACCCGTGTCTTCGGTGGAGCTGGTCACAACGCCACTGTCGACTACCTCTACAAGACCCTCAAGGCGACTGGCTACTACAACGTCAAGAAGCAGCCCTTCACTGAGCTGTACTCTGCCGGTACTGCCTCCCTCAAGGTTGACGGCGATGACATCACTGCCGCCATCATGACTTACACTCCTGCTGGTGAGGCTACTGGTCCTCTTGTCGTTGCTGAGAACCTTGGCTGCGAGGCTAGTGATTTCCCTGCTGAGTCTGAGGGTAAGGTTGTTCTCGTTCTTCGAGGAGAGTGCCCCTTCTCTCAGAAGTCTACCAACGGTAAGACTGCCGGAGCTGCTGCTGTCATTGTCTACAACAATGTTCCTGGCGAGCTCGCTGGTACCCTTGGTGAGCCCTTTGGCGAGTTTGCTCCCATTGTTGGTATCAGCCAGGAGGACGGTCAGGCTATCCTTGCCAAGACCAAGGCTGGTGAGGTCACCGTTGACCTCAAGGTTGATGCTACCGTTGAGAACCGTGTTACTTTCAACGTCATTGCTGAGACCAAGGAGGGTGACCATGACAACGTTCTCGTAGTTGGAGGCCACTCCGACTCCGTTGCTGCCGGTCCTGGTATCAAGTGAGTTTCATATATGACTTTGAAATTACTCAATGCTAACAGACTCTAGCGATGATGGTTCCGGTATCATTGGTATCCTCAAGGTTGCTCAGGCTCTTACCAAGTACCGCGTCAAGAACGCCGTCCGCTTCGGTTTCTGGAGTGCTGAGGAGTTCGGTCTTCTCGGTTCATATGCTTACATGAAGAGCATCAACGGTTCTGACGCTGAAGTCGCCAAGATCCGAGCCTACCTCAACTTTGATATGGTGAGATACCCAACCACTCTTTGACAAAATCAAATACTAACAATTCCCAGATTGCCAGCCCCAACTACGTCTACGGTATCTACGACGGTGATGGAAGTGCCTTCAACCTCACCGGCCCTGCTGGCTCCGACGCCATCGAGAAGGACTTTGAGCGCTTCTTCAAGACCAAGCGTCTCGGCTACGTCCCCTCCGAGTTCAGCGGCCGCTCCGACTACGCCGCCTTCATCGAGAACGGCATTCCCTCCGGCGGTCTCTTCACCGGCGCCGAGCAGCTCAAGACCGAGGAGGAGGCCAAGAAGTTTGGCGGCGAGGCTGGTGTCGCTTACGATATCAACTACCATAAGATTGGCGACGATATCAACAACCTCAACAAGGAGGCTTTCCTCGTCAACACCCAGGCCATCGCTAACTCTGTTGCTCGCTATGCCAAGACCTGGAAGAGCCTGCCCAAGGTCACTCACAACACTCGACGATGGGATGCCGAGGTTGCTTCTGTTCTGAAGCGATCCAGCGGACACAGCCATGCTGGAGGTCCTTGTGGATCCGTTTCCGTTTAGGATGTATAACTTGTAAAAGTCTGTATTATGAGAGATGAGCGAGATTATGTAGAGTAGATAAAATGAGAAGACGAATTATGAGCTGAAATTTGGTCCATGAATGATTAATTGTGTCGGTTCTCTATCCAAAGTTCAAAGCGCTGACTACTTCTAAATGAACTCATTATATGTATTTTAACACCAAAATTCCAACTTCTTCTAACCCACGTTGTATTCAATAGGCACACGGACACGCGGCTCGCCAATACTGAAGCGGAGTTTGCTTACGTTGACATCATCAGAATCTCACTCCTGCAACCACCAAGTGATCAGATGGAGCAAACCTTCTTTTTTGTGGATGGCCTAAACGCCGATAAAACTTCAAAAAGGCTCATGCGACGGCATGTAATGAAGGGCAAAAATGCAGGGAAAACATTCCATCGACCGTCGCGGACGAATCAAGTTGTTCATTATCGGCCAATGGAACGAATTCCTAGACCGCTCGCGACTCAGTTCTTCAGCTTTCCGTTTCCTGTGCCCGTGACAAAGGTTGCTGGTAAAGCGATAGATGACTGTTAGTCCCCGTTCTTTCATATTTGTCACTGTGCTGATGTCCTTAGTCTTCAACGTGACAGTCGGACTCGTCTATCCTTTTCAGCTAGGCTTTTCCCTTGAGAAGGATAAAGTCAAATGGCTCGAGATCATGTTTCATGATAAAGGATGCAAGTTATACGCCTCTGCAAATGTTGCCCCTGCTAATGATCTGAAGCCTACGACTGCTCTCTGGCGCTCATCCAAGCGTCAAACGAGATATATCTCGGCATAGGCTACAACTGCACCAACTCACTGAACTGTATATCTCAGACCCTTGATCAGCTCAAGGTGAGATTGAATAGCAATGAGGCTTTGTCAGACCATACCATGTCGATCGTCATGGCACTTATCAATCAAGAGCAAGCAGCAGAACATTACGCGGCAGCCGAGACTCATATGGCGGGTTTGAAGAAGATAGTGGACCTTCGTGGTGGGCTGGAGAATATCGAAGATGGAATTGTTGCTGTCAAGATTTGCCGGTGAGTAGGTAATGTTTGATTTTGGATGGCGAGTGCTGATGTTTAAAGGACTGATATCCTCTTCGCCATGCAACAAGGTGGACACCCACTGTTTTATCGAGACCATGTGGTTCATATAAAAAGGATCTTGTCGTCTCGGGGCTTCACCTTGGAGAGTAGCTCGGATACATACTCCCTCCGCCATAGCCGACTTGACTCAGCCCTCCAAGAAGCATCATTCGACGCCATGGAATTGTGCAGACTCTTCAACAAGCACATGGATGAGAAGCCTCTAAATCTACTTGAATTTCAAGAAGTTTTGATATCCATCTGCTATCGACTGCTCCGATTTCGTACTATTGGTGAATCCAGGCTCAAGCACGATATTCAGTCTGCCTACCATATCGGATTATCCCTATTTATGATCTCGATCTACTTTCATAATAAGCAGGATCGCATGGCGAGACCAGGACTTATCACAGCTCTTGTGAAGGAAGTCACTGAATCTATCTTGGATGATAGCGAAGATGAATTCGCATTCTGGCTTCTCATCTTGGGAGGAATCTCAGTTCCAAGAAACGATGGTCGGGAGTGGATGGTCGAGAAACTCCGAGACCTAGCTTCAATGCTTGGCGTTATGAATTGGGAACAAGCGAAGGATTGTTTGGCCATTTTTCCGTGGATGAATGCTATCCATGACGAACCAAGCCGGAAGTTATGGGACCTAGTCTGCTTGGTAGACGGATAATCACTTCATGGAGATAAAGCTAAAATGAGAGAAACCCGTTAACTCCGTTCAAGGTTCATTCAACGCAAAAGCAATCAACCAATGAGGTTTCTGAGATATGCCGAGAACCTTCTAACCGGATTTGGTAGCAAGTCTCTCATTGGCTCAGTTTAGACTATAGTGGCACCAGGATCTTCATCTCACATTTTGAGATGGTTTCCGAATCGGGTAGCAAGTCTTGCATTGGATGATTTGAAAACAAGGCTTCAATGTTTTGCGAATATCCAGACTTCCCATCTAGGGTTCTTTGAGTATAAATGGAGAGGATGGTCGCACTCAGACAATAGTCAATGCAGACACCAGTCATCTCAACGGACATCAACAGCATACTCGGATTATTACTCCAACATCCCAAGACACGTTCTCATCTATCGCCATGGCGTCAACAACAAACCCAGACTTTGGAGCCAATACCGAAGCCACTGAAGTTGCCAAAGCATTTACCGATGGTATTCGTGGCAAAACTGTCCTCATCACTGGAGTCAACCGTGGAGGTATTGGCTTTGCAACCGCACAGGCTTTTGTAAGTCCCCCCCTCCTGGATCAGATTCTCATGCTTACCGTCTCAAGTCCACTCAGTCCCTGGCACATGTAATTCTCGCCGGCCGTAGTGCTTCCAAGGCGAAGGAGAGCATCGATGAACTCAAGGCCGAGTTCCCAGATGTAGACTACCGGTTCTTGGAGGTCGACCTCTCTAGTCAAGCATCCGTCCGCAATGCAGCCAAAGAAGTCCTTTCCTGGTCCGATATACCTGCTATTGATTTGATCATCAACAGCGCCGGCGTCATGGCCGTTCAAGAGCGCATTCTATCCAAGGATGGTATTGAAATGCATCTGGCAACCAACCACATTGGTCACTGGCTTCTCAGCTGCCTCCTAATGCCCAAGCTCATCAAAGCATCCGAGGGCAAACCAAAGGGTTCCGTTCGTATCGTCAATGTCACTTCTGCCTCGCCTATGGTGTCAAACATGCGCTGGAGCGACATGAACTTTGACAAGAAGAACAAAGACCTTCCTCAAGAGGAGCAGCCAAACTATGAGTTCTTCAAACTTTGGGGATATGAAAACAGTGAAGAAACTGCTTATGTTCCCCTCGATGGGTACAATCGCAGCAAAGTTGCCAACGTCCTTTTCGGCATCGAGGCTAACAAGCGTCTCTTTGAAAAGCACGGCATTCTCACTCTTGCTGCTCACCCTGGTGTCATCATGACGACTGAGCTGGGAAGAAACTTTCCCAAAGAAACGCTGGAAGCTGCTAAAAAGCTGGGGTCGATGGGCTTTTATACTCACAAGTCGTTAGAAGCCGGGGCTTCGACTAGTCTTGTTGCGGCATTGGATCCAAAGCTTGCCAACGGAATTGGAGAGACTCATGAAGGGAGTGACAATTATGGAGCGTATCTTGCTGATTGTCGGATCAGTACGGGAGCGAAGCCGCTGGCTGTTTCGAGCAGTGAGGCTAAGAAACTGTGGGATTTCTCTGAGGAGGCAACTGGACAGAAGTTCTCGTGGTAATTATTCTGTGAGCTTTCTGCTGTTATTGGGTTTTACTCGTGATAGTCGAAGAGGCCAATCTGTTGATTATACCAGCCTTCCTATATCATGGTCTTATCTGATATTCTGAGTGACTAGTTACTTATAAATCACTGATTAGATTACTCAAACTCTACTGCATATATTGGCCAAATATTGGCCAAGATGTATTATTTGCAATTGTGGACTGTAGCTGGGAGGTTATAATCGCCACACAGAGCTCATCATATGTTGGCCGTCGGCCCGAGTTCCATGTCGCAGAATTCGTTCCTTGTCGGGGAACTCATCACGCGGGATGCTCGGGTATGCATGTTGGTCCCGTCACTTGTGAAAATACAGGGGTTGCGAAGCAGCGATTCGAGAGGATAAGGTATGACAAAGGGGAATCCCTGTTGGCAACGCGTCCCACGGAAAGTAACATGATATAAAATTCTTAATTCTCTCAAACAAGAGGGGTTTGGATTGTGGTCTGTCATCGGTCAAGATGACGTCCGAAGATAGACTTGGGCGTCAAGAGGGCGATTTCATCGTTGGTCACTATGTCTAGATCCAACGACTTACCCACTGACTGTCTTCTAGGACCCAGATACCTTCTCTGACGCGGACTCAACCATTTCACAGGTAAGTTGAGGGGTCGTCAGGTCATTCTTTGAAGCTGGAACTTATACCATCAGCCGGTTACCGATTCCTTGGCTTCGCTGCGATCAAGCATTCTTCAGCATCAGATTGAGAATGGCCGTACATATCACTCAATGAGTGCTGGAAGCAAGTCGAAAATTTGCAAGTGGCGTGATCTTGGCTGACAATTGGTAGAATACGCATACCCCAACGATCAAAGCGAGAACGAGCGTCTGGGTAAGTGTGATGATAAGCAGATCCTCACAGTTATCTGATACCTTTACAGAGATCCAGCACAATGTCTGGCTCCTCACTCTGCGTAGAAGTCTGGCACTCTGCCCCAAGGGTAATGAGGCAGCAAGGAGAGTTCTTGATGTAGGCACTGGAACAGGGTGTTGGGCTATTGAATATGGTCAGTGGCCGTCGCAGTAATTAGTGACATCACTAACCCATTGCAAGCCGATGCATTTCCACAGTCGGAAGTAAGCTACTCCAGATAGGAGAGTGAGATGTCGCTGATCAAACAGGTCATTGGAGTGGATCTGAGCCCAACTCAGCCGACTATGTAAGCTATCAACTCTCAGGCACAGCAGAATCTGACAAACAAAGGGTACCTATCAACTGCACATTTGAAATTGACGATCTCGAAAAAGATTGGACTTGGGCAAAACCCTTTGATTTCGTCTTTAGCCGCGTCATGGCGGGTAGTTTCGAGGATTACGATGCTTTCATCTCCAAAGCCTACAAGTTAGTTCCCCCTTCGTGTTGAGGTCGTTTCTGACATTTTTCAGGGCCCTCGAGCCAGGAGGGTGGTTCGAAATGCAAGACATAGTCCTCCCCTACAAATCCGACGACGGCACCCTCCACGCAGACCTCGAGCTCGCCAGACTAGGCCACTACTTCTGCGAAGCCAGTAAAATCCTCGGCCGCTCAGTCGAAGCCCCGCGTCATTACAAAAGCATGATGCAAAAAGCAGGCTTCATCAACATTGTTGAGCGTCACTTCAAATGGCCTCTCAACGCATGGGCCAAAGACCCTTACTACAAGGAGATTGGCGCTTGGAGCTTTGCTAACCTTGATGGTGGGCTTGAGGGCTTGACTTTGGCGCTGTTCACGAGGGGGATGAAGTGGACTAAGGAGGAGACTATGGTTTTTTGTGCGGAGGTGCGCAAGCACCTGAGGGATCCTAAGATCCATGCTTATCTTCCTGTGTAAGTGGCATTTCGATGGATTGAGATCTTACTAATCTTTGGGTAGTATTGTTGTTTATGGGCAGAAGGCAGAGTCAGCCTCTACTGACGAATAAGCTTTGAGGATCGAGTTCATAACCTGACATAGTATTAAACTATCTGACTAGTTCAAAACTTAGTGTCGTGTTCCCAAGCTTGGAGGTGATACTTTGCTTGGTTTTCGTTTCTCTGTTCTATCAGCCCAAATTTCATATCACTAAAATCGGAGCAGAAAAGCCAAGCCGTTTAAAATTTTCATTAAATTCCCCATCCTGACCAAAGGCTGGAACATCAAACCGTTATAGTTCTTTAACAAATGCCTTGTCCTCGATCCAGCAGAAGTTCTCTCGTAGTCTCATGCAGCTCCAGGGTATGCAAGATCTCTCCTACTTTGTTGGGTTAGCCCCTCACCTGCTCCATCCAACTGCCACTCCCCTTCAAACCGGTTAAATTCCCTAAAGCGACAAAACATACATAACCCAGGTACCCGATAACCCAATCTATGCTTAAATCACCCGTCAACTGTCAAAGTCAAGTTCCTGATAACCATTCACAACCTGTAGCCAATCACATCCTCAGCCCGCCAACAATTCCTCCCCAACAGACCTAGCAACCCCCTGCGCCGCTAGAACCCAACAGGGAATAATCCGGTGCTCATCTCGGCGCTTTACCCCGCGTTTCGCCTCCCGTCGCAGCCAAACTCGCACACCCAAAGCAAAGAAATTCAACGCTCGCTTTTGCTACCGTTCCCTTTCCTACTCTCTACACGTGCGTGTGTATGTATACCTGACATAGTTACCTTACCTCCTAGTGTCAATCCTGACACTTTCATCTTCAGTGCCAAGTAAAAGACACGGGGGTTATCGTTACCAGGTTTCAAGTCTATTTAACTGGTCGACGTCGGACGCGTCTCCCCTTTTTTTTTTCTTTCTTCACCGTCGAGTTTTCCTCACTCAAGCATCGCCAAAACCCTCGTTCAAAACAGTGGATATCCCTTTCGATATTGACAGCCAGACTATATAACTTTACCACCTCCCTATTTCAGCCACCTCGACTCACCTCTCATGTCCGCGTCTCCACCTAGCGGCTCGTCCAAGCGACGGGTACGCACAGAGGCTCAAATGAGCCAGAAGCGACTGGCAGATCGCGTCAAGCACAGAGAGAACCGGCAGGAGCACAAACAACGTATGGAGCGGATGGAAGCAGACATAGCACAGATCAGAAAGAACCTCGACACCGTTTCCGCTCAGCTCCGGACGCTTCCGCAGTTGAGCGCTGATCTGGTGGCTTTGCAACAGAGATCTTCGCAGAAACCCCCTGGCGAGGCTTATGAGATGGACACGAGCGTTGAGACCCCGGACTTCCCCGCAGGGCGACGAGCGCCAGCTGCTGCTCCATGTGCGGCAGACCACCACGATATCCCGCCTGCCGAGGTTCCCGAGGTGGTGTCGAGTTTATTCCCCACGCCGTCGCATGTCGATTGCCGATGCGGAGTGCAACATCACTCGCAGGCGGATTGTCTCGAGTATCGGAGTTTCGCGATACTTTACGAGACCCATGCTGCTTTTCCCAAGGATCCGCTCCACGCTAGGTCCCTGCCGAGGAACCCTGAGCTGCCTAACATGACGCTTCACTCTTACGGGGATAATGCAGTCACATGTTTTCTGACCTCGTTTCTCAAGGGTTTTGAGATGGCTAGTGTGGAGACTTTGTTTGGGGTCTATTTCTTTGCCTATCGTCTCATGAGAGTAAGTTTATCTTTACCTTATAGTCTCCTGCATACTAATCCTTCGCGTAGTGGCGCTTACATCCTGATCCTATGACTCTCAAGGATGTACCGCCGTGGCTGCTTCCTACCGAGGTTCAGAATACCTATCCACATCCTGTGAGCATCGATTACATCCCTTGGCCCGACCTGCGAGACTTTTTGTGTACGAATCCACGTATCAAGTCAAGGCATTCAGTCAAGATATACCTTGAGTCGCTTCAACTAAAATGGCCGCCTGGATGTCCTTTGATGGCTGTCGAAGGTGGTCAGGTTTGCGTAAGCCCCGAGTTTGAGGCTATTGCATGTGATCTCAATAATTGGGAACTAGGGCCACCCTGGTTGGAGGCTTTTCCTCGTTTGGTTTCACTTGTGCATCCTTGAGTCTTGGCCCATGTTTCTTGGTCCGTATGTTGGAAAGATGAGAGCAGTTAAGAGCAGTTAAGAGCAGTTAAGAGAGGTGATCGTTGTGTTTTATCATAGATACCATAGTCTACACCGTACATGGAAATGAATCACATTTCCTCCAACTTGTTCCACGCCTCAGCTCTCAGGGAGCAAGAAAACTTAGGACCTCTACTCTAAGCGACAAAAAGACTTAGGCAAGTTTGGTATAACTTAGGAGGGCTTTAGATTAGCCATTTCTATCACCTAGGATAAAGGTCCCAAGTTTGCTTGTCTCCCCTAGCCACGTTGCCTTACAATTGACCTTCCCTCAAGAGCGCACTGTTTTCCACTACGTCGCTTGCGTGTCGCTTTCGTCAGCTTCTCTAATGCCTGTCGATCAGCTTCTTTAGTACGCGTGTACAACCCCACTGGGGTTTCTGGCATGTCGTCGTAAAAAAAAAACAAGTTGGTTTCCGCAAATGCTCCCTTAAGGGCCTATACCACATCGTGGCCCAGAATCCATCACCATAGGTGATATACCTTCTAGCCATACCGTCAGTGCCCGGGCGACATGGATAGTGTTCCAAGAAAGCCCCGCAGCCTGCCCCTTCGAAAGTGAAGTTCTGCAACAGGGGCAAATGTTGGTGAACGCGATCGAACATGTTTGACCATCGCAGGTCACTCATGTACCAACCAGGTCGGATTTCTCCAAAATGTGGCGTATTCAGCATGGAACTAAGGTTTGGGTGATGCATTTCTTCGTAGCTGTCTGCCAGTTTCTTCCAGCCACTTAGGTTGACGCCCCAGTATTCAAAATCATCCTGGTGCACAACACAATGTGTCGCAATTTTGCAATTGTAAAGCTGAAGATCAATAAGGGAACGCTGTTCAAGAACCCAGTCAAACTGATCTTGTCGAAGGATAATACAATGATCCAGCTTCAGTCGCTTCAGCCGTGGAAATGGTAGACCTTTGCCATTGAATTCGACAGGGATGGCACCCCAGAGCCAACCGGCAAGCGTCAGCTCGACTAGTCGTTCGGCGACTGAAGGCAACAGTGTCTGTTGAATATATGGTGAAAATACGGAGTTCTCTCCATCATCATAAGCGTAAGTGAAGTACATGTGTAGTCGGTCGATGTTTCGCAACAAATTATGGGTCAGATCTTTCGGCAGTGGCGTATCCTCAAGATTGGACAAGACTAGCTCTCGGATGGTGCTGGTCTCGGGACGGGACTCACGATCCCGCAGTGCTTCTGATACAAGCTCAAGTGTTATCCGGCGTGTTTCTGTCGGCTCTTGTAAGACTGCCTCGTACTCTTCACTAGGGCAAAACATTTGAGAAGCGCAAAGTGAGAGAATTGAGGTTATTACGTATGTAGGTAAGTTTAGTATAGATTAGATAGATTCAATGTATATTTAGCAGACCTTTAGACCAGCCAGGAATTTTAGGTAGTATGCTCTTTTAGAGTCTGAAGTTTTCTTGCTCTCCGTAGGTAATCTATGTTCACCAACACATCATAGTAAGTCTTTTGAGTCTATATGTTATCCTTGAAGAGTAATGATATATTTGAACTTTCGGGAAAACTCTTATATGGCGCGTGAATAGAGTTGCGAAACCAGAGTTGCATTGCAGTAGAAGGTAACATTGCTTGAGATGATGCAACGGGAAGAAACTAAATTAAATAAGGTCATGAAGATAGTATTTGCCAAAACTTATGCTTTTTATAAATCAGCTGCTGAGGAGGTTTCGCAGCATTCATGAATTCTTTGTAGCTTGAATGTTGCATTATGATTTTAGTGACTGCAGGATGTTTGTTGTCGGCCAATCGCAGACCAGGGCTGTGAGAGAGTGGAGATGAAGCAATTCATTCCAGCCTCGCAGAAGATCATGATCGCGATAATTCAATAGCGATGAACAATAAGGAAGAACCTATAATAGCACATCCATATAAGCATGTAGCATATAGAGCTGAGCAACACCTTTCTCAATGTACAGAACGTCTAGTTTATACAAGTTGTCATCAGAGCTACCTCCATCTTAAACACTTGACCCCCCACATCCCGAGCCAACAGAACCTCAGTCATGATTACAAAGATTTTACTTATTCTTCACTTCCGAATTAGGAAAAGGAACGTGTTTCACCGAGAAATGCAGATTCCGCATGAATATTATGTCAAAAGCCCCCGAAACGAGCACACGACACGCGCCAAAGCCGAGCATGAACAAGATAAACAAGACAGATCCACAGCTCATTAGAATCCTTCTCGATCGACATGAAATCTGGGGAAGCGAAGTGGAGAGAAGTCGGCATTCGCTGACAACAAGTCCCGAAAAAAAGGACCCAGGTCATACAAATCCCCATCGGCACTCGTGTTTATTCTCGGCCTTTCGCCAAGTACAACGCACCGAGACCCCGTCTTGGCTGAACTAACACGAACTTGGCAACGCACGTCTCGTTTGAAGATAGCTGCATCCGCTGACAGATCACCTCGTAATACTCCTCTCATATGGTTCTCTGACGGTTCACCAAGGCTAACGCAACCCTAGATCCAGTTCGGCGATAATCAGTCCTTGACATGCCAGGTTTGCTATGACTTTACACCTACAGCTTGATCCGTGGTGAAAATGGGGACGGTGTAATTAACTGATTGTGTTGAATATAAAAGGAAAGGGGGGAGTTGGTGGAAAGGAATTCGCTATTCTGTAGGTTCTAAGTTCAATCAACATGTCTCAATCACTTCTTTCACAGCTTTGGAAGCAACTGCAGCCATCGAGACATACTAAAAGACAGTCGACGCAGACTGCAAAGAGTACGACAATTCTTTTACAGAATGGCTTGGTCATAGAGCATGGGGAGCAAGATTCTGTTCAAGTCGTTGACAACACCGATATCTTGATAGTAGACGGCATTATCAAGGAAGTCGGCAAATCTATCAAACCTCCACCGCATGCTGAAGTTGTTGACTGCTCCAACAAGATCATTAGCCCGGGATTCATCAATACACATCATCACCTATGGCAGACGCAGCTTAGAGGTTATGGCACAGACCACTGCTGGTTGGAGTACTTTTCGGACGGTCAGTATACATTCAACTGCCAAAGAGGTAGCTGACGTTTTAGACCTTCTACAGTCTTTCAATTATACCCCTCGAGATATATACTGGGGCCAATTGGCAGGTTGTCTTGAAGCCATCGACGCTGGAACGACATTCGTCCTCGACCATTGCCACGGCTGCACATCTCCCGAACACTGCATGTCTATGAACCCTTCATTACTCTATCGATTCTAACATGAAGTAGCCGAGTCCGCTATATCTGCATTTTCAGACTCCGGTATCCGAGGCGTATTCGCATACGGAGAAACATTTCTAAATCTCAAGAAATGGGACACCGAATCATGTGTCCCGAATGCTATGTCTATTTCCGAACCCTTCATTAAACATGTTGAGGACCTAGCCCAAAGAGGTCCTTTTGGAAACGGTCGTGTCAACGTTGGCCTTTCGTTTGATGGATATCATATGCCACAGCAGGAAGTCGAAAGGTTATTCCGTCGAGCGCTCAAAGCTGGTATTAAGCTTATTACATCACACAGCGGCAATTTTGGTAAGCCAGAAGCGTCCAATCATGTAGCAAAAATCTGACAAAATAGGACCCTCTGTACCAAAGGCTCTTGAAAAGTACTCTCTGTTCCCCGCCCCAGAAGACGACTACACTATTGTCATCTCCCACGGCAACTACATGGATGACGGAGACTTCAGCATCCTTAAGAAACACCGCGTCCCACTAGCTTGCACACCAGCTACAGAAGCTCAAGGCTCGATGGGCTGGCATCTCCTATTTGAACCAGGACTCATCACCGCCCTGGGCGCAGATTGTCATTGCCTCACATCCTCATCTCTTATGCAAGCAGCTCGTACTGCGCTCCTTTTCTCCCGTCTACAAAAGACGCTTGAGCTTAAAGAAAAGGGTCAAAAGGTGGATATGTTTGATCATACGAGTCACGATGTCTTTAACAAAGCGACTATTGAAGCTGCGAGGGCTGTGGGCTTGGAGAGTGAGATAGGATCTATTGCCGTTGGTAAACGAGCGGATATTTTGGTGTTCTCAAGAGATCAATCATTAGCATTTGGGGCATCAGCGAGGGAGGAACCAGTCGCAGCGATTGTGACGTACAGTGAAGCCCGCGATATTGAGGCTGTCTTGGTAAACGGTTGTTTCAGGAAACGGGATGGAAAGATGGTTCCTGTTATGACGGATGGAAAGGATATTGGACTCGATCAGATCTTAAAAGAGCTTGATCAGAGTCAGAAGAATATCAGGCAGAAGCGAGAATCATGCAGCACCAGAATATCGAAGGGCTTAGTTTGCAGTATCGTTCAGCCAGGTTAGGCATAGGGTTATAATTATTCTATTGCAGTTGCATAAGTATCCTATAAGCACCTCGGAACCTTTTACTTTTGACCCATTGGAAGAAGGTATTATAAGTCGAATATCAGGATCATAAGTGACTAATGTGATGAGATATGTAACAATAGCTTCAATAAAGCGAATGTACTAAGCTAGCTAGCCCGTTTCCAAGTTTCTGTTACAATGAAAGAGTGTTGATACTGTTCTCCTTGCCTCACTACTCGTCCGTGTCTGTAAATTGAGCGTAAAGACCAAGTCTTTACCAATCTGTCTGTGATGACCTAGAGACACCACTGCTCACAAGTCTGTCCATCACCAATACATCGAGACTTGCAGTTATTGCCACACCAGCGACAGCTAGCATGCTCAGAAGCATAGCAGCTTCCATCGCCAATAGTGCAGCGACCACCAAGATGAACACACTCTCTGCACTGAATGCCAGCCTCGGCACGGGGCTTTGCGAGTCAATATCATACTCACTTTCTCAGAAGGTGGAGGAAACTTACAACCTCGCGGACTTCAAGAACGCCGTCGCGCTCGGAGATGTCAACTGCCATTCTGTTAGGGGCGGGATTGGCAAAGACGCCAGAGATGGTGAGGGCCAGAGCGGCGATGTTGAAGAAGACAGTCTTCATTTTGAGGGTGTTGGGTTTGATGAAGTGGTTACTGAAGAGGTGAGAGGCTTGTGGGAATCTCTTGAAAAATTGAGACTACTGGGAGCTTTTATAACTGAAGAGGAGATTGATTGTCACCATGATGTAGATTATTGGCACTTGGAAATCACATGGTGGCAGGCTGTTTCTGACAGGTGAAGTTCTCAAATTAGGTATATCTTTCATCTCTGTTCCTCATATCATGCTTGGAGGCATTCCTGGCTGTGACCATAAGGAAGGATTCATCTCACAACGTCATTGAGAAGCATCTGATGTTCAAGACTGGGGGCCACTTCGTGTTGGTCAGCCTCAATGCGTCTTGAGCAGATGTACATCAGATTTTAAGCACCGATGATCCGTGGAAGTACAGCATCATACGGCTCTCGGTTTTATTTCTTTAAGTGGGGGTAACTATATTGCCATGGGAATAGCTCGTTCGCACTTCCAAAGCGAATGGAAACATTGGCTAAGCGTTGCAGTTCATGCTCGAGCAGTATCAATGTTATAGGGCTTTCTTAGACTCTACTAGCCTCACTTAAAGCTCAAGACACCCACATGTCAGCCAAGGGACGTGGACCTTGAAGAGGTACGTATGTTCATGAATGTTGATATTCGATAGGACTGATACATCACTTCTTTCCAGCTTTGATAATATGGAATAGGAAAGGAGAATGTAGGCCTCAAAAGTCCCTCATGTATTCCATGACGAGATGTAGACTTCCTGGATGGTCCCGGTAAACAACCAGGTGAGCTGAGCCACCTTGATAGAAGTGTAGGATTACAAAAAATCATACATAGAATGATCTACTGCAAACTCTTACCTAGAGCCTTCTGAGGTGACTGTTTTTCTAAAGCATTATATCATTAGAACTGTTTCCTATAAGACTCCAAGTCCGCATCTTTGCACTAAGCAAGTAAAGGATAATCGCCTCTACCCAAGAAAGGTCTGACGCTCTCCAAGTTGAGCTTTTCGACTTCGTCAGAAATTCGAAGAACTTGTTCTGAAGAGATCAGCGCTCGGCCAGCCCCTCTTCCGGCATCCCTACTGAAGAGTTACATTCGTACGGGCCGCAGGTAAGCTGAACGGCGACAGGGCTGAGACCCCTGCTAACAAAGTTGTCACTGGCTCACTCCAGGATTATGCATAACAAAAGGTCCTGCGCCGGGGCAATCGGCGATTGGGTATCTCGGACTGTACCTGTGTCAGACATCCTTGGGGGCCTTTTGATTGCCCTTCCAGACATAGCTTTTGAAGACCAGCACCCGGGCCTCACTTGATTGTCTGACTATATCCTCTAATGAAGCGCACTGGTAACCTAATTTCAGTTGTCACTCCGTACCCCGCTCTATAATGATGCTGTTGCATTGATGCTTACTCGTAGAAAAAGCCCCGATTCGCTCTGTGGTTAGGATCGGCACTTGTTTAGCTCCCGCTGGCCAAGACGGAATATGCCCGGTCGATCACCTGGCATGACACTACCTTGTATCTGCCCACATTCTTACTGCAGGACTCGTCAATGGTCGCCATTTAGATCAGACCACGCCCCAAAGGAGTAAGAAAGCCTCGGGCCTTGATAAAGTATGTTAGAACAAACTCATCAAAGGGCTCCCCTAAACTTATAATAACGTACCTAAATCTTTTTATCCTTTAGGATTAAGATCCTAAGTTTTCTTGTCTCCCCGGGCATGCGTGGACGAACAACCAATTAGTCAAAGAAATACCGTGGCTATGCAGTTGGTTGATCGTCATAAAGGATGCACAAAAGTCCCCTTATGCGCGCTACCTTGTTTCACTTTTCATTAACCAATAAAAATTCCCTCAATACAGGATGTACTCCTTGTAGCATGGTATCAGATGTTGTTGGTTGCAGGATATCACATGTAACCATGGATGCCGACTTCCGTGTGCGACCAACAGCCCTTAGTCAGATTAGGTAACAGCAACAAAGGGGCATGTCAGAATCCATTTGTCTTGGGCACATTTCGCTCTCTATCTTTCTTTCTCAGGCCAGAATCATGGTACCGAGAGTTGTGTCTAGAGGTATTCTGGTTATTGGCATTTGTTCCTTGCTCTGGTGGACGTTCCGACCTCTTCGCGGTTCTCATGCAGTATTTACCGAGCCGCTACAGACGATAGACCTTCTGAGCCCGACTTCCGATAATGGCCGGAAGACTCCAGAGCTCTATGCCTCCAGGGCTGCGCATGATTTCTGTTCCGTCCATGAATACTCAGCCTTCATACCCAAAAGCCCCTCCAGCGAGCGCAAAGTCTACGATATGCTCATGATAAACGACGAGCTGGACTTTCTTGAAATACGCCTCAATGCATTATACGACTACGTCGACTACTTCATCATCGTCGAGTCAGCCAAGACATTCCAAGCCAATCCGAAACCCCTTATCCTCAAAGAGAACTGGGACAGATTTCGTCGATATCATGACAAGATAATCTATCACGAACTAACTTTCCCATCAACCTTCGACCCGCATCGTGCTTGGGACTACGAAGACTTGCAAAGAGACGCCCCCTTCGACCAAGTCATGCTCAGTCTTGTCGGACCAAGAGCTCCAAACAAGGGAGACGTTCTCATCGTGGCCGACGTCGATGAGATCCCCCGACCACAAACTCTCCTCGTCCTCCGATACTGCAAATTCCCTCGCCGCCTAACACTCTCTTCCAAATTCTACTACTATTCATTCCAATTTCTGCATACCGGCCCAGAATGGCAGCACCCCCAAGCGACCTACTACCAAGGACGCCGAACCCTCAAACCCACCAATCTTCGTAATGGAGATGGAGGCTTCCGTCCGTTTCGCTTTCTCGAGAGGGGCGTACTCAGTAACTCCGGTTGGCATTGCAGCAGCTGTTTCCCGACAATAGACCAGTTTCTCAACAAGATGGCGAGCTTTTCTCATCGGTGGATGAATCGTGAAGAGTATAGAGACAAAGACAAGATCGCTGCTGCAGTGAGAGAAGGCAAGGATCTTTGGGGGAGGGAACAGGATCAGTTTGTGAGGATTGAGAATAATAAAGACATGCCGCCACTGGTGCTCGATGAGCCAAAGAGGTTCGGCTACATGATCAGTCGGGATGGGCCGTCAGCAGGATTTGTAGATTACAATGGAAAAGAAAAGAGACAGTAGTCTATCTGACAAACAATGGTTATACGCAATACCCTTGTTAAAAGATATATGTCTATGTACTGTGGCAGAAAGGGGCTCGGGCCCGGTACACCAGGTAAGTGCCTCAAGCACCTTCAAGGCTTCAACACCTGATTCCATCTTTCCTCGCAACTCAGCTTCATCCTCTCAATCACCTTGAGTCTGAATGCTTTGAAGCTCCCCGTTCTGAAACCGAAGCCTAAGTTGGGCAATGATCTCCTGATAATCAGGAGTCTTACATTGCACTTCGGAGATTCCAACCCGAAGAAGATACATGTTGAAGTCTTGAGCAAGCGCTTCAGGGTTGCTGTTCCTCTTTGCCTCTACCCAGTATTCGATGTCCATATGCCAAGGGGGATCTTCTGTAGCTACCAAGTCATTTGTTTCACGTTGCTTGATCCAAATCTCGACCAAGTCCTCTTTAAACACAGCCTCGGCAAAATCGATGATATAGGGCCTTTCGGGACTGTCGACTGCGACGTTGTTTCTTTGCTGCAATATAACATCGTTGCTGTTCGTCTTAAGAAGAATGCCGAACTTGTTGATCTCATACATCGCATCGACGGCGCGTTGAGCTAGCTCCGCCAATGCGTCGTGCACCGGCTTGTCTATTATTTGGGCCAACCCGGGTGTAGGCAAGTGGCTGAGTCTGAGGCCAGGAATATATTGCAGAAGAAGGCCATGAACACATAAGAATTCTTCCGATTCCGTGTCCACGCCTTCTACGTCTGGGTCGACAACAGATAATGGGATACGCACATGTGCGTATAGGCGAGGTATCTCATTTCCCTGCATTGGTTCGAGCTGTTTGTATGCCCTAAACTCGGTCTTGAGGCGCTGGTCATACTCGTACCAAGTAGCAGCTTCAAATCTTGCCATGCCATCAGGCATGATACTGAGGTCCTGTTGGTTGATATAGAAATCGACCGCACGAGGTCTGACGGGAGCACTTTTGTAGGTTTGTCCCAAGACTTGGGAAAAGACGCGCATTCTCCCTTGACGTACGAATAAGTGATAGGCATCTTCTGATGCTCGCGAAGGGACTGTGGCTGTACCATAAAATTGACGAATATGCCCACCGTAACGCCGGTCGTAAAGTTTAAGCACTGCTTCCTGAGTGCTTCCCGAATCGGTCATGAATTGTACGAGCTTCACAGGCGATGTGGCGCCAAGGAAGGTATCTAGAACATCGACGGTCATGGTTGTTCTTCTAGATGGAATCTGCTCGTCAAGTCTTTCAACAATTTGTAGGGTTACTTGACAGAGAGTATGGTATGGTGGGGTATAGGCTGCTCTTGATGCAGAGGATCGGTCAGAAGGAACTTTCGGGTGGTTCGATAACTTACGCAAATTGAGCCATGCTGAATAGTTCTGAGAGTTGTGATCAAGAAGAAATTATAGCCGTTTTGGTGATGATGATTTAGAATGAAGATTACCAAAATATCCAAATCAAAATACAAAGGTAAGCTAAGGCTGGCAGTCGTGCTGCTTTGGCGAGAAGGAGCAATCTTCATCATTAGAAAAAGTCATGATGCGGGCCCTTCGTGCAGTCATAAGCTTCTCAACTGCTCCGCCATCTTTATTTCAGAGCTGAAAACATCCAGGCCGATCACGAGAAGGAAGGCAATATTTTCACATCAATTAATTGGCCCCAGAGAGCAGTAGAACTTCTGATATTAGATTAAGGTGCTAAAATAATGCAATCTAAGACTTACTAAATTTGTATTAAATTATACCAAATATATATAAGTCTCTTAATTACTTAGGATAAAGGTCCTAAGTTTTCTATCTCCCTGTAGTGCCATAGATAGCCATTTCCACCCGGCGAGTAGTTCGTCAGCACCGAAAGCAACAGATTGTAATAAAGTCAGTACAATACGAACATTAGTTCTAGTTTTTCCTAAGTATGATCGTCGTCCTTTCGAAATAATGCAACTTCTGCGGGAGGACTTTGATTGACAAGACGTTGACTATCCTCTAGTCAATAAGGTAGATTTATGCAAAACGATCTAGTCGGAAATTCTCTAGTATAGGATCCGTCTCCCCAGTGAGAATCTGCCTGCTCAACAACTTCCCAACAAGAGCCCCATTCGTCACCCCAGAATGCATCACAGCAACACTAAGCCCACCCAACCCCGTCTCTCCAAGAATCGGTAGCCCATCTTCTGGCAAAACTCTATGTCCGATAGTGTAGTGGCTGAACTCAAGCTCTTCTCCGCCGATGACTGACTTTTGAAGTTTGGCGAAGAGCTCACGTGCTGTCTTTTCTGGATCGTCGCCTAGGTCGCCTCCAGCGTAGCTTGAACCGAAAAGTAAGGCTCCGTCGAGTGTTTGACGTATGTGTAGTTCGGGAGCGTTGATTACACCGTTGATTAGTTTCTTGGGGGTCGGTTTTGTGTTGGCGAGAAGACCTGCTGTGCTTTTGAGTGGGAGGGGAATGTTTTGCGATGCGAGCAGCGAGACGCTTCCGAGGCCTGCGGCTACGACGACATGGTCTGCAGGGATAGTTTCGCCGGAGGAGAGAGTAACGCCGCTGATATGGCCATCGGTCTTTGTGAAGCCTTTAACCTTGGTCTCGAGAACCTTGGCTCCGCTGTCTTTTGCTAGGCTGATCAGTAACTCAGCAGCCTTTTCGGCTTCCAGAGCTCCCTCTTGATCGTAACCAAGGCCCCATTCTGGAAGCTTCGTCTCTTCAATACGAGGTTCTCGCTTCGATATCTCCGTCTTGTCAACACGGATAACATCATATCCCCAAGCAGTCAGGTTCTTCTGCTCCTCCTCAAGTTCTCGGGGCGATTTATCCCAGCTTGTAGTACCTCCCCAATGAATGGGTAAGTTCTCAACAGCTTTCTCAATCTCTCTCCAGTGCTCAAGAGACCTAAGTCGAAAGTCGTAGTAGAACTTCTTATCCGATGAAGCAGCATTCAGCCAAGCGAATGAATTGGGAGTAGCTACTCCTCCGATATCTTCCGCGATGATGGTCACGTTTGTCTCGGGGGAGAGATGCCAAGCGATAGAGGCACCGACGATACCGCCGCCAACCACGACAACGTTGGAGTTTGCGACGCTCATATTGGGCACTTGAGACTTTTTATTCTCACTTTGAGAGCCATAGCGACCGTCGGACATGTTGAGTTTATATGTCTTGATATCTCAACGTCGTATCAACCCCGCCTTTGCCGGACGTTCTTCTTGAGCCCGAAATGAAGATATGATGTGCTTCGGCTATAGGATGATAATGTTGCATAAATTATGGAAACAACTCGGTTATGTAAAGCAACCTTCTTTAAAAGGAAGTGATCGTTATTGAGCAGCCACCAACCTCTGATGACGTGCGCTGCTTCGCGATAGATTTGAAGGTCCATCCGAGCTATTCTGATTGGTTAATCAAGTCTAGTCTAATCCTTCATGTTCGGTAACCCGACGATGCACTTTAAGCAACCTTCAACAACGTCCGCCAATTATGGAGGATAACGAAACGCCGTGTCTAGACGTGTTTCCTTTTTCCAAGACATTGATATCATCTCACATGTCCCGTGGCTTGTTTCTGACCCTTTAATCAAGGAAAACCACGTAATCATGCTGCATGTCTTTGATTGGGGTTACACAGTCGTCGTAAATTTACCAATCATGTCTTTATCTTTTTCAGCTGCGATTACCAAGATGGCCATCTCATATGCCCGATAGCAAAAGTAAATTGGGATTGAGATGATGTTTTTTATATATTCCTGATCAGTTCTGTTTGTTTCGTTTGTTTGTTGTTGTTTAGATCTTGAGCAGACCAGCATGGCTTCACCATTCTTTGAAAGGGGCCTCACATGGCTTCCGTACTTTATTGTTGCTCTCTTTACTTGGCTTCTTCTATCTTCGGCTATCTCTTGGTATCGTCTTCGACATATACCGGGTCCTTTCTTCGGAAAATTCTCATACCTATGGGTAGCTTACATCACCATCACCGGAACACAGCATGATCACTTGGTCAACCTCAATCGAAGCTACGGACCCATTGTCAGAGTCGGTCCAAACGAGGTCCTGGTCGATGACCCAGACTTGATTCGAAAGGTCTCAAGTACTCGAAATACGTATACCAAAGGAAATTGGTATCTCGGCGGCAAATTCAATCCGTATCACGACCCCATGTTCCAGATAACAGACCCAGTCCAACACGATCGGGTCAAGGCGAAGCTATCTCCAGCGTACAGTGGACGTGACGCTCCCAATCTCGAAGCCGTAGTCAACAGACAGGTCGGCAGTTTGATTCAGCTAATCAAGGAGAAATACACGTCTGCCCAAGGAGATTATCGTCCGATGGAAGGAACCAGAGTAACACGCCTTTTTGCACTCGATGTCATATCCAATCTGTCTCTTGGCCAAGAATTCGGCTATCTCAAAGCCGACTCTGACTTTCACGGGATCGTCAAGGCGCTCAATGAACATCTGTTGGTCATGACTCTTGCAACAGATATTCCATGGCTGAGAAACTTGATCTTTTCGCCTATGTTTCTGAAGCTGTTTGGGCCGACTGAGAATGATACCAAGGGGATTGGCCCGCTGATGAAGGTCGCGAATACCATTGTTCGCGAGCGATATGCTCCTGAAGCCGATGAGCAGCATGATATGCTGGTGGGTTTTTCTTGTGGCGTGCGGAAATCATATACTTACTTGGCAAAAGGGCTCGTTCAAGAGACATGGTTTAAGACTGGAGGAGTGCCAGGCTGAATCTTTATTCATGTTCGTAGCAGGATCAGAAACCACTGCCACGGTGATACGGGTTATTCTTCTCTACATTGTCGCCTCGCCTCACATATATCAGCGCCTTAGACAAGAGATCACGGAGGCGATATCTGAAGGTCGAGCTTCGAGCCCAATCACAGATGTCGAGTCTCGGCAATTACCTTACCTTCAGGTTCGCCAGACCTTGAACTACATATAAACATGCTAACTTTGGCCAAACAGGCAGTAATCTACGAAGGCATCCGAATTCGCCCAGCTACAACGGGAATGTTCTTCAAAGACGTCCCAGCCGGCGGAGAAACAATGCACGGAAAGTATATCCCAGCTGGTACATCAATCGGCATCAATGCATCCTCCCTTCTACGCTCCGAAGCACTCTTCGGACCTGATCCACAGGTCTTTCGACCAGAGAGGTATCTCGAAGTCGATAAAGATACCAGTGCTCAGATGAAGCGTGATGTCGAAATTGTGTTTGGTTATGGACGATGGATGTGTGCTGGAAAGCCTATTGCGTTCGTGGAACTGAACAAGGTTATTTTTGAGGTACGTAATTGAATCCTTATTGTGGTTGATCTTACTAACAGAATTCAGCTTCTTCGGGTTTTTGATTTTCAGCTCGTTGAGCCTGAAGTGGCGATGAAGTCGGAGAGTTATATGGTGTTCCATGACCAAAGTCTGATACTCAGGGTCACTGAAGCAGATCACAAATAGCGAAGGCGACTCAGAAAGACTGCTTCATTCAGTCTATATCAAATCAGTTGAATTACAATGTCTTACAACGGCGTCGTCTCAGTAGTCTCGAAAGCACGCTAAACTCTGTATAGTGATTGTAAGCTCTCAGCCACAGATCTAAGACGATGCTTGTTACTGCCGAAATAAAAAACCTGGGCTGTAATTCCCTGCAAGACGAGCTTTTCATCCCCAAGTTATCCTTCCACAACGGCATCCGTGCCCTTCTCAACGGTATCCATGTCCCTCTCAACATGCTTCTTCAGCAACTCCTCTATGGTCTTAAGGAATCCTGTATGGACCTCATCACACTTCGTGCCATCCTTATACATCACGGTAATAGGCAATGTCTGGATACCCAGCTCGTCAGAAACCTCTCTAACCGCATCAATGTCTAATTTGCAGAAGTAGACTGATGAGTATCTCGATGAATCAGAGTGTCTGTCAATTTCGTCAGGCTAGTCTATAGATGCCAAAACCTGAGTACTTTGATCTTACTTTTCGATGACGGGACTTATCAATCGACAAGGCCCGCTCCATGTAGTCCAGAAGTCAACAAGGTCTAATGGATGCTTCTCAAGGGCGTCTTTGAACTCCTCCATTCTTTAAATGTGTGAGTGTTTGGCTATGATATGGATACTGATGAGAGAAAGAACCAAGGGTTGACTTACGAATGGGTCTCGTGGACGACCATCTTGACCTTCCTTTGTTTAACGTGATATCTTGTAATGCTTCAATACTATCTCTGCGGAGTGTTGGCCAGCATTGGTTTATCAGCTTTCTGAAGCGAGATTCCATGCTGATTTATATTTCAACACTGATCACGAGTGTCAAACCTCGGGTTAAGAAGCCACGTAATGGTCACACCATAGCTCTTGTACTGTACATGTTTCCTAACTATAATACCTCGGTCAATATTGAAAGACCCTGTGACTATTGTGTAACTTTATTATGGTCGCACAAAGAGCCTCAGCATTGCCAAGGGTCATGGGATTAGCCGTTCTTTTGCACACGTACACCATGAATTTGAGCCACGAGGTACGGCAATCATGAAAGGGGAGTAGAGATACGGTTGGGTTAAGCAACAAACTTTTGTGTCACATGATGTGCCGAACCATATTCCCTGTCTAACATAGACAAAACACTGATTCCGAATGGCATCTAGCTCTTGTACTGTTGCACAAGCTTCTCTAACTTAGAAGGGTCTGCTCCCACAACCTCATCAGCCTTCTCGCCATCCTTGAAGAGCATGAAGGTAGGCATCGCTCGGATGCCGTACTCTTGAGAAATATCCTCAGCCTCGTCAACGTTGACCTTGACAAAGTAGATCGATTCAGTTGCTTCCGACAACCTGGTAGTAATGAGTAAGCTAAGTTGTACATATGCACGTTGACCGGCGGGACTTACTTCTCTACGACGGGGCTGATGAATCGGCATGGTCCGCACCATGGGGCCCAGAAGTCTACAAGGACGACTGTGTTCTTTTCAAGGGTATCCCTGAACTCGGAGAGGCTGTACACTGGTTAGCTTGACTTGTGAAGATTGAGAGATTACAACACTTACTTCTTGACTTCGTGGACTGTCATTTTGAGATGGTATTGCAATGGTGTTTGCTGAATATGATAGCTTTGAAAGTCTGAGAACCTCGAGGGTTTCGGGCATTATATACTGTGCCATGTTTCCCCTCACGTCAGGACGCGTCATAGTCTGATTGGCTCATCGGGCTTGCATCGTCGTGCATATTCCGTGTCTCCGTTGCCTTGGATTCAGAGACATTTTTGAAACCTTGGCGACTCATTTTCCTATTCTGATTATTGTGGCGTCCGTACGTGGTCAGATTTACTGAGCAACATCAGCGAGTTCCCCGCAATTTTGTGAAGCTGAATTGCAAGGGAGACCAATTGGCACGACGATCTTGTGAATTGTTGAGGCATTTAGCTATGACGTCTAAATTTGGAGCTCTTTGCAGCTGATCGGCTTGTGGCTGAAAGTTAATCTTCAGACCTTTAGCGTGGTCCCTAGAGGCGGGGAGTGCCGAGTTGGTGATCAGTCAGCTGTTTAGTGAGACATTGTGCTAAGCCAGACTATAAGAGTGATGCTCATTACTAGTCGGTCTCATAATTTACAGACTACCTCGGATGTATTCTTATCTGGGGCTCGGACTATTTACTAAAGCCTCAGGGTTATAGGCTGCGTTGATGATGTATGTCAACTCTGCCATGCTAAGCTCGTATTTCATCACTGCGCGTGCCGTGTCTCACATGCAAAACATTACAGCAGGCTAACAAATCACAAGGCAAACACTATCCCTCGTGGTATGCATGTCTTGTTCGTTGTCAGATTGATTGACCTCAGCGAGCCTCATCAGTGGATTGCAGGATAGTCGTCTAGTATTTCTGGCCAAGATTAGGAAGGTGGCTTACAAGCTACTATTGGCGATACCTGATTGACTACTAAATAATTACTAATCAAAACCGAAGCATATGCCGGTGTGTTTACATACTCAAAACTTTGGCATGTCACCGTTATTTCAACTCACTAGATCGGTGCACCGAAAATATCGGGCTTACATCAGATTGTCCTGTACCATGATGTCCAGGGTTTATGAGACACCTTCTTGGAAACATATACAATTTCGTACTTGTGGTCATAAATCTTCAGTATAAACAGTAGAACCCGCTTCAAGTCGGCCGAGCTTAAACCAATAACATTGGAACTCCATACAACGACTCAAGCTTCCATTTCTCACAATACACCTAAGGAAACTTGCTCCGGCAAGAAGAATCAGCACCAGTGGCGCCAGCACTCTGACATCTGCGTCTCCAGTCACAGTTATCGAAGCTCGAAGCACCGCCACCAAAAGTCTTGACGTTGCACTCCTTGTACTGGGTATTCGCACCGTACTCTCGCGTGTTGGGCTCCATTCCACCCTTGAAGTGATCGCAAACGGTCTGGGTGGCGCCGTTGTTGGGAACGCCGTTGCTGTCGTAGCAGTGGCAGCTTTCGTAGCTGGCGCATGCGGAAGCGAATGCTGAGAGGGTGAGGAGACCGAGGATTGAGACCTTCATTTTGATGGGAAAAGGCAGGTGCTGTAAGAGTTAGGCTTTGTGAGAAACTTTGAGGATTAGGTATATACCTTATTTGATGGGCTGTTCGACTGAAGCTTGGGGTTTGTGATGCTGAGAGTTGTGATATGGATAGTTCTTTTCTTGAGGAGATCTAAGCACATATTTATACCCAAAATTACAGCTCAATAATCCCTATTCTCAGTACGTCAACTCGAAAGATCATCGATCTCATGGTCTCCAGTAATTCTCAACAGGCGTAACTACTCCGGACTTGCCAGGACTTCGGAAACTCATGACAAGAATACGAGGTATTCCTGATCTTCCAACTTCTCACAGTGATGCCAAGAAACATCGCCAAGACTTAGTTTGCTATAATCGCACATATTTTCATAGGTTTGTGATCGGTAAATCGGACTCTAGTTCCTTGGCAAATCAGGGGTCGAACTACTTATACAACTGCCGAAAACTCTGTACTCGTCTATTCACAGAATACCCCATAAAAGTCTCAAACTAAAATACTAGCGGTCAAAATAAGGTTTTACATATAGTAATATGTGACCAGTTCCGCGGATTCTCGCTTGGGGAGCTCGCAGATGATACGATGCGAAGTTCCCGTTGAAGAGATATCATGACTCGCGATATAGGTCATTGACCAGTCACAAAGCCATGTGTACTCGCTTTCTGTGATTGAGGGACGCGCTCCAATCGGATTCATCCCTTGAACACGAACCTACATGATCCAATGTGAGGATGGTCTGGAAATAAATTTAGGAAGTCAAGTTCGCGTATGTTCCGCGTAAAACGCTAACATAATCAGGGTAAAGAATTCCGTTTCTTATTTCTCACCTCTCATTTGCTAGCTCACATCTACCTCGATATTGACCAAACTTAAAGAACTTGGCTCGGCATTGGCTTAATGGATCCCTCTATCCTCTTACTCAACCTGGAATGGATAGTCCATTATCCCGCTCCACTTTGTCCAGAATACCTCCGTTGGCCACCCCCTTACGGAAGTACGACTTCAATATGTGTCATAGCAGGAAACACTAAAATTATAGTGAAAGGCTCAACCTCGTGATCCAAAGACTTCAACTTCCACAAGCAAGAGACCAACTCATAGAGAGTCAAATGTTCTGCCTTTACACACATGATAGCATCCGCCATCGTTTCAAGCTACACACAAGATCTACTCCACCCTCACTCAATGCACTCTATCCCTGCTAGACTCTCCATGATGAAGTGCCCAATTGCCCCAAACTCATGGTAGGGCATCATGTAGCCTTCGCTTTGCCCACTGTCAACTCGGTGTAAGGTTTCTCTGTCTCCATAATTCTGAGGCCTTAGCTTTCATGATCCTAGCCCTTTTTCAAGATTGACTGTATCCAGACGCTCCTCCCGAGTATCCCGAGAAGGCTCTCGCAGACAATCACCCCGTCGCCAGCGCCTTTCTCGTCAAGACCCTCGATTTGATGTCTTGGAGTCCTGAAAGCTAGTCCAACCAAACATATTACTTGGTATCCCATCTGCAAAACCAATCATCGTCTTATACTGAGTCTTCAAAATTATATTATCCCTCGATACCTTCCAAACATCCCAAGTCGTCAGAGCTGTGACATTACCGTATACACCAGCCGGCCAATCATCCTTGTAGTATGAAGATGTCAAAATACATCAGGAACAACTTTCGGCACCGGACCACCACGAGTCTTTTACACAAAAGGGGCTTCGTCTAGTTTCCATAGTAGTTGTAGATGAAAGTGTCTGCAGGGGCGAATAGTGCCAGATCGCCTGCCCAGCCGAGCCAGTCGCTGTATTGAGGACTGCCTATTAAGGTGGATGAGATTGCTCTTCATGGTCCGGCAGATGTTAGAGAAGAGCTTAGTGGCTAATTCTTGGAGCATAAGAAATCAAGGGCTTCGTCCAAATAGGGCATTTTCTAGTGTAATTCACTTAGAGGGCAATCGGATGATATCTACATTACCTTTATTGCCTCCATTCTTGTTGTTGCTGGTTTATCTGTTTGTTATTCTGTTTATCTCAAAATTTGGTAGCAATCCTACTCTAGCGGGTGATGGAGGCAATTCGGGAATAAGTGACCGTCCATCGGCTCCGATCATGGCTCCACCACGATCCGCTGAGCCGCAACTTTTTTACGTTATAGAGACAAGGATGTCTCTGACTTGAAGATTTACAGAGTGGGCTTATTAGACTTGGGAGTAACGTAATAAGATAGATCTTGATTGATCGTCGAATCAGTTCACCAGTTAAGTTGCATGAGGCTTTTGATAAACGAAAATCTCGATATCGACATTGCTGCTGTGAGAATTTGACCTCGGTATTAGACAGTGGCAAATTGGTCGAACCACTCAACTTGACTCATTGAATGATTGAAAAATCTCTGTTTCTCGTGAATTAACATGTTTTCAGAAACACTAGAGTCATAATCTCTACTGTTACTTATCACGATATCTTAGATTCTTTATGTTTTAAAGTCTTGTAGACAATTTTCTCCAACTTTTCAATGTGGAGACGCAAAACCTCCAAATCTCCTGGAGTAGATACCCTCATTATCAATACCAACCCCTTCCCCATGGAGATTTACGTAAATAACCAATTCAATATCTGGAGTAGTAACCAAAACTCCTCCTTAGATCGTGGAGATTCAATGGCGATTAATGAAAATTTTGCATCCAGAGTCATGACCATGCCATGTGTGGGCCTAATAGCGTTGTTACTATGGGGCCTCTGATCTTTTTTATAATGGGGCCATTTAGCAAGAACTTTTTTCTTTTTTCCTTAATTCCTCACTCTTTTCCGTTTTTTAGGTGATTCCTTGAATTTGGCTATCATGGCTGTTGAAAAAGTCATATCTGATTCTCCCGTCGTTGGAGAAAAAGGCGTAATGGCTGATGAAAACGCTCCTACGAAAGAAACCTTCACTGCAACGGGTGAAGAATATGAGCAGGATGATTTCATGACGAGGACGGGATTGAACGCCAAGTCTTTTACTAGGAAGCATTATGGACTTGGGCTTGTGGAATTGGATCGCAAGATGAAGCCGAGACATCTTCAGATGGTTGCTATTGGAGGATCGATCGGTGCTGGATTCTTTGTTGGATCTGGTTCGGCTTTGAGTAAAGGTGTAAGTGTGCCCTTCACTCAATTGAGTATTTACTGATGGCCTCAGGGGCCTGCTACGTTGTTTATCGACTTCTTCCTCGTTGGAGTCATGGTTTTCAATGTTGTCTACGCAATGGGTGAACTAGCCGTCATGTATCCCATCTCTGGCGGTTTTTATACGTATGCGGCTCGTTTCATCGACCCGTCTTTTGGTTTCGCCATGGCGTGGAACTACACTCTTCAATGGGCTGCTACACTTCCTCTCGAACTCACCGTCTGCGCTATTACTATCCAGTACTGGTCTCCTGACATCTCCCCCGGAGTCTGGATCGCCGTGTTTCTCGCTGCTATTACCATCCTCAACATGTTCGGCACGCTAGGATACGCTGAGGAAGAATTCTGGGCTGCGTGCTTCAAACTCACATCGATTTCTATCTTTATGATAATCGCACTGGTGTTGGTTTGTGGCGGGGGTCCGTCGAGTGGGAGCTACGATACGTATCAGGGCTTTAAGCTGTGGCATGACCCTGGTGCTTTCAAGAATGGATTTAAGGGATTTTGCTCTGTTTTCGTAACAGCGGCGTTTTCGTTTGCTGGTTCGGAACTTGTGGGTTTGGCAGCTGCTGAGTCTCGAAATCCTACTGCTTCGGTTCCTGCAGCTATCAAGCAGGTCTTTTGGAGAATCTGCTTGTTTTACATTGTTGCGCTGCTGTTCGTTGGATTGTTGATCAGCTGCAATGATGAGAATCTTCTCAGCTCGAGTTCTTACTCCAACAGCGCAGCTTCACCTTTCGTCCTTGTTGGGAAATATTCCGGCCTCAAGGGCCTTGATCACTACATGAACGCCGTCATCCTCTCATCCGTCTTATCCCTCGGCATCGCCTCAGTGTATGGCGGATCGCGCACACTTCTTGCCCTTGCGCAGCAGGGTTTTGCGCCAAAGATCTTTACTTGGGTTGATCGAGCGGGTCGGCCTTTACCGTCTGTTGGATTCATCATTGCTTTTGGATGCCTTGCTTTCTTGAACCTTGATGCAGCTGGTCCTGTTATTTTTGACTGGCTTTTGGCTTTGTCGGGATTGGCCATGCTTGTTTGCTGGGGATCGATCTGTCTTGCGCATATTCGATTTAGAGCGGCGTGGAAGTATAATGGACATACGCTCGATGAAATCCCGTTCAAGGCTATTGGTGGCGTTTGGGGATCATGGTTGGGGTTGATCTTTGTTGTTGTCATTCTCATTGCTCAGGTAAGGCCCAAATCTTCATTGTGCAGAACATCGGCTAACATTTCTCAGTTCTACGTGGCCATTGTCGCCCCTGTTGGCGAGTCCGGAATGGGTACTGTTGAGGATTTCTTCATGCAATATCTTGGACTCCCTATTGTGCTGGCTTTCTGGGCTGGAGGATATCTCTGGAAGAGGACAAGTTGGATCAGCATTGAGAAGATTGATATCGATACGGGCCGACGTGAACATGATTGGGAGGCTATCAATGCTTGGAGGACAGAGCTCGCTACGTTTCCCTGGTGGAAGCGATTGAGGTATACTTTGTTCTAGTTTAAAAGGTCTGATGGGTATAGATAGACTATAGAGTTTAGAGTTTATGACTATGAGAATATTTTATCATACGATTTCGATATTGAAGCCAGATTTGAAAGCTTCTAAATATTGGCGAAATTATCCAAGACCTAGATTAGCCCCTCGCCTAGGTATATTCAATTTCTTACCAGCCGGTTTTCGGTCTGTTGTCCGTTTTGCTGTGTTCACTTTCACCACTCTGATCCGGTTCCTTTGTGTGTAGATGATAGACCATCTTATCTCATCACGTTCACTAACTACTGACGAATTGACTCATTTGTTCATAAGCACAGCAAACTGTTCACAGCATCATGGCCGGCCACAGTTCTGAATCAATGCCTCTAAAAGAACGACATATCTACCTAACCCGCCACGGCTTTTCCGCAAGACTTTTCCCACACTTGAACTGGACTGAGCCAACCTGAAAGGAACTGGACCTTTCAGCTAAATCGCACTGCTACCACGGCTCCGAATCTCAAAGAGATTCAATTACAAGCTAATATGGACACTACCATGAACAACGCAGACCCGCAGTCATATTCTGACTTCCCATGGGACTCACTAATCGACACATTTCCTTTCCTGACCAACCAAGTCTACCAAGCACTATCCTTCCAACTAGAATTCTTTCGCAATATGAGCACCATGAACCTCCCTCTTCCTGAAGATGCTAACGCAAAAGAAAAATTGGAGACAATCCTCGATAAAGCAAAACTCATCAATGAACTGATGTCCAGTTTGGCTCACAGCTCTGAACTTCTCATTGAGTTGAAGAATATGGAACATGACGAGATGGTCGATGCAAGGAGAGAGGAAGTCAGCAGCATGATTGATGAGGCGGGGGAGAATATGGAAAAGGTTATTACTATGCAGAAAGAGGAAGTTGAGAGAGGACTGAGGCAGGGAGTTGCTGAACCGGGACTGGCGGAAGTCCAGGATCAACAAAGACGTACAGAACAGGAAAAGTTTTTGCAACAAAGGATTAGTGAGCTAGGTTTGGGAGCTCCAGGACCTTCAGAAACACGGTTACCGTCTGTGCAGCCACCAGCTCACCAGCAGAGTCATTTGCCACCACAAAGCACTATACCACAGCAAATTCCAGGGCTTCACCATGCTTCTTCTGCACTACCAACGGGAAATCAAGGATACAATCCAGTACCACTACACAACCCAGTGCCGGCACACAGCCAGGCACCAGGACATGGCCAGGTCCCAGCATACCCCCTCCCTCAAACAGTCCCCATACAGAGACGAGATAGTGTATACACGGAAACAAGCACCACAAGCTCTGATGACTCTGAGATTCTCAGGATGATGGATAAGGAGCTGAAGAAGCAAAAACAAAAAGACAGAGCTGCCAAGAGAACGGCAAAGATGAAGAAAGAGCGGGAGAGGGGCGACTTTTGTAAGCGCTGTGGGCGTTGTTGAGAGCTATACACCTGTAAATATAGAGGATAATTCATAATATAATGGTGCAGGTAGTAGTAAATATCATGTTTCTCAACAGGATGTCTTGTTCTACAGGTGCAAGTGGGCACCCTGATCAGCAAGATTTAGCTCATTGAGCCAATTTGATGAAATGCTTCCCAGTCTAACTGTAAGAAATCTTCAAGACCTCTTTTCTAAATGATAAAAAGACTTAGGTAAGTTTAGTATATCTTTTCTAAATAATAAAAGAGTTTAGTAAGTTTAGTATATCTTAGCAAGCTATTAGACTAGTTTATTACAGCACGTTGATTTAAAGTCAGAAGTTTTAATGCAAATAACTTGATAATCTCATTATAACTACCTATTATCAAAGCCAACCCCCTCCATCACTTCTTATACATAAGTATCTCCCATCAAGAGAATTGCCGAAAGACTACAAGTTTTGTCCGCTACGTGCCACAGTTCTCGCCTACATTTGAGTCGCCAAACTTCAGCGATATCTTCTCCAGGCTTCACAATAGTCTTGAGTCTCTCAAGAATCTTGCTCATTCTGTCCGGAAAGACATTGCCCGAGTATTTCAGCCACTGTCTCGCCATGAGCCCAATCTTTTCGAAGTCTCCACTTTCATTTTCGACCATCTTTGGGAAGAGCTTCTTTGGCAAGAGTCCTTCTGTGTCTATCATTGCATCCCAGCAAATGACATGGTATAGCTCTACAGGTCGGTCAGCTCCTTCGCCCGTAGCAATCTGTGGCCAGTTGATCTTCATCCGGTACGGCTCATCCATCGCAGCAATTAGTTGCCTGCGGTGTAGGCATAAGTTGTCGGTCGAGCAACTTCCCTCGCCTTGAGAACTAGCTAGCACTAGCTGAATCAACTGGTGACGATCTCTTTCGTGAGTTTTTTCCAGGCTGGTCATGAGGGCTTCTCCGAGTTCTCGGAGGCCGAGCATACGGGGCGAAACTTTTGCTGGCTCATGTGACGGGCTGGGAATGTCTTGGTCGTGTCCAACCCACCAGGAAGACCTTTGTAGTGGTGGACTTGAGAACCGTGGTGGAGTCGAAGGCCGCCGTTGTGAAGTTGAAGGCTGTGGTTTGTCTGAAAGCCATGGTGGAGGTGAAAGAGGTGAACTGCTGCGTTGAGATGGTGGTGCAACATCAGGAGTATCGACGGCAGGATCTTGGCGCGCATCCACAGTCGAGGGTGTCTCAAAAGGAGTCGGAATAGAGTCGTGATCAGCCTGAACATGCTTAACCGATGGAATATTCTCAAGTTGTTCTGCTTCTTCTGTCACAGTGGCACGTTTACGTTTCTGGCCAGTGGTACGTTTTGGTCTCCGACCATCGGCCGAATCTGGCGTTTGCGTAAGGTCGACGGTGATGGAGGTTTGGGGTCCTGAAGATCCTGAAGGTGGAGGGACGGTGATGAAAGGGTTGGGATCTTTTGATATCTCATCGTCGTTAAACTCGCACATGATGTTTTGATATGATACGGTATAGTCTTGATGGATGATGATGATGATGACGATCGATGAAGAGTAAAAGTTTGTAGAGTACAAGTTGGCCTGGTAGATGCCTTTCCATGAGTACCTTGGTTAGCCAAGTATTATGAGAGAAAGCACTGCTGTGAGAGGAAGTTGCAAGTCCATAGAGTGCATACCCAGGTAGGCTAGGGGAGGCAAGAAACTTTAGGACCTTCATCCTACCTAAGATATGAAAATACTTAGGTAAGTTTATGATACCTTGCCAACCATTTAGATCAGTGGATTTCAGTGTCCCGAGCTAATGTTACAAGTTATCTTGCTCCCCAGGGGCTGCATACCTACCTGAAGCGAGAGTGTCCGAAGTCTTTCCCCCCTAATGACCAAGTAACTCACAACATGCTGCACTTGGATGTTCCTACCATGCGACCGACTGGGTATAGTACGCAGAAGAATGGCACACAGCTTACTTCCCCGGCAAGGCACCAAAGTCGGCCAGATGACCCCTGAGCCATCAACCAAGTCGCCGTTGATATATGATGCGCTACTCACAATACCAAGGTCAAGTTTGATAGGCCAGGCGCAACTAGATTTTGGAAACAAGCCCAGGCCCCAGGGTGACGATTGACAAGCTCTATGTTAACGCTTTAGCCGATCTGGGCGGCCATATCATTAAGATACATGGAGTCCACGGATGCATTTGCAGAAAGGCATCAGCCATGCCTCCTATATACAATCCTCAACTGACTTCATTATAAACACAAATATACAGGGGTATTAACTATCATCACATCCATCCTACTTCGAAGCCCTTGTATGCTCCTCATAAAACTCCAACGTCAGCGCCGCCAAAAACCCAGGAATACATCCCTTCTCCCTAACCCAGAACCCAATCTGATCATTAATCCTCCTCGCGAAATCACTCCTCGGTCCACCGCCAACCTTCATCGTGCCGCGCTCGCCATCAAACACGATGGAATTCTCATGCTCGTCTGTCTGCGAGGGGTAGAACGTGCTCTCGACGCGCATTTTGCCGTTGGGGATGAACGTCACGGTCCACCCGAGCGTGGAGAAGATGGCTTCTTTGAACTCTTGGGATTTGGAGCCCCAGACTTCTTTTAGGCGGCGCGTGCGCTTCTCGGCGGAGGCGGTTTCGGACTTGGCGGCGGTTATTTCGCGCTCCATTGCGGCGAGGACGGAGGTTGGGATCATAGGGACGGAGGAGTTGGCGTTCTTGGATTGGAGGGTTGCGAGGAGGTCTTCGTTCTCCTTCTTTAGTGCTTCGAGGGTGGAGCGCTTGATAGCTTCAAAGTCTGATGTGGGATTGGACTTGAGTGATAGAACACGTGTTTGTGTTTGTTGCTTAGCAGCTTTGAGTTGTTCCTTGCTGGTGGACAAGTCTTTCTCCAGCAGAGCAATCTTGTTTTGCGACTTGGTCAATTGCTCCTCTAGCATACGCTTCTTTCGCGTGAGTTGGCCGAGTTGCTCTTGAGAACTATCATCCTCCGCTCTTGAGCGCTTGCTTCCTGTCGCGGGTTGGGGTGTGCTTGGTGCTGAGGGCTCGATTGACGATAGCTCTGCGTGTAGGTTCTGGACTTCCATCTTATACTTGTCGACAAGATCCTCTAGCTCTTGCACGCGCTGTACGCGGGCCTGGTCAAATTGTTCTGGCTGAAGTGTCTCGTCCTCGGTATCGAAGGTCTTGAGCTGTGCGCGGAGGTATTCGACCTCCTTGACGGCCAAGGCACGTTGGCGCTCCAGTCGCATTCGGGCCTTATCGGCATTGCTAGCATGTGCCACAGTCTTCGCATTCTCGACCTCATTCTTCAGTTGAGTCTGCTCGTCGCGAAGCGATTGGATCGTGTTCTGAGCAGCAGTAATCTCAGCCTGGAGGGACCCGACCTTCTCAACATATGATGCATTCGTCAAGCGCTCTTCAACAAGGGCCCTTGCCACAGCCTCTGGCGAGTCAAACTCAGACTCGTCTGTCTCGGCAGCGTTTCTTAGATACGCCGACCAAGCCAAGCGCTCGTCCTCCAGTCGTTGTCGCTGGATACGCGCCTCGGCAAGCTCTGCTTCAATCAATTCGGCCGACTCAAGCTTTCGCTGTAATGTTCGCTTCTCTTCTTCGACAACTTCAACCGCCTTGCTCAACGCTCGTAGGTGCTTAAGTTCGGAGAGCTGATCACGATTCGTCGCCTCGAGGTTTCGGATATGCTGAACTTGTTCAGTAAGTTCCTGTCTGATGATCTCCATCGTCTCTGCATCGCCGCTTTGCGCTTTGAGCCGTAGCACATCTGCCTCGAGATTCGCGATCACTCCATCCTTCTCAGCCAATTGAGCTTGTGTTTGTTGTAGGACATTCTCCCGCTGTTCGCTCTCCTGCTCAAATTCTTGGATAGTCTTTTGCGCCGCGGCAATCTGCATCTCCATGTCTGTGGCTTTTCGGTCGGCAATTCGGGCGGCATCGTCCTTCGCTGTGGATAGGTCCTCCAACTGTTCCTGCAGCAAGCGGGCCTCATCCTCTGCTTCACGAGCCTTGCGCTCTAATTGCTTCTTATCGCCATCGATCGCGTCCTTGACTTCTTGTAATTCCCTTCGAAGAGTATCTGTTTGCGCTAGCGCTTTTTCGCGTTCAGCCTCAGCCGCTTGTCGGTGCTGCGCTTCATCTTGCTCCCGCCGTCGAGCTTGCTCCAACTTGCTGCTTTGTTCCGACGTCGCAATCTCCTTCTCTTGCTCGGCAGTCTGAATTCGATATTGCAGCGTCCCGATCTCAGCTTTCAATGACTCGATCTCTCGCCTGTACTTCTCGTACTCGTCCGCGTCCGGGGGCGCCATGTTCTCCTTATGACTTTCGCGCGAACCGGGGCGGACAGACTCGGCGATGTGGCTTTGCCTAGATTGAGGTCGAGGAATATTTGATTCGCCCGTGAACAGATTGTATGTAGGCTGTGTACTCGCGCGGAAAGAGGAAATCTGCAGCCAAGGTTCGCGGTCAGAAACTTGTGTTCGAGCTCGGGAATGTTTGTTTTGTTTTGTGTTGACTTACCCTGGACTGTCGTAGAGATGTCTGAGGTCTGTCTATAGTAGACGTGCTGGCTCGGAATCTGGCATTAACAGAGCTTCGCCGGCTCCCACGCCCATCTTTATCGTTGGGCGTATAGGAGCGCATTTTCCGAGTTTTGTGGGTTGAGTTGCTTGATTCAATGAAAGGTCGCGGTCTGGAGATGGTTTGTTTGCGATCACCACGGTAGCTTGCGTCATCACGTGACCCAGCTGGTCCTTGCGTTCAAAGAGTGGGCTTCAAGACGATATAAGAGAGATGCGGCATGAGAATATTATTATTTTAGAAGATTTATATAAGCTTTGGAAGGGAGATGAATCAAATATTCGTATAGTGTCATGAGCTTCTCTTATACTGAGAGAGCGTTTGGGCCTAGAGACTTGCCCAAGACTTTTTGAGCCCATGTGTAGGGTATGCTGGAAGAAGCTCTGCGTCAAGCTCCGCGAAGCTTCTTGAACTCTGGGGGCGTGTAACGGCAGGCTAGTTTAACGTTGAGAATTCTCAGGTAAGTCTCCGTCATGCAATTAATAGCTTGTTGACCAACTGTTATTGTTGCAACAATTAGGGTTGGTCAACAATTGTCCTATTGTCGTTGCGTCTGTTCTGCTTGTAAGTTGACTCGCATTTCGCCATAACAATAGCTCTTTGAGTTTTACACAAACCAATGGACCAAGCCCAAGCCAAATTCAGGCCAAACACATCCTAAAACCCCTGACAAACTCTCCAATCACTCCCCCCATGATGACGCATCCTTGCAAACCATCCTCTCTCCAAGCTTGCCAAGTCGATATCATCCCAGTGACGTCTTCCGTACCTGATAAAGATGGACCCCTGTCCCCGTTTCTAAAGCCTCCCCCGATTGGCCATCCCACATTCCTCATGACCCACTCCCTTTCTTTTCCCTTGTGTCAAGCTTCAGACCCGACGATCACCGAAGTCGAGTTTGCGATCCATCCGCTTACAAAACCGAGCTCCACTGACGTCGACTCGTGAATGACGACGGTTTTATTCGTTCCTTTTTGCTTGCGCTTGTTTGTAGCTCTTCTTGTTCTTGGGTGAATGCAACCGAAGCTTCCGCGGCAGCTAACGACCTTGGCACCGAGAGCTTCAGCTGTAACATCATTTCTTACAACCTCTCAAGCTTTCAACCTTGAACTCAACCTCACATCACCTGCCGAGAACTCACATCTTCAACAATGGCCTCAATTGGCCTCCGGGTAAGCTCTATATCCCCCTACCTCTCCGCCGTCCTCTAATATCTTCAGTCCTCCGTGACCACCCGTGTCATATACCTCCGATCCTCCCACCTACGACAAATCCCTCCAACACAATACACACGATACTACTCCAACTCAACGAAAACCCCCACCTCAAGCTCAAGCTCAAGCTCTGACGAATCCATCGCAAGCAGCGCGTCCTCAACACCAAGCAGTAAACTCAATGTCTTCAGCAGCGAATGGGAAGACCTCGACACACCCATCAAGTCCTTCGCTGACCTGCCACATCGACTCTTCGGCGCGAACCAACACATGATCATCAACTATGAGCTCAAGGAAGCTCTGCGCCTTATGCTGCGGCAGTTTAATGCGCCGATAATGTACTGCTTTGCCTACGGTTCTGGTGTCTTTCCGCAGAGCCCTTCGAAGGCTAGTATTTCGGAATCAGACTTTCGCGCTGTGCATCCGAATCCACCGGAGGCGCTTATAAAGTCGCAGAAGGGATCGCCGAAAGTGCTGGACTTTATCTTTGGTGTATCGCATGTTGAGCATTGGCATTCGATCAATATGAAGCAACATAGGAATCATTATTCGGGACTGGCTTCGCTAGGCTCGGGTGTTGTATCGCGTGTGCAGAACTGGGGTGCTGGCGTTTACTTCAATCCATACGTCGAGGTCAACGGTATGCTCATCAAGTACGGCGTCACAAGTATCGATAACCTCGTTCGCGACCTTTCTTCATGGGATAGTCTATACCTCGCTGGTCGTCTTCAAAAGCCCGTCAAGATTCTCCGCGACCATCCTCGTGTCCGACTCGCCAACCAACATAACCTCATCGCCGCTGTTCGAACAGCTCTTCTTCTCCTCCCACCACAGTTCACAGAAGCTGAACTCTACAGCACCATAGCAGGTCTGAGCTATCTAGGCGATCCACGAATGGCTCTCCCAACAGAGAACAAGAGCAAGGTCACAAACATTGTCGACAACAACATCATTCACTTCCGTCGTCTCTACGCCCCCCTTGTCAAGACCCTTCCAAATGTCGACTTCACAGGCGCTTGCCGCATCGACGACACAGACTGGATCATGAACCCCGAAGCGGGCAACAAACTCCAACAAGACATGGACCCCGTTCGCCGCGGTAACATGGTCAGACGACTCCCCCAGACCTTCCGATCACGTCTATACTTCCAGTACCAAAGACGTTTCGGTATTCCCCGCGGAGAGTTCAACGAGCTCATGAAGGCATCAACGGACGAAGAAGGCGGCGCCGTTAAAAAGATGCAAGGCGGAGAGTTTGAGCGCCGCATCGCCACAGACGACGCCCAGAAACTCAACGAAACGGTGCGCATCGTTATTAAGCAAACGGTAAACTGGCCAAGTACCGTGCAAAGTATCAAGGGCTTGTTGATGGGCGGATTCTCGAGAACGTGGCGTTATCTAGGGGAGAAGTATTCAAAGTATAAGAAGGACCAAGATAGTAAAAAGAGCAAAAAGGCGTGATCATTTCTGTATATTAAAAGCATGTCACCTTTTTATGTCCCACGGTTTTGGAGTATAAGGACAAAAAGGAATTAGTATAGAGGCAGCGAAGTAGCAAAAAGAATCTGGACATATTGTCCTTTTTTATGATTCATCATGGTTCTGTTTCTTTCAGCTCCATACATATAAGCCTACTTTCTGTTCCTCCCTAGGTGTGGTTTTTAACATACAAATACGCATACAAAGAGAAAATTATACTAAAGAAAAAGATGAAGATGGGTAACAAAATGAAGAAGAGTGAAAAGTTCACCCCAGGAACTAGCCCCATACGCTCGCTATTCAATGCGCCGCCAAGATATGGCAAATATCTTGTCTTTTCTATCCATGCACGTGAAAATTATTCAACACTACCCACTACCGTCCTTCATATTTACCGCTGACGAGCTTTCTCGAGATAGGTACGTCAACCCACTTGTGTTCTGTGCTAGCGGTGTCGTCTGCGAAGGGATCGTCCTCGGAGACATCTTTGCCTTTACCCTTGCCCTCGTCGAGTCTGGAGATGGAGATACCGCTGCCGATGACTTGATCGCCTGTGGCCGTGAGTTCCCAGCGTGCTTCGATGTGGCCAGGTTTAGGCTCTGCACCTTCTGCGCCGATGATGCGGCAGACGATCTTGTGAGGTTCGGTGGTGAGGGTGAGATCGCCGATGCGCCAGTACACAAGGTGTTTGTCCTTGAGGTGTGTTCCTACGGGCTTTGTTTGGGCGCCGCTGGATTTGCCTTCGTAGGTCGCGACGATGACAACGTTGTGTAGTGTTACTGGGGCGGTGAGCTTTGAGGATGGGTTGAGCTGGTACTGAAGCAAGAGGCCGAGTTTGTCTCCTTGGGGCTTCCATGCGGGTTTGAGGGAGAGAGGAGCATGCTCGCCCAGCGTAGGGGTTTCGGAGTCCTCGGAAAATACTCGGTATGAGAATGCGGTTGCGTTCTTGGTGAGGTGAGATACGTCGAGGTTGAACTGATCGTTATGGTCAGGAGATGAGTTCTGCACAAAAATGCGGTTCGGTCCGATGCGCTCAAGGGCCGAAAAGTTGTTAATGCGGATAGTCTCGTAGCCTGATATATGTTAGTTGGTGCAATTATTGTGATATTGGGGGTTGCTTACTCTTCGCATCACCAGAGTCACTGGGGTTGTTGACGAATGCAACCTCGCCAGTAATAGTTGTAGACTTGACGACACCATCTTCAAATGTAGCAGAAACACTCTCAATGATGGACGTGTTCAGTCCTGGAGCAGTCATATGCGCATGCTGAGGGTGGTTCAGGCCACCCAATGAGTTGCCTGACCGCACAGACTGCGTATCTGAAGTACCAGCAATGCTAGCCTCAGATGCCAAGGCTGCAACTGCACTGCTCTTGGAAAGGGATTGTGCGAAAGATGGAGATGTTGGCCTAGCGCTCAGGGACGAATCTGTACCGCTCTCAGGGAGGTTGGGCGGTGGCACATACATAGTATGGCGCACGTCACGACGTCCTCTCACCGTACCACTACGACGAGTGGCCGGCCCAAGCTTGAGGCTGTTGGCGACGCTAGAAAGAGCAGCCATTTTGGCTTCTGGATCTTCGTCCTCCACAGGTGTCTGTTGAATGTTGACCTTGAGAAGCTGGTCAGGGTCTTCGCCAGATTCCTTAGCTTCACGCTGAGCCTCAGAGATAGGGTCGTTCATTGGTGGTGGAACGGTAAATCCTTCAGCATCCTTGGTTGCGAGCTGTTGCGGCGCGGGGGATTGGTTCTCCTGCTTGTGCGACGGCGGAGGACCAGGAGGAGGCTGGACATCTGACAGATCGGGTTCATGGTTACCGTTGACTGTACCCCCAGTCGTTTGTGGGATCGGGCTGTCGAGCAGATTTCCGTTGTGCGACACTCCGTTCGTGTTCTCATGCGAGGCATCGGGCCTGGGTGAGTCAGTCTCGTTATTGGGTAGCTTGGGCACATCGGGAGTTTCTGCGAGAGAGGACAATCGGTGGTGCTCTGCGAGGTTGTTGGAGGAGCCTCGAGGGGAGACACCGCGGTCATTTTGGCTGTGACTGGTTCCCAATCGTCCGAAGCTGGGGCCTAGCTTTCCGGGAGAGAGTTGGCCGAAACCGGCGTGCATGCTCTGTCTCCTGCGTCCACCGAACATGGTACCGAGGCGGCGCAATTTACCACCTTGAAGCTGTTAGCAAATAGTCATTGAATGTTCCCGATGTACTCACCTGGCTTCTCTTGTGGAACCGAGTTGTTTTCGCTGATATCATCATCGCCTGCGTGGGAAGAGGCGGGAGCTGGAACAGGCGCAGGAGACGATGTGTGAGCGCTTGGAGCAGGCAAATTGGTGCTATCAGCAGTGCTTGGAGGAACTGGTGTCGAAGGAGTTGTGCCTGCGAAAGACGACTGCCGTGTTGATGTCCTTGTAGGAAGCTTCGCCTTGCCAGCCGTAGCCCTATGAACGAATGACTGAATCTCCTTTTCCGTGTCGATTTCGAGCATCAGAGCAAGAGTCTCCATAGCATTCTCCTGCACACGCCCAGCTGAATCGGATTCGTGGGTCTGGTACTGTGTGAGAAGATCACGAAGGTTGTTCACTCGTGACTCGTCGAGGGCCTGAAGAGATTCGAAGATAAAGGGTGCCTGCGATTCCCACTGTCCTGTAGCAGATTCGAGCTTGGAAGAAGCTGCATCGACCTTTGAAGTGTTTGCACGGCCTCCTTTCTTGGTGAGCTTATCGACCTGATTCTGGGACTCTTCGAGGTCCTTAGCCATAGTCGTTAGGTTGCTGGACATGGTGTTCATGTTCTGGACATCTTTGCGGTTGGCAAAATTGCGCAGCGGATGCTCGATATCTCTCTCGATGCGATCGGCAAGCTGATGATGCGAGTGGGCGATGTTTTCCGTCGAGTCGATGATCCTATTCCACGGCGCTTGGAACACACTGCAGTTCTGTGAGTGATTGCGATACAAAAGCCTCAGGAGGGATGTTTACCCTAGCTCAGACTGAGAATTGGGAACCTTGAAGGTAGCAAGCTTCTTGAGGCCCTGCACGTACTGATCCTCCACGCGACGGCGCTCCTGTGTAGAATTGATTAGCGGGATGTCGACGAGGCTCGCAGCATGATGCCATGTCGTTGCGTAGCCATTGGCAGTTTGCGGATTGTCGTACCTGGAGCCAGTCGGCAATTTCGGTGTTGACGCGGGACATGCGCTTCATTCGTTCGGTAAGAGTCTGCACCGCCTGGCTGGGCTGAAGAGTTGCCTATTCATAGCGCAAAAGAGTCAGCCAAAGTTCAGCCTGGTATTGTATTGACTTTTGCCTCCATTGTCGCCCGTGGCGATAGAATTGGAGGTCGAGGGGATTAAGCTCACCAGCATGGCGGGATACTCGGCCCTGGCCATATCCTCCATGATGGGCAGCGCAAAGGAGTACTGTAATTATGTATAGATGCGGATGAGGGAGGTGGTGAATTAATTATAGGATTAATCGCTCGAGGACGTGATGCGCATGGCGGTCTTGGTTGAGCGAGAGGGGTCGGTCGAGATTCGGAGGTAGACAAGCTGAGTTCGCATGCGATGATGAGCTACGTAACAAAGGAGTATCCGTAGTAGATCAGATGATTGTGTTATTATCGGAAGAGTCGGACTCTGAGGAGTAAGTGAGTATTATTGCCGCAGAATGCGTAGATCCAATGCAATGCAATGCAACCGAGGATGGACGGGACACGAGGTTGGAAAGAAGACAGAAGAGTAACTTAATGCCTTGGCTGGGACGACAACGGCTAAAAGGCCTGACCTAGAGAGAGAGGCTGGCACTGAAAGTGAGCGAAACAAGACAGGGCTGGCAAAGTCAGGTTTGGGCTTGGGCTGGGGTAGCTTAGCTTGGAGACGGTGGAGCTAAGTTAATGGGCAAAACGTTTGGTGGTTGGTTAGTTTTCTCTAGAGCCCTTCGAGAAGTTCCATAACAAATTAAGTTAGAGTCACGGGGCCACGACATGACCTCATAACATAAGGTCGTCTCAGTACTCAAATAATATCAACCCAGATGAAGCTTTATATTCAAGTATCTTATACTCCGTACACTGAAGCAATATCTAGATCTGTTCTGACTTGACAGGCATTGCATAACTATTATACCCCCTGCTCCTCGTCATCTTGGCCTTGTTTCTGCTTTATGAAATAGCGGGCCTGTTCTCCATCTGTTTTTCCACCAGAAACCAGATGCTCAAACCTGAGACATCCCAGTAACAAAGGCTGATCTTTGCTGTTCTTACCATCAGGCGGGGAACTTTATCTGTTGTGCTATAATCTTTTGACAGCAATTGACTTTCTAGATCTTATTTGACCTGTCATCTACAGTATCTAAACAGCCCTGCAAACAATGGAACTACCGGAATGGAAAGCTGCGTTGACTATGTCTCAGCGCTATGAGACGATTCAAAAAATGTAAGTAGCCTAATGTGTAACGTACAAATACTAACTCACATACGTAGACAAGCCTCCCTTGCTACAACCAGCATGAGTGAGGCCATCGCCATAGAACAGGCCGCCTACCAAATCGCTTCTACTCAGGTGCGCCGAATTTCAGCGGTCCAGAACTCGCGGATCCGCTGACATGGCCTAGGACGAGTACAATCTCGCCTGTCAGCCAACCTCGACACCAACACCTCCGCCCCCTCAGGAGGAAGAGGAGGGTGACTCTGGGATACGCATTGGGCCGTATGGGAATTGCCGGCCTGTGTCCGATGGTGTGACTTCAGAGGTCTTTCGTTCTGGCGATAAGGCGCTTAAAGTCATTGTGACTTATCAGGATATTGAGCCGCATAATCCGCAGAGGGAGGCCAAGATTCTAAAGGGGTTGAGAGAACCGTGTATTCCTCTCCTCGAAACGTTTCGAGATCAGGAGCAGAGATTTGTTCTGGTCTTTCCGTTCATGCCGTATACTTTGGCAGACCTTCTCGCCAATGGTCCTTTACCGCTTAATGCTGTCCGGTCTATCTTCCGAGATGTTTTGCACGCTTTGAAGGATATACACGCACAAGGCATCATCCATCGTGACATCAAACCGTCCGCAATCCTCCTCTCATCTCCAACTGGTCCAGCATATCTCTCCGACTTTGGCACAGCATGGCATCCCGAGCTATCAACCCAGTCAGAACCAGCAGACGATAAAATCCTCGATATTGGAACAGGCCCTTACCGCGCAATAGAAGTCCTCTTCGGACATAAATCCTACGGAACAGAGGTTGATATGTGGGGAATAGGCGTCATGCTTTCAGAAGCACTCCGCGATCCTCCAACCCCTATATTCGAGTCTCGAGCGGTCCATGAAGATGGCAATCAGCTCGGTCTTATTCTCAGCGTCTTCAAGACTATTGGTACGCCCACGCCTGAGACATGGCCCGAGGCAAAACAATTCAAGGTCGCACCTTTCGAGCTCTGGACTGTCTTCCCCGCTCGTCCTTGGGAAGACCTTCTTCCCAATGCAGGCCCCGACTTCATCGGCCTCGTGTCATCGCTCCTTCGCTACGATAGTCAGCGACTTACTGCTGAGCAGGTCAGTTCTTATTCACCTTACTTGCCCTAGTTGCATCACTAATCAAGATCCCAGGCTCTTGCTCACAAAGCCTTGGCCGTGAACCCCTGAGCTCAGTTGGCAGAGCATCATATCGCTGAAGCACTGGCATTGCATACCAATAATGAACAACTCACCGTCAAATTCATTGCCAATGTTATACTCTTTCCCTCGTTTGATCTATATAACCCGACCGAAACTCCTGTCTCGTCGATCAATCTAATCAGTTCGCCACACGCAACAAGAATCCAACGCATCCCAAAACGCTTACACAAATAGACCAACACTTATAACACACTATAAATAAATACACGCTCCAATTACGCTTCAAAAATACTCCAAACAGACACAATGGGCGCCTCCGAAGGCACGTACTCCATGTCCTTCTCTCCAACGTTCCTAACCTCAAGCAGATAACAACAAGTTCATCCCCTCCGAGGTCGACAAGTTCAAGAACCCTCCTAGGCGCGACAATACTGGGAATGACAACGCTGGAAGCTCTGAAAAGAACGGAAACTCTGACAAGAAGGACGACAAGCAGAGCGGATTTGTGGAGAATAAGGAGGACGGTGGTGCGAGGCTTGTTGAAGAGAGCGAGGACAACGAGGAGGGTGGTGCCAAGCTGTAGACGCGCCATTGACCCAATCTCTCTACCGGAACATGGTATTGGATGCTAATGCAAAACTTTTTTATTCTATCTTCTATACTATACTACCCAGTGGTGCTCCTTCTAACCCTGCCGTCTCTTCGTATCCGAACCCAGATAGTCAATTGGGTTTCGACACAGTGGGCAAGTATTCTGGTTACTGCTCTGGAACCACTTGTACAAACACGTCCTATGGAATAAGTTCTTGCAAGTGGTGCATCGCTTATCAGGCATTCGCTTGTCAGTCGAGATAATGCTGTAGCAAATAGCACACTCGCTCTGGCCCTTGAGCGCACCGAGGATGTTTCGCTTGAAGACTTGTAGACCATCGATGATGTTGCCGTTGGAGAAGGTGATGACACCCTGTGTCGTCATGATCCAACTCTGCCACTTCTTCTCATTGACAGCGACACGGTTGAGGCTCTGGACAGAGACGTTTTCGATGGGGTAATTTTGAGGGATCTTGATGGCAATTGCCGCTTGATCCTCATCAACTTCATAGCCAGCTATGATTTCTCGAGAGGATCTAGCAACACGTACAACAAGTTCTTTCTCGTCCATAGCAGGAGGCTCCTGGCTATCAGCCCACTTTTGGACTTCATCTAGGACATCTGTGACGATGATGGGTGAGAAGTACTTGGTTGTCCACGACTCAACAGCGATGCGCGTCTGCTTCGAGCGACAGTCGATGTACCAAGCACGGAACAAGCCAGGGGTGTACTTGTGAAGAAGATAGAAGAGATGAACCAATAGCCACTGCATGTTCTTCTCCTCGGGCTCCGACTCTGCCAACTTCACATCGTAGTCTTGGATGTGCTCTGAAGTGAGGTTAACCTTTTCTAGCTTCAATGGATGAGCAGCTGAGTGACCTAGCACGTCAAACATGAAGTCTAGCAGTGGCCCTACACAGTTATCCTGCTTAAGGTTGTCGGTAAAGTCGTTTCGGATCTTGAATGATGATGTCGAGTAGGCATCAAAGACGAGCTTCCAGGATAGGAGATATGAGCGGATAGGAGAGGGAAATTCGGCGAGCATTTCGTCTGAGTACTTCTCAAGCGTGGGGGCGTCAAGAAGAAGTGAGAGGAGTTCGTCAGGGAGTCGGGCATCTGTGACTATCAGTTCTTGGTCTTCATGGGGTAGATCGTTACACATACCTGTCTTTTCCAGCAAAGCATCAATGGACTTCTGCTGTTGCTGTTCAGGAAGAGCCTGGTGAAGCAGGTTAAACGCAGCTGTCTGGATGTCCCGCGATTCCGACGCCACCAAGCCAAAGATATCAGACAGATCAGGCACATGTCGCAGAGAAATCTTCTGGACCTCTCGGCAAAGCATGGCATCCACAATCTCAAGTGGCTGGGAGCGAGTATCCCGATGAAGCCGCAACAGCTCAATCAACGCCCTAGGCTTGGCACTGGCGTACTCCTTGAGGGCATCTTCAAGATCATCGTTAGGCTCTTGCAAAGACTCAATGGTCTTGAATAACCTGAGTGAAGAGTGAATGGAGGGAAGAGCCTCGTTCAACTCGAACTCGTGGGCACGGTTCCACAGCGATATGCAAAACTCGATGGTCTTTTCCCAGTAAGATCCGTAAACGTCCTTCATACAAGGTAGCAGTTTGTTCAATGCTCGACAAATCTCGGCACAAAGGGCTGGGCTCAGGCTCTCAGGTTCGTCCAGCCAAGAGGTGATTTGACGGACGGCAAAAACGATTCGGTTGTTAGCCACGGGCATTTCACCCGCCTCGTAAATCTGAGCACATTGCGACAGAAGAACAAGAGTCATCAACGTCTTGTCACTATCTGCCTTGGCTCCTGCGATCTCACTCACAACCTTATTGCAGAAGTTGCTAGCAATCTTGGAGGGCTGCAGAGTCTCACCAAACCCAGCAATGATAGCCGAGGCCGGCAGGACGGTGGTAGGGCCAATCTTGAGAGCATCAGGCTTCAGAAGAGCGTCTTCGAAACTGGATGATGCTCCATGTGCCTCAGCCAGGAATTGGACAAGCTCACTGAGCGCACGTGCACTGTATAGCCCTCTGGGCGTCAGCTCTTGCGAGTGTTGGGTCAACAGATCAATGAGGTCTTGGATGATCGGCTTCTCTTCCGAGTCACTCCAGGCACTAGCATCAGCAGCCAACTGATTTAAGATCCCACGTGTCTTGGAAACGAACTCCTCGGCCTGTGCGCTCGCTTCAGCATGCTTCAGGGTTTGCCACAATCGGTTCTCCTCCATGCAGGTGATTTGATCGGAGATGAGCTGCACAGTCAGACATTGAAGATACAACAGCTCAAGCTGGAAAGGCTTGGGAAGTTGAGACAGTGGAAGCTTCTCCGAAAGCTGAGACACGTAGAGGGCCATTCTTGTAGGAATGGCACGTCCCTTTCTGTCCCGATAAATTCTTAGATTGGTAGATCGAGGAGCTCCCTTTACCAATGCAGCAGCACCACCGACACTGTTGGTAATTGACAGAGCCGGATTGACGGACAATTCCAAGAAGGGCGCAAGCTCCTTCATCCACACGTTGGTGCTAGGGAAGAGCTCTTCAGATGGAATGTCACTCGAAGCCGCGTTGTATGCTTGCGACACCAAGGTGTTGATATCCAGAGACTGCGTTCCCGCTCGCTCGAGGTTGGCTTGAACGACAGCTATAACAGGTAGCTTTCCATCAGTGTGAGTATCTAGAAGAGTGCGGATGGCAGTTGCCTTTGAAGAAATAGTGGAGTCCTCAAGCTCAGATAGACCGAGAAGCAGAGCTACCAATGTTGTGTGAACGCGTTCATCGCGGGAGAACAGCTCTGGTCGGCCCTTGGCAGCAATCTCCAAGGCTTGGAGGGTTGATTCCGTCTTCCCAGGTTCCTTATCAAGGATTTCGACAAGAGCTTGAACAAGCTCTCGGTAATTGCTGTCGGTAAGAGTCTGATATGTGACAGCAGCTTCCAACAATTCCCAATCATTGCTACCACCGACCGCTAAAAGAACAGCCTGGCCAATAATGTGCTTTTGCAAGTCCATATTGCCTTTTGCGAGAACAGCTCCTCTGTCGTTGGAGATCAAGGAGGCAAGGGCAACATCACGAGTAGCCTCTGATGGTAGATCGAGGACAGCCTCAACCCAAGAGTTCCAGATAGGTGCGAATTGAGTCGACACAGAGCCGAAAAGGTGAAGCGAAGAGAGAAGGTACCTGGAAGAGGGTGAAGTAACAGCTTTCGCAGCATCATCACGAGCCAAAGTAGTGAAAAACGTCGAGAGCTTTACAGCTCCATCGCCATCGAATAAGCGAGGTGCCATACTCAATGCATATTCGATGATTCGAGCTGCGCCAAATGGCTTCAAGTTCCGGCTCTCCAGCAGTGCGATACTCTGAGAAATGGCCTTGAGAGAGGGCTGAGCTGTATGGTCTTGCACGTCTTCTTCGAGGTCAGCTATCTTCTCCTCAATCTGGCCCACCAGGCCGAACCACCGTCGACCTTCCTCTGAGATCTTTTCTTGAGATTGTTGATACTCTCGCGAAACCTCTGGCAGCGATCCGGAGATCTTTGCGCAGAAGACACTGGCGAGACGGTCCCATTCCTCCTTGGATGCAGACACCACTGACGGTGACGCTTGGACAGTGGCGATGTAAGCTTCGACCAGGACGGAAATCGCGTTTGGACCAAGTGGTATAGGTACCGTCTTTTCTGATACCGAGAACAAGAACTGCTCGATAAGAGGGAAGAGATGTTCTTGCACAAATGGTAGTTGATCGTCGGCGGGTAGGTTTTTCAGCAGTCGTTTGGCTGTGTCGATGAAGCACTTCCATGCATAGGAAGTGTTCGTTCGAGGTTCATCGCGATGTGTGATACCAGACTTGAGAGAAGTCAAAAATTGGGAAGCGACCTCGGGTGTGATCAAATCCGATGGCAGAACCATCAGTAGTTGATCTAAGTACTCCCAGAACTTGGGTGGGCTCCCTTGAGATCCCTTGGCGACGAATGCCTGCAGCCTGCCCAGGGGAGACTTTGGACCGCTCGATGTCTTCGCCGATGTCCAAACATCGGGATATGTTTGTGTCATTTTTGTCAACGCTCGCACATATTCGAGCGCCGAGCCAGCTTGGTTGGTCTTTAGACCTCCTGTAATGAAGGCTTGCTTGACCTTCGTATCATCGGCATACGGCAACTTCCGGTCGATGGAAGCGAACAGCAGCTGACATACTGTCTTCCTGACCGACGAGTCATTGAAAGTAATGGTCTTCCAAACGTTTTCCTCCGCAAAATAGTCATCGTATCGAGATTGCAACTTCTCCAGGTTACTTGGCTCGACCTTTTGTAGTAAACTCAAGACAAGTGACAAGCTAGCAGTAACAACTCGGTAATACTTTGCCTCGGCATCCTCCGCCGTCGTTGATCGTTCATCGCTCAGCGTATCTTGTGTTTCTTGAATAGCATCAATGGCATAGTCAAGGATCTGGCCCTGGCACTTGGTCCAAAACGCAAGGACCTTTTCAGGGGTGTTAAGAAACGAGGTTAGACCGTCGCTAGCAGCCCTGGCAACAACGCGGTCGCGGTCATACAGGCCGGCAAGCCATGCGCCGACGATCTTTGGCAGATGACGTTCAAAACGCTTGCGGGCTGATTTCATGAGCTCAAACTGAAGGTTATGCGTCAGTTCACGCACGCGACGTGAGTTGTCTATAGATGTGCGAGGATATATTTGGACCTATTCATATTGGTAAGTGGTAATATTCAAGAACTGTCAAATGATAACTCACCCAAACGTCGAGGATGCCCTCTTCAACCCCGCCATCCTTGTCAAATGGATGAGCCTGTACATAAGCTAGTAGCTCCTCGAGCGCTTTAGCCTTGGTGGTGCTATCCTTCTTCAGAATGTTCTTGAGCGACACAACAACATTCGGATCCGAGACAGCAGCAAATGAAGGAGGCTCGGCGAGGTACGACAAGGAAGTCCCGGAGGCGGCGGTGCCAAAGCCTCCGAAGCCCGAGAAACCGGAGCGGGGTCCTTCAAAACCACGGCCGGTCGGTTTCCCTTGAGACCGCTTCATGGCTGTGATGGTTTGGTGATGACCAGGTGAGAATATCGACGTGAAGCTGAATCAAAAGGTGATAGGTGCCGCTCGGCTGATGATCGGTTGTACTCTAAATCGGTCGAGGCTTCCAAGTCTGTTGATGATATCAAATTTGGTGGTGAGGCAATGATGTCACGTAGCACGGACCGTGGCTAAACTTAGGGCCTTTATTCTAAGTGACAAAAAGACTGAGATAAGCTCAGTGTAGCTTGGCGTGTCTTTAGACTAAACCTTTTTGGCACCTTCTGGCGTGGTCGATTTCATGAAGGTGAGCGGGTCGGGCTATCCACTGTATGAGCCTCACTCACGACAGAGGAAGACGATGGATAATGGCAAAGTTAATGAGTTGAGAGATGGTATGATATCTTAGAAAGAGAAGTTAGAGGTTTTTAATATCTGTAATTAAAAATTGTTTGCTTTCAAGTTTCTTCATTCGTCAGTAGACTCTCACACCGAGCCCTGGCCGTCTTGACTCACGCCGATCTTCTCAGCCTGGTCAATGACAAATGGGTATTGCAAGTGAGTTTCCAGCGCGAAATATCTGTGAAATGCTTGCACATAATTCCTTTATGAACTCTACCTGCCACTTACTCTACGGGGAGTATAGAATAACTTTCATCTCAATTTCGATTAAAGATTATACGTAGGAAGAGCTTGAGATTGCAAGTGCTCTACCAATAGAAAGTAGTTCCGATTTTTCTTCACGATGTCCAGCTAACCTAGACCTCATAGAAATATTTGTCATTTTGTCTCAAGTCACTTCAGGAGTCTGCTTTTACCTTTTCTTAGGTGAAGAGGTCATACGTAAGGTATGAATTATTTTAAGATTCTCTTATGGCATTAAATCTTTCATGGTATTTCCTTCATTAAGCGCCCGCTGTAGGAATCATTGAGAGCCATCGATTTACTAACAATGAACGGAGTGCTGCGGCTCACACAGTGTGCCAATCAGCTTACGGAACCCCTGTAATCACTTCTCAAACCGTCGACTTACAGCATGAAATACACTATCGATTCACAGAGGCGCAGATGTGACTTATCAGCTCGTGATACCAATCACTTTAAAGATAAGCAGAGCATTAGTACAGGATCAAGGTTTGCAACTGTCAATGGCAGAACTCTACCAGAGTATGAACAACTTGCCGTTGCATGTCTTGTGTCTCGCAAAAAGAAAGCAAAGAATGCTGGTGGCCTTGGTTTGCTGATTGATGACCTGTATTTCAGGCTGCAATGGATCGCCACTGCATGCAAGCATGTGAGAGCAATCCATCCCTTGGTTTCAGACAACAAAAGCCCCTGCCGTCTTACGATTGGTTGCGGCACGCCAGGTAGGATTGAGTCGTTTAATCGCCGCGATATGCGCCATTAAATCAACCACTAAACAAACAGAACCCATAGCCTCAGCAGTCTGCTGAATGTTAAATTCAGCCGAGACCGTCGAGGCCGGCGTCACGATAGCAACAAGACTTTTGAGTTGAGTCGAGAGAGCCGCATTTGTTGATATCCTTCGTTATTTTCCGGTTCAATAATGTCGCATCGAATCCTGGTCTGCTTGCGTTTGTCCTCAAATCGAATGTCTTAGGGGTTCAAAGCCACCAAGACCCTAGCAAAGACCAGATAAGCCCACCTCGACCATCCCTGCCACCTCGCGTGAGCCGCACCATTAACAACTTTGAGCGGCCGCTTGATGATGGGCGGAATGTCTGTTTATGGAGGTCACGATAGTTGCGTGTTAGTCTGGAATCAAGTAAGCCACTCTGTCCTTACGCCATATTGTTTCACAAGATCTTTCGGCCAAGAGAAAGCGGCTGTGTAAGCAGACATGCCCATCATTAATTCCCCAGGCAGAGGCTCTGGGCCCTGCGAGCTTGACGTCAACGGCTGGTTCACGGACAGGCGGGGCGGGAACAGCGTCCACTTGCCGCTTCGGGGTGATGGTGTCTTCCCCGCAAATGGACGACGAGCAGTGGATCTGGCTTCTGTAGTCACGGTTCGTTACAGCGGCTGTATGGCCCGAATACTGTACTTTACTGCCTAAGGTGTCTAAGATAGAGCAATGCCTTAAACCGTCAGCAGGTTGAGACACGCTTGCGGCGCTTGGTAAGCTCTACCTTCAACCGGGTTGTGGGCTGAAGTCTCTGAGTGAATCTGGATACAATGCACGGAGTAAGAAGACACAAGAGGCTTTCAACACGAGTCACAACTGTCAGTCGTGCTACAGTTTCACAGCGTCACCAAACAAGCCCCTCCTCTAGCTCTAGCTCTTTCACAATCATCAATCCAGTTGTATCTCGCCTTACACTGGCTGTTTCTCTTCATGTCCCCTCTTTTTCTTAGGCCATGTCCTCTCCACTCCCCCAACTTTACAGGGTCTCCACTTCATTTAGTGCCTTCCCCCGGGCGGCCTTTATTGAACCGCAGGCCGTCCCTGACCAGACAAGGCCCATCGCGTGTCGTCGTTCGTCGTTTCCGTTCCGTCCATCCAGTGTGTTTTAAGGTCTTGGGTTCCCCTCATGTAGCTCGTCATCTTTTCTCTTCATTCTCCAGTTTCACATTATTCACATTCAGTTTACAGGATTTTACGCTCGCGTTCAATACATTCTCACCGTGTTAGTCACTACTGTCTCACTTCCAGAACCGACGGCTTCGGTTTTCAGCCTTACATCACGTACCGTGCCTTCTGAACTGTTCCAATAGCAGCCCCGGGATTGTCACCTGGGTGCTCGCCTTCGCCCTCAATCTTCCTTACTTGTATCCGTAAGTTTATAGCATCTGCAACATGTCTGGCATTCGCAACCAGCACGTGTTCCAAGATTGACTCACTTACACAGTACTGACGTTAACCAGCTCTTTTAGGTCATCCATAGCTCTACTACACCATGCTAGCGGCAACACGCATCTGGACAAGTGAACGGCTTGTTCAGTCTCGCACTGGCACAGCGAATGTTCTACGTTCTACCGTTTCGTTACAATCGAAATGCGAGCAATGCAGATACTATTCCCCCGCCGTGTCATCTTCGACCTCTTCTGAATTCCGAAATGGACGTCGACGTGGTTCAGTCAGGTTCCAGCAACCCACATCGTTGAGTCGCAGCATTTCTTGGGACACCAAGTCCAAAGCTTCTGCCAAGAAGGCTGCAAAAGGCTTCAATCGATCTGTCGATTCTTCAAAGTTTACTACCATTGATCAAGTAGCGGCCTGGGCGGGTGACTTATTTGGTATGCGACCAGGAGCGAATATCGAAGATGTGGAGCGAAGTGCTATTGAGCACTTGTTTCGAGGCGATAGCAAGGCCAACATTCGCAAGGCTACTTTGACCAATGCTCACCACTTCAGCCGCGCAAGTGCAAGTGCGGCAAGCTCGAAAGATTCTCTCTTCTCTGCTGTTCACGGACAAGATGCTACTTTCATTGATCCTATAACAAACCGTCGGGTGTCAAAGTCTACAACGGCCGGAACAGAAGCTCGATACGATGCCCAGCGAGACTACAAGCCGACTGACTTCGTTGATGTGTCTGTAGAGGCCGACTCGGCTCCCAAGTATAACGACTTGGACAAGTACAAGCCTACCATCGATACTGAGACGAGGCAGCCAGATCAACCCAAGTACGACGATCTTGACAAGTATGAACCAGTAATAGATGAGAGATCTCAAGAGAAGTCTACCGAATACGATGATTTGGACAAATATGGCCCTGTCAAGTACAATGAGCCTGATGGAAAGCGACCTACTACGGCCGAAGAGGATTCTAAGCAGTACAAAGATCTTGACAAGTACTCCTCTGCGAACCTGGATGACCCTCTAGCCAAACGTCAATTGACCACTGAAGAGAAATCCAAGGTCTATGATGATTTGGATCAGTACAAGCCCGTTTACCACAACGAGCCTGATGGCAAAAGACCACAGACTGCTGAGGAACTGTCCAAGAACTACGACGATCTGCATATGTACAACAAGGGTGTGTATTGGAATGAGCCCGATGGCCTGCGCGAGCCCACGCCAGAGGAGCTTTCCAAGAACTACAAAGACCTTCATATGTATGGGCCAGTTGCATGGAATGAGCCCGACGGTCTGCGTCGTCTGACACCCGAGGAGGAATCCAAGCAGTACAAGGATCTGGATCAATACGCAGATCCTTTTGAAGCCAGTCAGTCGGTTTTGAAGGCCCATGAGAAGGCGCAGATGGATCGTACTATGCGAGGCAAGCCCTTAGCCCCGAAGGTCGATGCTCCCGTCGAGGACTTTGCAAGCAAGTATGATGACCTTCACAAGTATGGTCCATACCACTGGAACGAGCCCGATGGTCTCAGAGAGCCTACCCCAGAGGAGCTGTCCAAGAACTATGACGACCTTCATTTATACGGTGGTGTCTTTAAGTGGAATGAGCCTGATGGCTTGCGACCCCTGACGGCAGAGGAGAAGTCAAAGCGTTACACAGACGTTCATAAGTACGCTGCTCGTGACTTGTCACCGCCTGTCGAGCGAGTACATCCCGAAGAGGCTTCCAAGGTGTACAATGATCTCCCCGCCTACCGCAAATTCGAGAATGCGGATGACCCAGCACCACGTACCCACCCCGAAGTTGCTTCGAAGAAGTATAACGATTTGGGTGCGTATAACTCTTTCGAGAACGGCGACCCCCAGACGGAGCGTGTTCACCCGGAAGTAGCATCAAAGCAGTACAGGGATCTACACAAATATCCATCAGCTGGCTTTGACGACATCATTCAGGCGGTGCACCCTGAGGTGTTGAGCAAGAATTACACAGATCTTGGCAGTTACAGGCATTCGGACTTTGCTTCCCAGGCTCAGGGCTATCCTGTTCAGCCCGAGGAAGCCTCCAAGGTCTTCCAGGACCTACGCAAGTACACAGGAGTTCGTCCCAACGAACCCACCGGCAAGATGTCGGTCCCTCTGGATGAAGTCGCCCGCGGCCTCCGAGAGTTCGATTCCAAGGCAGGTTCCCAAGATTCCCCGGACTCAGCATTATATACTTATTCTCGATCCCCGAACAGGTCTTCTCCCGGCTCTACGGAAACTAATATGGACACCTCCAGCCCTGAAAGTGCCGATGTCATCCGAGCTGCGGTCCTTCGCAGAGCTCAAGAAAGTAGTCAACGAGCCAAGAACCAAGATCTGTCTGGCAATAAAGGTCAGCAGGTCAAGACGGCACATGCTTCCGAACTTACGGGGAACTATGTACGAGACTTTCCTGAGGATTTTGCCAGGTCCTGGAGCAGGGACAATTCATCGTCCAAGTCGGTACTGCTTCCCAATAACATTTCAGGAACATCATCCGTGAAAGAAAGCTTAAGCTCTATGGAAGATGTCGAGCCCGGATCTATGGACGAGAGCTTTCCTGTGGATGACACAAGATTAAAAACGGCACTAGATCGCTATGCGGCCAAGAGAATTAAGGATCTGTATTCGCACGAGCCTCAGGGTCTGCAGACAAGTTATTCCGAAGAGTGTGGGCGCCCAACGATGCCTATCATGGAGAAACATTACACACCTGAAGCTAAAGAGTCTACGACAAAGACATCAGAGATGCCCAACATGGCCTCATACAAAATTGTCGCTTTTGACCCAGTTTCGAGGGTGATGAGCGTGGCCGAAGCCAATTCCGCAGTCGGCGCTAGTGACAGGCCAATGCCTATTCCTGATGCTCTTGTCAAGCTGGTGGACCCTGCCAAGTTTCTACCTTACTTCAAATCACTTCAGGAGGAAGGCTACGAAGTAGTGTCGGGCAGCGGGCAGATGTTGATCTTTCGCAAAATGCAGTCAGCCGATGAAATGGTTAGTCAGGGTGGAAACTCTCCCACCTCTGACAGCATTTACAGGATTTGGACTGACAGTCATTGCAAAAGATCTAAGCGGTTCTCAGCTCGGCGATGGACGAATTCTAAGACGAAGAAGTCGACCAAGAAGAGAAGCATTGGGCGCAAGATTCTGGTGGGAACTGGTGTAGTTGCAGGTTCGGTTTATGCGGCGGCCTTTTTGACGAAGTCTTCAAGTATTAGGAATTCTGATGTGAAGCCGCAGAACTAGAGGATACGGGATACGGAATTGGCTCGGACGACACTGCCTATATGTTGAAGGATGGGAGTTTTGCAAAGGTTCACTTTTAAGGTATATGGTGAGAAATTTCCTTGGAGTTTTGTATTGGGATTGCAGCGATTGGTCAGCCATCCCAAGCGTTTATGATATGATAGCCTGTTTTCTTTGTTGGAAGTTTACGTGGGACGCATTCAGCGGAGCATGATAACACGGAGCTACGGAGTCAAGATACCTCGGCACATCAATTTGCATCATTCGATAGCCACGATTACAATGACATTCGTTTATTACAAGTTATTAAGCAATCGTGTTCATTCTTGGGCTGTTCCTCTTGGTAGCCAATCTGTAGTGTACAATGTCCGTGACCTTTTTGCATCCTTGTGTTTTCCATGCCCATTCCATTAATCGTTCCGTACAATTACAATTTCCCTTTTGTCCTTATTTTGTCATTATTGATCTAAGAGCCCTCTCGCTCTGTAAACCCAGGACCTGTAGCGACCTGCCCAATCTTGTTCATGTGCATCTCATGCTTCTGCTCCTCTGGACTCCAGCTCTGTCGTCGCTGGATCGAGGGCGTCCAGCTATTCGTGTGGCGCATGCATCGGTCGGCGCCGGCTTGGGCGGATGGAGAAGTTGGAGCTGCAGATGACGAAGTCAGCTTGTGCAGAATTGGAAGCGTGTAGCTGTGCTGTGTACCTTCTGAGGGAGGGGTTGTGTGGGATGTTGAGATTGCTGTTGGTTGGCGATCCATTGTGAGTGATGGTATTATATTGAAGAATTGGGTTGTAGGTTTGATGTTGTGATGGCGATGAGGTGAATGTTGATATAGAGGTTTGTTGGTATGTGAGTTGCTGTAGCTTCAATCAGTATGTCTTATATCCCAAACCTTCAGTGCACTTACCCTCAATAACAATAACGTCAATCGATAGCTCAAGTTATGGTAGTCAAGTTTAACTTTCTTACTTGCAGCTTCCTTTGAATCAGGACCTCGTTGTCATATTTATACACGTTTTCTTCCCGGAAGCATAATTATATCATAAGAGAACCCCCTCTTCAGCTCGACCCCTACAAGCGTGATTCCTAGCATTCATTTGGTGACTGATTGGACCCAAGCGTTGATGATTGGGGATACGGATGTAGATGATTGGATGTGGCGAATTGAATGGCCTGATACATAAAGTGACGCTGAGGCGTGATTATCTCGGGCTTTTAGAGTTTGCACTCTCCGTGATGGACGAGATCGGACCTCGGGATTTGGGGTGTCGTGTGATGGTGGATATAATGCTGTGATAATAACAATCAATGCGGTGATAAGCGATCAATGCAGTGCGTCACAGATATACCACTGTGATTTATAAGTATTCTTGGGTTGTATCATTGAATATGCACCTGTCTTTATTCGGCAATGTTTCTACAGGTTGATCTGCCCGGGTAAAGAGAGAAATTGAGGTTTGGAGTTACATCAAATGCATGTGGCATTCTCCGGGGTACCCCAATGTAATGTGCCCCAGGTTAAAGGGCTACAGGCCTCGTTCGTTGGTGGAATCATGCACGTAAGAGTCGAGACTCTCAATTGACCTCGTGATGCTCATCAGATCATCCACCAACTATATGACCTTCTCACATAAGCAACCAATCGTCGTAATTCAACAGGTTAATTGGTGATATTCCATTGCTTTGCTCTCATACAACATACCATACACACATTAAAAACAGGTACAAGAATACGCTACCCCAAACCCTTTCCTTTCTATATGCTCAACAAGGCATATCTCGGTCCCTTTTTTGTTAAGCCCTTCCAACTCCATCATGCAGAAATAAAATAAACTAAGACGCCGATGCTATGCAGTTTGCGAAACATGAGAGCCGTCATGGACAAGAAATGTAAAAATAAAACATGGAAATGATAAAGGGGGTATACAGCAAAAACACAGACATCCACCGTTGAACAGGAAACTTTGAGATTCATGTAGTCATCTCTCGGAGCGAAGAATCGTATGTACGTGGAAAGACGGGTGGATCAAGGAGTCTTGGGACGCTTCCAGTAGTATTGCTATTATACAGCGTAAGTTTGAGTGCATATTGTAAAGTCAAGAATATTACAAACCTTGTGTTGCTTGCGACAAGCGCGGAGACTGGGCTTGCGAAGACCATCGACGACTGCGGCGCGACGTTGCTGGTCATCATCTTCCTCCGGCACGTAGTAGTACTCGCTCTCGAGGGGCTTGCCAGCTGCATCCTTGCCCTGACGCTTGATGATACCAATGCAGGGTGTACTCTCGATAACATCGCGAAGATCGTCCTTGGAAATGTCTCGCTTCTCCTCGGAGGGGAGGTGGGCCATGATGGTGGACAGAGGAGTCGAAGACAAACGCGAGAAAGCGAGCTGGTTGATGACATGGTTACCAACAGCAGGGTGGGACTCAAAGGACATCCTGAAGATCTCCGGAGTCGGAGAAGACATTCGAGGAGGAGACGAGAGTGGAGACTCGGTTCTGGCCTGCTGCTTGCGAGGAGACTGAGGAGGAGCAGGAATCTGACGAGGAGCGAACAGATCGGAAGCAATAGCGCTGTGGAGAGGGTTGGCACGTTTGACACCCTTGAACACCTTGGGAGACTTTGTCGTTATCGAAGCCAACCGGCAGGAAATGTCGGCGCCAAAAGGCCCGAAAGAGTGCACGATAGGATCATTCTCCTCATCAGGGTTGTTGTCCTCACCATCACTGATCTCACTGCTGAAGCTGGCAGTCACATCGGTGCACATGCTGACATTGATGTTAGTAGGATCATGCCTGTGCTGAGGGAGCTCAGGCTCAGCATCGTCTTCGTAGATTTCAATGTCACGCTGTCCGGGGAGCAGAGCCTGGAGGCGGCGGGAGCTAGAGAGACTAGCAGGCGTGGGGCTCTCGGGAGAAGCAATACGAGAAGCGCGACGAGGAGGGGAAGACTGGAGAATGGCCTGGGCACGAGCCTGGCAGGGAGGAGAATCCCAAGTGGTGTCGGAGAGATGATCAAGAGCCCGCTTGGGCCATTGGACGAGAACACGCGAGTTTTGCACATCGATTATGATCTCGGAGCCCTCTGTTTCACTGGTGAAGCTATCGCCCTTGTACAGCTCCCAAGTACGACCCTGGCTATGCAACTTGAGACCATTCCAGCCATTGCAGACGATTTCAATCTTGCTGGGCTCAAGCGGGCTCGCAGCAGCGACGAAGCGAGCCTTTACGTGGACGCGGGAGACGAGGCGGTCAGCGGAGATCTGGTAGTGTGACGAGTTTGACGATCGGCCCATGATGAGGGTCTCGCCGTTTTCCGAGAGTTCGACAGCGGGGACGGCAGCGAGCGGGGCACGCTCGGAAGCGGTAGCGGACCGTTGAGGCGGGGAACTCGAGAGGATACCTGTACTTGACGTAGGGACAGGAGTAGGATATTTGAGGTGAGCTCGGGATGAGGAACGGCCAGAACCGAGATTTTGTCGCTTCACGGGTCGAGGGAGGTTTGGAGATGATGAGAGCGGCTCAAAGGGCGGGAGTAGACTCGGCGCTGAACGCTTGGAGCCGGCGAGGGAGTAGGGCTTCATTGTTGGTAGTGTTGGTTCGGCGGAGGAGCCTTTTCGAGGTGATGAGCCCAAAGAGTCCATTTTTGCGGTTTTTGGTCCTTCTGTAGGAGTTGTATCCGGTTCGTGGTGTTGTAGATCGAGGATCGAGGCCGGACTGGATCGCGTCCAGAGACGAAGGAGACGAGACCAGGTAACACGCGTAAAGTGCAAACTTCAAACTCGCTCAGAATTCGAAATCAAGATCGAATCTTTCTTTTCCCTCCAATTTTCTTCCTTATCCTTCTTAATGTCTCGCCAACAGGCGTCGTGGTAGAAGAACGATGACGACACGAAAGGCGGTCTCTCTCTTTAAGAAGTATACTTCCTTTTTTTAAATCATAGGGTAATAAAAGAATGAATCAGACAAATCATCGGTCTCAAAGAACTCGACCAAGCGTGAAACCTTTTTTTGTATGTAGGAAGTAGAGCGTGCAGGTGGTGGTGAGATTGTAAGAAAGGCTCTCGTGTTGGGTAGCGGGAGGTATTTAAAGAGGCATGCTCCGCTTTGCCCTTTTAACGCGGGAAGGGTTGAACGCGGGCGCCTCGCGAGCTGTCGTGGTTTTTTGGCGTTGGCGTTTTTACAGTGGTTGAGAGCGCTGTAATTTAGTGAGCTTGATGAGAATTAGGTGCCTAACGCGGTCCTGGATGGGGGCGCGTTGAGTGGTAATGTGGGCACCCGTGTTGGTGTATCGATAATGATGACGTTCGCTGGACGCGCTGAGTTATAGTGACTGCGTTTTAGATCCTTGCTTGACATGTTTGATGTCTCATATGTAACAATCTCCTTTTTTTTTCCCCGTATATCCCCTTTATTGCTGTCTTTAACTCAATATCTCCCTGCTTTAATTGCACGTTTTAATACAGTTGTGAAGAAATGCCGTTGAGATTTTAACGGGACTGTTGTTGAAAGCCAACCTCCTGTCTTGAGGTGTTCAACCTCCAATTTCTTCAACACGTCTCCACCATTGAATCCATCGAGACTGGTCTCGCGTTTGGAGACTTGTAGACCAATCCCTTTTGATAAAAAGCATAAAAGAGTCTGGCTGGGATTACTTGCCTTGCTTTTTATTCGCTTTTGTCTTCTGTAGTTATGCAGAATATCCACCTTTGAAGATTCTTTCTAGGGTTTAGTGAGCAGCACGTCTTGGGCTTGGTTTCATGATGGGCTTGGGACCGTGTGTAAGTTTGATGTATCGCGCTTTGATATTGAGTCAATGCTGCCATGTTTCGAGATTAGATTTGACTTTAAGCCCGGGATCAGCTTCAATGGCCTATTCGTGGTTCTGCGACTTCAATTGAGGTCGCCAGTAAACACTTGGCCAATCTATACGCCTGTTGCGTGGATCACGGAACGCCCACTCTAATCATTGACTCAGTAATACCTCCGACAGCTATCATTCCTTGACAAATATCGTCAATCGCGTCCATGTGGCATTTGGCGAGCTCGTCAGTGGTCTATCTGGTCAGCCCTACGCCACAGATCGAGCCACGATACGCACGTACGCGACTTGATCCATACCTTGACCGAGGTACCCTACATCATCCTTACATCATAAGAGAACTTCACAAAAGCATATTAGAACTGGCATCTTCAAATACAAAATTGAAATCATTGTTTTTATTTCTTTCAATTGCATCTAGGAAGACATTTTCACTATAAAATTGCAATTGTGGGCTAAATAATGAGCTTAGCTAGTTAATCGACTGAACGTTCGTGATAGCTTCACTTCTTCTCCACAAGAATGACCTTGAGCCGTAACGCATAGCTCTCCCAGTTAAAGCCTTTCTCCTTCTCTCTTACCACACGTTCAGAGGTTAGCTCCTCGAGGTTGATGATAAATACCTTATAAAAGAGTTACAGTGACATGCGTCTCTGCTTGCACTCGGAGCATTTTGAAGGATCAGCCCCCTTCTGCTTGTGCTCCACTTCTCGGCGACACTCTTTCCCCTTTTTCTTGAAGTCATCGCAGAACTTGTCGTCGAATTCGATGTTGACACAGTGGCCGCACTTTCGGCATGTTGTTGTTGTGATGAAGTTTTTACACATGTTGATCTGGTGTTAGTTGATGTTAGAAGGTGTTTGGGTCTGAAGTTGAGACGGGGATATTGATGTTGGGCTGAGTTGTTAGTAATTGTCTGAATGAAATGATGATGTATCTTGGAGTGTTCTATGGGATGGACCGACTATATATAGGTTTTCAAGGACGTGATGTTATGAAGTTAATGTCATGAGGTGTCTAAGTCAGCTCATACTCACTCACCACTTATTAAACATTGAGTTCAGGTTACTATGCACTTTTCTTTTGTTCAGAAATTAAACAAAGGAACTCAGGCGTAAGTTGCTGTCTGCCGTTGTCATGTTCATTCATCACATATCACATAATGAACAAAGAGTAAGTCTTGTCAGTTGAGGCTCAAAGCAATTTGTGCGTTCAATGAACAACTGATGGGATGAAATGATCTTTTGTTCTATATCCGTCGCTGCAAACGAACAGCTGAACGCGATATAGTCCTGATACACTGCCATCATCCCGTGTTGTCGTACCCCCAAATCCCCCATACCACATCATCAGATCTCAGTTCAGCTCAGGATCCGTCTCATTGCAAAACACATACTCCTTCAAGTACTGCCCGGGCCGATCCTCATCATCAACAACAGGCGGCTCAGCCGTTCCCCGAGCCGCGAACTTGACAATTACTCGTCGACCCATCGCAATGTTGATATCCCAGTTGTACTTCTCCACAAGCTTCATCTCCTGGAAGTTGTACATTGCCACCAGCTGCTCCTTAATAAATTCGGCGGTAAGACCGGGAGCCATCTGGATGTACTTCTTGTCCGCGGGTTTGCCATCGGTGTCACACCAGAGGAACCCAGTCTTGTCGCCGCCTCGCTTCACCATCAGCCAGGCACTCGCGTCTTTCTTGCGGTTGGCGGATGGGACTTCGTCGGGAAGGTCTTCTTTGAAGTGGCCAACGGGGACGGCAGAGACGGAGAATGTGTAGACTGGTTCTTTGGGCATGGGGACTGGGTCGGCGGAGGTCAAGTTGTCGAAGACACGTGCCATGTAACGATCAACTTCTGCAGTCATGGCCTCCTCATCTTGGAGATCGTGAGACATGGCGATGCTGGTGAGGTCAGTATCTTGCTTTTGATCCATGCGCATTGACTTACGAGATGAGAGGACTATCTCGAGGACTCTTCGTGAATGTTTGTAGAGTCGAGAGATGGAAGTCTCACGGTACTGAGATGAGATGAAGAGGGGACAGTAACTTTCTCTGGCGTTGTCAGGGAAGCATCTGTGTTTTGATGCTCAGCTCAACCGGTCACTGTCAACATGCATCACTGTCAAACACTGCAAACCCCAGGAACAGATCATCAGCACTGCGTGAGATACTCTATTACCTGTCACTCATAGACACTATCACAGGAAACAAGCCGCTTTGAACTAACATTAACGTGGATTTACTATCTAGGTAATTAGGGCATATCTCATACATCATAAACCTATTAAACTACCCCTCAACAAGAGTAACCTTTGTCTCCTCCTTCAAGTCCCGACTGCTGAATCCAACACGAATAGTAAACTCTCCCTCAGGAATAAGCCACTTCTGAGAAATGATATCCCAGTAGCTGAGATCACGACGCATCAGCTCAAAGCTAACACTCTTGCTCTCACCAGCCTCAAGGAAGACCTTGTCGAAGCCACGGAGCTGCTTAGGTGGTGTACCAGCAGGAGCACTGTCGGGGAATGTGACGTAGAGCTGGGGAACGGTGGCGCCGTCGACCTTTCCAGTGTTGGAGACGGAGACGGTCACGTTGTAGATGGTCTCCCAGAGGGCGGGGTTGCCGCCGGGCTGTACGGGGAGATCTTCCGGCTGGGAGGTGATGTCGGAGGCGAGAGGCTCGGCAGAAATGTCGGAGATTTCGAAGGTGGAGTAGGAGAGACCGAAGCCGAACTCGTAGCGGACGGAGATGTTGTGCGCGTCGAAGTAGCGGTAATCAATCTCGAGCTTCTCGTCGAACCAAGACTGCCAGTCCTCCTTGCCGGTGGTGTTGACGGCAGTGGTAGGAGGAGCATTGTAGTCAGTGCCGTTGAAAGCGATAGTGTAGGGAAGACGACCAGAGGGGTTGACATCGCCGTAGAGGAGGTCAACGAGGGAGTTACCGGACTCCTGACCGGGGAAGTGGGCAGCGAGAATGGCGGTGACGTTGGGGTGGTCAGCCCAAGGAAGAGTGTTGATACCAGAAGAGTGAGTGACGACGACAGTGTTGTTGCAGTACTTAGCAACAGACTCGACAACATCGTTACCATCCCAGTCAACGGAAAGGTGCTCACGATCAGCAGCCTCCTCAGCCCAAGTCTTCAAGAAAACAAGGCAGACATCAGGAGTAGCAGGGATCCAAAGATCAGTGACGTTGGTGGTAGCAATAAGAGTGTTGTTCATCCACTGCTGAACAAGAGTGCCGTCCTGCTTAGCACGAGCATTGATGGCAGTAAGAGGCGAAACAAGGTATGTCAAACGACCAGTACCGGAACCACCACCAGCGACAAGAGTGCCAAACTCGTAGTCCTTCTGGTTGTAGAAACCCTCAGTGATATCACCGGCATCGTTACCAAAGACGGCGATGGACTTGGGCTTCTTGAGGGGGAGGGCGTTCTTCTCGTTCTTGAGAAGGACGGTGGACTCGGCGCCGTGCTTGCGGATCAAGTCACCGTGGTTACCGCGGACGTCACGGCTTCGCTCGCCGGTGAGGTTGAACTCGCGGAACCAGGTGCTCTTGGGGCTGAAGGTGTTGAGATCGCCGCTGGAGGGGTCGACGGAGGGATAGTCCTTGTCCTGGCCGAGCCAGAAGTAGGGAGTCATGATGCGGGTGATCATGTCGTTGACGCGGGTCTCGTCGAGGGTGCCGTTGTTGACGGCGCGGGTGAGGTTGCCGCCGAAGAATGACTTGGTGAAGTACATGCCGTACTGGCCAATACCACCGGGCATGTCCATGTCGAGACCGCTGTTGATGGCAGCAACACCGGCGTGGGTAGCACCCCAATCAGACATAACGTAGCCCTGGAAACCAAGCTCATCTCGCAGGATACCGTTCAGAACCTTTGAGTTCTGGCAGCCGTAGGAGCCGTTGAGACGCTGGTAAGAGCACATCATGCTAGAAGCCTTGGCATGAACAGCATTGGCAAAAGGCCAGAGGTAGAGCTCGTGCATGGTTCGATCATCCATGTTAGACGAAAGAGCCTCCTTATCAACCTCACCAATATACCCATCCTTAACAAAAGTAGGGTTTCGCATGACCTCCTGCTCGTTACCGATAAAGTGCTTCGCAGTAGCCTGGACACCCGCATCTTGGTGTCCCATGATGGTCTCCTCCATCGCAATACCAGTGAGGTAAGGATCCGGCGAGAAACCCTCCCAGTTACGACCAGAGTACGCCGAGCGTCCAAGTGGACCGGCGACAGGACCAAGGAGGATGTGAGCGCCCTTGGCCTTGAACTCTTGACCCATTGCGAGACCGCGCTGGTAGAGGAGGTCCTTGTCCCATGATGAAGCAGCTGATACACCAGCGGGGAAGACACTGGCATAGTCTGCTACACGGATGGCGAGGGGACCGTCGTGGAGACATAGACCGTTGAAGTTGAGACGGGGAATGGCGACGATGTTGCCGACGCAAGGACCTGGTGTTCCTGTGACCATGTCGGCCTTTTCCTCGAGTGTCAACTGGGAGACAAAGTCTTGGGCCTTGGCGAAGGCATCTTCCCAGCCCTTGCCAGTAGCATTGTCTATGATCGTCAGTATAACCTCACCTCAATTGATGGAGTTGGTGAACATACTGGCAGGGTAATGAGGCGAATGGCCGTACTGTCCAAGAATAGTGGTGTTCTTAGGCTGAACCCAGCTAAAAGCATCTTCAGCGCGATCACTCGAATCGTAGGCTTGGGCATTGACACCCGCGGCCAAAAGACCCGAGACCAACACAGATCGAATGCTAGCCATTGTGAGAGAGTAGAGATGAATGGCGCTCAGTGATGATGATCTCTTTTTTTCATTTTTGTGAGGCTATCAGCTACAACTTATATATTCCCAGCACCGGCTACACTTTCCCTTGCCCTCGGCGATCACCAGTCCAACCTCTTGCTCCTCCTGTACAAAACTTGCCTGTCTGCGTCATTGCAAATTTTGTAAGTGTTAGCGTCGGCTTCAATTACTCCCCCGTACAGAGGAACACCTCACTAGCTCACATGGACGATGCGGAGTAACATTCTCCTTCACTTTCACGATGCAAACCCGTCGTGTGATGCCATTCCCAGTTTAATCTCCATCGGCGAACTTTTCACTTCCTTAAATCTACCGCAGCTTAGCCGCTGCGTCCAATGGAAGATATCCCCGACTGCTGGTGATGGTGTCATGCCCCAGGTTTACCACTCCACAGAATGAATAATACGGCCGCTATCTGTCCGAGGATCCGAAGTTCTCCCAGCGAATTTATACTGAGTTTGTCAATTGAGTTAGCCTATTCATCTCAATTGCCGGGGGTGGCTCTCAAGTCTGGGGGAGACAGCTTCTTCTCCGCAATTCAAATCGGCCCTGTTGTGGACTCGCACGCTTCGTTCATGCGGAGAAATTAGGTAGCTTTTTAACGTTGATGGAGATCGGAATCAAAACCATACGAACTGTATACCTCGAAACAGGTGCTGATCACACACCAACCTTGGTTTCTTCCCTGTAACTGTCAATTCAAGGTCATGAGTCTTTTTTCCCTTCTCCACGATAATCTTTTTTGACATGAACCCGTTTATCGACCCAGTACAGTGGCCTGGTGACGCTGATGTTACAGTGGCTTCGGCCCGGAGTCGTTACCGTTCAGGCCATCATGACGGGACGAAATGTATTTTATCTGGGTTGTAACGTTATCAGCCACACGACAAGTCAATTGCTCTCACTAATATTCTCGTATTAGTTCCGCATCTCGGGCGATATCTAAACTCCCGTTTATAAGTGCCGTCGTGCTTTGATGCTCTTTTTTAATCGGTGTATACTCGGCCGTGTATTCTAAAGGTGCATGACTTTATTCCCATCATGGATAGCCACGAAATGTTAGTGGGTGACTCGGGTTTACGTTTACATCCGAAAAGTCAATCGACTTTTACCAGTCTCGTGGTCATGTTCATGGTCTAGGTTACATTGGAGAAATTGGGTTCTTCTGACTCGATGAATTATTGCACCTCCACATTTCTGAGTAAGGAAGTTGGTAGCGTTCATCGTTGGTTGGATTTGACGACGATGCTTTGAGAGTAGCCTCGGAATCGGCCATGGCGATCCCCGCTGGAAGAAATTGTTGGAACCTTTCTGCCGGACTTTCGGTGAGTGATGTAGTGCCGCAACGTTGAGATAAATTGCTGAAACAATGGAGATGTCAAAGATACAGCCGGTATCGCAGACTTACATAAAGCCAGAAGTGAGTTTGAAGTGCTGACCTGGGATTATGGGGATCTCGGTAGCTGACAAGATACAATGCTTACTTCTCAACATTCAGAATCACGTTTCATCAATATAATGTGGCAGAGGATAGACCAACAGAGATATTCTGCTGTATTTATCCAATGACATAATCAAGAGCACCAATGAACGAATAAAGGTCCAACTAAAGCTCTTCCTTCAGGGTAACCATCTCCAAAGCTCGCCTTACTCAATGAAATCTAGCCTCCTTTCCATCTCAAGCTTCCGGCTCGGCGACGGGAACTCCGCCCCAAAGTAAAATTCCGGGGCTGGGCATTCTCCACTTCCAACCTTAGACCTCAACATTGCCTTACTTACCATCGCAACGCTTGCAAAAATGCCTAGGAACATAACGAGTTATATCCTCCGGCTCTTCAAGACACACTCTTTCCCCCATTCCATCAACGGTGTTCAAACTTAAATTACTTGTCACGAGGTTCAAGACAAGAGGGCAGAAGGACTTGCTGGAGGTGTAGTTGATGAGATGGCGGCAGGAGTCGCATATGGTAGCGGTGCTGGATAGTTGACACATTTTGGTGATTTTGGTTTGGTGAGGATATTGGGCTTTTGTTGTGGTGAGTTGACTCTTTGTGCCAGTTGAGTATGTTTGTGGACGATGTGATGATGGGATACGGTGGTGATTCAAGTAGGGAAACCTGTTGTATCTATAAGAGAGAAAAGCGATGTTCTATTTAAGTGTTCATGGGTACCTAGGAGAATCCGAGCCGATCGCGTGAAAGTGTTGAAGGAATGGATGTTTCGGCCGAACAAAGTAGCTGGGCACTCAGGCAGTTCAGATACAGAGCCTTTCGTTCATATAAACAAGACAGCGAACTTGGCCCCAGCCCATGAAGTCATCGTTTGGATATTAGTTCATACAGAACACAAAAGCCGTGAACACGTCTCCCGACCAAATAAATCAATTATCCGCTTTCCCTTTACCCTTCTCCTTCCTCTTCGCTTCCTTGCACTGCAAACACTCCTCCTCGTGAACATAGATGGTATCATGCTTTGTCGTCGTAACGCAAATACCAGGTCGCTTCTCCAGAAAATGAGCGCATTTCGTTTCTTCCACGGGCATGGAGACGAGGTAGGAGCACTTCCTACAGAGATAGCCTGCACTGTGAATAGTGCACATTTGGATCTTTCGGTTGATGAGTTGAGTAGAAAAGAGAGAGTTGATATCTTATTATTGAGAAGTTAGGAGAGAAAAGGAGCTGCTCTGCTGTTTATGTAAAGTCCTTATCTTGAAGTGTTTCACCGAAGAACCGTCAAGTTACCGAATGCCGTGCTCTGTAGCACAGACTGCGGGTGCTTCCTTCCATAAACCCTCAACCCAAGGCATACAGCATCACCGGGACTTTAAAGGCGAGGGCCCAGTGGGTAATGGCCCAGGTTTAAGGAAATATGTTATGTCTAAATCCCAAAACCAAACCCCCAAAGCTTACGCTTAACCCCCCTCTGACCCTCCTTCTTCTTCTTAACGCAGTCCTTGCAATTCTTCTGATCCGAATGAATAGTCGACGGCACTATTTTTTGCTTTAAGCAAGCTCTGCCTGATTTCTTGGCAGAGTTACACTTTTCTGTGACCGTTTCATGGTCGATGATGTGGTCGCAGACTCGGCAGCGGTATTTGGTGAAGACGAGGTTGCACATGTTGAATGGTAGATTAATTGCGAGTGGAGAGATACATCTGGGGGGAGAGATATGATAGGAGAGAAGGGGGCTTGAGTTACGGAACTATATATGCACAACGACGTTGGAGGGTTTGAGTGTCACGGTGGGTTTCTCATTCTATCGTCGGTGTCCAAATGTGTCACGGTGAGGAAAAGGGTTGAGTCAACATGTCAGACTTGTGCAATGTTTCACGGACATGGCTATCAACTAAAGTCAACAAATAGTATTGAGACTATCACTCTGAGATTGCTTCACTACCCAATCTACCCATGTTGTACCTAAATCCAAGGTCAATCCAGTCATGGTTCTTAAAGCCTTAGGCCCCTTTCAGCAATACAGCTTTCATTCCTCCTTCGCCTCAGTCTTGCATTCCTTAGCCTTGGCCGCCTTAGTCTTGCACTGGGGGCACTTGGAGACATCGATCAAGGTAGTTGTCTGCATACGCTGCTTCTTGCATGGCTTCTCAACACTGTTGGCCTCACTGCAAGGAGCTGTTCTTGGTATGGCGTTTTGATGGCCGCATGTCTTGCAGACGAGCCGGGTGGTGTGAATGAAGCACATGGTTGAGCACAGAGTTTGTTCTTAGCAGTGATAGAGCGTCTGTTGACGTGGATTTATGGAGAGTGAAGAGATAGATTGTGAGATGGATTGGAGAGTGTAGAGATGGGATGGAGGTGGGTGCAGTGGTATTTATACTGGTGGTTTTGCTGGGAGCGTTTGTATCTCACTCATTCAAACATAGCGCTTAATCAAATTCAACTTTGAGTCCAAATGACTGAAGCGACGTCTGGATAATCATTCTGGGCCACAAAGACTCACAGGACTATAGCGTCTCCTAAGCGAAGCACTGAACAATCATCAAACTGACCAAAGGATATCAAACGCTCCCACTAGCCCTGGCCCCTGAGAAAAGCAACAAACGAATGCTGAAAGCGAATTAGCTATGGCCCAATCCAATCCAAGCTATCGCTTCATCTGTTTTGCAGCTCTGCAAGCCTTGCATCCCAACTCACTCTCCCGCTGCTCACCCCCATCTTTTTACCGTTTGAGACGTCGTTCCCCCTTGTTCGCCTTGTTGCATTTCTTGGGATCTATGTCAGTTCTAATATGATCACCGCGTTTCCGGCACATTATCTTGACGTGGTAGACAATGCACATCGTAGAGGATAACACAAGTTGATCCTTTAGCGATATGGTTGTCAGTTTGGATTATTTGAACTGGTTGTCTCTGGCGAGTGCTTGGGCACGTTTGCTTAATCGGGATGAAAGGGATGCGGAGCAACGTGATATAATCGTTTAGGAGCTGGAATCACTGGGAAGAGTAGCCCGGCGACATGATGTGTTGTCGATAATCACCACTGGTCCTCGGCGTGAGTAGTGGGCGAACTCAAACCCTTATCACGTTTTCATAGACAGCTTTCAATCCCGATATCTGGAGGTCACTGAGAAAACTTCAATTATTAGGAAGTTAATAGTGTTTCATTATCCCAAGAACCAGCTTTAGAATATGATTCCAAGCAACCGCCTATCTAATTCCATGACAAGGTAACCTCCAACTATCCTGTCTAATAGTTCAACGTGCTATCAAAACACAGGACCCAACTGCTGACGCCTCCAGAGACAGGCCAGAAGCCCCCATTCATTTCTTTCCACCCTTATTACCATCCTTGGAGCACTTAGAACAGTTGCTCGCGGAGACAGTCTTCCTGACATATACATTCTCCTGCTTGCATTCGGTAGTGCCGTAATGCTGACACTTGTCTCGCTTGAGGCTCGTGTCCACGGTCTCGCCGCAGCTGGAGCAGACCTGAGTGCTGTTGATCATGCAACACATGGTGAATGGTATAGAGAAATCTGTGGATGGGTTGTGAGTTGGGAGGGAAGTTGGAGATTGAAAGATGGGTTGGTTTGGAAAGGAGAGAATGCGGGCCGAATTTATAGTCGAGGTCAGGATGAACAGGTCATGAATAATGGTGAGGGCATTCATAAAGAAAAGGGAAAAAATTCTGAACATAGAAACAGTAATTGTATAATGGCTTTGTTGTGCTGAACAAGTCTGATTCAGCTTGTGCGAAGTTCCGAACAAATGGATGAAAAGGGAACAATAGGCTACATGTTCTGAATCATCGGATATGAGCTATTCTGTGTCATGGTGGGATGAAAGGCGCCCGAGTTTGTTGTTTCAGTGATATAAACTGGCGATATCTTGGCCAAGGTCCAATGTGACTGGGAGGTTGGCCGCCGAAATGCAGCAAATTCGTCGATGATCCAATATCTGCACCGACAATCAAGAAGCCCTCGCAGCTAACCACTCATGTTTCTCGCTGCAACAGAACCTCTAGTCCCCAACTCAAGTAAGCTTTTATTTCGTCGTTAGGTCCTGAGCTCGTATGCCTCATCGGCGACGGCAAACATAAGAGTCTGTACAGAGTTAATGAACATCCATGAATAATATTAGCTAATCACCCACATCAACCCCCAGAGATCTCTTTCAACGCCGACCGTACATAAGTCTCAAATGCCGCATAATAGTAGATGTACTACCCTGCGGAGGCTGCGTCAAAAAGGGGACCTGGCTATCTGGTGGGAGCGAGGCGCACAAAATGCAAAGGGCGGCCTCGCACTTGAAGCTCAAGTTTATGTCGGTCTTTCCGCAGCGCTTGAACTGCAGGTAGAGCTCGCACTCTTGACACTCGATTTCTTCGTAGATCTCGTTGTTGCAGCGCATGCAGTAGAAGACGCGGGTTATGGCTACGCACATGGTGGCGGTCGTGATGTCGTAGTTGATATGAGGTTGGCTTATTTTGAGGGATGGGAGGGAAGGAATTCAGAGTGATGTCGGAAAGACCGTTTAGTTGAGACTTTGCCCAACGAGATTCAAGATGTCTTTGTTGGGGTTTAGTTGATTAAAGTGAAAGAAATGCAGTGCAGTGTTTGGCACTGCCGCCTTATTAACCAAGTAATAATAGATGGGTCACCCACTGTTAACAAACGCACAGGATCTGCAAGCAGTCATAGATGAACTCAGTCAAAGAGACGTTGTGTGAAAGTAAGCCTCTAAATGAGGTTTGAATTATAGCTACAGCACGCTAAAAGAAGATATTCACGACATTAATGCCCCAAAGTGTTGGTCCTCGCTACCGCCTTGTGATGACGACTTCAATCGGAGGATATGGCTGATCGCGCGCCAAACACTCTTCGCAAATCTCCTCTTGATTCCATAATGTCACTGGATATTCATTCCCGCACGATGCGAAGAGCCTGCTCTTCGTTTCGCTGGCCTTCCTGCATAAAAGACCGTGCTTCTCAAAGTTCCACCTGTTCTCGCAGACGGGGCACATGTAATGGATCGTCAGATCGTGGCACATTCTGAGAAGCTGTTTGAAAGGGATTTCGTTGTTTCTTGTTTCAAAGAAATGTTGCTAGGTGTTTAAGATCGAATCATAGAAATTATGCCTTGACAGGATTTGACAGTGTTTTATAGATATCTGCAAATTGATGCGAATCAAAGAAGATGAGAAGCTACGAGGATACTTTTCTGAAGTTACTCAATGACCATATAAAAATGAGAACAAAGCCATAGCCCAGTGATTCACTGCATATTTTCAATCCAGATGATGGGAAATGTGATTCGTCAAAATGACCCGATAGTGTCGCAAGATGGGCTTTGTAGCAGCATAGTAAATACAATTACATTACCTACATTACAATAATGAGATCTCGTTTTAAGAGCAAACTCTCAACTACGGTATTCACTCCTACAAACCTAAAATTTCACACGACCCGAAAACCCTGTTGAAGAATGGCATGCTCACTGATATCTTAGACCTTGTTTGCCACAGTCGATTCTATTACTGCACACGGAGCATATGTAGTTGACTGTTACGTGGTAGCACATTGTGAGGGGAATGAGTCTTGTTTAGGTGTGAGTTTGAGATATAGATACACAAATTAGGCAGCGTTGAAATTCGCGGTCGGGAACGTAAGACAAGGAGGATTTATAGCTATAGCTTGAGGATGATGACAGTGAATGGCAGGTAGCATATGTAACTTTGACTCTCAGTGCTGAAGTCCAACGGGAATGATACTTAGGAAACGTCGGTTGAGGATGATATCCATCGGTGATTGTGAAAGAGTTGTAGTCGTGATGTGCCGTCGCCAAGCAAATTCCTCCTCAGAGCAAGCAAACAATAAATCCATATCTCCTGTAAAACTATCCGAACATTTCTCAAGCCAACTCTCTCTTTGTTTCACCGTCAAGCGTAACTTTGTTCCACTTCCTATCATCAGGCGGACACTGCTGGCAATATTCCGACACGCTCGCAACAACTCCATCATCCGTGTATCCACACGATCCCATAGACTTTGACTCAGTCTGTTGAGCAAACTGACAAATCTCCCATTCGTACCCTTTCTTGAAGCATTCGCTGCAGTACATGCAGTAAAAGTGCGTGAAGTGTTCAGTGCACATGATGAATGTTTGCCAAAGCGCTGCGGTTGGTCGCTTTGTGCCCGTGTGCACTTGTGACGCAGAAAGTCAGTGATTAATGATAAAAGTGACAAAAGATAGAGAACTTTGCACATTTTTGCGTTTGGTGGCTTACGAGGCTCGCGGTTAAAAGACCAAGACCCTGAAAAGCCTCACTAGGCACCCATGCAGCAGGGGTATGATTCAGCTGCACCAAATAGGCAAATCATGTTTTATCAGCGACTTAGTCGCACTGAAGTACCAAAAAGAGGCCTCTCCAATTACAAGGATGGACGTGTAGATGCGACTCTGGATAGTCTGTGACTTCTGGCCCCCAATTGTCAAAACAGGGGCTTTGAAAGGGTCGGTTGATATCGCGGCCAGCGTCACACGAATCAAGCTGTGGGATTGTTTGTTTGCAGCCCATTACCGTTGTTCGCTCGGCGCAAAAGAGTCCGAACAGCGGGAGGCTGTCTAGTGACCGATTCAGACGACCAAAAGATTGAACAACGCAGCTGAAGAAAGTCGGTAATACAAACATCAAGGAGACCCATGAAGAGTCTGGCATACCCGATAAGGATTTGGGTATAAAGAGAGCCACAGAGAGCAGGAAAATAGCTTTAACGAGGCATAGCGACGATTGAAAATCAAAGACAGCCTAAACTATACAAAGCATTATGAGACATCCGGGTTCCATGCCACCCTGGTAAGTATGTTCGTACCTCGAATAGAAGCGTCTACGTTTTCGGCTTGTGGAATGTTCGGGGTCCAAGTGGAAGAACAGCGCTACCTCTAATGTATAAACCTAGTTCATGCACCAGCAGCAACAGATGCATGAAGCTGAAAGGTCCGAGCTGCTAGCAGAAATTCGTCGACAAACCCGATACTACCAGCACCTGCTACTATTTCTCTACACTATATTCGCAGAAGGGCCACTGTCAGGTAGTTGGACACAACGGCAGCAATAAGATCAACACCCCAGCATCTTGCTACTATATACCATCGCTCAGCATATCTTGGCCAGATCCAGAACCCAAACCATGTGTCGAGAGAATTACTTCCAGATGAAGTGTGAGGTTTGTGACAAAGACCTGGGAACCAATACGACACTCGATCTTTGCCAAGCTGGCCATTCATTTGAAAACTACGAACTCAGACTCCAAGGCCTAGATATGTGTGGACAATATATCTGCCAATTCGTCAGTATCCATTGCATCCTCTTCCTCCCTGCATGTCAAGCACTTTACCCCGACGAACTCCAACAGACTCTGAACAACATTGGGACAATCAGAGGAGGGATGCTCTGGCGAACCTGTTTATTTAGCAGTGAGAGAAAACTTCCATGTATTTCAACAAGAGTTGCATGATATACCGCAGAGTGCTCATCACAGAAGATGTGAAAGATTTCTGGAAAAGCTCAATGCTGGGGTTGAGAATTGTAACATTGGAATGATTAAAGAACAACGGGAGTAAAAGGGAGTGCTAGAAATGCAGGGAGGTCCGAACAAATAAAGAATATCCAGCATCTCATCGGCACAGATGGAGCTAGGGTAATCCTCTACGTTTACTTTTATTTGGAAGCTGAGATTCAGAAGTATGCATGTAAGAATTGAGTCTTATACAACAGGTAAAGCTTAACAATCTTGCTGAGAGTTTCCTATCTACCAACAAACCCGTTTAACCGCTCCAGACTCTAGCATCATCGTGTCCATTTAAAACTACCAGAAATGATAACCATCAACCCAAAAGACACCAAGAAACTCATAGTGCCATATCTGTAAGCGTGTTCGCGTTGGAGGGAGGAGAGCTCCAGAGCAAGGGTAGAAACAGTAGTGACAACGGCACAGTAACCATTTTTGACACCCTCAAGCAACTGGTGTCCAAGTGAAGGCCGTGCCAAGATCTGGGATATATCCCAAACTATAGCAAGAATTAGAGATCCTACCACGTTGGCGGCAAATGTCCCCAAGGGAAATGTTGGAAGTCTGCCATTCAAGTAGATTGCAAGATAGAATCTCGTAAACACCCCCAGAGGGGCAAAGGCCAAGGAGAATAGAACACTCCCCCGCCACTCATCATGTGGTGGATAGATGCATATAAATATCGCTCCAATCCAACAGCCCCAGCCGAGAATGGTTGCAAGTCGGTCTATAAACTTGCGCATAAAGAGGTAGGGCAGTGAGGGCATGATGTCGTCCGCTAGTATGGCAATATGGGCACCCAAAAATAGACCACCCATAGAGGCATGAACAGTCAATAAGACCACGGCTGCAAGTGCACAGAACGAGTAACCCTTGTTCCGGTCTGATGTCGGCGCAGAAGAAGTTTCAAGTTCGTTGGAAAGGGCGAGAAAAGAATCAAGGATGAATGTTGAGAAGGTTGTGAATGAGCCACAGAACCCGACCGAAAGGCCGATATAGAGAGGCAATGTCTTTTTGACACTGAGATGTGCCTTCTTTACAGCCTCAAGGTCTGTAGTTCCTTGATCTTTGGTCGAGTCATCCGAGACTGCTCCACTGGTGTCCGGACTTTGGTTTTCTTCCTTGCAGTATGTGCCTTCTCCCCATTCATGGCGAAACAGCATGCGATCCTCAGCTAGGAACCCCATGATGAGACACCCAGCAAAATTAACCCATAGGGTTGGGAAGATGACTGGTGCCCCAGGATAGACGAGTAAAGCTGTCATACCTTCTCTGGCGAGCGTTCCCATGATGGAGAAGAAGATGAGATAGGAGTGGGTGTGAAGTTTTGTAGTGAACGTGAGAGCTTTGTCAGTAGTAGGCAAATGCCCATCTGGAACGCGAGCCTCTTCATCTTGAAGTTCTATATGGGTTTCTCGGGCGCGCTCTAGACTATTCCTATGATAAATTGAGCTGTCCGGAGCTGGGATGGGAGCGATCGGTGCTATTTCGTCCAAGTTGTAAGTCTCAACCGAACAATCGGGATTTTGATTTTGATTTTCAAAATTAGGGCCGAGTTGAGGTCGTGTATCTCCACGCATCGAGTCAGGGACATAGCTCCCCGCGGGGGGATGTCGAAGAAGAGCATCTTGTGGTTTCTGTGCAGGCCATTGCGCAGCCATTTTTTCATAACATGTGGTGCCGTTCTTCTGACTTGGATTATTCCTTGGATTTGTGTGATCAAGATCGAAAGAAGAAGAGGTTATAGCATTATAATTATATGAGAAAAACATTAAAGGAGAACTCTAGCTAACTCGCCTAAGGAGAAGTAGACCAGCTCGCGGTACAGGGGGCTTTTCACGGCAAGGTCGGATATCCCGGATATCCTGGATACTCGAACCGCATTGGCTTAGACCTGTGGCTGAGAGCTTAGAACAATCATACAGAAATTAGTTAGAACATTTAACTACGTATCGTGATTCACTCTTCAAAGGTTGACAAGATGTGCTACTGTAGTCGTTGCAGATGACCTCCTGGTCATTCTCTGAGACAAATAGGACATATTCTTTAGGACTGGTAGATTTATTTGACATGGTGTCTTTAAAGACGACACTAGTTCAAACCCCTATATTGCAAGCTTTCGGCCAGAGACTATTTCCTTAGTTTTGAAGAAGACCTTACGAAGACATTGACGGGAACCGCAAGTCATGCTCTTTCGCATTCAAGTCCAGCTTCCATCTCCTTGAATCGTGTCCAAGAACTGCGAAGACCATGCCATGGAATCTATAATCTCGGCTGGCCAACTCTGTGGAGTTGATATGGCCTCTGATAAGAACTCAACGTTCTGGCCCTCCAGACCTAGCATCTCTTGTGCCAATGGGCCTCCAGAAGAAGAAGCATGTTGAAGCGGCATGGAATTATCGCATTGCCTCAAGGCTTGTTGAAATAGGACCGTGTCAGCCTCTCTCCCGGCTTGTTCTTGAATCCAGGTAAGACAAAGGTAATATAATGGGGGAGGTGTACTCACTTCGCCATTCTGAGCCAGATTGCTTTAGACCTTGAATCATGTTTCTCGCTATCCTTGCACTCTTCGAATTACTGCTAAGCGCCTCAAATATCTTCAGGCATGTTTCCGCATCATCACGCAGACCTTCGCTGTCAAATCCACTATGATCATCAGGTTGTTGAGCAAAGATGCTCGACACAAGCAATATGGACCCAGCACAGATCAGACAAGATATCATCTGCCACCAGGGAAACTCGTGAACTAATTCCTGTTCATCAGAAACGTGATGGAGAAGACGAGCAGTCCCTTGGGCTTCATCGATACAGATCTTCTCGAAGACGGCAATCAGTGGCCAGTCTAGCTGTGACATGCTCATAGGCGAGTCATCCCGTTGTCGTAAAAGAGGGTAACACAAATAGGGACGGTGGATGAGGGCTCGCAGATGATGGAATTTGATTGCAAGCATATTTCTCTGCAGGTTTACGTCAGCAATAGAGGCTCAGAGTATGAGGAAGGGTGGCTGACCTGACGCCTAAAGGTATTGTTCTGGTCGAATGAGTGTCCCAAATCGAAGCGTAGCTTTCGAGGCAGGCTCAGTTTCCATTCGATAAGCCTGTGATCGAGTGTCTGTGTACTCAATATCATTTCTGGGGTAGGTCTCGAATGGGCTGGGCCATAGATATCGCGCAGTACGCAGCCCACGATGCGGGAAAACCCAATGACCGAAATGAAGTAATCACCTGCTGATGGGCCTTCTGTTGCGGGATCAATAGTGTTGGAAGTCCAGTCAATCTCATCGTCAGCACGCCGAGACGGTAGTGCCACGCTACAATCCTCATCATGAATCGCTGGTGGTCGACCTAACTGAAGAGATAGCAATCGATCAAGAACATAGATCGAGTACCATGTCCTTCGTCTGCGTTCTATCTCAGTGGCACTTCTAGACTTGGAATTCGGAGGCTCAACATGCAGCCCTATGCTCTGAGCTATACGGACAGCTTGTCCGAGCGTAGTCCAACAACTATCGATGCATTAGTCCATAAGGTTCTACGTTTCTGAGCAACAAAACTGACCTGTCAGTCCTGGATACAGCTAGTAAATAGAAGCATTGTACGAGTAGTAGTGAAACTTGGTGGATAGAGTGATGACGACTCGTTGCTGCAGTCAAGCCCATGGCATGGTGAAAGTAGCGCTCGTGACGAGTTCGTGAATCCGAGTCTCGTCCAGGAAACGACGTATAATATGACCCAATAGCACAGATGACATCTAAAAACATGAGATTAGCTTTCCCATGAATTTTCAGACGAGATGTGGAAGAACTGACATAGAATAGCGAGATCAGTAGCGTTGTTCGGAATTTTCCCTTCCCCGGCTAGACTCGCCATGAAGGTAGACTGTGGAATGAATGGATATGCAATGTGGATTGTAGAAAAGTATACCTTGACGAGGTCTCTCGTTTGGGCGAGTCCAGGGAGCAGGGTAGGTCCATTGCTTTCATTATTAGTCGTCCAGACTTCCCCATCTTGTTCGTAGCTGTCAAAGTCTTGCTCTGGATTAGACAGATCTTTGGTTTGTAGGAATCCCTTGACCAGATTGAAGAAGTGAACGTCACTGACTTCTCCCAAGTATCGATGTTGATTTTGTGACGATGTCAACTGGGATGCTCGATCCTGGTCAGAAGGCGAAGCGATGTCAGCGGCTCGAGTGTCAGCGACTCGATCGAGGGCTTTCTTGACTCTGTCTTTGACTTGATTGTGTGATTCTTTTGGGTCAAACTTGTCCTGCTTCTTTTTAGATGAGAGTCGATGAACCAAGTCGTCGTAACCATTAATGGCATCTCGAAGCTCATCAATGGCATTGGAGCTTGGTCCGTCACAGCCGTCATCTTCATTTACTTCGTGACGCCTGGACCTGGTCTTAGCATACAGACAAGTGAAGCCGTAACCCACACAGCGACTACACTCGGGCTTCCGACCATCGCACTGAACACCTTTAGTTTTGCCTCAGATCAGCGCGAGTGGGATTCATGCATGGGTACTGTACCTTGGCCTTCATCTTGCGACATGTCTGGCATGCCTGGGCTACCCGCCTGCGTTTGAACACAGGTTCTTCTCCCGAAATAGCCGCCATATCGCTCGGCATGTAGCTTTTGTTTCTCGTCTGGAATAGGTAAAAATGTTGACAATTTCGGAAATGGTGGAAAGGTGGAGGTATAGGTCACCATATAAACGCTGTTCAGTTTGATCCGGATTTTCCGCAATATCCGGGTTACCCGGTACGGTTATCTCAGCCACATGACGCCGTCTTCAAGCCTCCCTTCATTTAACGGAGGTCCACATATCGCATAGGCTTGCGGATTATGTCAACCGCCGATTTGCATAGCAATAGAGTAGAAAAGAACACTTTCGCTAACTTGATAACCAACCGAGGATGGGATACGAAAGGAGAGGAAATTACTGAGGCGTCGCTGAAGTTAGTGAAGTATGGACAAGTAGCAGCGGAGTGAACACATGTCACCTTCCAGTCTGAAAAAAAGTTATTAACTCTGAATACCTTAAGGAGAATATCAGCCATTTAAAGATGTGACGAGCAACTATAAAACACCCAAGTCGCAAGTATCTCTATGGAAAATCTCCCTTTTGACTGTAACGACAGAAACTCAAACACACCTCGAATTCAAAAGATGTGCTGGAAGACTACCATTGAGGAACGCTGCAAAAGCTGCGACGATCTGCTACGCACAGGATTTAAGCTTGACGAGTCCGCCGAGTATGAGGAGAAAGGGACCTGTGAGAATGGTATTAGGCAGCTGTCCCAGAGAGTCGAGGATGAGTGCAAGAAGTGTAGGGAGCTTCGGGAAGAACAAGAGCGTATGACGGCGCTCAATGCGTTGCGTAAGACGGGGAAGTGATGGTGAGTGACGTGCAGTTAGAACTGAGATGCAATCAGATAGAAATTGGCCTTATGAGAATAACCGACATCCACTTCTACTCACGAGCACTCATCGTAGGTGAACCTGGCCGCTTGTACATATCAGCGTATATCATACATACTGTCAAACTATCACTGCATTGAGACCTGTGACTGAAAGGGTGTATCCACCACACATAACCTGGTCAATTTATCACAGCACGGATGGGTGTGATGCAAGCGATTAGGTGTTGATTTACCTGAGACTCATCTACAAATATCCCAGGCATCGCCCATCGTATTACCCAAACTCAACATCCTGCTCAATACCTCTCGCAAAGTCACCACTATCACAAACATCCTCCAACAACTCACACAGATTTCAGGAACTTCCTGAATCTCCAAAACCATGTGCGAATATAAATTGAACAAATACACTTGCGAGGATTGCGGTAAGATAAGACTTCAGCGGGCTGACCCTATTGATTTTCATCTGCTGGTCCCTGGCCAACGGTGCCCGAGGGCTAGACACATAGAAGATCTCATTAACGAGGTATGCGATGAGTGTCAAGAAATAAGACACCAGAGAAATCGTACACGACAATGATTGACGAGGGAGCGAGGAAATGGTTGCTCCAGTTGGTTACTCCAGCTCGGCAATGGGTGAGGGGACATTTTTCGAAACTGTGGTGTCCCTGACCATCAAGAGCATCCTATCATGGTGGAACATACCGTCATGGGAACGGTAGCTTAATCGAATACTTTAAAATAAAAGGCCAGGCTAGATTGTTGGTCCCAGTAACAGTGACTTGTAAAAAGTGAGTTGCTGCTGTGCTTATTATCCTGTTGAAGAGATGCTAAATCCATCATCCTCTTCTTACAGGCAAAGGGAAGCCTTTTAGGCCGGTTATAATGTAAAGTGATGTCAAGACTATGGGTGGAAAATATCTTCATATCTTCACCTACAGCAAAACAAGAAAAGAGACAATTTGCCAAGTAATAATCATACTCAGCGTTTCTACGTTACGGCAACTGCATTCATCATTGGAACACATTTGAATCATGAAGAGAGGAAAAATATCCTAACAACAGCGGTATGGTATCGTAACAAGCAGTTGGCAGTCGTGGACAAATATGCTCGAAGTGCATAACGATAGTAGAAGAAATAAAGAGAAGGTTGAGGCGGTGGTGATTAGAATGTCTTACTAGTATCAAAGTCATACTTCGGATAGTCAAAACAAGCGTTGATATGACGTAAATAGTACCTGAAAGAAACTGAAAACAAGTGACTCGAGATCTCCAGGCGGTGGTTACTGCAGGAGAAAGGGCTGAACAATGCGTGGCAGTGATAATCAGAGCAAACGAACTTCCAGTTGGCCCTATGGCTTTCACCGTTTGCTACCTATCGCGCTATATTCAATCAACTTGTAGGCGTGAATAAGTTACCTTCCCCATTGTGAGTTCATTTTTACTGCTTCATCTGAACATCGAAACTCCCTGGCTCTCGGACTCGTCAAAAGCAAGCTGCAGCAAAACAGCAGCATAATCATCTACAAGCAGCAACCGCCGTGAAAACTATACACCCAAAATCACATCTTCAGGGACTTCCCCAAGCTATATCAGTAAGTAGTTGCCCCTTCCATCCAATATCTCTAGCCTCACTCCCAGAAACTGACGTCAAGCAGATCCTCACCAAGCCAAGCAGCCCCCGAGACCGACAAAATGTGCGAGCAAGTTACAACAATCCGCCGCTGCACCACCTGCAGACAATACAAGAGCCAAATCATCCGCAACATCAACTGCGACAAAGTATCCATCTACAAGCTTGGCCTCTGCCGCAACGGGATGAGCTACCGCGACGTCATCGAAGACATTGAGTGCATTGATTGCTACACCAAGCGCGAGCGGGAAGTTGAGGCTGATAGAAAGAGACGATGGCTTGCGGCATGGCCTGAGGCTGAGCCTGAGGTTGAAAACGAGAAGAAGGATGAGGACAAGGAGGAGAAGGAGGATGATGGCGCAAGTGTGGCAACGGATGACATGACGGTGAATAGTGAGGAGTCTTGGAACGTTGTTTGATGGTATGTACGCGACAAGACTCGACTACTTGAGAGGTCTTGCTTTTGGAATTATGAAGTGTTGATTTGAGCGACTCTGCGGCGATACCAGGTAAAGGATAAGAAGCTACTCAACTTGCACCCTGCAAGCTATGAACAAGGAAAGGCTCATACGGCTCTCCAAACAAGCTGTTGCATAATCATGTGGGATTGTTGCATGTTTGTGCGAAAGGCATGGACAACCCAACAGTGATAAAAGGCCATTCAGAGATGGTTTCCAAGTCCGTCCTCAAAGGTCCTCTGAATATAAAGCCTGGGTCTTTCCGCCCTCATTATTGATTTTTAGCAGTAAGATACATGTAATCACGTCACCCGCATTCACGTCTAGCCACAAGGTGTACTAGGTTCTATTTATAAATAGTAGAAGCTTCAGAGACAATGTAAGGTTACTTCTTCTACTCTCCAACGTCCATGTATGATACTAAAAGCTCGAGCAGACTACAGAGTACCGTTCCCAAGTTCCTCAACTTTCACTCTATTCAGCATTTACAGCGGGAAGCAAAGCAAGAGATGTGTTTAAAAAGTACTAAATTCAACGAGTGCAGCTGTGGATCCACGTGGGATGAGGTCATATCGTATGCCATATGTGATGAAGTCGATACCGACAGATTGGGACAAGGTAGTATTGGTCTTCAACCGATAGAGACAAGGACCCCAGCTGAATGCAATGTTTGTCGAGAGGAGAGAGAGCGTAAGGACAGGGAAGAACGAGAGAAGGTTGACGGTATTCGTGGAAGACATGTTTGCTTTGATGATGACATAGTGGAGATCCCATAGAATTGATAGGCGAGGAGGGGTGCTAGGAATGGCGAGTTTGGTATATACAAGTCCTAGAAATGCAACAAGCCGACAGTTTAAAGCAACACCTTTATACTAGGAAAACGACTTGAGAGTTAATATTGATATCGCTCGCTGCCTGATTATGAACCTTGTCAAGGTTGTTGAAAACTGTACTACCAAAGAAGATGACTTGCTGTGTTACCTTGTCATTACTCTCTTTGACTTCGCCCTTCATCATCTGAAGAATCTTGGTTTTTACAAATTTATAGCCTTCGTTATCGCTAGACTCAAACTTGTAGATGCTGATATGGTTCGCTCTGAGGGGTAGCGTCTCGCCAATACCGGGATGCGAGGCAGGCTGATCCTCAACAATCTATAACAACATCAGTGCCCGCGCCAGTCCTCTAGGGAAGAGTTCCAGTGGTGCATACTCGAATACCTCCAGTATCCAAAGTCTCAAAGAAAAAGACAATCTGGACTTTGCTTTCAGCATTGCTGTTACGCTTCCTAATAACTTCCGGAAAAGCCTTTCAAAGTTCTTGTAGATCATCTGAGTACTCCTTGAGTGTCTTGAGCGTATTTTGATCAGTCTTTTTCACGACATTGAAGATCTTGCGGACCAGCTCTCCCCACTTGGCTGCATTTGAGCCAGCAAAAGGGGTGCCGAGGAAAACCATGCCGGCCACATCCCTCGCTACAGCCTCGACATCATGCCTTGTGCGTTCCTATCCCCAAGGATGATGGGAGTCGCACAGACTAATCCGCCAAGACTGTGAGCGACCAGGATGATGGGACGAGAGCTCGAATCTGTTGACGATCTCTGCTCCTCAACCAAAGAGCATAGACTACGAGCTTCGTGGTCAAGGCTACCCTGCGTGACGTGAGCAGAGTCGGAGTGAATAATGGTGGAGTCATAGACGAAGCTCATGATGCGTGAGTTGGGATATCCTGGGCGAGAAGCTCCTCAGGCCAGAGAACTCCGTCTCTTGACCATGTCTTCTCGTGATGGCCTCGGAGGCCATTAACGAAGAGTATACTGGGTATAAGGGACTTCTTATCTGGTATTATTATTATTCAAGGTTGGGCTTACTCGACGTCGCGGGTTTCTCTCGTGTAACAGGCATCAAGGCCATACTTTGCCATTGCATAGTCCCAAGCAGCCTATATAATCTTACTGAAAGCAGTCAGAATTATATCAGATTTTATTAAATAGTCCAAGGATAGTCTAAGGTAATTATAAATTTTCTCATGTCTATGAACACCTAGCACATCTTATCTATATATTCACTGCCACAGGGTTCAGGCAGACCGCTGCTGTAAGGCAGTCAACCTGGTGCGGCTGAGTATCCCTAGCGCAGATATATCAGGGTCATCAGGCCTATCCTCGCTATCGTAATGTTTCATTCTGGGTTGAAAATGGTTCCGTGTTAGCCGCTGTGGCGCATCAAGGCTGATCAGATTGGGGGAGGAAAGCTGCATTAGGCTTGCAGGGGTCTTGGAGGCCACATTCCTCATCTTCTCATTTGCGTGCGCAGTTCATCTGCTGCAACCAAGATTCTTGAATCTACGAGTGCTGCGTGGTCATTAAAATTCTCGAGGCATGTTTCTCTTGCTTGGAAATTTGACATTCCCTTCTTCTTATACCTACATATATTTCGCGAGTCAAACAAGGTACCCTTAAGCAGCCCATTTGAACCCGTGGCCCTGCAAGCGACCGCACTGAGACTGGACCCAGCACATTTCACAACAAGAGCCCAGTGCAATACCAGGCCGGACGAGACATGTACTCAACAATCGTCGCGCCGGGCCCAGACCCTCTTCCCCATAACCTTTCCTTAGAAGAGCTTCGTCAATATGCCAAATCATCAGAAGAATCGCCGGAGACTCGAAGACTCGCAGCTGCCCGATTGGAGGACAAGCTTGCTTTTCTCAAGGCGGCCGATGACTGGCTTCTTCAGCATTGTTACGTCAAAGAGAACCTCGAAATAGAGCGACTGTCAGGGGAGCGACTACCTCTTGAACGATGCTACATTAATCTCATGATTATACCTCACGCCAGGAACCAGACTTCTCGACTTTCAAATCTTACACCCAACAACAAAATAGCAAATCTGTCTTTGTTTCGACGGTTAAATGTACAGGGCTCTGACGGCGGCGTCAAAGTCAGATTCCACGACATTTTTAACACCGCCCGGTCTCACGGCGCGGCGTCAAAACAGTCGACACGAATTCTCATTCGTGGTCAAGCAGGTGTAGGAAAGACGACTTTCTGCAAGAAAGCTGTTCACGATTTTGTGCAGAACCAGGTCTGGAAGCAACACTTTGATCGCATTCTCTGGGTCCGACTGCGGAACTTGCTGTCGCGCAACGGATACAACCTTGAGGAGCTCTTTTGCGACGAGTTCTTCTCACAACATCCAAAATGCAGCGACCTTGCCGGAGCATTACGGGATGCATGCACTGATCCCGGTGGAGGTAGAACACTATTCCTGCTCGACGGTCTGGATGAGATCTGGCATTTGTTGCAGCCCGGCGACGACCTAGCACGATTCGTCATATGCCTCCTAAATCAACCCAATGTGTTGGCACTATCGCGTCCCTCTGTTCCAATCCGATCGAGCATACGACCGTTTGACCTGGAAATCGAAATGATCGGCTTCGGGACAGATCAGGTTTACGAATACGTCAAGCACATGGAACCCGAAAGACATAAAGACATTCGGTCATTCCTCTCGTCTCGCCCGCTCATCGAAGACCTCGTCCGTATCCCCATTCAGCTCGATGCCCTTTGCTATGGTTGGGACCAAGTTCACAACCAGGGTCCTGAAACTATGACGGACCTCTACCAGTCAATCGAAAAAGGTCTATGGAGGAAGGATATCGTACGTTTGGGAAAGTCAAAGACTGGGTCAGCTGTGACTGAGGACGACAAAATATCTGACATTGAGGTTGAAGAGCTGATCGAAAACGAAAGAAGATTAATCGAACAACTTGCATTCACTGGATTGTGTAATAACATTGTCGAGTTCCAAGACAAACACGTCAATATTATTTGCCGATACATCAGCACACACTCCACCTTGGTCGACAAGACCTTACCGAAGCTTTCCTTTCTACGGACATCAGACTCGTCAGTCGGAAAACCGAGTCGTACCTATCACTTTCTGCATCTGACCCTGCAAGAATACTTCGCCGCCCGGTACTTTGTGCGCATTTGGCTGCAGAACAACAAGGCGGATCTTGTTTGCATCAACTTCGACCAAAATGAGAAATTGCATGCAAGCACCTCATCTCACACAGCCATGAAACCGAAGGACTTCTTTGCTCAAAACAAATACTCATCTCGCTATAACATCATGTGGCGTTTTGCTACGGGACTATTGCATTCAGGGGGGAATGGCTCCGATGAATTGGCGTTGCACTTTCTCCAGGCCATGGACACTAAGCCACTCGATTTAATAGGCGTAGCTCATCAGAGACTGACAATGCACTGCCTCGCAGAACTGCGTTCTTCAATATCATCGGAAAAACTCAAAAGCCATAGAAGCCGACTTGAGGCTCATTTAGTGAGATGGGTTACCTTCCAAGCTCAAAGCAGGAAGCTCAAAGAGGGTACATTAGCCGACGAACCCGAGTTCCCCAACAAGACACATTTAATGATGTTACAAAATGAGGACCCTTTCATCTTCCGGGCCGCATTGATGGCTTACAAGAAGAGGATGCGCTCTGGGTCCCGGGTTCCGCTCGAATTTGTGCATGTCTTGACATGTCGGCTCAGAAAGGCTGGCTTTGAGAAGACACAAAAGTATGGTGGTCCCTTACTTGAGAATGATGTCTCTATGATAATAAAATCTCTTGGTCCGCCAGAATACTGGACAGAAAGAGTAAAACTTGCATTAAGTCTGAGTCTTGAAAATCGGAACCCTTGGGTCGCATCTGGTATTCTTTCTGCTCTGAACGACTATCCAGAGATCATAGCGACTTACATCGAAGCTATCTCTACCATTCTGGACTCTGATGATGCTGGTCTAAGATGGCGGACCATGGTAAGGTTGAGCGGACAGAAGAGCCTTCCTCAATCGACTCTTGACCGCATGGCAAAGTTTCTTTGCAGACCAGACGAGACACGTCTTGCTAGAGAAAGAGTGCTTGAGATCCTGACAGCTGAGTCTTACTGGACCAAATATCTGACTCTGAAGGCAAAAGAGGATGAAGGTGGCGAGAAACTAGGGGACGACTTAGTGGATCTTGTGCAGACTGGCTTGAAGCTCATCGAATACGGAAACCTAGAGAATGTGGCTATTGCAACCTTGGCACTTGGTTACCAAGACCAGCAACTACCGAGAAAGGCTATCAACGAGATCTTGACGAACCTTTTGCGAAATGATGTAGTTATTAGACTGGCTTCTTTGGATGCATTAGCTCGTCAGACAAATCTTGGGATTGAAGATCTAAGAGCCGTTTCTGATCGTCTGGATAATCCGAACCGTGCGGTACAGCTTGCTGCCGTCAAAGCCCTTGAGGGGCGAAGTGAGCTATCACGCATGGATGATACGCTATGCTCCCTTGTCAAGTTTTTGAGGGTCGGGTCTTTGGATATCGACTCAGAAATACGACTGATAGTGGAGAGAATTTTGCGACGCCAAGAGTTCCTACCCGTGAGAGTGATGGAACTTATGATCTGCTGTTTCAACGATGAGACCACTACACAAACAGGGCGCCAAAAGCCCCTATTTATCCCTGGAGGGTTCTCAGATGTTATGCCGCCATTCCCAGAAGCGGCACTCAATAAAGCCATCTTGTATCTTCGATCTGATCATCGGAAGATCCGGCGGGGGGCGCTATTGTTGTTCGACGGTCAATTAAAACTTCCCGAGACCGTGTTAAGAGCAATTATTGAGTGCCTGGTGGACGATTACGAGCCCATACGTCGGCAAGCGATGAAAACCTTGGAGAGTCACCGATCGGATTTAAATGAGCGACTTTACTCGGCTATAGACTACCATCTGGATGTCGAGGATGGAACGAAGAGAGACTTGGTGTTCCATACCGTTTACAGAACAGCCGGTTGTGCGGAAGCTGTACTGCGAACCATTGAAAAAGCTCTACATGATAAAGATAATCTCATACGACTCAATGCTCTTACATATTGGATCCAGCACCCAGACATTCCCGGCAGACTTCATGAGGCTGTGGCTGCCTGCTGTGAGGCCCTAACACACAAACACCCCAAAGGAAGGCATGGCATGATTAAGATGCTTTCTCGTGAGGCCAGGAGATTCTTCCCTGACACGAGGATCCTTTATGCTCTTGCGGAATTTCTTAACGATGACGACGTGGATATCCGGCGAGATACAGTCAGTTATCTTTCGCGGCATCCGAACGTACCTCCCAGAATAACTGCCCGGATAGCCTCGAAGATTTCAGAATTTCCGGATGATATTTTCCAATACACCTCATCAATGACCATTCTTCTACAACATAACGATGCTTATGGAGTGACGTTAGCTAGAGCTAAAGTGGATGAACAGCTCAAATTTCTTCTCGAGAGGTCAGATACGATGCATATTGCGTGGTATATGAGGAATGGGCAGAGCCTGATCGAAACGGGTAGTGGTGTGATGTATAAAGAGTTGGAGAATCCCAGGGCTTTTGCGAATGCGATTGAGAAGGCTAGGAAGAAGGCGGAGATGCCTGATGTTGTGGCAAGGGTGCCATGGCAGTGGATGGGATTTGAGTGGTGACTTCTCAAGGGTAGTTCCCCGGAGAGAAAAGTAACATCGGTTGGCCAAAACAAACTCATCACAGAGTCCCCTCACCTTATGCTGACTTACCTTAACACTTTTGTCGTTTAGGATGGAGGTCCCAAGATTTCGTCCCATGCCTAGAAGGTCTACAAGGGTCTCATGGGTCATTCTGAGATTAGCGAGGTATTTTAGTGATGGATTACCCGGGCGTTGGGTTGATTATGGATACTATATACATTTCAGTTGGTTATTTACTCAACATATGTGTTTGATATTAGATCATTTCTCTTCAATTTTTCTTCCTCATTACCTACGAATTTCTGTTATTGTCGCTATTGTAGGTCTAATTTTGGAACCCTCTGCTTAGCCCCCAGGATCATGGTGCTGCGCCCATGCACTCAGCCCTGTCAGGCCTTGCGGGATATCCACAGCTCTTACTGGCTGTTTAACGACACTTCAGCATGGGTGTATGCTGACGTTCTGGTTCCCTCCGTTCAACATCAACTTTAATAACTCGAGCTCACTTATGAAAACTTATGGGATCATATCAAACTCATATCATTCTCAGACAAAATGGCATCCAATATGAAAACATGTTTTGTTGAGCGCAAGGACGCCATTCAGGTCCACGATCACTGTCCCGAGCGGTCCTATGTTGAGTTGGAAGTGCCGCAAGATGCAAAGAGAGTCACTGCAGTTACTTTCGGTGGCATATCTCGCGATCAAGGTCAGTGAATAGGCCTTTGTCTTTCATCAGATGTAACTGACATGTCAAACAGGCTGGGCAGACAGATCAGAAGCAGTTTCTTTCACCTGGTGGGACGCTTCAGTAAAGCGTCCTGAAGGCCGTGGAGATCTACGCACGATTACTGTACTCAATAACCGTCTGGCAAACGATGAGCCCCAGAACTGGTCTGATCGATGGACTGTTTTTCATGGGCCAAGACGGCGACTCTGGATTGAAGCCCTGCGACCAGGCGATATTATTCAGTTGATTCCTCGAGCTATGTATATGGCATGGGTGAATATCATCGACGAGGGAAGCATCAAGATTGAATACGAACCTAAGGAGTTGGAGGAAGAACTTCAAGGCCTGCAACTTACCTCAAATGCTTCGCATTATGCTGGGGCGTTGAGTGTTGAGAGGCAGGATATTCGGCTTCTTCACGTTGAGCCAGGGACTTTCGATGGCCCGATCAGATGTTCCTTTCGCGTGGCAAGCCTGAAGGAAGTCGAGGCCAAAGGGATCGACTTCCACGCACTGTCGTATTGCTGGGGAGATCCTACCGAGCGAGAGGAGATTTTCTTATCGAAAGAGGGTGACTTCGACAATGAAAAAGAGGGGACGTCCTTTAGTATCGGAAAGTCTGCTGCCCAGGCTCTGCGCCGTTTGAGACTAGAGAGAGAAACTTTGGTCATTTGGATCGATGCTGTGTGTATCAACCAGGATGATCTTGAAGAAAGAGCACAACAGGTTACGCTCATGAGTCAAATTTACTCTTTAGCCTCCGTCGTTCATATCTGGCTTGGAGAGGATAACCACGGCGTTGAAGCTTGCTTGAAGCTTATCCGAGATATCTGCAACTCAAACTCCGGACTATGTCAAGGCGGTGAACAATGCTCATGCGCTGGAACAGCCCACTCAGCTCCCCTTGAAGAGGTTAGGGCGTATGAGCAAAGCAAGAAGAATGAGGGTAAGGCTATCTCATTCAAGGGGATGTTGGAAGTTTTCGACATCCACTTGAAGACTTGGACAAGGGAGATCATAGACCTTGCGGGCTGGTATGGGAACACGCAACTATCGTTCCTCATGAGCACTCTCTACGAGAACCCATGGTTCACGAGAGTATGGGTTATCCAGGAAGCTCTATCAGCAAAACAACCCTTGATTCACTGCTCGGGGGAGCAAGTCCCCTGGGAAGAAGTGGTGCAAGTCAGCAACTGGCTTGAGAATCCTGGATACTCCAGCCAAAACCCCCATATTGTCTCACAGCAGATTTCCATGGCGGCTATTTGGAAGACATTGAAACCAAAGGGAAAGACTACGGAGGTTCCGACTACCCCAATCGAAACACAGGATACGAACGAGTTATCGAGTATTTTAGAAGTGTTTCTTTCGGGCCTGGATCTCAAAGCAACCGATCCTCGGGATAAACTGTTTGCTTTACTTACCTTTGCGAATGAGACGCATGATACTACGAAGTTGGATGACTTGATTCGACCTAACTACGACAAGTCCAAGGAGAGAGTATTTGCTGACTTTACGCGCTGGTGGATCCGAGAGCACAACTCAGTGGCTATCTTGTCGTCTATCCATTGTCAACCATCACGAACTTGGGTCAAGATTCTGGGGCCCGAAGCCCAAGATCCAGTGTCGAACCGACCGACTTGGTCTGTTGACAGCAGAGGAAGCTCAAGACGGACGCAGGCCAATTTGAACGCCCGCTTCAAATTCAAAGCAGCAGGCGAAACAAAGCCAGACCTTGACCTCCTCAAAACCGACGATCCTCTTGTTCTTCGACTCTCAGGTCTTCACATTACCGAGATCAAGAACATTAGCCACGCACCTATCGAGTACATATACCCTTACCAAAGCCCTGTCGAAAAGCAAAGCGAATTATCTCAAGTCTTCGATAAGATCTTCGATCCCTGTGCCCTGTCACCATTCTGGTCAAGAAACCAGAGTCCAGATGGCTTCAAAACAGAAAGCAGTGAGACATGCAACATGAAATACCTTGACCATATGCGCTCTCACTGGAACTACCGTGCGCGAGAACCACTCGAAGTGCTGAAGCCAAGCGCCGGCAAAGAGTTGGAGCACTACAAGACGAATAAGCTTCCAACATGCATGGAACCTTGCTTTTTTGCCACGACTTCGGGGTTGTTTGGATTGTGCCCTTGGCGATCGAAGGAGGGAGATGTGATCGTGTTGCTTGATGGAGGTAATGTGCCTTATTTGCTAAGGCCTGTTGGTGAGCAGAAGTTTGAGTTGGTTGGTGAGTGTTTTGTCCAGAGGATTATGCATGGGGAGATATTGGAGGGGTTGGCGAAGCTTGGGGACGGGCTTGGGAAGAGGCAGGTTTTCAGTATCGTTTGAGGATCCATTTGTAGTAAGCAAGCGATTTCGCAAATTGGTAATTCTTGCAATTTTGAGACTGTGATTTTGGGATATAGATAGTCTGAACAGCATGTGTGAAGGTTTGACCAGAAAATTAATCTTTTACGCTATGGAGTCACTATACAAAGTAAATTCTGCCACTACAAAGAGATACAACCCCCTCACGATCTCAAGTACCTGTATCCATAGTAGCCAAGAATGCCCGTCCCCGACACGGCAGTTGTCAAGATAAACACCAAGCTCGTCACAATACCCTGCTCGAAGAAACCAAGCTTCGTTCCCTTGAGCTTCCGCTTCATCTCAGGAAGTCTCTTTGTAGCTTCCTGATCCAGCGCACTTAGCTCTCTGGTTGAAGTTGTGTTGACAATCTTGTCGAGCTTGTTGTCAGTGGCGGATTTGGTAAGATACTTGGGTTTTAGGCGGGAGAAGAGATCTTGGTGGTAGATGTTGTTGGTTCCGGATTGGGGAGGGATGCCGAATGGTGCGGTGGGGGAGTCTGGGCTGTTAGTACTGTTTCTGAGAGAAAGGGGTTTGGTAACTTACAAAGAAGTTTGGTGGGAATGTGGTTGACAAAGCTCACGTCTGTATCCACGAATTGGCATAGATACTTGGCCATAGCGGGATTGGTGAAGATATAAGCAGCGGCCAGAGATCCAATACTAGAAAGGTCAGCCATGTTCATCCAAACAGGGGTCTTCATACTTACTCTCTCGAAGTATCAATAGCATCATCCATACTAGTAACAGCATGTACAATAAGCGTCGTCTCATCAACCTTTTGGCTCAGCAAACTCGATTGTCTGCTCTCAACATCAAGAATCACACCATTCGACCCAGAAAGCACAACATGCACGGAATCATCCTTCTCAACCACTTTCGACAATGCAGATTTAGGAGCCTTGGACTTGTTCGGTGAGTTGGCTAGGAACTCAGTGCTCTGCTGTACAAGAGCACAGAGTAAATCCTTCTTGACCCATTCGTTGACGAGAACGACGTCAGGGGCGTAGGGGGCTTTGCCTTGCAGGCTGAAACGTGCGGATACAAGAGCTTTGGCGGCGGCTTGGATATCTGCGTCTCGTTCCACGAATGCAACTACTGGTGCTTCGGGGTCTGAGACGAGGTGGTCTTTCAGAATGGGGCCGTCTGAGCCATTTTGGGAGACGCGGATGTGAGGAAGGTTGATATCTTCTGCTGTGACTTCTTGATTTGAGACTGTGAAGATATCTCTATCCAAAGACTTGGCGATCAAATCTAGCACAATCTTTGGTGTCTCCCGTAGTGAGTTTTGAGCCTATACTCATTAGTTTCATATTATCTCAAATAAGCAAAGGAACTTACCTGCACAACAACACAGTTCCCACCCGCAAGAGCCGGTGCCAACGCCGCGATCAATGCATAAAAGAAGGCATGATACGCCGGCTCAATGACAACAATACCAATAGGTTCCCGACTAGTAACATCGTCATGGCCCTTCGTAACAGCATACTCGTCCTCAATCGCCTTGACCGGATCAAGCGATTCATGCGCGTCCGCAATAGCCTGCAGAGCAAGCCAATACTCAACCTTTACCTCAGCAGTTTGATGTTTCGTATCTTTTACGATAGCATCTTGAATCTGCACCGCTTTATCTGCTAACGCGCTGTGAAGATTTCTGAGTTGGTCTTTTCGGTAGAACGGGTTGTGAAGACGCCCGTCGATGGCTGCTGACCTAATTGCTGCGAGTGATTTCGACATTGTGATGATGATGGTGATTGGCACTAAGCTGATGTTGGAAATTGGAGATGTGTTGAGATACTTGAGGACCCCTATTTTGTGATGCTAAGAGCTCAAGAGTCAGAGGGACAAGTTTAGGGTTGACTCCGGACCCCGGATTCTCCATCGGTTCGGGTGAGGGGGTCTCCGCGTCGTACTCCTCCACATCCCGAGTGGAGGTCTCATCAAACCATAATGCCCCGAATCACCCGGTAAAGTTTGAACGGCAAATGAGAATAAGGCAAAAATGCAACCTCAGTAAATTTACCAACACGTCTATCAATTCCTGCCCCAGAACCTCAAACTTGACATCAACATCTTCACCATGTCGACCACTACAGTAACTCACACGCAAAACGGCGACTTTCATAGCTCCATCCTTCGCGATTACGAGCTTCACCACTCTCAAGCTCGCGAGGAATCGCCGGATTGTCGGACATCGCCTGTGACGTCCGCAGAGCACCCGGAATTTGATCTGCCGCATCGTCGTGTGCCTGAGTATAGGCCGCTTAATCGGGACCCCGCGCATATCAATGGTGTTCGCGTCTATACGAGCACGGCTGAGAGGTTCTTCATCACTGCCATGTTTAGAGGCCTGAGTGTCAACGCTGTAAGTGTAATTGATAGATGTTATGAATATGAGCTGATTTGAGAAGGGCGCTGCTCAATATTGGAGGGCGTCGATTGGAAGGTTTACGGATAAGGTGTGGAAATATCAGGTTGGAGGAGAGTTTTAGATCAGCAGTTGAATTGTTTGAGGGTCGGAGTTTACTATTGAATTTCTTTTGTTATTCAACCATATATCAGATTTATCGAATTCTTTCATTTTTCAGTCTGGCTTTTGTTACATGCTTCCAACTTGCAATTTCTGTTGTGAAACACAACTCAAATAGTCAAGGCTAGACCTATGGGCATTCAGATCATTCGAATACGATTCTACAAATAACTCTATGATTCGGCTATATATGAAGCTATATTCTACTTCAAGGTTCTTTAAGAAGATATCAAAGGCTCTCAATTTTAATGACCTTGATTAACGTATGGCATTGTACTCAATAGAAAGTTGCCAGGCATTTACAAATGACAAACATCATCATTTTATTTACACTCGTTCTTAGTCCAAAATCAAATCTCTCTACTCGGAAGCCTTAACGCCCTCCATATTTCCATAATCCTCACCCAACTCCTTACCTCCAACATCAGGCTTCGTCGACGGCAAAAGCACATACAACATCCTCGCCCACTCCGTCTCACTAGTGTTTCTCCACGCATGCATAGTAGCCCTCTGCACACAGACATCACCCCTCTTCAAGACCTTCTTATCCCCCGAATCCAAAATCAACTCCACCTCACCCTCCAGCACAACACCGTAGTCAAGACTCACAGTGCGGTGCATAGGTGAAACATGACCAGGGCACATATCGACATAGCGGAGGATAGTGCCGGTTGAGATACTGAGCCCTGGTTGGTTGGTCAGGAAGCCTTGGTAGGATTCCACGTCGGCGTTGTTGGTGAGCTTGGCGGGGAACTCTTTTGTGGCGTAGCCTAGTGCGAAGTGTGCTTCGCCGTTGGGGAGGGCGTAGAAGGGTGCGTCTGAGTTGATTGATGTGTCGATTATGGCTTTGCCTTCATCATTGTGTGTTGTGATGATGCGTTGGGTTTGTCTGAGTTTGCCGTTGAGAGCCATTGTGAATTTTTGTAGTTGACAAACTTGGTATATAGCTGATTATGGCAGATATTCCGTAAGCTTCCCGAATATTGTTCGAAATTGATGCAGTCCTCTCGTTCTATTTCTCCTCATCATTTTATGTCAACCGCCGGATATACGACCTCATTTTTCCTTACATACCCGGGACAATCTCCCCTCAATTTATTCATCGGGATGTGGAGGGCGCCAGTATCAACCGATTGCCGATCGTCCACTTAACCCTTCGCGGGGTTCTTCGGAATTCAGTCCTCGGGATAGGATAGGTGACTAATGAACGATGGATAATACGTGACTAGAATTGAGTTGAAGAGAACTATCATTTTTGCCATCTTAACTGTAACGTTCCGAATGAATCGACGATTGCTTATCCCTCAAGAACAATAAACACTATGGCAGCCACAGACTTTGCTCACCATTTCACCGAGAAGAACATTCCTTTCGGAATAGCCTCCTCTCAGTCTCATAAGACTCCCCAAGCTGCCACCAGACTCGGAAATGCTGTGATATTCCTGAATGATCTCGTGGAAGAGTTATTCAAGGGTGTTGATGCCCTCCCTAGAGGTATATTTAACGAGCAGACTCTGAATTCTTTTGCAGCTCTTCCCAAAACTGTACATCAAAATGTACGGAAGCAAATCCAACAAACCTATCAACAGAATGGCCTCGATGGTTTCCCTTCAGGCAGCAAAGAAGATATCAATGCTGTGACGATGCATTTGCCTGTGGAAATCAAAGACTTTGCGGGTATGAAAGACCCCCCTCGTTACTGTTATAAAACACTAAATTTCAAACAGACTTCTCCTGCTCTCTTGACCACGTCATAAATGCAGGGCGTATAGTAGTCAACAACGGAACGCCACCACCCGGCTTCTTCAAGTTCCCAGTTGGATATCAAGGCCGAACAGGCTCTATCGTGGTTTCAGGAACAGATATTGAGCGTCCTTATGGACAATTCAAGAACCCTGCTGCAGCTGAAACGGATGATCCTATCATTTATGCACCGTCTCAGAAGGTTGATTATGAAGTTGAGCTTGCAGCCGTTGTTGGAAAGCCGTTGGGCATGAGGCAGAGACTTCATGCTAAGGATGCTGAGGAGCATATTTTTGGTTTTGTAATTCTTAATGATTGGAGTGGTAAGCACTTAGCCAACCTACTTATGGAGATGGACAACTAACAGATTTAGCTCGAGATATCCAAGGTTTTGAAATGTTCCCTCTCGGCCCTTTCAACGGCAAGAGTTTAGGAACTTCCATCTCTCCCTGGATTATTACCCTTGATGCTCTAGAGCCTTTCAGAACCAAGGCCCAAGAGCAGAAGGCTATATCAGCCTCATATCTCCAGCATCCCAACCCCTCAACATTCTCCATCAACTTGAAAGTTGAAGTCTTGGCAAACAACAACTCCACAACACTTGGTGTTTGTCCGGTCGAGTCTCTATACTGGACTCCTCAGCAAATGGTTGCGCACTCAGTTAGTTCGGGAAGTGCGCTTAGGACCGGTGATCTCCTGGCCACGGGTACTGTTTCTGGTTCTGAGGAGACAAGCAGAGGTTGTATGCTTGAATCAACAGAGGGCGGCAGCAAGCCTGTCACTTTGAGTGATGGGTTGAAAAGGGGATTTCTTGAGGATGGTGATGTTGTGAGGATAACGGGATCTGTTGGTGGAGATGGCTCGGGAGTTGGATTTGGTGAATGCATTGGCCAGCTTACTCCTGCCCATCCTTATTGAGTTGGATGTTATAGATACATGAAGAATAGAGAGTCTTATGTGATTCAAAGCATGTTATTTTCATATAAATCCAAATGGCTGACCGAGGCCATAAATATCTATTCTTTGTGTGTGATCTGGGCCCCCTATCTAGTTGTTGAGGTGAATGTTTCCCTTTCGCGAAGTGCGAATCCTTATGGAACCTGGGTCTCCTTCAAATACTGTTTTCAAAACCTCTAAAACTTCATTTCCACCAATAAATATGGTCAGAACACCAGGCATCACCAGCTAATCAGAGACACAACTCAGTATAGAATCAAAGGACTTCCTACTATGAAATGCTGACCTCCATATGCGTACAAAACTTAACTCGCTAGTCAACCCTTCGAGCATGAGAAATATCATCCACACCTCTTCCATACTCGACCTTACTCTTAACAACACCATAAACAGGAATCTGAGAGAACCCAGTCGCGATATGGTTCAACGTAGGTAAAGTATCCCATGTACCAGCTGTAAGATCCAAGTCACCGCCACTTCCAACCAACGTCTTCTCAACCTGTCGCTTCGTCGTCTCCAACCCATCCTCGATGAAGACAGGATACGCGGCATCGGCAACACCAGGCTGGCCTACTGCAGGCACATATCGGTATACCAAAAGTCCTTGTTCTTCTGGCAGAGGAGGACCACCAGGAGGACCAACAGGAGGGTGATGGCCGTTTGTTCCGTTGACGCCATTTGTGCCGTTGACACCATTTGTATGTCCGTTGGTAGCCTCTCCTAGACCCTTGAGTGTGATATCGACGAACTCGGCTCCTCGCCAACTACAGCGAATGCTAGTGTTGGCTCCCTTCTCCACAACATCAATATCACAGAAGAGCTTAGGCATACCAAGCTCCTCACGACCCGTAACGATAGGATCAGCCAGGTTCTCTAATAGAACAGCTAGGAAAGACCCATAGATCTTGCTACCGTCCTTCTTCTCATACTGAACACCATGGATCCAAAGACCGAAGAACTTGTAACCGCCACCGCCAAGCCACTTCATATCCTTCAACTCTGTGCAGGAGTATGTAGCTTCAGCGACGGTACCGGGCTTGTAGAAGCTGAACCGGTCTGTGGGGAAGAGAGTCTTCAGGTAAGGAGCCGAAGACTTGAAACGGACCGACCAGGTAGTGAACGAAGAGTCATTGCCGTTATATCGTTGTCCGTGGAAATCTTGTCGAGGACTGGGCATGGGGCCGAATGACACAGGTGACTTCCAGTGCAGGTTCTTATTTTGAGACCAGAGATAATCTCTGAGAGCCTTCTTGGTGTTATGCCACTCATCATGACCGAAGTTGTAGTTGAGGAACTTGAAGACTATATAGTTGTCAGCTTTGAAGCGTGAGTAGGTGTTACTTCACTCACTGTTGAACTGGGCCCGCTTCTCCTCGTCAAGATCCTCGCCAGCTTGTCTGGTGAAAGTTTGAACTGTGTGAGCTCTCTCATCTCTGATCTTCTCATACAGAGCCAAACGGCTGGGAACGTCGTTGGCTGTTGTGCCGGGGGGGAATAGTGCAACTAGTGATGCTGCATCCTCGATGGCGATACCACCACCTTGTCCTTGATCTATAGGCAATTAGCAACAGCCATGAAATGCTATGCGGTCCACTCACGAGGCAAGAATGGATGAGCCGCGTCTCCAAGAAGCACAAGACGATCCTTATGCCACGTTGAAATACGATCCATATCCAACAAGGTCCAGAGCTTCAGCTCGCTGACATCCACTAGGTCCAGAAGAGCAAGCACTCTTGGCTCAAAATCCTTGTAAACTTCGCGGAGGAGCTCCTTGCTTCCACCATTACCCCAACCTAGTAATGTCAGCGTTTATGCTGGTATAAGAGATATTCCTCTTTACTTACCTGATCCTTTGTTTGCTCCTGAAGTGATACTGCTGGGATGGATGGCAACAAAGTTCATAACCGTATTGTTGGAGCAAGGATACATGACTAGTCTGCGGTCATCGCCCATCCACATCGTCATTGTGCCTGTGCGTTCGGCGAAAGGCCTGGTTTTTCCATTCTTGAGGATATCCGAATGAGGAATCATAAATCGGAACGCGCTCTTCCCAGATCCATAAGGTTTGATATCTGAGCCGGTAACGATTGATCGCGTTATTGACTGCTCGTTATTAGTTTCAAGAGGTGATAAATGAGAAAATCTGCATTCTTACGCTAACGCCATCGGCTCCAAGAACCAGATCTCCAGAAACTGTAGTGCCATCTTCAAACTTGACAGTTGCCGTTGAAGGGTCGACGTCGACTACTGGGCTGGAGGTCTTGAGAATAGCTGGCGTTCCGGGGCCTTCGCGGGAAGTCGCTTGGTTCTTGAGGTTCTCATGGAGACTGACACGATGCGCAAGTACCCATGGCTACATTCGGTTAGCGATTGCTGCAGGAATAACACCGTGCAAACGTACGTGCTCCCAAACTGAGAGTGGTCCTTTGAGGTTGTTATCAAATTTCAGGTGTCCATCCCCTGTGTACTCAGTGACCTGAGAAGTCTCAGCTTGCCATTCAAATTCCTGTCATTTGTGCTACTTACGCCTTCAACACGATTTGCGCCAAAGCTCTCGGGGAAAACACCAAATCGCTTCAAAATTCCATGACAATTGGGGGCCAAGTGAATAGCAGCACCGACTTCTCTAGCCAGTTGTGATCTCTCAAACAGCTGCAAAGTATGAGTCAAAGTGGGTATTGTCAAGATAAAGCTTACTTACTGTTACTTTATGCCCTTGTTGGCGGAGACCAAGCGCAGCGGTTAAACCACCAATGCCTTATAATGTCAGCACTTTCGCAGGAGAGCAACTCCAAGATTAATAGAATTACCTGCTCCAACAATGAGAATGTCTAAAGGTCCTGTTGCTGTGTCTTGAGTCATGATTGCAAGTGAATAGTACAGTACAACAACTCAACAAGAGCGTACTCCGCAGATGTATATGACCAGGCGATGTAACTATTTCGTGCAGCTCTGAACTTAATAAACCCCAGACCCTACAAACCGTCTCATGATCAACCTTCCCCAGATTTACCCGTTTCCCCATCTCATCTCCTCCAAGTCCCCGATCTTACTTGCATCTGAGGGTTGCGCGTTCGGGACTCGGCCCCACGTAACCGAACGCCCTCCGTATCGGAACCCTCCACCTAACAAAGTTGGGGTCTCAACCGAAGGAACAACTCGGCGACAATCAAAAATATGGTGCAATTGAGGGGGAGTTATCCACTGAGAGAGAAGTGAAATAGGGCCTGTCATACGATATTTTACAAGGGCTTTTTTTGTCTTGGTCTTAGCATAACTCAATTCTACTACTACACCAATCATCACAATGCCGAACCCTATCAAGGCGGATATCCATACTGTGGATGAGGAGTCGTTTCCTTACATTTTCGAACAGAATGCTACTGTTTCTCTCAAGGCGGGCGATGGTCTAGTGAGACTCAATGTCTATCGGCCTAAGGGTGTTGACAAGGTTCCTGTTCTCGTCACATATGGCCCTTATGGAAAGGACATTTGGTATCAAGAGTGAGTTCTATTCCCTCTGCTCAGAAAATATCCACTAACATTGTTGCAGCTTCCATCCCAAGTCCTTCAGTGAGGTGAATCCTCAGCACAAGTCCCAGCACTCAGCATGGGAAACTCCAGACCCAGGCTTCTGGACCAAGCACGGCTATGCCGTTGTCCGTGCTGATGAGCGAGGTCTCGGCCAATCAACTGGCAAGCTTGACACCATGTCAAGAGGCACCAGTGAGGCCTTCTTCGACGTGGTTGAGTGGGCCGCCGAGCAACCTTGGTCATCTGGCAAAGTCGGTCTTCTTGGTATTAGCTACTATGCCGGAAGTCAATGGCGAGTTGCTGCCCGCAAGCCAAAGGGTCTGAGTGCCATTGTTCCCTGGGAGGGTATGTCAGATTATTACCGTGATCGGTGCCGACACGGCGGTATCTTGTCAAATGCTTTTATCAAGTTTTGGTGGAACCGCCAAGTAATCACGAATCAGTACGGTCGACCTGGTCGAAATGCTAGGAACTGGGGTCCTGATACTATCGAGGGTGATCTACCCGAAGAAGAACTTGAGGCCAACAGACAAGATCAGACTATCGATAATCAAGTCAACCGCTTCCGAGACGAAGCCTACTACGCTTCCAAGGAGTACGACATGGGCGATATCGAAGTCCCTCTCCTATCAGTAGGCAACTGGGGCGGTATTCTTCTCCATCTCCGCGGCAACATCGAAGGATACATCCACGCTGGTTCAAAGTTCAAGTATCTTCGCCTCATCACCGGTCGCCATGATCTTCCCTTCTACTACGAGGAGGAGGTCGAAATTCAACGAAGTTTCCTCGATGCCTTCCTCAAGGGTGAAGACCGCGTTGGCTGGTCCCAAGAAGGCAAGGTCGCTCCAGTGAGTCTTGTTCTTCGAAAGGGCAACGTTGGCTTCAACGACGCCGAGAAGGAGAAGGCTTATCCTCGACGGGAAGAGAGCGAATGGCCTATTGCCCGGACTCAGTATAAGAAGCTCTTCCTCACACCTGAGCAAGGTCTAAGCTGGGATGAGCCCAAGACAGAGCGTAGGAAGATTACTTACAAGGCTCTCGGAACACTGGAGAAGCCTGAGGTGATCCAGTTTTCAACTCCTGCTTTTGAGGCTGAGACAGAGATCACGGGCCACGTTGTCGCCCATCTCAATGTCTCAGTCTCCCCTGACCCTTCCGGCCCTACACCCAGTGACATTGATCTGTTTGTCACACTCCGCCACTTCGATCCTTCAGGACAAGAGGTCTTTTACACTGGCACGGCAGGTGATCCCGTCCCCCTAACGAAGGGCTGGCTTCGCGTGTCGCTGCGTAAGGTTGACCAAGAACACCCTAAGCACCGCGAGTGGCTTCCTCACAGAAATTACACAAGCAAGGATGTTCAGCCTGTGATACAAGGCGAGGTCTATGCCGTTGATATTGAGGTTTGGCCTACCAACGTTATCGTGGACAAGGGTGGCAAATTGGTGTTTGAGGTGTCGTCCGGTGATACTCAGGGGTCAGGTATCTTCTTGCACAACGACCCAGTTGACAGGTAAGTATAAATATTTGAGATTTTAGTGCTCATTGCTAACTGGTTTTTAGATCACCAGAGGTCTTCCAAGGTTCGAACCATATCCACTTTGGACCTCGCCAACAAAACTATATTACTCTTCCCGTGATCCCCAACTAGGTATTTAAATAGCATATAGACAGCATAATAGACTGTTTGTTCTCGTCTTCAAATACATCAACTGTGAGACAGCGCAAAAGTCCAAATACATTCCTCCACAGCACGACACAGTATTACATATGCAGCATGGCCGCTTGCACCCCACTATATAAAACTAGTACCCATCGAATATTAAGCTCGTCCAAACACTAGTATACCCTCCATTGACCACTACACAAAACACTAGAGCATATAGACAGCTACCATAGCAGCCGCCGCAGCCATTCCACCAATGCTTCCCTTCTTATTGATACTAGCTCCAGACACAGGGACCTGAGCCGTAGGAGTAGAAGCGGCACCCGAACCAGTAGGCGCAGCAGCTCCACTGCCTCCCTTGGTGTTTGATACAACCGTCAAAGGCTTCTCAGTGCACGAAGTAGTGGGGAGAGCCGAACGGGTGACGATATCAGGGGTCGTTACGGCCGAGGGACATGAGCTGCAGGTAATTGTTGTAGATGCAGAGTCAGCGGCGTGGACTCCTGATAGGACTGCATAGGCTGTTAGTTAAAGTATATGTATGCCTGTTCAAATGGATTATTTACCTGCAAGAGCAGCGATGATAGTAAACTTCATGGTTGCGTTTATGAATGAGTGAAAGTCAAAGAATGAATACTGGGCTTAGACAATCTGACAACGAACAACTCAGCGGGGAATCCAAGCAAATAAAACACAAAAATGATTAATAAAAACAGGAATGTCTTTACACATCCAACCTTTGTTAATTTAATGCCTACTTCCCAGCGTCTTTGTTGGCAATGACTATCAATTCCACGGACCAAACTCATCCCGAAGACTTTCGGCTGCTCGGAGAGATTACCAATTCCCCTGATCAACACCAATTTCTCAAAGCTCAAACTAAGACACATTATCCAAGCGCAACATCTACACTACCAACATACTACACTCTTAGACTAAACAAACGCGATGTTGACCGGATGGTGAATATTCCGAGCCATGTCTCACCAAATCCCAAACTATAACTCAATTCTCTCTAGCTCACGGAACCAAAGCCTTCCGAGATCCAAACGTCCCATAATTAGAAAACAACGCACAAATGATATTCAACGCTAGTTTCGAACTATTATTTACGGGTTCAAGAGTTGCCGAGCCAAGTCCCTGGCGATCATCGAAACGTGCCCGATTTAGTAATCTGTTTGAGCTACTTGGGAACCATGACGTCTTGATTCGGCATTTGGAGGCTTGTTTTGTTTGCAGTGGATGTTTCTTAGGGCTGAAACTTGGGCGGTGCGATACCTTTGGGTTCGGCTTTCGTTGGTTGGTTTGAGGGGAGATTGGCTGTCGGGAAGATCGGAGCGGAATGGTGAGAAGCCGAGTGGCATTTCTGGGGATAGTCAGGCTGTGTCAGTGAATTGAGATTGAGTGATCGGAGACAATATGTAATTTGGAGTCGAGACATCATGAGGGCGTTAGCGCGAAGGGACAGATGTTGAGTGCGGCGTGTGTAAGTATATCTAACATGCACTCCTGATTCCTGATAATCAATTGCACATATCATCACGGGCTGAATCATCTCATACTTCCACTGAAGCACTCTCAACCTTTACTTGATTCTCTTCAGGAAAGTCTCCGTTTCTTTGTTCACAATGTTCTTCTCTACTGCCCTTCCTCTATTGGCCGCTGGCCTAGCTTCCGCTGCTCCTGTCATCGAGAAGCGTGCTTCCGGACTCAACGACGGAGTCATTCTCAACTACGCTCTTACTCTTGAGCATCTTGAAGATAACTTCTATCGTCAAGGTCTTTCCAACTTTACTGAGCAAGACTTTGCGGATGCTGGTTACGACTCTACCTTTTACAACAACATCAAGAAGGTCTCCTCTGATGAGACTGCTCATGTTGACTTTATCACCAAGGCTCTCAAGGGTACGTTTGATACACAATGCACAAAGTGACTGGTTGTACTAACATACTTAGCTGCTGGTGTCACACCCGTCCAGGAGTGCACGTACTCCTTCGGCGTTACAGATGTCAAGTCCTTCCTCGCAACCGCCTCCGTCCTCGAGGGCGTCGGCGTCTCAGCTTATCTCGGCGCCGCAGCCGACATCATGAGCAAGACGTACCTCACCGCGGCCGGATCCATCCTCACCGTCGAGGCCCGTCACTCATCCTACATCCGGGGTGCGCTCAAGCAAGTCCCCTTTGCCCAGCCCTTCGATGCTCCTCTGAGCTACAACGAGGTGTACTCTCTTGCCTCGGGCTTCATCACCGGTTGTCCCAAGGAGAACCCTGCTCTTCCTGTCAAGGCCTTCCCTGCTTTGGCTGCTGCTGCTTCGGGTAGTGCGATCAAGACTGGCGATACTGTTACTCTTCAGACACCTGGGTATACCCTCGAGGGCGCTAAGGGCCAGAGTGTCTATGCTGCCTTCATCGCTGTTACCGGTCCTACGTTTGTTGAGGCCAAGGCTGTTGATGGTGGCTTCTCTGTTGAGATTCCCGAGGGCTTTGCTGGACAGACTTATGTTGTCCTTACTGGCTGCAAGGATGTCGTCTCTGATGACACCGTCGCTGCTGGACCTGCCATCATTGAGGTGAGTTGATACAATTAACAGCGAAGTAATCACAAGTAACTAATCTCTATACAGATCTCCAGCTAAGTCTGTTATGCTCCGATGGTACTCTTGAAGTTTGATATGGCCTGCAGAGGAATGATAATGGCTCGTGCTAGAAATAGCAATCTAATAAGGACGATTCTACATGTACATAATTAATTGCGTCGCTGAAGGAATTTGAGTACACGTCTCGGCACAAACATTTCAATCAATTAGCCTCTTATTTATTGCACGCTGTATATCAAGAGTTCTTCTAACAATCTGACCTGAACCAAATCTCCTCATGCTGCCGCTGTCGCAAGAGTCCTCGGCCATGATCCAAAAGTAAACTGACTGTTACACATATTCGTCAACTCCCAAGTCTCAGCCTTGAGCTCACCATAAACACCCTCATCCTCCTCATCACCAAACACACCCGCCACGAACAGAGCTGACATGAAGTGATCATCCGTGGCATGAGCGTCTCTATAAAGAGGGTGCTTCATCAACCTCGTCATCGCGCGTCTCAATCTCGGTCCGCTATTGTTCTTGATAACATCCTCAACAGCCTGTCTAAACTCGAGGGCCCAAGCCTCGGGTGGCTTCTCTTGCGCAAAGTTATCGGAGTAGTATAAAATGGGCGCCCAGATATTGCGGTATAGGTTATGTACTGCACCGCCAGAGCCGATTATGAGATAATTTTCTTTTCGAAGAGGGCGGAGAGTCTCGCCGACGCGCATGTGGTAGTGAGGATCGAAGCGCGCGTTCATGGAGATGAGTGTTGTTGGTGGGCAGCCGTTGGGAAACATGCGGACGAGGATGAGATATGTATCGTGGATCCAATCAAACTCGGTATTTCCAGAAGCGTTGAAGCCGGCGTCTTTGAGGAGGGAAATACATCGTTCGCCGGTCTCGAGATCGGGGTTGAGTTCGTAGTCGACGTATTTTGATGGGTGGACGTATGCGACGGGTGATTTGCCTGGTTTGGGGTTCATGGCGACTTGCATGCGATCGCCTTCAGCGTCCCAATGAGCGCCCTATCAATGCCAATTAGTCAATTGATTACTGTCGGAGTAGGTGGATGACATACCATCATGATAACACCCTTAATATTGTTGGCCAAGGCTTGGTCACCGGCCTTCTTCCAGTAATCGGCAGACTCGGAGTCTTCTCCCAGCATCATGGTCGAGCCATGGGAGAAGAAGTGAACTGGTGATAGATTGGCTTTCATGATGTCAATAATTTTGTCCAGAACCGATCAAAAGAACATACCCATTCTGGGACAAGTGTCAGTTATCTATATATTTATTGAAGCTGCCATAAATTAATTGCCGAGATTACAAGTATAGGGTGATTAAATCTCCATCGGGATGTGGAGGAGATCCCTACCCCCCAATTTTCGTATCCCCCTCAAATCACGACCCTTCCAATACAACACCAAACCATCCCGGATCTAGCATCGCTCCCCCCGAACGTAGCCGCCCCCGCAAAATGAAACCTTAGATTCCCCCCGCGGATTCTTTGTCATGTCCGAGCCGAAGGGAAAAAACAACACGATTTCCCCCTGCTCCTCACGTTCTCTCTCTTCCTCCTCCACGTCCCGATTGCCCATCTCGCTCCCCACTTGCACGACGAGTCTCACTCTCTCACTATGTCGACGACTCAACCTGGCATGTTCCAGTGCGGTTCATGCAAGAAGAATTATAAGCGCCTTGATCATCTAGCGCGTCACGTGCGATCCCGTATGTTTGCATCTTCCATCATTGACTTGACTCATTGTTGCTTACTTGTGCTAGATACACAGACCAAACCCTACAAGTGCCATGTTTGTCCAAAGGCCTTCACAAGACCGTTAGTCTAACGCCGCGTGTTACCGTCCCTTCGCTTACTAACTGTGCTGTGTGAAGCGACCTTCTGAAGAGACATGTTGCTGGTCATGGCTCGCAGGCTGGGGATAGTTCTGTAGCTGAACAACCGCGTTACATGCCAGGTAGAGTCGGTAAGGCTTGCAAGGCATGTTCTACCAATCACCTGCGTTGCAGTGATGAGAAACCCTGTCGTCGATGTCAAGAGAAAGGTATTGAGTGCAAGTGGAACGACTCCATGGAGCTGGACTCGGACTTTCAGTCTGAGGAGCAGCAGCAGGATGAGGCTATCTTCTCCCAAGATGATGGCTCATCGTCCATGGCTGCGTTCCCTGATCATAATAGTATTGGGTCAACGTCGGCGTCGTCTGTCATGGAGCAGCCCTCACTGGACATGCTCACGCCGCAAACATCACATAGCCTCTTCCAGAATCTTGGTAAGTCTCCAAGGCACCGCATCCAAGTATGAGGCTTACGGTGGCTAGACCCCTCTATGAACGCCAACATTGATCCCCTCTTCTTCCCTCTCCCCGATCTCAACCTTCTATCAGGAGGATGGGCTAATCCCAACGCCAACGATGTCGACATGTACACATATAATGAACTCGATGACATTGACCTCCGGTTCCTCGACTCATACAACACAAGCATCCCTTTCGAAGTCAGAAGTATACAGCCTACACCTCGAGGGGCTCAAACACCACGCGCCGCATCGCATACCGACCCCGGTGAACCCGCTGCGATGTGTACTGAGGCCTTTCAGAACTCTCACTGGAAGTTTCGACCAAACGCCAAAGACCATGCTGGCGCCGAGGAGCATAACCTCTCCCTTCCCGCTACAGACTCTGCTTACCCTTCGCCTGAGTCTGGTGTCGCCTTGGATTCAAACACAAGAGTCACTTCAGCCAAGCTAGAAGGGCCAGCTCGCGACAGGATACTCATGATGGTCGTCAATAGTTGTCGTTCAGATCATTTGTCAAAAGCCGTGGCGTCCTTTCCCTCTGCCGAGCTGTTGGACACATTACTTCAGTACTACCTCACTTCTCCTGTCACGCATGCCACATCATTCATCCACGCCGCCTCTTTTAACCCCAACCAGAAGAGACCGGAGCTAGTCGCTGCCATGGCAGCGTGTGGAGCCGTCTTGACTTCCGACCCTGCTTTGTCAAAGCTTGGCTATGCTATACAGGAATGCTTGAGGATAGCTGTCGCCAAACATGTAAGTCCTTTTAACCTCAATGCAAGTTGCAGACTAACATGTGGCTAGTGGGAACAAGATAACACTCTCGTCCGTGATCTTCAGCTCACTCAAGCCTTCGTCATCACCCTCGAGATGGGTATATGGAGCGGTCTTCCCCGCAAAGTCGAGATCGCAGAGAGCTTCTTCAACCCCGTACTGACCATGATGCGCCGCGATGGAAAGTTCAAGCGATCAGTGTACTCCCAGAGCAAGACCATGCAATCTCCAGGTCTAGTCTCTCAGGAAGACTGGCTTCAATGGGTAGAGGATGAGTCCTTCAAGAGGCTTGCTTTCAGGATGCTATCTCATGATGCCAACACTTCCACGGCGCTGCTGGTCAGCCCTTCAGTGTCGTATGCCGAGGTCCTTCTTCCTTTCCCAGAGCATGCGGACTTGTGGACTGCTGCATCGCCGGAACAGTGGAACTCGCTCAAGTCCTCGCGCCAACAAAATGAACCGCTTTTTGTTGCTGATGTCATTGATGATCCTGATATTCTCAACAACCATACTGACTCGGTGGACTCATATGTCGCGATTCTGGCGGTCCTCTCTTGTACATGGACTATGTGCTGGGAATATCTCCAGCTCTCATCCCTCCAACGTTCACGACCCCGACGCTGGAATACTCTAGTCACAGAGATGCGGAAAGACGAACTACTCAAGCTGCTTGGACACCTGAAACTGAGTCTATCCGTCGACTCTTCGGCAGACCCCGAGATCCAAATGCGCCTGGAACTCGCCCTTCTCCATCTCCAAATGCCTTTCGAAGACATCCAGATATTTGCAGGCATGGAAGGTCCCGAACGAGCACGCGCAGTCTATCCCACCGTCCGCGACTGGGTAAAAAGCGAAGCAGCCCGCCATACAATCTTCCACGCTGCTCAAATAATGCACATCGCCAAACACTCACCCCGCGGTTCAATGCGCGGCCCGATGGCCATAATCCTGTACCACGCGAGTCTCGCATTCTGGGTGTATGGTCTGTTATCCGACCAGTCCAGCCTCTCCCGAGCACTTGGTCAGAATGTTTACTTAGACGAAGCAGATAGTATAGCGTTGCAAAGATTCAAAGGTTTTGGGCAAGGCCAGCCTTGTATACGGTGGAGAACGGAGATTCAGGGGGAGGGGGAGGTTGTGATTAGTGTGCCGCTTTCTCAGCCTGATAAGGTCATGGAGGCGGTCATGGGGATTGTGAGGAGTAATTTTGCGGGGATGCCGGTGCCGCATCTTACGGAGAAGTTGGTGCAGCTTATGGCGGAGTTGGAGAACTCGGCAAAGAGGAAGTTGGATGCTTGATACCCGGGTCTGATGGTTAATATGTATTAATATCGTGTCTAAAGGCCAGGACGGATAATGCTACGCAGATGCTGCCTTTCTCCTCTTACTTGGCATGATTTCTTTGAAGTGCTGGAGTGCAAGGTAGTAGACCTTCAGATTGAATTTGTTGGTTGAAACTTGTGAGAACATTACTCGTTTGACTGAAATGGGGTCCAATAGCACGGCTGGACGGCACTCCGAGCAATACTTTGTTACACAGTCACGCTACACGTAACGGGCTTGGAGTTTGTTGACATTCACATCTCAGCTCTGTATTCACCAGAATATAGGGAACAAATGGTTGGTAATTTTACTTTATTTGTTTGACTGTGTTTCCGCCTGAATCCTACCCTCAAAGTCCATAACTTCGCTTACTGGGGAGGGACTAATCACTGTTAGCAGATATCTAAAACCTGAACATTATCAAGACTCACCGTAGACAAGAGTGCCGTTGTCGTTGCCAATGCACTCAGCGAGGTTGACGTTAGCCTCAACAGGATCTCCGTCAACGGGGTTGAGGAGAGCGCGGAGGACAGGAACGTTGTCATCGCCCTCAAGTTCGAAGGTGATGTCGGAAGCAGAGCCAGAGAAGCCTTGAAGTAATCGTTAGTAGGTCAAACATATACTTTGAATATTCGTTGACTTACCCTCGCCACCCCAGTAGAAAGCACCGTCGTTGTTGCCGATGTAGTAGTCGAGATCAAGACGAGACTCTTGAGGTTCACCATCAGCATCGTTGCACTGAGCGACGAGGATGTGACCGTCCTCAAGCTCGATGTCAGAAGAGCTCTCGTGGAAGTTGACCATTTTGGCTGATTTGAATGTGAATGAAGTAAAGAAGTGTGATTTGAAGTTGTAGATGCAGAAGTCAAGTCAAAGAGTTAAGGACTATATATATCATTGACAGTGATTCACGAGAGGCCTCGCGCATGCACCTCCGCACAAAGCCAAGACCCTCCAAGACCGAGTGAACCGCGAGAAAACGATTTTGAAGCTGCCACGACTGCAATGCACATGCAATGCAGAGTAAGAGTCCACTTCTTACAAGGACCCCTGAATATCCATCTCCATCCAAAAGCGCGCGGTTGACGAGACCCCACTAAGGCGCATACACGGCTCGGCACGACGGGTATTGGATAACAGATACTGTTTGACTAAGGAGGCCTCTTTCTAAAGGAATCTCGCAGTGATGAAACGTGTTTCACAACATTATAGGACTTTTGCTGGTGGTGGTGGTGAGCTTACTGTGCTGTAGGGAGGAGTTGTTAGGGGGGCTGTGCGGTGAGCAGAGAGGGTCTTGGCGGTGGGACGCAATCCAATTATCGATAAACCCTTGGCATCAAGAAAGTCTTGGCTTGAGGGGCGCCGATTACCGTGGACCGGGTAGGTACTTGTGTATGACAATAAATATGAGACCACTTTTATGTTGACAATATTACGAGAGGGCAAATAGACACGAGAGCCCAGGTGGGTCTGGATGGAGATATTATTTCGGTCAATTTGTGATAAGATAACCACAGAGTACTCACTCATTCCATCATGACGACTAAAGGCAAACCATCTGGCAACATAACCTAGTAACCCTGCCATCGAAGAACCTGTTCTGCTGTAGCAATCCTCATACGCTTTCCAAACATCCAGAGAGGAACAGTCAACAACGAGAAAAGACCCATCAGCAGTCCGAAAATACCAAATGGCTCAGCTGCTCCCTTCTGGTGAACCCAGTCAGCCACGAAGAAGGTCCATGCAAAGGCGATGATGGAACGGAGAATGGTGACCATGGTGAAGCAATCGGCTGCCAACGAGTGATAAGAGTCGATCAACTACGAAGGATTAGTATAAATGACGAGGTTGATGATGGTTTGGAGACTTACGTAGTTGAATCCAACAGATGGAACTTGCATCAGACCAAAAGTGAGCATTCCATATCCGACTTGAAGTCCAACCCAGGCATGACCACCAGGGTTCTTGGCGCAGAATCCAAACACCAACAAACCTCCGGTAGCGATGAAAAGAGGGAAGAAGAGAGTCGGCAATCGGTCCTCAGATTCAGCGACACCATTTCGTGTCTTGCTGGCCTTCTTGACAAGTCTGCCATCAGCAAGCATGAAAGTGTAGATATATCCAATGACACCGCCGATGACAGCACCAATGTTGATAAGACCAGCGTTAGCCTTCCAGAGATAAGGTGGGCTCGCCATGAGTTGGGGTCCGATTGTAGAAATTGTGACGATACCGCCGACGAGGCCAGCGTAGTGAAGCATCACCACCCAAGTACCAGGAAAAGCGAGAGTCTTCCACGGCTGGATGAATTGCCTCAGAAGACTTCCTCGAGGCTTGATGAAGCCCAGAGACTGAACATAGGTGAAAGAGGAGTAAGAAGTTTGCTGCTCACCCACGCTGACAGACTGCTTGTCCTCGACGTGTTCGTTGTTGCCAAACTGAGCATTCTTCTCAGCCTCGGGGTTTGTGACGCCTTCGACTGGTGCACTTCGCGTATACAGGGTCTCGGGGACGAAGAAGATGACGCCGACTAGGCAAGCGGCTGATAGAGCGAGACAGACCCAGAAGATCATCTTCCAGCCTTGCTCGAACACGATGTAACCTCCGGAGATACCACCTGCGAGGGGTCCGACGACAAGCATGATGGTGTAGACGGCCTAGTCACAGTATGTCAGCAACCGGCGGTCGGTCTTGGTGTTAGAAGGGTTGAATACCATGGCTCGTCCACGCTGGTGAATAGGAAACATATCTCCAATAAGCGCGGGAGCAACTGTATCTGCTGCAGCGCCTCCAATGCCTTGGAAAGCACGAGCAGCAAGAAGAGAGTCATATGAAGTCGCAAGTGCACACCACAGCGTGCTGAATGTGAGGAGCGTCGTGGCGAGAATGAGAACTGGTCGTCGTCCCATCCAGTTGGACATGGGAACCCACCAGATGTTGGCCGCACCGAGGAAGAGGATATGGATCTGCATTTCATCAGCATACGCTCCAAGCGGTACTGGAGTGGTAAAAACTTACAGCAATCAAGATAGAGAGCTGAGAGAGAGACCTCGGATCCTTCGGAAAGATCATAGGCCATAGCTGAAACGCAGGTGCGATAATACCACTCGTGTAATTCGCGGTAAAGGCATAAAGCGACGCGACGCTCAGTGCAGCGATTTTATGCCACCTCGGAAAATTGAGAGGATCTCGAGGATCATCCGTAGCATGTATGCTAATAACCGCATGGCTCGCGTCTTCCTGCTCCCCTTTTCACCGTTAGTCTCACTTTTTTCACGCGTTGGGAGAAAATCTCACGATGAATCTGGACTGTGCCAGGAGGCGTTGCAGCCTCGACTTCATGCAAAGACAACGCAAAGGCTTCCTTGAAAGAGACCATCTTGAGTGTTGCAGTTAGGGGTGATGTTTTTGCAATTTTGTATCGTAGGCCATGGCCAATTAAGTACTCCTCAATGCCCCCCTCTCTCCTCGCTCTCTCTCCTCCACGTTACCCCGGATTACCCCATGGGCTGTAAAGTCTGTAACCGAGATGCAATCTAGATCACTGGGGTAATTGCCGCACGAACCAACCAGATAGATCAGATACTTTGGTGGCGTTACAGACTTGACTTGTTCTGGGAGTGTCAGTTGGCGATGGGGTCGGGTTGTCCTCCACTTTCCCGGTGGTCCTCTCGGGACGTGGGATAGTTACAAATCATTATCAATGAGGGGGAATCGCGTATTTGGACTCACATGCCAGTAATTAACCAGCTTTAAACCCTTGAATAAATCTTGAATCGAATACCAAAGCAAGGCTGGATGATATGACTTGTGTATATGACTCGACAGCCACGGTTCTTGTGGTCTGTGTCTCTGGCTGTTATGGCGCATCAGGAAAAGGGTTCCTTGATTTGCCACAATTGCCAAATGCCAGCGTAGATACTTCTCTCATCATGTACAAATATGTAGAAAAGACGGGCGAGCTAACCAAAAATTGGTGTCGCAACATCTGTCTGCTGCATGTTCCTGTATATTTTGAACCGGCCTTGCCAACTCATCTTTTGTGCAGCCACAGAGAGTCTGGTCGACGGGATCACTAGCGTTAAGCTGCCGGCCGGGGAATGAAGCGCCTTAGACATGGTGATATGAGGAAAGGAGTATTGGTATTGGATATCCTTCGTATCTTGAGGTCAAGGTAGATCGTGCAACGCCCTGTGCATCTGGCGTTTTAACTGGGTGTTGTCCCAGGCTTTCTAAGTTCTGTAGTGATTCATGGCCAGAGTATCGGGTTGCCAGGTATTGAGTTCGCCAATAGCTGTTGGCCAATCTCCCTTCATAGGCGTTTGCCGTGAAAAACCCCATGCTATTGTTTCAACCTATCCTTTGCTTCCTCCTCACCCAAACCTCTTTATCGGTCGATAATTTCTCTTTCTCGTTTGTATCGGTGGATTCCGTTTCTTTTATATCCCTGATTTCGACCTCCCAGGTCTTGAGTCTGTAACTGCCTCGATCTGACATGCCTGTGAACAAATCAAAGGACCAGCCGTGATTTGGACACAGCACTCCAGCGCTAAGTACAACGCCAAAGTCTTCAATATCGAACGGTGTCCCTTTTGAAAGAGGGTATTGGCTATGCGGGCATGACTAGGCAGACACCCTGGTTAGCCCCTGCAAACACTTTGCTTGTGGACATTTGCTCACATGGTCGATTGCATGAAATTTGCCTTTGTATTGAAACACAAGCACCTGATCAACAAGTGATTCCCATGAGGAATCATCGCCAACAGGAACTTCTTTTGACGAGGATGCATCCTCCTGCGGTATGTGAAAGGCTTTGCAGCCTGGTGTTGATTTTGCGTTACACAAGCGGTGTTTTGCCAAGTTGCCTGCATCATCGTCTACATCAGGAAATGACGATGTACGGCCCACAAACGTCCATTGAGCTCCTTGCCGGGAAAATGGGTTGAAGAAATTCATTTTTATAGAGATACTTTGTCGCTCAGCGATTTTGCTCCGAGTCAGAAGTCGAAAAATTGCTCTTATCATGGCGCGGAGCAAATTCCTCTAGAGCATGTGACATGTCACGTGGACGGAATGCATCTATTAACGGAACAGACAGTCTGCAAATACTGTCTAATGACTGAAATATCGATACGATAGTAACCTTGATACGTAGCTCTATCATTAGATATTAGTGTAATCTCGTATTTAGCCCAACTGACGCCCAAGCATATGGAAAGAGTGAGAAAGCTCTTCATCGTCAAGAAAGATCTGCCGCGACTGCACTATCTCCCAGACCGCTCCATCCAAGGTATTCTCACATAAACCATTCCCGGCTTCTTCCAACTCCTCTTCAGATTCTTCGATAAATGTAACTGTCACTTTTGTATCAAGAAGCTCTTGTATCTGTCTCCCGTTAAGCAGCCTCCTGATCATGGGCGTAAGCTCCGTGCCATTCCAAAGCAAGTGGAGATTCATCAGTGCCGCAGCTGTACCATAGCATATGTCTCCTGTTGCCGAGAAATGGATTCGAGCTGGGATGTGTCTTAGAAAGTAACACTTAGAGCCTTCGTCGCCCTGGACAATCTTGGACTGGATGGCTTCGAAGCGCGAATAGTGTGGTGAGGAAGGATTGATATAACGTATGAAAAGGCCTTGAAGATCGGTTTCTGCCAGGATATCATATAGATACAAGGCGCAGCCGAGTGTCAGACAATATGCTTCGCGGTCGTGAATCCAATCAGTGTTTGTCCCCTTCGGATCAGCTGCTACGGCTTGTTTCAGGACACTCTTTGCGAATTTCAATCGAATTAGCTCGGGGGACATAGCGAAAAAGGCGAAGTTAGGTTGAAAGACATGTGGTGATACCAGAAACTCCAGGACTGTGTAGTGAGCAAGAGACACGTAGAGATCCTCGCCGTCAGTTGCTTCTCTAGCCTGTAATCCAGGAGATTCTTCTAACCAGCTATCGAAGATATCTCCAGGAACATATCGAACTGTTATGAGACAGCTGCATATCTCCTTTAAATATTCAAGGTCAATAATGGGCTTTTGACCTTTGGTTTCTGATCCGAAATGTTCATATGTGACTGCTGACAGAAGCAAATTCGCATTCACACCAACGTGATAAATCCAAGCAGCCTGCGAATGGCCAATGATCCAAGTGAGAATACAACGAACGAGCGGTCTATCTTCTTCAGGGATTGCTTCGAAGATTCTGACGTAAGTTTCACTCAGATCTTTAGGTAGGTTGGAAAGGAGTTGCTGGAGTTTCGACTGGTCGCGAAGTCGCTCTATAGCTTGAATTTGACATTCAGCCCATCGAAACCTTGTAACTTTAAGTTAGCACAGTTGGAAGAAAGTTACTTCTTTAATCGTCTCCTGGTGAAAGGGAGTTCTCACATTCCTTGGGCCATGGCAGCCAGAACTTCCTCAATTTCGTCGAATCGCGCGTGCCATCTCTTCAGTCGATTACTAGATCTGAGTCTGGAGTGCACAAATCTTCGAATATCAGCATCGACCATTGGGTTTGACATTGATATGCTTGTTGATATCTGAGCCAATGATTGTTCTATGTCGAAGTATTGCCGGCTTGTCGCTAATATCCTGATCTTTTCAAAACGCTTATCGACTGTTATTGTCTGAATCAGCAACAAAAGATCCTCTCGTGGAGTACTCTCGTCAACCGCATCGATGATTATATACAAGACGTCAAGTTTATTCACCACAATTTCCAATATTTCTTTAAGTCCGTGGTGGTAGGTTCGCAGCCATGGTCGTGAAGTCGTTTTAACTCAGATGGTATCCAGCTAACTTGTCGGCATACATGGCCAATGATCCAGCTCAGGAATGGCACCGTTTCGTCCTGATTGTGAGAGTAATGACAGTAGTAGTAGCTGCAAACACTACCATTGGCCGGCTTGCATAGCATTTCCAGTTCTTCGATGACATATGATGCGAGAACTGTTTTTCCTGAACCAGGGAGTCCATGTATCCAAATGAGTCTAGTTTCAGAGGTCAGCGACAACCAAGCCTTCCACTGGGAAGAATTGGTGACCCATTCAGTCGTCAAAGGCTCATGTTTGTTGAATGCTATGTTGTGAAGAGATGATGGATTTGTTCGCTCAAACCATCGGATGATCTCCCGAGTTTCGGACTCTTTGAGTATGTCAGTTTATTCCAGGCATCAATCGAGATCACCAACCTGAGATGGTGCCTTGTGGCCTTTCGATCCCCATTCTGATTTCTTTCAGGTCCCGGCTGGACAAACTCCGTTAGCCTCGACTTCCTAGCGGTCCTTGCAGACTAACCTCATGTCACCAGACATGGCTAACAGTAAAGTAGCCTTATGGTGTGATATCTCGGCCAGCAGCTTTCTGACTTTTGATTGCTTCAGAGTCCATGCGAGGTCAGCTAACGTTATCTTACGCCTCTTGCCTGTCTGAGATTGGCCCATCGTTGGTGGGAGAAGAGCCTCGAGTGAAGCAAGACAGCTGTGGCAAGACTTGATAGGTCCATTTTGTTCGTGAAGATTTGGCATGAGGCTTGTGGCACTTGATTCGCCAATGCTGTCGATGATGGCTCTTAGCGACGTAGCCTCGCCCAATATCGTCTGGATGTCTCTGGGTGCATCTTCAACAGCCTCGATGTAGTGCTTGCATGTGCGAATGATGCGATCGGCGAGGCCAATGGATGCCAGCACGCTCGCCCCGATAGAGAGTGGATCAGTCATGGAAACTGCCTAAGGCTTATTTGTTGTAAACACAACACAGCAGATTATTTGGTGACGTTGGCAGAAACCTAGCTCGTACTCCCCTCTGATTAATCGCCGTGATCTTGAAGAGAGGGGTAGCTGAATGGGTTGAATGTGAAACACGTGGCGCTGTCAGATTAGGTCGATTAAGGAGTTAGCTGTAGGGCTCGATGTCAGCTGCAGCTACGAGCCGGCTTTGAGAGTCATATTATCTTCAGGACCCTCCGAAACTTTTCAATTTCTGTCTGCGACGCATGGGGTTTCCGATAGGGGTGGCCATCGACCTCCTCGAACCGGAAGGACTAGCGGGGGGCATGACGACTAAATTCGAATATACACGTGGAGCTCATGCTTTCTCCTTATCACTAGCGACTCATTCAGACATAAATATGATGCATTAAAACCTCAAGTATGCACATCTACTTCCAAAACTACCGGCTCCCACCGCCACTGTCTCTCCTTAACAGAAATCAACGTTTTGCACAGCCGGACGTAACTAAGACTGCCCAAATATCTTGATCAGTATACATAGGCTAGCTCCTCTGCACGCGGTAGCGCTTGATCTCCTATTTGTCCTTCTTTTCCTTCTTCACCTTCTTCTCCGTCTTCTTGATGTTCTTCTTCCTCTTCTTAATTCGGATATCAACGCCGTTGAACTGTCTCGGGGCGCTGTCCTTCCCCTGTGCTGAAGAACAGGGGATGGCACTCGGATTAATCCATGTATCGCCATTCATATTCGGAACAACAAATCCTTCGTAAGCTCTATGGACTTCATAGTCTTCATAATCTCCGTCAACTAGAATTAGGTTCTTGTTGATCTGATCGCCGCTTCCTGTCGTGATCGGGTTGTGGTAGACGCATCGAATAGGAGGGTTCTTGGCAAGTTCCTTCGAGAAACTGGCGTTGATATCGTAGATCTTTCTATTCTCCTGTTTGCACCCCAGACCCGCGAAGGGGTTAATCCACTGCGGGCCACTGTCACTATCCAGCCTGTAGCTGTGGGTACCATATTGGCCGTAGTTGGTCGAGGACTGGGGTTGTGAATTTCCGAAAGACTGTTCGTCCGTCGTGGGTGACGTCTTGGTTGGCTGCATCATATACTGAGGCGAAGCAGCAGCGCGGATGTCGGCAAGCGATTTGTTGATGGTTTCTAGGTCGATGGCGGTTGCTTGGGTGCTTGAAGTATAGGCACTGTTGGAAGAGTCCCTACGAACGAGAACCCCGGACACGGTTCGAGAAGCATTGCCCTGAATTGAAGGACTCGGCCCTTTCTTCTCAGACATGATATGTATATCAGTTTGTATCTGATACAGTGCTCTGGACTGAATCTGCTCTATGGCTAGAGAAAGGTTGCTCTTCTGTCGTTCAAGTCTGACAAAGATATCAAGAAGATCTTGTTCCTTATAGAGAAAGCCCCAAGTACGAAGGACTCGCCCCTTGCGCAACAAAGAATTCAAACAGTTGTTGTTGATGATAAAAAGAAGTGCGTCAGTCTGCGTCCCAATCTCAGGGGTCTGAAGAAGGGGGTTCTCAGAGATGCTAGTAGAAAGGCTCTGAAGTTCTTGGAGCTGCTCATGATATCGTTTCAGTGTCGACTCTCCTCCTTTTATCTTTCTCATGACATCTATCAGAGAAAAGCATGCAACACCAAGCTGGCTCGCCGACGCCGCGACCCCAAGAATCTCTGCCATGATAGCCTCAACTTCGAAGGCAAGGCCGTCGCGACAAAGAGCGGTGAAGATAGTAAAGAGCCGTGAATAGCTACATCGACGACGATATCATCCTCAGGTGGTGTGTCAGAATGCAGGAGAAATTATGGTTGTGCTAACGTGGCATAGAAATCAACCGCAGATTATGAAAATTGTGAAAAGGTGCGACCGGAAAAGAAGGCCAAGATGTGAGTATGGCATCAAGGTTTAGGCATCACTGTGAAAAGAGATTGTGAAAAAGTGTGAAAGATTGACAGCAGAGCCTCATGTGTCAGACTGCGGTGAAACCTAAGGCACTTCGAGGGGGCGAAGCAGAGTAACACGGCAGAACAAGGCTACCGTTGTAAAGTATTTGATACGTTGACTATAAGGCGGTCTGGAAATACAACCAGGGATTCATCAGGAAGATGAGAGATCTTGGGTATGTTCGTGAAATCGAGACTTGCACTTCAGGAGGGGGCGTTGTATTGAGTATCGATTTTCGTCTCAGGAGGGTAGATAGCCGCTTGCAAGTGTTGGTCAAGTTTTGAAGAGTAAAGAGAGAACTCCTTATGAGGTTTGAGTGCGTAAAAGATTCCTCTGGCAACGAGCCTCAAGGTTCCAGTGTCGATTGGAGTTCAGTTCAGCTTTCTGGGTGGAAGTTGACTATCGCAACCAACCGGACGCTTTCTTGTTCGAAGCTAGATGGAACGATAGTTTAGTTCCTGTATTTAATTAGCCCATCGTCTTTATCAACTCAAAGAAGAGCGACGAGAAGACCTTGGTGTAAAGGAAAGAGTAGAAGACCGCAGCTTTTGGGGGTATCTGAAGGGGGGCCTCGACCACGTCAGGAACTTCACGTCAAAAGATTCTCCGAGTCGAATGCAATACCGGGAATTTTGGACTCGGTTTTCAAAGCAAGGAAGTACCTAAGACAAAAGGAGTATCTGATCAAGTTGATTGTGTTGGTCCGGTTTGCTACGCCACTGTTGGTTGACAAGCCGTATGACGTGACAGGTGTGGATGGATCGCTTAGAAACTCGACTCTAGAGTCTTTGGAGAGGTCCGAGAAGGTATAGGATACTCTTGGATTCTCAGAAGAGATCTAAGCCTTTTGCCAATATGTCGTTGGTAGATGTTGTGATGGGTTTGTGACGCTGGAGAACGAAGCAAGGCATCTAACCAAGACCCGCAGTCACTGTATCACGTACATATTCACCTGCAAGCCCTGAATTACATGACCTGACAATACAGATGTGTGAACGAGTCACAGGGCACCACTCAATATCTCATCAATACTCCTTGAATGTGAAGACATGGCAATCGGCATGGTGTTTACGACTTCCAGTACCGCATCACAAAAATAGGGGTTCGAAAGCTACTACTGCATATATGTAGTAATACTTAGCATGATACTATACAACACAATGAACTATTTCGAGGCCTTGGCAGATTCTCATATGTCACGATCTGGTCAGTGTCGTCATTGTTTTTGGAGAGTTTGGAGATTTTGAGGCCCCCAACAAGCGGACAGGGGTGACTGCGACATGCATAGGGAGGGTGTTAAGCCCTTTCAAATCACGAGTCGGCTGCCGCACACCCTTTTTCCTAATGGAAACTCCATTCGCCCGTAGTGTTACCATACGATCCAACCAGTTTCGCAATTGGGCCGCACGCACTTCATGACGGTGGGAATGGCTCCCAAAGACGATAATGCCCATCTTTCGGTGTCTTCAACGAATATCAGCAATAGCGACCTCAAAGGAGCAACTATCAGCAATGGAGCCATCAATTCTGGTCCCGGAGACATGTATAATGGCAGCATCACGATTTATCACTACCACAAACACCAATGCCCTGACCCTGCAGCCCACCTGCCCAAGCAGGCATCATCCCAGAATGCCAACTGTTCACAGCGGCGGTGTCGTGATAATCGGAAATTGGTAAAGGCACTCCTCAAGCATCGTTTGGCACCCTTGAGACGGAGGAAAAGGTATGCCCGACGGCGTCTCCGGATTATTGTGTAAGTGTGTTCTTAAGTAGGGTCAAGTAATTTGACCTTTTGATGAAAGAGGCGAGAAATGAGCGATTAAACTATCGGGCTACTTAACGCCAATTCTGTTCGGGTATTTCTGTCTCTCAAAGAGGAGACGTTCCCCGAATCTTGTCTTAGTGACTCCTGTTGTGCCATGGATATCGTTGCTGATGAGAGGTCAGGCTTTTTGCTTCACGCCCCAGATATGCATGATGGCTGCAGCGGTGGAACTTTCAGGCAGCTAAATCGTTGGCTCTTCGTGCCGACCCGTTATCGTCTGTCACGGTCCGTGCTTCCCAGAAGAGCCAAAGAGTGTCTGTTGGCCGAGACAGGTAGAAATACCCCGCAACGAGGAGTAAGAAAAGTCGAACGCTGTTGGGAATCAACATGTCAACAACGAGCTCGTCGACATGAAACCGCTTGAGTTTGCAATTATGTGTGAGAGGGGAAGCTTTGAATGGAGAGGTTAATGAGTGGTGAAAGTTATCCTCTCTCTCTTTGATGGTTGACGGTGGATTGTCTTTACTTCACAGTACATATCTTAATCTGCAAACTATTTACATGAAGCGTGTCTTACCAAGACGCCCTCTTAGCTGTAAATGTGTGTAAGAGCTGAAAAATCCATTGGTCAGGTCTCATGTTTTGAGGCCAGTGGAAACTACATATGTCACTCAGCCACTCCATATTGATCTCAGCTGAACATTTTGGGCTTTCGATGAAGGTATGCATGTCATAGACTTCCTACTGTACCTTGACAGATGTGGAACTTGGTCTCTATTCCTACCCCTGAGTGTATCTTGGTAGAGATCTGAGACGATGTGAGTCAATTAGATCTCTCTTTCCCCTATGTACGACTCGTGCTCTCGATCGGGTGCATGATTGTCCAAGCGCTGTTCAATGTCCGATCTGTATTCCCGGCCACTCCTTACCTCCCAATAGGCCGGCTCGAGCTGAGTTGTGGTCAGAATCGGGGAGGGGTTACTACTCTGGACGTACGAGGTTCTTCATCTCAATCTGTGCTTTTCTTTCCTATCCCATGTAGCATCATCGTCTTTTACCAAGTATTTCCACTAGCTTTATCTCAAGTATGTTTCCATTTAATTTATAATATATCTTTTTCTTACTTAAAACTACAGATTTGGTAACTTTTTGTTCTTTCTTCTATTTTCTTTCATGATGGGCTTGCTATTGGTGAGTTCTACAGGGGTATAAAGAGGAGGTTGGTCGCTACGTAGAAGATTGATGTTGTGCACGATAATCACTCGTCAAGAAACAAAAACCTATCATTTTTTTCCATACCATATATATTTGTCTTCGCAACCCTCGAATTCTGATCATATTGATGCCCCATTGTGAACCATCTGTCAATATGGCAAGCCTCTCAGAAGCAGAACAAGAGGGGCCGGAAGCCATGGAAAGTGAGATAGAGGACGGCGAACATGATACACTTCCCAAGTACTTGAAGTGCAGTTATTTCGATGCAGTTATTGGCAATGAGATTCATAACTACTGGGGAAATCGAGTCTTAGAGCACACAAACTCCAACGGCGAGGTGCTAGCTCTCAAAGTTAGCAGTCCAGATGGCATTGACCGCTCTCAAGCCGACATGATGCACTATGCCGCGACACATGGTGTATTAGCTCCCAAGGTTCGCGGAGTCTACGATATCATCACAAAACGCCCTATTGCACGTGTTATGGTCAGCGAACGCGTCCCCGGTGTGCCGCTCGTGGACGTCTGGCAGGCTATGTCTGAGGATGAGCAGAGGTCTATCAAGGGGCAGCTTCGAGTACAAATTCAGCATATGAGAACGCTCGCACAGCCATACATTGGTCGGATCAACAGGCAACCGACACGCAACATATATAACACCACGTTTATCAGGCACTGTGGTCCATTCGAGGATGAGGAAGCTTTTGATAACTGGTGTCTCGATAGATGTTCCGGTGGAACTATTCAACATTGGAGATGGAAGAAGGTGCTAGAACGGCAACGACGCAAGTCTACTGGACGTTTCGTTTTAACTCACGGTGACTTATCACCGCGCAATGTCATGGTTGACGGAAGCACTATCACAGGGATCATCGACTGGGAGTTAAGCGGTTTCTATCCCGAGTATATGGAGTATGCCTTTGCTATAGGTATTGGCCCAGGGATGGAAGAATGGTGGATTTCTGTTTTGAAGGAGGTACTGGAGCCGTGCTCTTCAGAAATGGTGAAGTTCACGGGGCTTATCGAGGAGAGGATGAGTTCTTACTAGACTGTGAACCACAGCCCCTGGTGAAATACCAATGCCAATGGTACTAATAATGAGCAATGATAAGAATTTCACAAATACTAACTAAATTGCCTTACTTTTTTTGGCTTTTGGGCCCAGACAACCTTCTGCCAATAATAAGGATGCATGTTTCCCTGCCTCAGTTCCCTTCTCAGCATCGATATGTACACCTCAACCTCCTCTTTCGTCCAGCCCTCCACTGTGTTGGCCATGAACAACACATAACCCTCGATATCCTGCTCAAGAGTAGCTTGTGCATACTTGCCAATTTCTTTCATCTTCGGATCCTTCGGCCAACCCCCGATAGGCACCTGTTCAGTTCACTATATCAGTACATGAAAGTGGCCACTGGAAGAGAGTCACTTACCTTGAAATCCCGTTCCACAAGATTAACAAACCCGGCCTTCTCCATAGCAGATCTCTGCACTCCATCCTCAACGATTGTGAACGAACGGCCGATCTTCTTCCCGCCTTCAACAAAGAACTTTCCCCACTGGTGCATAGCACTCTTCTCGGTGATAGTCCCGTCCTCGCAGTCCATTCTTGAGAGAGCTTCGTGGCTTTCAATATAACCACCCGGCTTGAGACATCTATATGCTTCTTTGAAGAGCTGGTCCCAGTCGACGATGCTGCCGACCAGCCAACGAAAGTGGATGTAGTCTTGCGAGTTGGGAGCGAACGTCCACTCTTGAGTGCAGTCTTCAATATCGCTACCGAAGTGTTAGATTCGCTTATTGGTGTGAGTAGGCTTCTTACAATCGCAGGTTAGGAGGTATCCAGCCCGGTTGGATTGGCGAAACGTCAGTACCTATAACCTGTGCGTCTGGGAAGCTATCCGCAAAATCTCTGTTGAAAACAGTTAATTTCAACCACTTAGTCGTTTGATTATAAACACTTACATAGCCCAGATACCTAAAGTAGAGTATAATTTCAGCGTGAGTTCAACCAGAGTACAACTTTGGCGCGGTCTAGGTATAGCCTGAGCTCACTTGAGTAGCGACTGGCTCCGACCGCAACCAGCCCAACTGGCTCTCCGAAACTCACCTGTCCCTGTACCGATATCGATAGCATTCTATGAAAGTCAGCAGGTCACTCCATGGCTACCGGTAGCAATGAACCTTGATATCTTTGGGAATAGGCGCAAGATACAGCGCACCGTCCAAAACCAGCGTCAAAACATGATGACTGCATGTATCAGCACTCATCTCCAACTTATGTTTGGTACAATTACTTGATGTCCATCGACTCATTCTGCTTCTCATCATTGGTCCCCCTATGCTCATTAATCCCGCCCCATAGAGTCTTCGGACAACATACCAGTATTGCGCGTTTCCAATATCACGATGGTACGTTCTCCCATTGATATTCCTATACTGCAGAATACTTGACGTGATGGACGCCGTCGACTCGGCAGTATCATCTCCCAGAGCAGAATCCGTATCACCCAACTCCTAGATTATCATTAGTGGCATGATCCTGACCAACGTCATGTCATACGAACCTCAGCTACCTCAGCCCAATGCTCAGGAGGAAGAAGACCAGAAACATCGGTAACAGCCTGAGCTGGTTGAGAATTATTTTCTTCTGCCATCCTTGCACGGTTCGTTCGTTATGTAGGAAGAGAGTAGAGTGTCACTTCACAGTTGCGTTGTTTATCTCTATTTGTGTACTGAACCAACTCATTCAACTTATCATGCCACGCTTTGCATACCAGATGTGGTTTTAACACCCAAATTAGTACGGCACAGCAGAATTGCCCAGGGGCCAGTCCTATCGGATCGTTTGACAAAGTTGCATTGCATGATAAATGGAGAATAATATCCCTACATGTGTCTGTTGGTTTGGCGAACCAATAACATGCTGGTTTCAAAGCTCTCAAATTATCCCATACAGTCAAAACATGAGTCCCGTGAGCGATTTTGAGACTGATGTCTGCGGTTGAGCCATTGACGGATATTCAGTAAAGACTTTCCTTTCCTCACATTGTGTTCGCGTATCAAAAGTATTCTCTTCCAACCTCTAGGATAGCGGAAGCACTAGGCCATGAAGACAGTAAACAATCAAATTAAAGAAGGCTAATGCTCCTGATCTTGGGTATCAAACCAGCCACTCAAACATCCGCCAACAAATGACTTATCATGTCCCTCGTATGCTTAACAACCGACACACAATGCGGATCCTTATCATGCATCTGATGTGCCAACCGATGTCCTATACCCGGCGGTACATGACTCGTTCCGGAATGCCATAAGTTCTGTCTATCCTCCATCAACTGCAACATCGCCACAAAAGACATGGAGCTCGAATGTGGTGTACCAAAAAGTTCGGATTTGATTGCTTTGTTGGCGATGCTTTTCCAATCCCGAGGGTCCAGACTCAGCGAGAATCCTAACGCGTCGTTTTGCGACGGTGCCTCTAGCTTTTGGCCTTCGCTTATGTATAGTTCTTTTGATTCCCTGGCATCCTGGGCTCGTTTCGTTTCGTCCTCAACTGACTTCACGATCTTTTTATATCCTTCCGCCAAAGATATAATAAGCGTGTTGAGGAGTTGAGCATTCTGCATTGCCCATAGAAACTTCGTTGGACATACCTGACACTGTATGATCCCTGCTGCTGTTGTCGTCAAATGCCGCAGAACGGATAACCGTGCTGGGAAGGGCAAATCATCTGCTTTCCGAACTTCTTCTAGTGACAAGTATAAGCTTGCGAGACAGGCGCAAGTCTGTTGGCCTGGGTCGGATTCAAATGCCAATAATTTCGGGTCAACATTTGTCTCGTTTCTGAATCTGAGTCAGCTCGGCCATCAAGGTGATGATTCAGTCAACTCACCCAAGAGGTATCAAATCCAACGGTGTATCTTCAGACATATGTTGGCACGGATCAAAGCTCGCTCTTCTCCCCATGTCACTACCAGTGTCACTTCCAATACTCATCGCCAAAGTCGACGGCGAAGTTCTACTCGCACTGCTCTCCTGGGCCTCATTCTCGGAGGCTATCTTCCTCTTCTTGGGTCTTCCCATCGGCATACGCGCCGAGAACTTGCACGGCTCTCCAAGAGTAGAGCATCGCCCACAAGATGGATAGCTTCCGTCACATTTGAGCTTCTTTTGTCCTTGCAGATTGATCAGCATGCGCAATATAGGTTATGGACCCCAAGTGTAAGCGGGAAAGGTGGGCGGACATACTACACTGATCACATGAAGCTCTCCTATTGGCAGGATCTTGCAGATCGGGAGACATTATGTAAAGGATATGAGAGGGAAGTAGTACGAATTATATAAAAAGATAGACCAAGAGATTGAGAGATGTTCAGTTGTAGGATTCAAGAGCTCATCATCTTGTAAGCCCGACAAGGAACAACCGGATGGATCTCATGTGAATAACGTGAGAGTGACAATCAGCGGATCCTACTCCAAACTCCGCCCCGCCGCTAAAAACCCCCGAACGGTGCAAGAAAAGAGACATAGAATTATATAACTTACTATAAGCCTATCTCACCTGAGGGAGGAGCATCAAGATCTGAAATAAAGCCACAAGCGTTCAGAGGATACTTTCCAATATCTATACCACTCGGATCAAAGTAATTGATGCATAGGTCCGAGATTTATAAACTTGTTAGCTCAAATGTCTGTCTTGTATTTTTGGCACCTAAAAGGCGCTAAGAGACCCCTGGGCCGGAGCCCGGGACTTGCATATTCCGACAGAACCAACCATCGCAGAAAAAAAATTATTTTTCCTTCGAGCTACTGATAAAGCCCCCACTATCATATCAAACTGAACTTTTTTGTTGCATCCCCATCCCATCTACAACTTTGCGACAACAATGGCGCCCTCAAAAGAAGTTGTCGCTCCCGGCGCTGCCGCTGTCACAGCAATTGACCCCGATCAGGTTCGTAACCCCCAGCATCTCACTACTATAACAGTTCTAACAATTCACACAAGACCCTGAAAGCTTCAAAGGCTCTTCTCGCACACATCAAAAAAGCTTCCAAGCAAAAGGCCGACGAGTCTGAAAAGCGCAATCTCCTCGACGACGATGAAGATCCTACTACAACTCCCATCTGGCTCAACCTGACGACCAAACGCCACATCGTCGACAAGGCGCGTCTGCAGCCCGGAAAGATCTCCCTTCCTCACTCGCTCAACAACGAAGAGACCACCATCTGCCTCATCACCGCCGAGCCCCAGCGCGCCTACAAGGACATTGTCGCCTCCGAGGACTTCCCCGCTGAGCTTGGCAAGCGCATCACTCGTGTCATCGACTACGGAAAGCTCAAGGCCAAATACAGCCAGTACGAGGCGCAGAGGAAGCTCTTCGCCGAGGCGGATATCTTCCTCGGTGACGATCGCATCATCAACAGATTACCCAAGATTTTGGGGAAGACCTTTTACAAGACAACGCAAAAGCGACCTGTCCCTGTGAACCTGCAGGCCAAGGCACCCAAGGTCGATGGAAAGCGACAGAAGCGTGTCAAGACTGAGGGTACTGTCAACGCAGGCACTCCCGCCGAGATCGCCAAGGAGGTTCAGAAGGCAATCAACTCTGCATTCGTCAGCCTGACCCCTTCAACAAACACCTCGATCCGAATTGGATACTCGGGTTGGACCGCTGAGCAGATCGCCGAGAATGTCGATGCCGTTGTCACCGGCATGATCGAGAAGTGGATTCCTCAGAAGTGGCGCAACATGAAGAGCATCTACATCAAGGGTCCCGAGACTACTGCCCTTCCCATCTGGTTGACTGATGAGCTCTGGGTTGACGAGAAGGACGTGATTGCTGAGGATGAGGCCGCCAAGGCCCTCAAGGGTGAGAAGCCCAACATTGGAAAGAAGCGCAAGTCTCTCGACAACACCGACGAGACTGAGACTCCCGCCGCCCCTACGAAGAAGGCCAAGAAGCAGAAGCAACTTCCAGAGGCCGACGACGGCAAGCTCGATAAGCAAATCTCAGACCGCAAGGCTCGATTGAGAAAGCAAAAGGCATCGGCCAACAAGGCCATTGACAACTGAAACATGCAATTCAAGGCATCGGTGTTGAGGCGTTCGTTGAAGGGCGGAAAACCCACAGAATACAATTGTAGCTATACTTGCATTAACAATACAATATTGACGGTATTACGCATCTCTTGCGCCTTCTTTGAAACAATCTTCTTCCTTCGTCAAGACCCGGGCCAAGGAAAGCCCCCGTGCCTGGTCACTCGTAAGAATAGACCAAGTTTCGATGAATCCCACCAGCATTCGGCCGTGTGAAACCCTCCAAAGGACCAAATGAGTATATATTTAGTCAACGTGAACTCATTCGTAGGCTAGTCCTGGTACAAATATATCAATTTGGTCTGATCTTCAAGATAGAATCTGGGGTGCTTGCAGAATGCAGATCATCACTGCCCGGAAGGGATCAGCTCTTGTTCTTTCGACGAAGAATTATTAATGGAATGATTACCTAAGTTCTAGATACTAGGTATGCGTACTATAATGGTGTCAAGAAAGTACAGAGTAAGGTATAAGGTACCTACCGAATTTGGGCAATATGTAAGGTACATTGCCATTGTTGGGATAATGAGGATAAAGCGTCTAACCCACCCCCGCCTTCCGCCGGCTTCAGGCCATATCTATATCTTGGCCAGGTACGGAGTAGATCTAGGCACAAATAATGCATTGGCTTTTATCCCCTCCATGCAGAATAGACTCTGTTATTCCTATAGCCAATAAATACTCTCAATAATCACGCCATTAATTATATAGTTTATCCACGGTTCAGCCAATCTTATTCACAATCATGTAAGGTGGTCACCCACAAAGGTACAAAACCACTTTACATCTTCTCGAACCTAGCGGAAAGTGGAGGGTCATAGCTGACGTCTTCAGCTAGCTCATCTCCCCACACAACTCTCCATCTTCATCTTCATCTTCCATCACCATCACCATACCATCACCATCACCATCAACATCCCCATCATGTCTTTCCCTTCCTTGCTCCGGCTTGGCTTGGCCATCGGAGCCTTGGCTGGACAGAGCTATGCTTCCCCTTTTGCACCTATTCACACAAGAGATGACCTATCCGATACCCCATTACCTATTGTTGTTTGGCACGGCCTTGGTGACCAATTCAATAGCGATGGAATGAAGAGCATCCAAGCCCTCGCTGAAGAAATCCACCCGGGAACCTTTGTTCATATCATTGCCATCGATGAGGATCCCAGCCAGGATCAAATGGCCACTTTCAAAGGAAATGTCTCGGACCAAGTCAGCAAGGTTTGCGAGGAACTGGCCAAGCACCCCATTCTGTCTACTGCGCCCGCTATTGATGCCATCGGTATCTCTCAGGGTGGACAGTTCCTCCGCGGTTACGTCGAGCGCTGTAACTGGCCACAGGTCCGCAGTCTCGTCACATTTGGTAGCCAACACAATGGCATCATCGACTTCAGGTCCTGCGGCGCTACCGACTGGCTCTGCAAGGGAGCCATGGCCCTCATGAGATTTGGTACTTGGAGCAAACTTGTACAGTCAAGCCTTGTTCCCGCGCAATACTACCGCAACCCAGCAACTGAAGCCGATTACAACAAATACCTCGAGAATTCCAACTTCCTAGCCGACATCAACAACGAGCGCGAGTTGAAAAACGAAAAATACAAGGCAAATCTGAGCAAGTTGACCAACTTCGTCATGTGGATGTTTGAAGATGATGATCTTGTTATCCCGAAAGAATCTTCGTGGTTTGAGGAGGTCAATGGCACAGAAGTTATCCCTCTTCGAGCTCGTGAGCTTTACCACGAGGATTGGCTTGGCCTTCGCGAGCTTGACCGCAATGGTGGCCTCAGATTTCGAAGTGCCCCTGGTAAACACCTCGAGAACCTCTATGAGCTACTGAACGAGACCGTCACCAATTACTGCGGCCCGTGGAAACGAACTTTTGAGTCAGATATGGAGGACTCCTGGGATAGGTTGGAGTTAATTTGATTTAATTACTAGTTTTTATTCTATAGTTATTCTACAGACTGTAACTACGTCAAGAGCCCCCCCCCCCCCTGCCATGCCTCGTCCACATCTACGTCGTTCCTACTATCACACTCGAACATGAACGCGCGAAATGAGCAGGCTTCGATGACAAGGCAGAAGTCTCGACTTATGATGTAAGCAACTGCACTGAAATCATCTCAGTTCCTCGCAGGACCGACCTCTTGAGAAAGACATCTTTGGTGAAAGCTCAACTCTAGGGTTGGTTCAGAAACGAACTGGGACGTTTGGCTGTATATCGTCCTGAACTCAATCATCAAGATAATCACGGCAATTCTGTATGGGTGCTTCGAGTCTTTACAATACTTACCTTGTGCCCTTGCGTTTTATTAATGATCATGTCGTGCTCAATGAAATGGTTACTGTCGAAAATGTATCTGAGGCTTGTAATTAGCTGCGCCACAGTCGCCAGCTTCAGCCACATCGCAATTGCTTTGCATCATGACAACTGAAGTACTTGTGACTCCACGCGACAACAAGCATCATCGCCGTATCTGCCGAGAGATTCCTCCCACTTTTATATCCCTAGTTCATACTAAGCATCCGTAACTGAGGTGAAGTCGGTAAAGCCTGGGCGTCACAACACTCAGCGACGAGGCTCACTTGTTTCAATTCATCGACTCTTCTGACCACCGAAATCACCACTGAACGACCAGCAAACTTGCGACAACAACCATACACTTCATATCCTACCCTCCGCTCCAATGACAACCTCGAATAATGGTCCGTCCGCGGCCACAAACGGCGACGCGATACCCAAGATCGGACCCCATCCAGGCTCCATCTCCAGTTCGAATCAATACACATCAGAGCTCAAGCTGCGACGTATGCTCAAGGACAATGGCTGCGATCCCGCAAGGCAGGATAACTACCGTCTTCAGGGTGTGCAGTTGATTGAGAATGTGAGGGAATATCTGCAATTGTACGTCGGGTCTTGTATGGGAGTACGTGGGGATTAGAGACTAATTACGCAACAGACCTGTGAGGACGTTCGATACGGCGTGCACATATTTCCACAAATTTCGACTCAACTTCAGAGACGTCGAGTATAACTATCAAGACGCTGCATTGGCATCACTATTTGTCGCTTGTAAGGTGGAGGATACTATCAAGAAGTCGAAGGAGATTCTTGCGGCGGCATACAACGTGAAGAACCCCGACAAATCAGTCACGCCCGATGACAAGGTAAGCCCAACAAACAGCAATCACAACCCCATACTAACCCTCTTAGATGTTCGAGAATCCAGGCAAAATCATCATCTGCCTCGAACGCCTCATCCTGGAAACAATCGGCTTCGACTTCCGCACACGCTACCCCCAAAAACTCCTCGTAAAAGTCGTCCGCGACATCTTTGGCAAGGAGGATGGAAAACCTTTCTTCGAGACCGCATACGCAATGTGTATCGACATCTACAAGACCTTCGTACCCATCAAGCGCACAACGTTCTCAATGGTCATGGCAGTCGTGGAGCTCACAGCCCTCATGACAGAACAGCACGTTGACAGAGTTCGAGAGTACGCAAAGACGAAGCGTCAGTATCACTGGGGCTCTGTTATGGAGACTATGCTTGATATACTGGATTTATACGTTCAGCATGGTAAGTCTACAAAGGTCGGGGCACAGTTTGATCAGAATAAGATCATCGACATCAAGATTCGGCTTAACAACGATCTTGACAAGGCGTTCGAACCTCGATATCTGTACTACTGCTCCCGCTGCGAAGCTGAAGATCCTCAACCTTCTACACCTGCATCCGCTACTTCACCCGCGACATCAACATCATGGCCAGGTGATGCATCTGCAAAACGAACGGTGAAGGGGCCAGAAGGGACGTTGCGTTTTGTGTTTGAGCCTGAGGCTGCGTTGAGAGAAAAGGAGATTACTGAAGGATTCTTTAAGGAAGATTTTGAAGAGTATGAAGTTGAGGTTGAAGAGCCGGTGCCTCCGCCGCCGAGGGAGGGTAGGGGAGGATATCATGGGCATAGAGAGAGGGGGGATCATAGGAGGGGAGGACCGTATGGGGGATATCGAGGTGATAGGCATTACAGAGGAAGGGGTAGACATTACTGAGTCCAGTCATGCACATGGACACTTTCCATTCGAGATACCCATTCAGATTGCCATGGTAGCATGATACTCTATTCACACTCATGGTCTTACATCGAATCGTCCATACAATCATATACACGGATATCATCAACCTAAGCCTTCTTCTCCCTCTTGACCTCCTCATGACCCCCAATCAACAAATCCTCCCCCGACGGTCCACTCGACTTAACACCCTCCAACTCCCCTCCATCCTTCTTCGCAACCGCCTCCTCAGCACTCTTGATACTACTCGCTTTACTAACATCCGCACTCGCAGGACTCTGAACTCTAAGTCCCAAATCCTTCTCATTGTCCGGATCTTCCATATTCGCACCCTTCCAATCTGCCGGTCGAACCTGCGGCACGGGCTGTCCCTCTTCTGGCTCGAGGACTTCTTCAGGCAGAGCGTCAGTGCCGGCGACGCGCCATACTACGGCAATTCGATCAAACGCTCGTGAGCCTTTGCGGCTGGATCCTTTGATCCCGTCCATCGCGTCCCACTCGATGCTGAAGACGCCGCTGTCGAGGGACTTGCCGTCTCGCTCGGGGCCTTGGCCCTCGAAGAAGGTGTTGAACCAGACGTGTGCGACGGCGGTTACCATGGTCAGGCCCATGCTCTTCGGGGTCTTGTTACGACGCTCGACTGAGATGTTGACATCGCTGTTGGGAATGCGGATTGGGGCCTTGGGTCTTAGAATAACCGCCATGCCGCCTGGTTCTTCATCCGAGTTTGCTTCTGTAACATCGGTCTTTGACGATGTAGCAGAGTCATTCTTGGTTCTCTCAACACCCTTATGAGAGCCTGCGGGCGAGACTTTGTGAAGCATCTCTGTGCCCTTTCGTTTGATAGTCTTCGCCTTGCCAATATGCTCCTTCTCCTCAGTCGTCGATGATGGAGTTTCACCTGGGTTCGTCGCCTCAGAAAAGTGCGCTTCATCAGGCGCTTTCTCCTTCGGCTTGGTGACCGAGTACCCGGCCATTTCCCAAATCATATCGCTAATACCGCTCTCCTCAGGTGCTTTGGGATCAACAACCACACGCTCCTCCTTTTTGAATGTGTGAAAGACATCGATCTTCTTGCCCTCATCTGCAAAACCCTCGATGTCAACCTTGACGCCGTTGCGCAAACCCCAGACGTGGATCTCAGGGATTTCAATGGGTCGATCGGTGTATTTCTTGCCACCTTTTGTCCAGCGCTCAACGTAGCTGATCCAGCGCAACTGTGAAGGGATCGAGACCCCAGCACCAAATCGCGGTCGCATTCGTCGTTCCGTGAAGCGCGCAAGGGCATCTTCAGGCTTCCAACCCTCCTCTGCGATAAGATAACTGCAGCTCACCGTACCACTTCGTCCCTTCCCAGCTTTGCAATGAACCACCACCACTCTCTTATCGCGCTTTTCCTTCCTTTGCGCCTCAGTAACGGCATCTTTACCAGAGGACATAGGCCTTCCATCGCCCGTGACTACACCACCGCCGAGCTCTCCACCATGTAACCAATTGCGCATACTCGCCATGATCATGGGCACAAGTCTGAATGGAGGAGGGTGATGATCAGGCCATGGGTAATGCCTCACGCGACCATATACAGATTCATCAGGATAGCCTGTTCCTTCAGCGCGAAACTCCCATATGGCCCAATCTTCACCGTGTTTCGAATCGAGGAATTTGACGAGTTGGTCGAGCGGGTTTCGGTACGCGAGTTGGGGATATGTTTCTGAAGGACCGGATCTGAGGAGCTAGGTGTCAGTAACGTCGCCAGGCAAAGAGATAGCTTCAGAGGGATCGTTTAATGATATCGCTCCTCTGGAATAAAACCCCCAATGACTAGACTTACGTCGCGATAATATGATCCGTAACATAGCACAAATCCAAGCCAGCCTCAGGATGCCGAGCTCGCGGCCCCGCGACAATCTGTCGCAAGATCGAAGCCATCACCAGCAGCGGTCGTCAAGTTGCGGAGAATAGGTAATCACGTTGAAAATGACTGACTACAACTTGATTCGGCTGAAAATGGCTGTTAAGGAGGCGATGGGTTCGGGATGAACAGAACAGGCTGAGGCCGCCTGGTCAAAGATCCATACGTAACTTGCCTGGCGACGTCATCCCTTGCGCCCCACCAAGGGACCTGATCTTTATCGGGCTTTGATATCATCGACAGCACATGAAGAAGTTACTACGAAGAGATGAGATGCTCACTACGACAAGATTTAGCAAAGAATGCAGCTAAATAGAAGCCTCGTTTTTCGTTGAACACTATAATCGAGACCAGGCCGGGCCTTATGTCATCGAATATTCTCAGTGGCTTCTTCTCCGAGAACATACCATGTTTCGATGCCAAACTCTCAGCCATGTCTTCCTCGGAAATACAAACCACAGGTCCGATAAAGCTATTCGTGAGCAATGAACAATTTATCGTCCTGTAAATCACTGTAACAACAGCACAAGTCATGGTCAAACCTGAAATTCCAATACAATAAAGCTAACACCAGGAAATCCATACCCATCCATCCAGTCTCCTTCGTTATCTCCCCCATCATTCCCATGGCCACTTCCATTTCCTCCTGAGTATCTTGTGCACCAAGTCGATTTGCTCGGCCCACAAAGCTCCCTCCGCATGCGCATGAGAACAGTCGCCAGAAAAGTTCTCCAAGTATAGGAATAAAAAAAAATACAGTCACGAGGCCAAGCCTCTTTTCCACGTTCCCATGGTTGTGCAGTTGTACTCGCTGCACCCATGTTCTTTGTCCAGTCTGAAATCGTCGTCGCGTTTAGCTGCAAAGCAGCCAGTCCAATCGTAGCGTCATGGTGTTTCAATCTTGTCTGGTTCCGCTATGTCTCAATTCATATCCGTTAAGTATGATCAAGTCAGAATGACCTGAAGCTGCGTGTCGTCGTCTCGAGCTTATGAGGTCTTCTTAGCAGGGCCGCTAATGTATTTGCTGACGTCAGTAGCATCGTGGAACTGCTTGCCAGCCTCCTTGACACCTTGCCAGACCTGTCGCGCGGCAGGGGGAGTACCCTGAGCACTAACGAGGGAGTCGACACGAGCACCGAGCTGGGTGAAAGAGTTCTGGACATGAGTGCTCTGGCTGTAACGAGCACGGAGGAAAGCAGTGTAGAGAACAATGAGGATCCAAGATCGGCGCTGGAAGAGAATAGCGGAGAGGAGAATACGTCCCCAGAGAGCGATCTCAAGGGAGGAGACGATGGCCATGGAAGCATCATAGTACTCCTTGACGAAAGCGCCAATCTGGTTAGCAAGAGGGCTGTTGACAGCTTGGCGGCTAGGAGAAGCACCATCAGCAGCCTCGGGCGCAGGCTTGGGCGCAAGGACAACGGGGATCAGGTTGGCGCGGGTGTAGGTGGCAACGTGGAAGACCGAGTAGATCGTGTAAGGGATCAAGGCGAGGGGGTACTGGGGAGAGAAAAGCCACACAAGGGCCATGGCTTTTTGAGGTCAGCAAGGTTGCGCAGGTCTAGCAAGATATGCTTCAGAAGCTCTTACCAAGGTACTGGATGTTCTCATCAGCAAGGAGAGCCATGGGGGTAGGAGCAGCTCGGGCGCCAGTCTTTGCGCGAGCGCGCATGGTCTTGTAGACGACGATGCCATAGGTGACAGCGGCAGCAATAAAGGCAGTACGGTAGGAGAGCTGGGCCATGCGGGTGTAGTAGTTCATTCGAATCCAGGACAAGAAATATCGGCCCGTTGTAAGGATCAGGGTGAGGTGTCTATAGTCAAGAGAGCTTGTCAGTCACAGATCTGGCTATTTGTTGGTGATGTGAGCTCCAAAGAGGGAGGCTGAAGATCCAAAACAGCTATCGTGGCCATTTCGTCGCACCGAGGCAGAGCGGGACAAAGGTAAAGTTCATGACAAGACGTACCCTACAAACCAACCGACTATGAGAAACACCAAGTTAGCAATGCGATCTCATTGTGATGTCTGCGCGCAAGGTCGCATCTCAAGATACCACGTACACTGGAGTGTCTTTGCAAGGGCCAGAAGCCTCTCCTGGAGAGGAAGATTGGGGTTCGGCGGGGGAGCCATTGCGTCTAGAGATAAGAGAGTCGAGAAATGATGCGATCTAGTATGGGCTCAGGGTAAAGTGCGCTCGCGAAGTCGTTGAGGACGAGCTGATGCTGTTATTGCGAGTCGAAGATGCTGATGAATAACGATGTCGTAAGGAAGAGAAGACAAGTTGTGGGCTTTTGGAAGTGGGTAAGAATCAAGGCAGGGGAGAGTGATGGAATGGACTGTGGCAGTGACGGAGCCCGCCCCCGCTTTGGATTGAGGTGCCCCAAGCTCCAGGGCTCAGGACAGGTTTCAGCGATTGGTTTCCAGCGCGGTTTAGCAGCTGAGACGCTAAAACGGCCGCCTATCTTTTGAGAGGGGGGAATGACCGGGGGCTGGGCGCTATCTAAGACCCGACGGGAGGGAGCTCGAGGTGGGGGGAAGGACAAAGAGGCTGGTAAGGGAGTTTGTCTGAGACTGTGAAGATGAGGAAATTAATATTGATTGTGGTTTCGTAGAGGTCGTACTGAGTGTTTAGACCATGTTTGGTAGGTTTGTCCTTTGATGTATCCATTGGTTGTACACGACACCAACTGAAACGCTTGTCCAAGCTTATCTAGAGGTGGTGATGGCTTCGATGACGACAATTAACCTGTTCGAAAGCACGTGAAGGCGCCACTAATCGGAGAACTCTCCTGAAATACAATCCGTCACAGCATAATTATTCTATGTTTGAACTCGTGCTGTATTATGAGCTACCTCTAGTCTTTTTTGCGTCGATTTCATTTAATATTCAAAACAACTCTCACTTCAATTCTCATCGTCATTCGAACAAAGAGCTTCAATAAGCTGACTTTCGAGCTTTGACTTTCGTCATCGCCTGATGCCAGCTTTTACCAAGGCCCAAGCCCCTGCATAGCTGAACCGCGCAAACTACATCTCAGCCAATGAGAACCGGACATTTCCAATGGGTGGGGGGAACCTGAATCGACTTGTGAGCGGCTAAAATCCCATTTATGAACTTCGCGACGACATCTCTCGAATATATAAGAACCCCGTAGGGTAAAAGAAAGATTTTGATAGATATCGAGAGTTTATTTGAGCACTTCGGCCGGCTGAGGATATGGCCTTGCTGTTAAATATTAACCTGTTTCCACATTATACGTTAGAAATGGAGTTACCCTGTACCATCTCTCAATGCTTGATGGCAGGGCGACAGCACACTCGGAATTAACAACTTTTTTCTACAAACTCAAATACGATGACTACCCTAGGGGAGGCAAGAAAACTTGAGACCTTCATCCTAAGTGATAAAAATAACTAATAAGAAGCCTTCTAAATTCACACTAAACTTACCTAAATGTTTTTATCACTTAGAGGAGACATCCTAAGTTTTTTTGCTTCTTGAGGCTACCTACCTAAAGACATTGCTAACACCAAGAAGGTTCATACCCTCATAGAAAAACTGCTCAAGTCTTGTGTAGGGCACGTCCGTTTTGGGACTCGCTGGTGAGAAAGCACAGGTGCCTTCATTTGCGGCATGGATAACTCCGTTTGGCAGCTTCAAAATCGATGATTCTTAGCCAGAGTCCGCTATTGAACATCAATATCCCCAACTCCAAACTGCACAAACCCCTTTCGCTTCTCCATAGACACAAGCTATGTATAGCCCCAAGCTACGTCCAAACAATCTTCGGTTCGTTGCAAAAGTAGAGGCCTTGTAGAGCCAGCCATTCATTGTTTCCTTCGAGAGTCAGCTTACAGCGATAACAGGTCTAAAGCATTACGAACCTTTCGTGAGTGACAGCCGAATCTGCCACAGAAAGATTTCCAGCATCCGAAACAGACTTGACGTTCTTAGCCTTTCGTTGCCTGAGAACCGTTTCCACCCTCGTTCTAGCTTCTTGTTTCTGCTCAATAGCACCAGTGACAGTCCAGAAAAGACTGTCCACAGGACGGTAACCATGGCTATGCTTGAACTCCGCGAATGTGCAGACGAGGATGTGAGCGTTGAGTAGGATGAGGTTATATGCCTGCCCGATCTCATTCTTAATCCCCTTCTTCTTGATGGCCTCGATTCGAGCGTACAAGATTGCTTCGACTATAAATTTGATGTCTTTAGGATCAATAGGTCTTTCCCAAGATTTGTTGAGACTGCTGGCAATGTGATCGTAGTATTGAGTCTCCTTTTCTTCACATGCGCATGGTGGCGCGACGAGATCGTGGTTGGGGCAAATGGTGAGGCAGTGGAAGTTGCTATAACATTCGGTTAAGAACTCGCAGATGTTGTCTTCTACCTCCGTTGGGGTCCTGTTTGGTGGCAGAGGTGAGCCGCTAAAGACTCTTGTACAGGCAATTGAAAATTGGGGACTTGTCTTGGTGAGGTAGGGGAACGATAGCCCCGGAGTTTTGATGAGAAGCTCATAGCAAATCTCGCGATGGCGCGGCATTGTGGTATACTACTCGTTCGTATGCTCTGGAATAAGGAAATGGTGAAGTGAAGAAGATATAGCTGTCTCTGCAGCTATGAGCAATATTGACAGTGTAGGGTTGAAGTGACCTGGTGTGTCTTGGTTGGAGAAGAAGTCAGGGACTCTACTGTGTGTCTCTTTCCCGAGATGCCTGAAGGTAAGTTATGGCCCAGGCGTCGTAATAAATAAGTTGAGAAAGAGGAGAATCACCGAGACACGCAAGTTAAGTTCAACACGCCTATTGCTATCACAAATAGTGTGGTTGTAGCCTCCGACTCTCTCGCGAGTGATAGGTTATCTGCAGAAACAACGTTTGGCAAAGCATCACAACGCGAGTATGTGAGGAAATCTCGATCCATACAAGCTTCGTAGCCAGCAACTTTGTTTGCAGATATTTCGTCCTCGTGGAGGCATGCTTGTCGATGTTGACAATAAGTGACGAAGGAAGCCGTCGTTTGAGAGCAATCGGGAACATCAAACGCAATATGGGGACGATGTAGCGTGGAACATACAGCTTGAAGATGTGCTCACAACGTTCACAAGTTTGTAATGAGCTTGGGGGTGTCTCATTACATGTGAGATATAACCTCAAACTATCTCGAGATAAACAGAGTATCAAGGCCACTTCACCACCGCACATAAACTTTGAGGCTTCAACTGAAGCATAATAGCTTTTTGAAATGCTGATACGGGCCAATCAACTGCCCATGATACACTGCTTGTTGACAAATTGATGGCCTTAGGAGAAGTTGTAGCTTCGAGCTGCTTCCCCTGCCATCGACAGAATGTACACTTAAGGATGCTCTGATGTATCCTTCAAGAGGCAATTATGAACTAGATGAGACTTTCAAAACTTAAATTGGCCGTCTCAAACGTTGGCCTCTTCTCAATCTGACAAAGATACCCGAAACTCGAACACCAGCGGCTTATAACCTGCTAGACTCGCCTCTACTGAACCACCCGGTTGAAGGAGTATAGAGACATACACCAACAGTCACCACAGAATGACCCTTAATGATGCAGCTACTGCGGTCTGCTGTCACATACGACCATAGCTCTTGGAGAATACGGGATCCCGTCTGCTCTCCCATCGTCAAGCCGAGAAGCGGTGAATTAGTACTCAGGTCGGTGACGACTGGGGAATCCTCACTGTTGTATGTTTTGCTGATTTTGTTCATTTTTGCTGCCGGGAGTTGTAAATGGGTTTATGATGAGAAACTCCTAGTGCTGTTCCCTTTTAACATGGGATTTATATCAAGGTACACCGCAGCTGAGGGGCTCCAGTGCGAATTGGCCATGTTGACATGCCAGGTATGTAAGTGTAGAACCGTAGAAGTTTGGCTGGACTGATCAATCGTGTATCAATCATAACTCTCCATAGAGCCAATGGTTTGAAAGAGGTTGTGATGGTAGCCAATCGGAGCAGAATGGTGTTGATCACCGTTTCGCCATAAGCCTCATACGTAATGACCCATTTAGATCTCCCGGAGCATTGAAACCACCTAGCTCGACGTATGGAATAAACAGCTTTACAAGTTGATGTTAACTATGAGTTAAACACAACGGAGCATGAGTTCCGGTATACTCGCCGATCAAAGGATTCCCATGAGCAACAATTGCATCACAAAGAGGATGGCAATCCAAGTTCCCCATTGGCCACGCATGTCAGCTTCACACCCCATCAAGCGGGCATGGCAGGGAATAATTCAGGTACCGTCCACAGCCACAGCTGTCACGACGACTTTTCGCCTCTTTATCTCTGTTTCATATTTTAAAAACTGGAGCCTTGGGAGATGATGCATCTGAGACGTCAATTGCCTCCACGCCAAGGGGTTAGGCTGGTAACATGATCTTGAGATGAGAGATCTCACAGGCGGACGTGAAGCTCCGGTCACAAAAGATTGTATGGATCCCTGCCCCGTATACTTGAGGGCATTCTCGTGGCTAAGAGGCTCCGTGTCGTCGTGTGTTGGGAGGTTTTGGTCAGATGGGCTGGGTAATGCTTACGTAGCCGAGACGTCAGATTCAGCAAAAGAAATGTTCAGTGTTGGTAACAAAATTTCAGACTGAACGATATAAATATTGAGATGAATGATTACAAGGTTTCACGATATCGGTCAAATCCTGATGTCTTTGTCAATTGATCTCTATCTTACGCAACTTCAACTTAAACGGTAGCTTCCTCAACATGTCTGCATCAATACTCAAGCGAGCAACTTGCTCAATCGCTAGCAAGACATACTCTCATGGGCGGATAGCTGCTCTTCGGCAAACACCATTCCTCTCCAAGCCAATTTGTCAACGATCAATGCACACCACAGAAAATGACAGCGCAAAACCAATGAACCCGGACCCTAGAGAGAATCCTGCTCATGAACTCACTTTACCGCGAGGAACAAATGTCGGTCGCAAGCGATTCTCCGACTTTGAACTCGCTGGAAAGGTCTTTATCGTCACAGGTGGTGCTCAAGGTCTTGGATTGACCCTGGCTGAGAGTCTTGTTGAGGCTGGTGGAAAAGGTATGCCAACCACACAACTGAACTAAACAGGAACTAACTTAAGTACAGTGTATTGTTTGGATCGTGCTGATCAGCCTGACGAAGGATGGCATGAAGCTCAAGCACGCGTCGTTCCAGAATGGGGCGGATCTCTACACTACCGCAAACAAGACGTATCAGACGCCGAAGGTCTCGATAAGCTCATCACCGCCATCGCAGATGAGAACCAGGGTCTTGACGGCGTGATAGCCGCCGCAGGCGTCCAGCACATTTCGCCCACCGTGGAATACAGAGCAGATGAAGTAGCACACATGCTCTCCATTAACTACACCGGTGTTTTCATGACCGCCAAATCCGCCGCCAAGCAAATGATGAAGTACAAAAAACGCGGAAGCATCTGCCTCATCGCCAGTATTTCCGGCCTCAAAGCGAACCGCGGTCTTATTTCCCCCGTTTATAATTCTAGCAAGGCAGCTGTTATCCAACTGGCGCGAAACCTTGCTATGGAATGGAGTCCTATTCAGAAAGACGGCACAGGAGGGATTCGCGTCAATTGTATTAGTCCTGGACATATCATGACGCCTATGGTGGCGAGCAACTTTGAGGAAGTACCTGGTATGCGGGAGGAGTGGGAGAGGGAGATCATAATGGGGAGATTGGCGGAGACGCAGGAGTTTAAGGGTGCGGCGTTGTTCTTGTTGAGCAATGCGAGTAGCTACATGACGGGGAATAACCTCGTGATTGATGGAGGACACACGTCGTGGTAATGAATGGGGTGGTGTTGATAAGGAGATTCGATGACTGAAGAGGAGAATCGATGATAGATTAATAGCAAGCCAAGCCATTTGTTTTACAATGTAACTCTCATACCTACAATGTCGTCGCATCCAAGTGTCTCATTCGTTTACACATCCAAGTGGCTTAAAATGCCTGCAAAACTGCACCTATAGTAACGATCGCTTGTAGTCTTCCATCTTCGCACGAAGACTAAAGTCTCTGAATATGACGAAGGATGCCAGATTGTGATGCTCTTGACCCGCCCCAACTCTATTCCACGACTCCTCCACAACCCATCCCTTTATTGGTCTCCTACTCCAGTGATACCTGTGGTGGTATGGAGATCATCAGAATTTCATCCGAGTCTTACGCGTTTAAATATAATTAGAATATTCTTAGATGGTAGATGGAGCCACAGAAACGAGCCTCGCAAATGTATCCAAATATTGGATCCTATGTATTTCTAGAAACAATGGACTTCTGAGCTAACCCTTGGATCCTTCGTTGCAGCAATTATCCGACTATCTGGACCAACCACACTCTCTAGAACCTGGGCCCCTATTGTCCCAACCATAGCGAAACGCCCTTATAAAAGCTCTGAATCTCCCATATGCCAAATACAAGCTCCAAAAATGACCCGAAACAACGCCAGATAACACAACGTTCGGTGGTCTCCCTGTCTTTCAATCTCATGTATGATGACTTGCCGGTCGCGACGGCTGTTCAACGTCATCAGAGACAAGGGCCCTCTTGACCATATTAGATCCCAAAACCCCGAACCATAGCTCCTCCAATCGTCTCCATACAGGACTGAACTTCCACCAAGGTGCTCTAGTATGGTTGTAGGCGGATTGCGCTACCCCCGGACTTGGATCTCGGACGAGAAAGTTTGTTCTGCAGGAGCGCCATCTCCCTTTCCTCGATCAAAACATCAAGACCGGACTTTATACACTCCAAGCGCTCATCCCGTCCCCAATCGATAATATTCCGGACGAATCTGCGGAACTCGAGGAACTCTTCAGGTCGCTGGAGAATGAACGTCTTGATCTTTTGCGTATATATGAAGTCTCCATCTTTCCAAGAGACATGCAATCGAGCCTCGGTTCCATTCATGGCAACACTGAAGCTCGTGCTATCAAGTGGCTTGCTGGGCTCAATATCCGTACACTTCTCAAGTCTGTCTCTCAACTTCTCGCTGATGTGGATGCAGGCCGTGGACGCTCCCAGGCATTGGTTCGTCGCCACCTAGAGACTACCTTTGCTGGATGGTCCGTCGCCTTTGAACTCGACTGCGAAGAAGGGAAAGATGAGGCCTTCGCTGTTTGCGAACGCAAAGTTACCACATGTAGCGATCTGCATTCGCTGGTCCTGTTCGAAGGCAGACAAGCGGTACCCGTATAGGAGATCGGGAACAGGAATACTGATTCTCGCATAGGGACTAGTGATAGGAATAATGGCCCTACCTACAAAGACACGATCGCTGCGCTTGATCTTATCTATGCCGGACCTAGGGGGAATGAAGTTGTTTCGAACAAAGTCTTCGACCTTTGCTTCACTGGCACCTGCCTCCATGTCATAGAGATCATCGTTATCTTGGGGCATAGGCTCAGGGGAAGATCGACCTTTCTTGAGGGATTCGACAAGTGTTGAGATATGAGGCGGGAGTTCAGTTCGAGAGTCGAGTAGAAGGATATTGTTGAGAGCCAGGTTACAGTCCCTGTAAAGCGCACTCTCAACGAGAGGCCCGTTGGATCGATTGGGAGTGCCAGTGGCTGTTGGGTAAATAGTTGGTGTCGGGTCAATAGACGGCCCCCCTTCTTTAGAAGTGAATCCGGGAGACGAGGGCTTGAGGGAGGATTTAGGAGAAAACGCCAGCTCAAAGGTGACAGCTTGACCGGTGAGGTTCTTTCTACCTGACATAATGGCTGGAGCAGAATGAGATCTTTCTAGGAGTCTGGGTTCGAAGTCCTTGTCTAGAATGAAGCAGTCTGAACGTGATGTCTTGCGTAGATCTGAAGGGTAAGTGTCTTCGAGCCAGTTATTGACTTGTTCCAAGTACGAAGGGCGAGGTTGAGTCTCCTTTATATACCCAAGAAGAGCAGCGGATGGAAGAATACTTCGAATAGGAGCTGGTTGAAACATGACCTATTAAGATACAAGTCAGCTCATGAAGAAGAGGCTATCATGGTGCTTTGTCGATGATGAGGTCTTGTACGACTTCAGGGGACTCTCACATGGTCGTTAATATCCTGATTATCGACTTCATAGCGAGATCTCTTGAACTGCTGAGCCTGTGGTGGAGGGATTGAGGGAGATCTGCTGGCGGCGCGCTTCCTAGGGTTGTCCAGACTGGCCTGAATAGGCGCTGGTTCTTGCGAGCCGTCCATGATGAGAGTCAAGGTCAAGGTCAAGGTCAAGGTCAAGAGAAATACGGTGATTTGAAGAAGAGAAGCAGAGAGCCCTTATTATATTCTTCTGAAAGGGTACTGAAAGCAGTGAAGAAGGATGTTTAAGTCACGTTAGTAAATCTGAGAATAGCGGTTTTTTGGAGCCGTGACAGTTCCGGCCATGCTTGAAGCGAGTGATGAAGCAATATTAAGACATGCATTTTGGCCATTTCGAGGAGGATAACCCCTAACAGTGTCAGTGATTCATAGAGGAATTTGTAGTGTTGTTGAATCAGAACCTGAGGTTGATGCTTTCAGGCCATATGAAGTTGTCAGTGATAAGGTATTGAGCTACTACACGTTATACGAACTTGAAGCGCACAAAGTGCCACCTAACACCTCTGATTCAACGACCTGTTAAAACCTCACGATAAACCGTTTCTGCAAAAGCCACACGATTCTCGACACCCCGTGGAACATGTGAAGAGCATCACCAGGCACCGTCCTACATACATCAGCATCAAAGCGCAGATTGTTTCAGCCCTGTGAACAACGTCAATCCCTGCGGTAGATCCCCCAGATTTGTATTGTAAAAGCTCCGAAGGGTTACGGATGCTTGTGATTTTGGCCGTTGAAAGTAAACGCGCGTTGCATGAGCCTCGGGCGGCCCGTACCGCACTATGACGCCCGCAACAACGTGAGTTGTTTTAGCGAGGTTTCTGCTGGCTCCACTAATAATTTGAAGTCATGATGCCTCAATTACAGTTTCATTGTTTCTGTCATGATAAAGTTATGAAGATTCTCCGGTTGGGACATGACGGGGCCACACACATGTTGTCTTCAACGTCACTCGAGTAGACTTCACCGCGGGACTTTCTTCTATTCTGTCTACCAAGTCCTGTCTAAACCTATACTAATCATGTATCAAATAATATTCTAGTCTCAGAATTCCTCCCTTACTATTCTCGGCCGACATGTCCGGCTTTCGGATCATCAGGTCCATGACAACTCTAATCCCCACTCACAGCCCTAAAATTCGCAAATCGCCCCCAGTCTCCGCTGTCAGATCCAATCTAACTCCACTGTCGTCATTGTCAGCGACTCCGGCGCTTCCGTCACATTTTCCCCTTCATGCAGTCTCTTTTTTTCTTCCCTCCCTTCCATTCACTTCCCTCAAAACCACCACCCACAAACCAGAAAATAATCCATATCTCCGGGTTATCATATCATACCCTCCGATCTCGCTGTCCCCCATGGCTTCTACTCTCGAAGCTACCGGCGCTCCAGCCGCTCGCATCACCTCTACTGCTTCTACCATTGCAGACTACGCTTATCCTTATGGCCATCTGGGGCATTTGACGCAGAAGCAGGAGGAGGCTTTTGTGCAGTTTAAGAAGGTCCTTGAGGAGAGGGGGCTTTTGAAGGTTGGACCTCCGCCTTCTCATGATGATCCTTTGATCTTGTAAGTTTTGCGGCAAGCGATTGATAAGCAGGGTTCTAACAGCTTTTCTCTACAGGCGATACTTGCGCGCGCGAAGATGGAATGTCGAGGATGCGTATCAGCAATTCAAGGAGACAGAAGATTGGCGCAAGGCAAATGATTTGGACGTTTTATACGACACCATTGATCTAAGCGCCTACGATTTCAGCCGTCGCCTCGTATGTCTCTCGGAATACTCGGGAATGCCAAGCGCTGACTCTTCATCTGTAGTACCCCCAATGGACCGGCCGACGCGACCGTCGCGGGATTCCCCTCTACGTCTTTGAAGTCAAGACCCTCGACTCCAAGACCGTCCACGAGTATGAAAAGGTCGGCGCATCGAGTACCTTTTCCAAAGCCAAGTCTGACGGCAAGACGCCAAGCGGCCTGCTGCGCTTATTCGCTCTGTACGAGAACTTGACGCGCTTCAACATGCCGTTCTGCACACAACTCCTCGACCGCGAACATCCCGAGGTTCCTATTACGTTGAGCACAAACATTGTGGATATTTCGGGCGTGGGGCTGAAGCAGTTCTGGAATCTTAAGCAGCATATGCAGGCTGCTTCACAACTTGCTACGGCGCATTACCCCGAGACGCTGGATCGCATATTCGTGATTGGTGCGCCGGCGTTTTTCAGCACTGTTTGGGGTTGGATCAAGCGTTGGTTCGATCCTATTACTGTCTCTAAGATTTTCATCCTTGGTCATAATGAGGTCAAGAGTGTGCTAGAGCAGTACATCGAGCCCAGAAACATTCCCAAGAAGTATGGCGGCGAGCTTGATTACAACTTTGGAGAACTCGGCAACCCTGATCCTAACTGGGAGGGTGTCGTTGAGTTTGAGAATGGACACAAGACGTTTCCTAGCGGGCCGTTATTGTGGGAGGAGGATTCTAATGGAAGATTAGTCTGTATGGCTAAGGGTTCCAAGGACGGACAGCCTCGAAACGAGAGAATCTGTACAATCCCCAAGACCTTTGGTCTCGCGCCTGTTGTAGAAATATCCAGCGGCGAAACAGTCGTTGAAACACCAGCAGAAACCAACGACGCAGCCGCCCTCAACGGAAACGGACACCCCGTATCTCCTCAAGGAACACACGACGACGGCGTTCAGACCGACGACGCGCTCTTGAGCGACGACGTGAACGAGAAGCTGAAGCTGCAGGACGACAAGCCTATCGCTGCACAGACGACTACTGCGTGATAGAAGTATTATATCCTAGAGATGGCGAAGACTGGCATACCCTGGAAGCAAATTTTGGAAAAGATGGTTTGAAGTACAAGATGGACTATATTGGTTGAAGTACACGGAGTATATCCCTTTCTGTTTGGCGTATCATGTTTAGAACCTCCCGTTGAAGCGGTGATATGGTTGTGAATACATAATCGTGATTCCCTGTTAATGTTTGAACAATTACCTTCTTTATTCTATTCCCTAATCATTGATCTTCTATGCCTCGTGCCTCTATTGAACTCTATTCTAGCAATGCCGTTACCAAGTCTATTCCATCTCTGGAACTTCTGGTCTTGTAATATATCCCCTTCTATTCCTCCACTGGGTAACACCCCTCTCAAGCTCCCCCCACGTAACTCCATCTCTAACAAGACACATCGTCACCCCCAAACTCTCCGTATCTCTATTCCTCGCCTCATCATCGAAGAACAGCATATCCTCATACTTGATCCCCGTCCTCTTCTGCAAGCTCTCAAAGTGCTTGATCTTGCACCCTGGATAAATCTCCAACAAGCCCTCGAACACATCCAGCGCTTTCTTTGGCTTCCCGCCCTCTGGTCCAGTGATATGCAGCATCTTTAACAAATCGCGCGCAAGGCTCGGCGCAGAAGTTCGCGATGCCACGCCGATTTTAATACCGGCGCGCGGCAGGGCGTGAAGAATGGCAGGGACGTCGCTGAAGAAACCATAGTCTTCGCCGTATCGATCTGTGGCGCTTGTGTGTGAGGGGTTGGGTTTTAGGGGTGGTGTTACGTGGGTGTCTACCCAGAATGGCCAGAGGGTGTAGTCGAGATCGAAGACGATGAGCTTGGGGAGCGGAAGGGTGGGATCGGCGAGGGAGGATGGGAGGGCGGTGGATGATGTTGATGTTGTTGAGATTGTAGAGAGGGTTGAGGTGCTTGGCGGGAGAGGGTTTTTGGAGAGTTTCTTTGGCATTTTGAGATTCTTGAGGTAAAGATTGATGGAGAGACAGGGTTGGATGTGGTGATGGAAGGTTTGGTGTTGAGAAGTTGGGACTTTTTTGTTGTCACCCCGCGGTGGGGGGATGTGACGTCGCTGACGTGCGTGCTCTGACCAGGCAGCTAAACGTTGCTATGATCGACGCGTCTGCCTTTGGGTAGATTTTCTCATCCACTTTGTGGCCGTAGGTTTTGACGGTTAGCGTCGTAGCTGTTCTATGTTCATATCTCCCTCACAACATCAAGCACAGTATTACATAACAAGGACTGTTGCCAGACTCTAGCCGAGATACCATCCGAATTTGATCTCTGCTAGCTGTTGTAATCTATGTTAATCTTGTGTTGTTCTCCTTCATTCATTTCTAACAAAGATCCATGGCAATCAGATTTTTATCTTTCCAGGTACTTAGTCAACTGCCCATGACTACTTTATGCTGGTGAATGACCATGAGCAAGTGATCTACCCCTCATACTCTAAGTTATTTCACAAGAAATAGCGCTTTCTACATTGAATTCGCCTAATCATTGAAATTATACCGACTAATCGCAATGCTTGCTGAGTCTCTCAAATCTCTTTACTCAGTCCTGGCCAAGCCAGTCCAGGTTGAATGTCAACCTCTAAATTCCTACTTCGGCTACCCCGCACTCTCTGCGATTGCGGGGAGGCAAATTACGGGTCCTCTTGAGCAAAATACCACGCTTCTAATTGGCCCGAGGTAATTAGTCCAAGTCGGGGGACATTTCCCCATTTAACATGGACATTTGCCTGACTCTTTTTAACCTGAAGAACTGATCTCTTTTTGCCGAAAGCTGCAATCCCCTGGGTATTAACCCCTGCGATATGCATATGCCGCTGAGCGTATGTCTAAGAAATAAGCGATTTTGTGCTTCTGTGCGTCATTCTTGACGATCTGAAGGTGTTCAGGGGTTGGTCGCGAAGATCGACTCATTCACGCGACACGGTCAATTGAGTGATTGACAGGGACTCAAGACGGAAACAGAAGCATTCATGATGGCTAAGAGAACGTGGTCGGACTCTGCTGCGGCGACCAGCGCTGATGCGGCGGTATGTCTTGACGTCTCATTACGAGAATTGGCTGACAAGACAGGCCCCGACACCAGCACGTCCAAATGGGAACGGGAGAACAGCTTCTCATCGACAAAGCATCACGGGCGTCGTGTCTAACGACGGTACTGTTCCTCAGATCTCACGCAAGATCAAGGCGTGCGCAGCATGTCGGAAACACAAGGTGAGACCGAGAAGCCGCAGAGTATGAGTGAGAATTAATTGTGGTGATAGATCAAATGCTTGATGGATGAGAGTGGCCCGCCATGTCGGAGATGCGCGGAGAGAAATCTAGGATGTGTCCTGAGCAAAAGTCTCCAAACCATCATGGATGAAAAGTCACAGTAAGCTTTAACCCCTTTATCGCTCACCATCTCAAAGTAACCAAAACATTCAGATTTTCTGAATCCGTGGTCCAAGATCTAGAGCAAATGCACAGCGCTCTAAGACAAGTCATGACCAAACTCAGCCTCCCAGAACTTCCACCCCTACAGAGCATCAACTCTCGAGAAGAAGGGTCACCACCTAAAGACGACCATGCAAATACGTCACATCACCTATCTGTATCACAAGAGGAATTCCGTGGTCCCTCATGTGATAACTCACCGAAAGCGACGCCTGAGGATGAGGGCCTTCCATATGTGCCTATTCACTCACTTTATACTCTTACTAAACTCAGTGCTTTACGATCACCGGATAATCCTGAAGCCCAAAAAGGAAACGCCATCAACGACTTTATCGCTCGCGGTGCGCTTTCGCTAGCAGATGCAGAAAGTCTCTTTTCTCTGTATCGCGACCGTTTAGATCGGTATATGTACGGAATCGGCTGTCGATACATGACCCTCGAAGAGCTCCGCCGCAAGAGTCCAATCCTCTCCGCTGCTACACTCACAGTAGCTGCACTACACGACCCAAAAGCCGATAACATCTACGGAATCTGCAGTGGAGAGTTCCGGCGCCTCATGGAAAGGTCAATGTTTGAGCGCCGCATTGATCGTGATTATCTTCGCGCTATGTGTGTTGCTTCATATTGGCTTAGCGATCTTTCTTGGATGCTCTCGGGATATGCTATTCGACGCGCTGCGGAGTGTAATTTGCATAACAGCTATAACCAGGCTATCAAGGAGCAGAGTCAGGAGGCGGCGGATTGTGCTCGGCTGTGGTATATACTGTACATCTGTGATCAGCACCTTGCTACCTTGTACGGACGGCCTTCGATTGTTCAGGAGGATTCGTCGATTCAGGGATGGGAGCAGTTCTTGAAGTCACCAGTTGCGACGGAGGAGGATAAGCGGTTGACTGGCCAGGTCATGCTGGTTAGTATTCTGCGAAATATCCGTGAGCTCTTTGGGACGGATAAGGGTGAGCCGATTCCGAGGGTGTACCTGAATCACATACTGCAGTTCAGAAGGCAGTTGGATGAGTGGTATACTCGATGGATGGGAGAATTACCTGGTAAGTCAGCATCAACGCTTATCCCCGAATTATACTAACCTCCCGCAGAGCAATGGACCCAAATCGGCTCATTCCCTCGAAAAGGAACAATCCTTCACTACAACTTCGCCCAGATCCACCTCTACTCACACATCTTCCGCGGTCTCTCCAACGACGCCCCCATCCCTCATTATTTCCTCGACTGCGCAATGCAAGCCGTCAACGCCGCAACAGCCATCATCGACCTCATAATAACCGACCCAGACGTCGCAGTCGGCATCGTAGGAATGCCCTCGTACATGCTCTCCATGACCGCCTTTGCCTGCATGTTCCTCATAAAAGTCGCAGTGAAGTACGGCAGCGATCTGATCGAGCGCCAGCGCGTCCACGATCTAACGACGAATCTGGTTCGGCAGTTTCGGTCGCTGAAAGCTGGGAAGTGGCATCTTGCGAATCTCATGGCGGGCGGGTTGGAGCGCATGACTGCGACACTGGCTACACCAGACCTGGGACAGGTACAGCCTGCGGTGTATTATAATACGGTTGAGCATGTTGATATGGTGATGCCGGGGAATCAGGTGTATACTGATATGGATGGGGATACCTTCTTTGACTACGATATGAGTTTTGGGCTCTCGCCGGTTTTCAGGTTTGATCCGAGTATGTTTACGGTTGATGCTTCGGGACAGTCGCTCCCGACGTATCCTGAGGCTGATTATGGGATGAGGCCGCAATAGGATGGTTGAACGGGCGTTTTGTTTGGGAATACCTGGTTGTTTGTATGTGATAGGACTTGGGTATGAAGCTGAAGAGATCATTCTTATCCGTTGTATGGCCGAAAGAGACTCCGTGATCGGATAACTACCCCGTATCTGAGTGAACCATGGCTAGAGATGTATCATATCTGCTCCCCCAATCTACATGACGATCCCCTCCGCCTGCTGCAATTTCTCTCCACAGTTTGTCCATCTCGGATTTCGTTCCGTCGACTCCGCATCATCTTCTGCGGGGGACACGGATAACCTCATTCACCCCGCGATAGTGGATCAATCTTATCCGATCAAACTACCATTTAAACAGATCAACTCACTCTCATTCATCGCTAATACAACCACTAGCCTACCTATACCAAACACCAAAATGGCCAATACACAGCATATTCTCATCACCGGCGCCGGTGGCTTCATCGGCCAAGAGATCATAGCCCCCCTCCTCAACTCCTCACCCGCAATCCATCTCACAATAACCGACATCTCTGAACCTCCCGTCCCAACTCAACACGCCCAACGCATAACTTCTCTCGCCGCAGATCTCACCAACCCTTCTGTCGTCGAGCAACTCATAACGTCTCAGCCCTTCCAAGCAGTTTATCTCTTCCACGGGCTCATGTCCGGCGGTTCAGAAGCAAATCTCGATCTCGGTCTTAAAGTCAACGTTGATTCAGTGCGCTATGTTCTCGATGCCCTGAGGAATAAACTCCCCGGGGTCAAAGTTGTGTTTTCGAGTTCTTGTGCTGTTTATGGACCGGAGGAGGGATATGTTACGGAAAAGACACTACCGCAGCCGAGATCTTCGTATGGTGCGGAGAAGCTTATTGCTGAGTTGTTGGTGAATGACTTTTCGAGAAGGGGTTTGATCGATGGGCGCATCGTGAGATTGCCAACAGTGGTAGTTCGACCTGGAAAGCCCTCCGCCGCAGCATCGAGTTTCGCCTCAGGAATAGTCCGCGAAAGTCTCCAGGGCATTCCTAACGTCCTCCCCGTGCCCAAGGATATATCAATGTGGATCTGCAGCCCCGCGACTGTCATCAAGAACCTGATCAAGATCAAGGATATACCCGCTGACAAGTTTGGAGAGTCGAGGATTGTAAATCTTCCGGGTATTACTGTAAGTGTACAGGATATCCTCGATGCTGTTGAGAAGGTTGGTGGAAAAGAGGCTGTAGGGTATGTTAAGGAGGAGCAGGATGAGGCGTTGTATAAGATTGTTAAGAGCTGGCCGCCGTGGTTTGATGCGAGTAGGGCCAAGGGGCTTGGGTTGGATGGGGATGGGGAGTTGGTTGATGCTGTCAAGGCTTTTCAGGAGAGATTGAAGAGTTCATCGTAGGACTTTTATTATTAAGTGATTCTATCTCTATCAATTTATGATGGGTATAGTCAAACATCTCGCAACTCCTCTCCTACAGCTTTGAAGACCTGACTCTTCGTGATACTGAGCTTGGCTCAATACGACCAGAAGTAACCAAATGGTCAACATCCAAAGTATTAACGAGCTCAGGCGTCGCTTGATCCAGGCTAGTAATACCAGCAAGTCTCATAGATGTTTCAAGCTCATCCTTAAGAACTAAACAGTATGTTAGTCACTACCACACAAACACCATTCAGATAACTTACTCTGTGAAAGGTGCTCAACACCCTTTTGACCATACACCAACGAATACAAGAACGGTCTTGCAATTCCAACAGCAGTAGCCCCTAGGGCAATAGCCTTGAGGATATCAGATCCACGTTCAAAGCCTCCATCGATGAAAATCTCAAGATGTTGGAAGGCTTCGGGGAACCGCTTTCGGACCTCGAGAAGGATGAGGATAGAAGCCTGAGCACTGTAGATCTGTCAGAAACCTTCCGTTTCAAATGGATAGCAGTGAACTTACCCATCGAGAGATCTTCCACCGTGATTACTCAACATAACACCCTCAACGCCATACTCAACCGCCAACTTGACATCCTCCACAGTCTGAACCCCCTTCAGCACAATCGGCACAGAACTCTCCCGTCTTATCCACTCCAAATCCTCCCACGAAAGACTCTTGTCGATATACTGTCCCATCAACCGTCCGAGTCCACTGCCCTTACCATCTTTACTGCTCTCACTACCGCTCATGGCGGATTTTATAACAACAGCTTGGGGGGCTCGTTCATCGGCCTCGCGTTTTCCGGGAACGGGGGCGTCGACGGTCACGAAGATGGCTTTTATGCCCAGGGAGCGAGCGCGGCGGAGGAGTTCGATTGTTTTGGGGCGGTGGGAGTTGACGTAGAGTTGGAGGAAGAATGGATGGCCTGATGGAGCTGCGCCGATGATGTTGGGGAGAGAGTATGAAGCGTTGCTCGAGATCTAACAAGGTTAGTAGATATTCACTGTGAGAATGGTAAGTGACTTACGATCTCAAAGATTCCTTCACTAGCAGCTGCTCTACTCCACCCAAGCTCACCATCCGGATGCGCCAGCGTCGCCATGGCAGCAGGACACATGATGAACGGCGCCTTACTCTCCAGGCCGAGAATATTCCTCTTTATACTGACTTCAGCGACATTGCGTAGAATTCTTGGGCGGAGCATGACTCTGCGGATGAGTTCCTTGTTCTTGGAGACTGTGACTAAATCGGTGGCGGCGGAGGAGTAGAAGGCCCATGCTTTTGGTGATAGCGCTTTTTGCGCCGCGAGGGAGAAGTCGTGTGCTGAGAGGATTTGATCGAGGGAGGGGACGGAGGAGGGGAGTTGGATTTCTGGAGATGTTAGTGAGTGTAGTGTAAGAGGGTGAGGGTGAATACCTCGAGGGGAGGGGATGTTGGGAGATTCGGACTCCATTGCTGCGAGATCACTCATGATGGCGGTTACAATTGTTCAGTCCACTGAAATAAAGCTGATTGTCACAGTATTCGACTTGGATTGAGGTTCTACTGTTATCGTCGGCTCATCATGCGCCGTCTTCTTATATCTTTACGTAGTATCCGTAGATCATCTTAGTGCCATATCAGTCCCCGCAATCGGACTCCTCACCTTTCATCATGACCCGTCTCTCGGGCTATTTTGGCGCGAGTGGCACACGGTCATGTTGCCGGTGGCCCAGATTTGCCTTGTTCGGCCTTCTCTCCGATGGACCTCAGTTGAGCCAAACGAGCACTCACTTATGAAGAAATGGATAGAAGAGATTTGTATGATCATACAAGGATTCACATTATCTAACTTTTATCTCATTTTTTAATCTGGAGTTTCAGCGCTCAGCCGATTGTCGGGATGGTGAAGCCCATCGTGCTACTGGCTTGGCTCCAACCTAAGTTTCCTTCGTAATTCGATACCATGATTTGAGCAAGTCATGATGAGAAGATGAAGGTTTTAGCCGTATGCAGGCTCATCTCACTAAAGTTTCCCAGAAACATCTTTCCAACACAACTTGGTTCGGCTCACAGTGAACGAAGTCAACTCTGAGCAAGAACTAGTACCTGCTTGCTTCACTCATCAGACTTCCATTTCACCCGAAATAGCTGATATTACAATATATACTACCCTAATAACACACTCCCCTACTCAATAACAATATCCTCTCCCAATCTCCGAAGCGGCAACTCCTCCACCATCTTCTCCAACCGTCCACATCTCTTAACAACATCCTTCGCCTCCTCCGGAAATCCCATCCTCATCCTCCCAACCCTCTCCCACACGATCCTCCCCTCCCTCTCCGTCCTCTCAACAACAAGAAGCATAACAAGCGCCTCTTCCACAAACCACAGCACCGTCATTTGTTCACCGCGCGCATGGCGCTCAATGTACTCTCGCATTGAACCGGCCCCGCGACTCATCCGTATGTCTACGCTGACGCGGTTGAAGATCCACCCGTCGGGGTGAGAACGTGCTTTTACGCGGTCGAGAACGAAGGGATTGGGGACGTGGATGCCGTAGGGGCGGATGTGTAGATTCGGTGGTGAGGGGGGCATGCCAGTTACGGCGGTCGAGGCGCCAAAGTCATAGGCTACGCTTCCGTCGCGGTTAACGAGGACGATGTTGGGTGAGTACGTCCAGCGAATAGAATTAGGGTCATTACGCGATACGTGCGTGGCGGAGACGTAGTGATGGTGGTTATGCTTGCGTTGAACGGCTTTTGTATCGGGATCTACCACTGTGATGGAGGAGTAGAGATCAACGGGGCCTTTCCAACCTGCCCATGTCCAGCTGGGCATGTGAGGACGTCTTGTGGCGATGACGCCTTCTTTGTGGTGCCAGAAACATGTTGAGAGAGCAAAGATGTCGCGGGTGCGTGGGAGACCTTGGACTGCTGGACCTTGATCCATTTGTGGTGCCCAGAGGGGAATGCCGAGGATGTTGAACATCTTACCGCGACCGACGGTGGTCTCGAGACGTCTTAACATTCCGAGGAACGCATCTAGCGAATCTCGGTCATAAGTCAAGTCTCGTCTTGTGTAGTTTCCGATATGTTGGTCTGCTTCTCGGAAGATGCTGAGCGTACTTGGGTCTTCAGCCTTGCCGGGTAGTCTCTTCCAACGCTCCCAGCTTCCATCGACGAATGAAACACCGTTGAATAGACCAGGGCGCATAAAGTCACACATCCGCTGCTCTTCCATGTCATGGTAATACTCAAGCGGTAGGATGAGCGACTCAGGACAGCACATGCCCTCGCATTCCCAGTACATCTGCTGATCCGTAAAGATCAAGCGCCGTCTCGCAAGAAGACCTTCTTGATATGTCCAGCCTCGCTGATACCACGTTGAGTTCTTAATCGCCAACCGTGGATCTTGAAGACTCGATACAAGTGTGATGTTGGAGTTGACGAATTCATACTTTGGCTGAGCCGGTCGTGTTCGTGATCCCACGCCAGGAAGGCCATAATCCGCATCCTCACCGCAAGCTGCAATGATGGCTAATATGGCACCTTCAAAGATATCGTCCATCCTTGCAATCTGCTGCATCCGCTCCGCAGGTTGAACCTCCTCCATGCAAAGACGATCAACCCAGAGATATCTGATACCGAGATCTTTAGTCGCTATGACAGCATCCCATACAACCTTGGGCCATGTTTCTGTCGTCTTGTTTCCCCAGACATAACTCAAAGCCGCATACCGTTCTGTGATGGACGCAGTGACCACCTGAGGAGGATTCTTTGCGCAGTCGACGAGCTTGAAACCCGGCATCTCTCGCGTAACGGGCTTTCGGCCACATCGTCCCTGGTGATAGAATTCGCAGAACCGTAGCCAATCCACTCCAATAGACATATCAATAACACCCTCCAACTCACGACCCCAAATACCACGTTTCTGCCAACCGGCATTATCGGTCATAGAATTCGCACGTGAATGCTTCCCTTCTGATCTAGCGCTGAGAAGTTCATTCGGTGGCTCAGGCATTGTTCGATAGAGCATACCAGACCCACGGAACCAATCGGCGCTCACATCCCAGCTCAACGCGCCATCACCACTCTTTTTGGGCACGACGCCTAGATATGCTGGGCTAACGCCTTTGATCTTATTCTTTGCTGAGTGGCCCTGCTCAAACATGCTCTGATTGTCGATGAGGTAATTTGTATCGCGACTTGAGAAACCAGAGAGATATAGATCGCCCTCTCCTTCGCTGGGAATGTGCACTGAGAGAAAGAGCTTGCAGAGGGGACATTTCGTGATGAAGCGATTCTCTTCAAGCTCCTTTAACCGCCCTAACGAATGCTCCTTGTTCTCAAACGTATCCGCAGATGTCGGATTCAGAGCTCTCGTGAAGAAATCATCCATGGTGTCAAACGTAGAGTCGATATCAGCCGCCCAACCCGCACACGCAGTGCACAGATTGGGGTCTTGCGGCTGCCCTCCCGATCTATCAGAATGCGCCGAGGGACTGCGACTCTTGCGCCAGCTGATTCTCCGTATGAGAGAAGCTCTCCTGGGCTCTCGGTCGTCATCAGCCGGGGGAGGATCCACAGTGAGATGCTGCATCATGTTCTTGAGAGGGTTCCGTGACCGACGCCTCTCGACGCCACCGCCTGGTGAGACGGGAGGCGTGATGGTCGGTGTACCTGGGTCCAGCATATCCGGCATTGTCACATACAATCGTGAGAGAGTGAGTTTGGTGAGATTTGAGTTCGGCTGCCCGAAGATGAAGTCGTTTTGGCGCCGTTGAAGCTCCGTGATTCTCGGGGGGAAACCGGGTGTCTTTGACCCCCGTCTCGGCTGCTAGATTCCGGTTCTCCACTCTTGGCACTGGCGCCAAAGATAAAAAAAGAATAGAAGAAAGGGCGAAAAAAGAGCAGGGGTGTTTCTTATTAGTGGCGTTTAAATAAGGGGAATAAATGCTGAAGAGAAATAAAAAGGGAGAGTTGAGATGTAGAATACTTGGTAGATGATTAGTAGTAGGCAGTCGCTATAAAAAGAAGCAGAGCCGCTGCCAAGTTAAATATCAGGCGGTTATTTCGAGATCAATACAACCAACAGACTTGTCAAAGTCCTTAAGACGCGGCGCAGGTTGGTTCGTGAAGCGGGGCTTGGGGGCCAAGGGATGGAGACAAAGAAGGGAAGGAAGAAAGAAGCGGTAAAGAAGAAGAGGTCCTTTCAGTTATAAGAGAAGAGTCATCAAATATTAGAGAAGAGTCGCTGATGGTATATTACTCGCCTCAAATTAGATATTGGTAGAAAAAGCGGCAGCGAGATTCGATCCGAGATGAACACAGCAAGGATCAACTGAGACACCCACACGGACGGACTAATTCTCAACCTGGGCGATAATACCACCAAAAAGACTTGAATAAAGACTACACTTAATGAAAAAAGAGCCTGATATTTTGTGAACGAGGCTGGCGTACACAGCCTCACTTGGCAATGACTTGGCAGGTTGAAAAGATGCAGAGGATGAAAAAAAATGAGCAAAGATTCACGATGACGTAATTTGATGATTGTGAAACAGCCTCACAATTACTGACGACTGTGCTCTGTATTGGGTAGGCATGACTGAGCTGTACAAGTGGGTTGTTAGGTGGTTTTTGAATCCTTTTATGGCGCAGCGATCACAGAATCTCACTCAGATCAAACGCTTTGACGAGATGTACCCTGTAGGATCTGGTTTGATCCACAGCTAGAGAGATGATCCTGTCGCCAAAGATAGATCATGAGTGCGACGGGATCTCATTGTTATTACACTGCCCTTTTCAAGAGTGATTTCATCAAGACATCGAGGTTGGAGTTCAAAGTGCATATAAAGCCTATCGATCCATCTGCGTAGAACAGGTTGGTGTAGATCATGTCAGCCTTGAAGCGGGGAACATTGCTTTTGTCTCTACGTTACCCTATAGAATCATGGTAATCTGATAATCTCACATTCCTTATTCTACTGTTACTTCTCTTCATTCATCCTTTGACTGCCTTTCACTGGGTGAACAGCATCGCACCCATGTCAAACCGGACCGTCGCGCTCCTCCATGCCAACATCCGAACCAGAAATGCCATCCTTTCGGTCGTCTCCATGAAACAGCCCAAAAGAGGGGTCAAATTCATCTGATCTTATCCATCTCTAGCATAATTCCAGCTTAGCCTCCAACGGTTGCAGCGGCTATCTCAGATTTCTCAAGGATCATCTGCTTCTATCTCTTGCGTGTGACGTTGTTTAGTACAGAGCTAGGAAACTCTAATAGCCTCACCATACACAATATCATGTCGCTCCGATAATAACTAGAAGAATCGAGATCTATGTGCTATTGGCCAGTTCCATGTAAGGCGAGTCAGGATATCACATGAGATGAGGTTCATGTTCAAGGCATGCAAGCTTCAATTGTCTCTAAAACTGCGCTACCATCGAAAGTTGGCGGTTCCAGTTCATCGCCAGCATGCCTCTTTCTTTCTTTCCATTCTTTCCATTGTACTTCCGACTTGCTCATTGATCTCGCATTGATGATCTCGCATCGAGATGTCCTCCTGTATCGTGTCATGGAAGCATGGTCCTTGAAGGCCTGCGAGTGCGGTTGTCATTGCCGAGGGTCGTTGGTGATGGAAGAAGGAATTTAGTGCTATCAAGTAATCAGGATCTGTTCTGTATATGATATTGTGTTTGGTAAGAGCTCACCTTGCAGCAAGAGCAGTTTTGGCCGCAGGCAGAGGCCTCGTGGTTACAGCAAGAGCTAGATACTGTCAGTAAACATTCGGTGTTTCATCACTACAACTCGTTCAAGCTCGAGGAGCATGAAGATGCAGTGGCAGATTGAGAGGAGCTCACCAGGGAGACATGTTGATAGTTGTTGGTGAAGAAGGTCTTCGAAAAAGTTGTAAGTGTTGAGTGTGTTGAAGAGTGAGATTGTTGGATGATGAACAAAACCCAATTTGAGCGAGATGAACCGCCCTTCTTATACTTTTCCAACCCTCATATTCTCAGCCATCTTCCATCATACTCCATCTCTCAGTTGCCTGATTATCGCATCCAGCGTGGGCATGGGCGTGGAGGAAGGTGGGAGTGACTCCACTCCATGTGCATCACCAACTTGTCTTGAATCCAACCAAGTCTCAGGGTCCTCCCAAGTCAAAGTGACCTTCACCCCGCATGCCCATGTACGATGTGGGAGGCCCATGTTTCTGTAATTGGCCGAGATGATGCATAGTGGTTGCGCCGAGCCTCCACTACAGGGAGAGCTCTCCACCGCGAAGCTCAAGCTCAAGCTCTACTCGCGCCGTCCCGAGATGCAGCCACTGCGAAACGAGTTTCATGGCTGCCAGCGTTGCAATACAGACTTGATCCTATTGAACCGAACGGCATTAGATGTGGAACTGGCAGTTTCTTTCCAGAATAGGTAGGATTGGTATGCTACTGAGGCCTGCTGCTGACCTCGCAGTGGGATCGCCACGTAACGCATGCAGATGTAGTTCTCAAGACATGCCCAGTATCTATGGATGTCTTAGCTTGAGCCGATTTCCGATAGCTCAGTCTAGCTGCCAGGGACAAGGCAACACCTGAAGCAAGTCAGGCTTCTATGGAACTTGGACAATTGGGAGTGGGGGTTCATCCCAGCGATGATAGAGCTTTAGAACGGCTCAAGCCGGACTGACTAAAATAGCTTCGTTCCTTGTCCACACCGGTGAGTAGGGGCCTGAACTAGGGTTGCAAGAGAAAGACAAGAAGGATGTTGTACCTCGAGACCCTGCGTTGAAGCCGGGGTAGTTCCCCTTTGGGCCTACCGAGATGTCTTGTCCTGTACGTGGACGAATCAAGAGAATCGATATGCCGGATGGGGGTACACAGAGTGAGAAGGTGTAAGAGGAAGCGATGAGAACGGATATGAACATGTGAGGAATAAGAGTTAGACTTATTCGCCGAGTGGGGTAGTGAACCAAGACAACGAGACGGACGGATAATGTGAGGCAACCAATAGCAGACGAGCTATGTCTGATGGATGATCATGTTAAAGTGAAGCCAACGACAATCGAGTAACGTTTGCCGCTGAAATGATAATCAACAGTCAAGATAATCATGCAGTAGCTGCATAACGAGGGCTAGTTCATCATCGTGATACGTGAACGTGACGAACCAGTGTGATGAACAAGCCTATCAACAACAACGGAGTGTGATAGGCACAAGTGAGACGAATCGATGAGGGATAATCGAGAACAACGTGGGCATGGATGGGGACCACAAAACCCGATACATTGACGGTTCAGAATCCATCAGTTCTGTACCATTCATGCATGCATCCCGCGCATGCATCTTTAGCAAGATTGGGCAATGATTGGTGTGTTGGGTCCTCTTACACCAAGTGAGGATGGGAAACACAAGGCAGTGAAAGTATATCCTAAAGCACTGGTGAAAGCGTAGGACTATTACGCCCGTGCATGATGAGACTTTAGTCATGGGAAACACATCGGGCTACCGGAGGTGTGGGTGCGGATGTGGGAGTGAAAATGGGATCGAGAGTGTGTGATTGATCCATGGGAAACGATGAGCTGTCGTGACCCACGTCTAACGCGGCAAACGGACATGATGATAGGGAAGAAGATATCTTGAGGGAAATAACGGAGAGAAAGAGGGGCTAGAGAAAGAATGAAGCTGGGACATGAGAGATAACGGCGGAGACTTACATCTGTGCGTGACGATCATGCTAAGACATGAGAATGCCTACTGTCTTCAACACCAGGTATCTCTGGTAGAGTGATCATTATTGGATCAGCCGAAGCCAAGCGTCTTCTCTCTGCCCTTCTACAACACACCAAGGGCAGAACAACGTCATCTCATCATGAGCATCAACTACTTCACTACATCATCATCACACACCAAAGTCCGCTATCACACGGAGGCAATCCGGGATCCAGGCATCGTTTCCATACGGGGGAACCGAGAGTCTCCCCACCCGGTCCGAGCTGATAGTAATGACGCCTGAGTTGGTCTTGTATCCAGTCATAATAATCTAAAGGCGTGGGATGGGGACAAGGTCTCGGAACTCGGCTGGGTAGTTTGTATCATCATGAAAAGTCGAACCGGGATATCTCTCGTGGGGGGACTCAGGGACATGGCTTCGTCGTGAGACTCAAGAGTAACAAGGCCGTGATAATGGGGCTATGGGTCGTGGACCATGCGAGAGGGCGTGGGCGAGCTTGTTGAGGTAAATGTTGTATCCACGGTCGGGGAAGTTGAGTTGAGTCCGGGCTGAGGTCGAGGTCGGTACCGAGGGAGACCGAAGGAAGCGATGAACAAAAGGAGGCGAGTTCTCTCGATCCAAGAGACGGATTCCGTGATGATCGAGGCTGGTGGCTGAAGATAGTCGAGCTGCTGTTATATTACTTCCATGGAAGAACTTGAGTCCACCGATCCATGGGACTTTTCGGGCATAGCAAACTGACACTGATCAGAGAAGTATTCTCTCCCAGGTGCAGGGCGATTCAAGACTTTCTCCTGTAATCGGCGATCAATGACCAAGCAAGTGCTTGTTCATCTTGAAGACTCCAAGAGTCAAACCAAGGGACGACCTCATTCTTATACTCATTTCTCACCGTCTCAGCCTTATCAACAACCCCCAGGGTCCTCCCGCTAGACGCTGCAACAATGATGCAACGCACACTATATCAGCATCGACAATATCCGTGATCAACTCTGTTTCTGGCTGTTTTTCGAGGCCATCGCATCAAATTTGGTGGTGTTGGCACTGGAAAAGACATCAGGGTTGTCCATCAAGGTGCTCACTTGTCTATCCGGGTTCTCAAAACCAGATAGGGCAGGCACATGACGATAGTGACGTGATGGAAAGATACAACTGAATTCTACTGAATTGAGTAAAGATAAAAAGTACTCTTATATCTTGGACTTAAAACGACCTTTATGGGTAGAAGATAATTGGTTGACTGATGAAAATGATGTTATGACTGTTTACTGTGAAATGGCCGCAGATTAATGAAACAGCAATTTGTTACTCTTCCAAGCCAAACGGTTCCCTCTGAAGCTTTTGGAGTGAATTATATATTCAAAAGCAAGACTTGACCAAAAACCTTGTACTCTTTTCAAATACGACAAAGTGGGTTGTTGGTATATGTACTCCCAGCTCCAGCAGGACCAGCACAGCTTGCTTTCCATCATGTATGTCACAACATTTACACCCCTGACCTCGACTCTCTTTCGGTTCCAATCAGCGTCAAATTCAACTGCTTCTATCCTCATACATCGACCAAAGAAGCTGTCCGCTCCAAAAATTCAAAGACGATATTCAGATGACAATTTCTTCCCCATCCCCCAATACTCGAGTGATATGCCGAGAGACGAAGCTATCTTTGCGTTTATGATCTTTTCAACCTTGAGATTGCAGATAAGTTCTATGATATTCCGTCCATGTATAATCACTCCTGGCCAGACAGCTATCTTCCATCAGCTTCACAATGAAGCCCCTTGCCTCGCAGGCTCGTCCTCCTGTACATCGATACATCTCCTCAGGTTTCCTCGACTGAGCACAATTCAGTGTTATGTCTCTTACAATCTTTACATTAACTCGATTTGACCATTGTACTTTTCTTCTAGTTGCTTGGGTCGGGAGATCCTACATTCGATATCCAACACTCCCTCGAATCCATCATCTTGTATACAAGTTTGAATATCTCGACGCTACAAAGGCTCCAATTCTTCGACCCTACATCATTGCCATGATTAAAATACTGGTAGATCCAGGATGTAGTCTGTTCTAGATAATATCACGGTATGCCTTCTGGTCTTTTCTTTTTTAGTTCGAGTGTAGCGTTACCTCGCCTGCCACTGTTCATCGTCAAGGCATTGAATTAGTACCCCGACAAGGTCAAAGATAGGACCTAAATACTTGCTTCTTCTGGTCTTGCGTTTAAAACTCATTTAAAATAGGGCGAGACTTTTGCTACGCTGATGCTACTGGTCTTGGTCAAGAGACATAATGAAATAGTCTAAAGACCTACTAAGTTAGACTAAACTTGCCTAAGTCTTTTTGTCGTTTGGGATCAAGGTCCCAAATTTTCTTGCCTCCAGTTTTGGCGCCAATTCATTACAATACATGTCTTCAATTGAGTTACAATTACAATTATCATCTGAACTATCCTATCAGTCCTTTTCAACACCTTGCCTCAAATGCATCCCGTCCTATCATACAAAGCAATCCCCAGTAAGTAATCATACAGAAGGCCTCTAGGCTCTACGCATCGGAACCTTTGGCTTCTCAACATACATGCGGGTGCGCGTGTACAACTAAAACTGCGCAAATCCCGGCACAAAATCACAAAGGAGGACAGGCAATACTCTCCCTCTCATACCCCTCTTCATCCTCGCAACTCGGGTGAGCAAGTCCATCGTAGACTCTGTTGGCAGCTCGGGGATTTCATCACCGCAGCCTGATACTTTGTATGCCGCCTTTCGTCGGCCGGACCATGGTTTTATAGGGACGAAAGGTCCGTTGTGTGCTGCTTGTGTGAGACACTTTGTCTCGTAGTGACGATCGATCAAGGCCCATTGAAGTAGGCGGGGGTAGAGCTTTGCTGCTTCGGTGACAGATCTCGCAATGACTTCACCTCGTCTTCCGGTTGTGAGGTATGCCAGCCTTGCACCGTGACGGACAAGGAGCTTGAAGCATTTGAAGGCTCCGATGCTAGCAGCAAACATCAATGGTGTTCCCTTCCCATGCCACTCGCGCTCAATGTCGAGACCGACGTCAAGTAGCACCTGCAGGAGCTTCGGATCGTCATCGAGGATAACGGAACATGCTGGAGTGTATTTCTCCTCCGGTTCAGAGTTCACTAAGCGAGCACGATACTTGCGTGGCATGCGCTTGATGATCGCTTTGAGCTCCATGGGCGATAAATTCCTATTAGCAAGAATCTCGCTGATTAAGAGCGGTTCCTGTTCTGCAAGTCGATAAAAGTCAAAGTTTCCGTTCAGTACAAATGACATGCCCTCGGCACCCCCAGAAATCGCACTCGTGAGAGTACTTCCGGTGCCTGGGCTTGCCTCGTAGGGATCCGCCCCAAGCTCAATCAACTGGCGAAGGACATCCACATCGCCATGAACCGCTTCGAAAGGAATGTTGTAGAATGTCACAGGGCTTGCGCCATTTTCCAATAGGCAGCGAGTTACTTGGAGGTCGCCGTGGGCGAGAGATCGCTCCAGGGCTGATGAGCCGTGGGCACACAAAAGATTCGGGTTGGCGCCCGCTCTCAAGAGTGACAACACCATATCCATTTGACCATAGCCAGCAGCCAGGTGTAGGGGGGTTACAAGTTTTGAGTCTTGCGCATTGACATCGGCTCCGCTTTTGATGAGGAGTTTGGCCACTTGGTGATATGTCGTTGCGCCATAAAATTGATGGCCGCCATCTCTGGCAAGGCAATGTATCACATCATGCAGAACCGTACTGTGGGTTGCGTCAGTATTGCCCGAAGTAACCTCCTTTCTCAAGTTCAGAGCGTAACGTAGAACTTTCTCTTGAATGCTCTCATCTGCAGAGAACTCGAACCCAGCAGTAAGCCCAAAAGCCCTAATCTTAGCCCTGCTACTTGTCAGTATGACCTCTTGTTCTTCTACGCATCACTTACCAGTATACCTGAGCATGCTCAGTTAGATGGTTGATGAATATCTGAAGTACCCGTATCTGATGTTCAATAATATCATGGCCACTATTCCGGGAGGAGTTGAAAAGGGCTTGGATCGGTGAGATTGGGAGATGGAACCATATCATCCTCGCTTTCAAATAACCATCTAAGCACAGTTTGAAGAAGGAGTGTGCTTTTTCTGGAGGGATAAAAATGTCGGTTGCCATCAGCGTTCGAAAATTCAGGCATGCGCTAAGAAGTGCGTTGTAGCCATGAGGCCAATGTTCCTCACACCCAGCCACGAAACCACTAAACCCCAACTCCACCAGTTCTAGCATAGGTCGGATCTTGTTGGTCGTTGCCGTGTAACTGAGAAGGGTACAGCCTCCACAAGGCATTATGGCAGACGCTAAGTCCTTCCGTGAGGTGTGGTCAAGGATAGACGTGAACAAAGGGTCACGGCTTAGTTGATAACGGTCTATCGTATCTGCTATCATGGCGCCTAGTTGTCTTGGTTCGGAGTTTTTCTGCTCGTGGGTTGCTTCGCCATGAGATGACTCTGGCAGCGACTCACTGTCAGAGTTGTCATCTTGGGCTGGGACTGGGTTCAATGAGATGATACCCATATCCTGGGGATTATCGTAATCCAACAAATTGTCTTTCATATACTGAATCAATTCTTGATTGCCACCAACGATTGCCAAGAACAGAGGGGTTCTTCCTGACAGGTCTCTCACACTGAACAGACTTTCCGAGTATCTCTTCAATATCTTCACACAATCCAGGGAACCAGCCTTTGCAGCGAGGTGGGCGCATGTTCTGCCAAATCTTGGACTAGTAGCGGTGATCTTGTCAGCTAGAGGTGTGGCCTCTAAGAGTGTTGTGAGGGCATCACGATGCCCCCCGGCTGCCGCGAACTGCAAGGCATTGTAAGTGTCGCGATCCTCCATGTGTTCGTAAACGCCTAGCCAAGGAAACTCTGCCGATCCGACTTTCTCGATGATCATTTCAAGGATAACCACATATCCAAGCTTAGCGGCAAGAAGGTAGGCACTGATGGAATTTGGCGGCGCCAAAGAGGCATCTGCGCCTCGTTCAATCAGCAATCGCCCCAGGAGGATCCTCTTTGAACAGATCGCTATCGTGAGCAAGGACGGGGATGATGCGGGCGACCTCAATGGTAAAGCACTAAGGAGAGAAAAAGAGTTAGTCAGACGCTGCATAGGGATGTCAGAAGACCCGAGATCTCCATCCTAAGTTGCGCAAGAACTTAGTGAGGGAGGATGAGTTTTGAAAACTTGAGGAAAGTGTAGGATGAGTTGAGGAAAACTTGGTAAGTGTAGGATAGAAGACTTACGGAGTAATTTCCAAGCCGTCAACGTCCATTCCGCAATCAATGAGCTGACCTAAAATCTCCACAGCAATCGCTTCATCGGGCACTCGTACGAGCTCCGTGAAGGTATAGTGTTGCTGCTGCCTAATCTGATGTGGCTTCGTGCCACAGAGAAGGGGTCGAATCATGCCAACGTCCAAGGGCTGGTTATCAGCTAGGAAGGTCTCAAAGACCGATTTCCCTTCCAGGCTCCGCCGAGGATTGTGCACGTTGCAGCCGCATTGAACGAGTAGCTTGACGAATTCTGACATGCGGAAGCTGACGGCCTTCGATAGCAGATGTGCCGCCTCGTCTTCGTTGAAAAAGCCCATGATCCCTAGCTCGCCGTCCTGCAGATTCTTGTCGTCCAACCAAGTGGCCAAGATAGCGGCGGCAAACGGGATGTGCCATGTCTCCCATCTCGGAAGACTGACAGACTCCTGCCCTTTCGTTGCTATACAGCTGACCGCCCACTTTTTAGTCTCTTTTTCGTAATCTGCAAGGGCCCCGGCTTTCACTAAGCACGATATAGCCATGCATATGAAAGAGGTGAGGAAATAGAGGTTTGTAGGATGTTCAAGCGAATGTCTGCTAAGCAATGGGAGGACATCCTGTGTAAACCGCAGCCAAATGCCTCGTCCAGTTGAGTCTCGCGATTTGAGGACTTCTGGCGTAAGAAGCTGCATGTAGGCGCTGCGTGTCATGCTTGGAGAGCAGGATGGGTGTGACGATGGGCTACTAGTCAATCGACCTTCCTTCAATAGCTTGACGTTTGTGATGACTGTCTCTGCTGCCGTTGTGCCATCAGCGAATGGCCGAGAGGGTCCAGCCCTGTCAAGTACCAATGAGACCAGCTCCGGGCAAGCCGACATGTTAAGTGACTTGAGGAGTAATTCATCATTCATGTTAGCCTGAGGAAAGAGATGGAACAGTTGTTGTACAAGCCCCGTATTGCCCCATTCGACGGCCCATCGAGCCAGATTCTCGTTGCCCTCCGCTCGTAGATACCCTTGACTTTTCTCGAGCAGAAACCAGGCTGCAAACGGGGCGGCGGCCGTGGAGGTCTTGGGAGACTGCTGAAGAGCCTCGACGTGACAAAACGCTGACTGCAGTGGCGTATACCCTTCTTCATCGACGGCGTTCAAGTTGCGGATTTTGTAAGGATCGTTGTCCCACAGGAATCTGAGTATGTCGTCTTCGTTAGTAGCGGCGAAGTAGTGCCAAACATTGCGGCCGCCATTATCCTTGTCAAAAGTCGGTGCAGCGTGTTCGAGAATCAGCTTAGCCATAGGACTAACTTCATTACAGACCATGAGTGGTGTGCGACCACTCGAATCTCTGGCTCTGATTTCGGCCCCAGCTTGAATCAGCATGTCCAGAATCTCATTCTGTGCAGACTCAGCAGCCATGTGGAGAAGAGTCTCTTCCTTATCGTATTTGAAGTTGGGATAGAATCTTGGGTCTTTGATCAGACGATCCACCAAGATCACATTGAAGTCCAAAACAGCAGTCCTAACGACAGCCGCAAAGTTGCTGTCTTTCAATGTGTCCACCTTTCCATCAGCCAAGGGGGAAAGCCTGATGTTGGCGTGCACCATGAGTCGAGCTACCAGCTCTTGGAGCCAATTGTGCTCTGTGGACTCCCTTTCGATGTCGACCAGTGTCAAATCATAGATGTATGTGAGCAAACGGGCAAACCGAGTTCGATGAAGCAGACCGCGCTTGACTACAGGCTCTCGCTGTAAAAGGAGACAAAAAGAAGGGTCCAGCGCACCTCCTTTAGCGATGTCAGTGGATCCCTGGCTGGCATTTGTAAATCCTTTGATGATGTTCGTAAAGATTGTTTCATGTTTGGTCTTCATTGCAGTCCAAAACGCCAAGCCTGCTAGTGATACCTCTTCAGTAGCATTTTTCCAAGAATAATGAAACGTGCAGTCTGCGCCCTTCTCGACAAGCAATAGGATAGTTGCCGCCTGATCAATTTCAGAGTCATTACCAACGAGGAGAGTCGACCATGATACTGGCTCCGTACGCGTGATAAGAACCTTGCTGCCTACGAGGGCGCAATATAGTGGCGTGCCGAGAAGACCGGGTTGGTTGACGTTGGCGCCCATTGAAAGAAGGTCTCTGCAAAGATTAGGCAACCCGAGGGCAGCAGCAATATGAAGTGGTAAGACAGATCCGTCGCAGAGCGCATCAGTTAGCTCGAGAAGACATCTTGGCGAAAGGGCCATCGTGCCGAATGTTCGAGGGTATGTCTCCCTGGCATACTCAAGAACCCACTGTACAAAGTTGTACGACTTTTGCATACGGAAGAGGGAGCAGACTTGGGGTCGAAGTTTTTGCCAGTAGATCTCTGCGTATTTGGGCCACCGTATAGCCGCTATTCTATATGCTGGCTCTATTATGCGGCGTGACTGGACTAATGTGATCTCTTTGTTATATTCTGCGGGTTCGCGATCATTTTCAGGCGAATTAAGGATATTCAGCCAAGCGGAGACATCTTCGGGTCTTGCTTCTCCCTGTTCATCGTCATAGGGGGTCTGTACAGGTGATTCGATAGCCTCTGGGTCATATTCCTTCTGGACCAGAAGTTGGGGCAATGGTTCTGATTCGAGTAGGGTGAGCCGAAGTGAGATATCCTCGAGAGTGTCTGAGATTCCGAGCACGAAGGCTAGTTTGGATCGAATATCATGGAGTGATGATCTGGCGGCTTTGATCCCATCAGAAGTGGCGAGGTGGTGAAATGACTTTATGGCAGTGAGGAGTATCTCATACCCATCGACAATTGGCCATTCTTGTGAAGGGTCATTTTCGGATCCTGAGGCGCTAGGGGTGATACCCAGGGTGCTATCGGCGGTATCATTGTCTGCAGATAATTCAACGATGAGGGACTCAAGACTATAAAGTGTGCCTCCAAGGAGTCTTAACTCGATAGTCAAGGATTTGAGGTCATTTCTGTCAGCTTTGGCTCCGTTCCCTGCTGTTACGGAAGCAGATGCAGATGCCTTCAGATGTGCACTGATGCAGACACAAGCTTCAAATGTGGAATCCTTCAATGTGCGTATGGTCTTCAACAGTGGAGGCGACATTTTGCTGACTCAAGCTCATGTTGTTTCTGTTGTTGCTGTGATGATAGCTTCTCTACGAAGCATAAGAAATCGAGGTTGTACCATCGAGCGCGAGATGAAGAAGTTGAGTATGAAAGTTAAACATTCGTCAGTGGAGGCTCAAGGCTACCGATGTCATGGGTTGGCCGTGGTGGATGTGGAGGTAATGGTTACCAATCAGCACAATTGATAGCGGAGCTTGGACCACTTAAGCTGCAGTGGCCTCGCAGAAATTCAAGACCTCGAGCCTAAGTGACAAGAATAATTGTACAAGTTTAGAACAGTTTATGATAGACTTAGTATAGGTTTTGGGCACATTTTATATAATTTAGTAAATATTTGGCATATGTTTGACCAAGGTACCAATAGTTAGGTACTGGCTACAGGTCTCTAGCCTCTGCACACCCGAGGCAACCTGGACAGTTCACAAAAAATGGCACTTCACGAACGAAGCATAATAAACTACCAAGCTAGGGGAGGCGAGAAAACCTCAGGCCTGAAGCCGAAGTGGCAAGAATAATTATATAAGTTTAGAAGAGTTTAGGATAGGTTTAGTATAATCTTCTAGTAGATTTAGTTTTAGTAAAATGCTTAAATAAGTTTAATAAAATTTTGGGAAGACTTGTTATCTATTTAGCTAAGGTATTTACCACCTCAAGTCTCTGTGCATCCTGATAAGGTAAATTGAAGGTTATAAGAAAGCATAAGAGTTACAAAAAATAACACTCCATTAACAAACCATAGACATCCAGCCAAGTTGTGGAGGCAAAGAAAGCTTCGGCCCTCGACCCTAAGTGACAAAAATACTTAGGTAAGTTAGCATAATCTTAGAAGACTCTTTAATGAGTTTGTTTTAACATCATATGCCAAGGTCCTAAGTTCCTTGCTCCCTGTGCCCAAGCTGAAGCTTCTGGTTGCGAAACGTCGTGATCGTAGTAGTCGTAGTATGCAGCCTGAGTGCTTTTGAGTACTGTCAGGGGTTTGCAGTGCTAAAGAGCCGCATTGTGGGTTGTGAAAATGAATAGAAACTCAATTTACTGGCATCGAATATGTCCAGAAAGGGCCCATAAGATAAATACGGATTGGAGGAAATAGAAAGTCAGCACCAGTAAATTATTGGACATTCATTCCAACGGTGACATGAGAACTAAGCTTCATGTAACCAAGCTTCATCCAGTGAGCACACGACCACCATGACTGATCTAGAACCAATGAGGAAACGTAGAAGTCACTAATCTGCCAGACCGTTGAACAATCCGCAACTTCTCAATCGGTGCATCAATACTAAAATCTGAAGCTACTGTATCGCAAATCCTTCTCAAGATTCGCTATCAAATGATTGTCGCCGGCTGACTCACACGGAGTGATCAAGACGAACCAAAACACCAGCTTCCTCATTCGGAATCATACAAGCCCCTCTCCGAATTGCCTCATCAATCAACATCTCCAAGATAAATGTATAAAAACTAAGCCAAGACCTTTACAATAGCTCATTCAAAAACCTAGAATCCCAAATCAGTAAGATATAAACACAATGTCATCTATAACAATCCGCCCCGCCACAATCGATGACAGCGACTCAATCGCAAACATCCACTACGAGGCACTACAGTTCTACCACGACTTCTACGCCGCCTTCTTCCAGCTCCATCCCCGCGATCTAATCCCCCTCGCGACAAGAAACGCCCTGCAAAACCCGGGGCAGCAGCACTTCTTGGTAGCTGAGCAAGCGGGGAAGACAGTCGGGTTTGTGCGCTATAAGGAAGTCGTTAAAGACAAAAAGCCGAACTCGAACGCGAAGCCCACGGCGTCAGTATGGACGGTTAAAAAACACATGGAGGAACTATGGGCTTGGTTTAATGAGAGAAGTGAAGAGATTGATGCATCCAAAGAAAAAGCCGTTGATGGGAAAGATCATATTGGTAAGTGTTTTCTTTGTTGTGACTTCAAGTAAAGTGGCTTGCGTCTAATGCGGCGTAGAAGTGATGCATCTCATGGTCCACCCAGACCATCAACGGAAAGGCATCGGCGGCCTATTGCTCCAATCCGTTACCGAAAAAGCCGACGCCGCTAATGTCCCAACGCTGATCGTATCCTCCGTCGAGGGCCACGGCCTCTACAGAAAGCACGGCTTCGAGTCGCTGGGCACATGGACAGTCGACAACGAGGAATGGGCGCATAAGATCGCGGAGCACGAAAAGGCGATCGGATATACAGACGGAGTTATCGACATCGAGGACAAGTACAGAGGGATACGCGAGGTCGAAGATAGCATGATCCGGCAGCCCAGCATCCGTGTTGCATGATTCGCCAATCTCAGCAATTTAGTGTGGATACATAACACCGTACCGTTCTCTAGTTCGTATTCGTTTTCTCTTCCAGAAACAAAAGAAAAATTAAGAGAAAATTCGGGAATTGGGTGTGTCCCCGCTCCAATCACGATAAGATCAAGATGTGCAAATCCAGGTACAATGGCCTAGCGAGCCCCCCTTCAGAGAGCGTGGGACCCCTGTGGGTACTACGCCATCCATTGAAATTAACCCTTGGAATTGGGTCTTTTGCGGCATCCAAACACCCCCGGCCCCGAAAGGAAAGACACCGCTGGCGGCAAGATTTCAGCGGAGCTCAATCTTAATAATGATGTGAAAATCGCATGATCTCAGTCCCGTTGTTCTTATCAATCTTTCTCTCCTTCATCTTCATCTTTTTTCTTGCAATTCTCTGCTGGTGTAGCTGTAAATTCACATCGCAATTGCTTCACCATGGACGCTATACTCGAGCTCCTCGACCCGTATGTCTTCGATTACGGATACGCATACCTTTTCCCCCAACAACAGCTCCAATCAACAAAGGCATACGGAAACTCAACAAACTACGCCTCGTCTTCCAAGAACTTTGACGATGAGTACTCTCTCAACTTTGGCTCGTCACTACCGCGCGACGACATCTACCGCCAGAGCGCTTCCATTCTCTTGATCGCTGGCTTCGGCGCCGCCTTCATCTATGTCATTTCCGCCGCCCTTTCGTACTACTTCGTTTTTGATCGCCGTCTCGAATATCACCCTCGATTCCTCAAGAACCAGATCAAGCTCGAGATCCAGTCTAGTTTCTTCGCCATTCCCATTATCGACCTCCTCACGCTCCCTTTCTTCCTTGGAGAAGTGCGCGGTCACAGTCTGCTGTACACACGAATTGACGAGTACGGCTGGTGGTGGTTGGCCGTGTCTACTGCCCTCTACATGATCTTTAACGATCTTGGCATTTACTGGATTCATCGCCTTGAGCACCATCCCAGTATTTACAAGTATGTTCACAAGCCTCACCACAAGTGGATCAGTAAGTCAAACTCTCTTTCACCAAATACCGCGCTAACAAGAGCTTCAGTTCCCACCCCCTGGGCTGCCATTGCTTTCCACCCTGTCGACGGGTACCTCCAATCCCTCCCTTACCAGTAAGTAACGACTTCTGCGCCGCGATTGACCTCTTACTAACGTCAACAGTGTCTTTGTCTACATCTGCCCCATGCAGAAGCACCTTTACATGTTCCTCTTCGTCTGCGTTCAGATCTGGACCATCCTTATCCACGACGGCGACATGATTACTGGCCATTGGCTCGAAAAGTTCATCAACAGCCCTGCCCACCACACTCTCCACCACATGTTCTTCACCTGCAACTACGGCCAATACTTCACATGGGCCGACAACTACTGGGACTCTCACCGTGCTCCCATGCCCGAGCTGGATCCTATTCACGAGGCGGTCCGAGTCATGCGCGAGAAGGGCTTGGTGGACAAGGATGGAAACCCCATCAAGAAGTCCAAGGATGAGTAAATGCAGACATGACATTTATGAATACTTCACCCTCGGGGTCGTGTCCAACTAGAACAGACCGACCATTCCGGTGCCGGCACCATCACATCACGACTGGAGTACCCTTGGCCTCACAGCATCGCCGGCTGTGCAGAGATTCCGGGGCTCTTACGAAAAGTTTTCAATCAATCAAATAGACAGTTTTAATCACATAGCGTTGCATAGGGAATTCTTCGACAGGAAATGTATTGACTAGAGGATAATAGCAATAAGTATAATACCAAAACAATCTGATAACCGTGCAAATATCCTAAAACCTGTCCCCCATACCTCACGACTACCTTCCCGCACTACGACTGCCATCACACCTTTTGTCTCACCGATTTCAATGGTTCATCTCCTGAGCTTAGACTTGAGCCTGGCCCTGGGTGACTGGGTGCGAGTCAAGACCCAGCTTGAACCGTCTCTTGCAAGCCTTCCACATCTCAATGAGGCCGATATATACAACAACACAGCCAGCGACGACACCCCACTCCCATGAAAGACCTTTGTGCTTGAACACCTCGGTGTTGAGGTAAGGAATATACACGATAGGGAAGATCATTACAAAGCCAGCAACAACGGACCAGAAGAGGAACTTGTTGTGGTAGATGGTCTTGAACACAGAGAAGGGTCCAGTGGCACGCTCGTCCATGTTGAAGAGACTGCGATGGAAGTGCTTCACCTCCCATGCTGTGACGAGCAACAGGAAAGCCAAGGTGGAGAAGGTCGTGGCACGAGCGCGGTAAACAAGATCACAGGCATCATGTCCGCTCTCGTTGCAGCCTTCCGCCATTAGGTAGTAACCTTGGCCAGATGAAGCATAGTTGACAAGCATGAAAGCACACAGGCAGAGGGAGCCTGAGCAGAGTCCATAGACAAGCTGATCGCGAACGAGGTCAAGGGTAAACACACCGCTGCGCAAGCTGCGGGGAGGTCGGCGAAGGATATCAGGAGAGGCTTCCTCGAGACCAAGGCCCAGAGCTAGAGGCGATGAGGTAACCAGGTTGGCCCAAAGAATTTCCAAGGGGGACAAGGGGAAGACGGCGTTTCCATGCTCATCCTTGAAGGCAAGACCAATAAGAAGGAGAATGACTTGTGCCAAATTGGATGTCAGAAGATGTAGAAGGAACTGTACCAGTCAGCAATTATGTCAACAAGCAAGGAGAGTAACAACATACCTTCTGAATATTGTCAGCAAGTCGTCGACCTTCCTGGATACCGGTAACGATCGAGGCAAAGTTGTCATCAGTGAGAACCATGTCCGCCGCCTCTTTGGCGACGTCGCTACCACGGTCTCCCATGGCAATACCGACATCAGCTTGCTTGAGTGCAGGCGAATCGTTGACGCCATCACCAGTCATGATGCAGAATGCCTTGCGGCGATGGAGGGCTTCGATCATGCGAACCTTGGTCAGAGGGCTACAGCGAGCGAGAACCACGGGGAGTTCGTCCAGGCAGTCAATCTCAGCATCGCTAAGGGCGCCAAAGTCGGCAGCTGCCATGACGGTGTTGGACTTGATGGGGATGTTCTTGTTGAGAATACCGACCTCGTAAGCAATGGCTGTGGCAGTCTTGATGTGGTCACCAGTAACCATGTGAACAGTAACACCGGCGGCGCGGCATTGTTCAACAGCGCCAGCAGTCTCAGGGCGAGGGGGGTCATAGAGACCAGCAAGACCGACAAACTGAAGCTCACTCTCAACCTTGGAACGATCATGGCAATCCTGAACGTCGCCATTCATAGGCTTGGTTGCGATACAGAGCACTCGCAAACCTTGGCTGGCGAGTTCTTCAGCTTTAGCTAGGATTTCTTTCTTGAACTCTTCAGTCTCAGTGAGCTTGGTGAGGAGGACCTCCACAGCGCCCTTTGTATAGACGTGTCGAGTCTTTTCGACCTCATTACCGTAGACAACGCTCATGAGCTTGCAGGAAGAATCGAAAGGATGTTCGGCCACCAGGGTGTCACCCCCGGAAACACTACGGCCAAATCTCATGGCGAAAACCTTCAGAGCAATCTCAGTAGGTTCACCAACGGCCTTCCACTCAGCATCCTCGGAAGTGATGATGCTGCTAGAGTCCGTCTCAGGCTCTTTCTTGCCGTCACTGACTGTGGCGTTGTTGCAGAGAGTAAGAACCTTGAGGAAAGTGTTCAGGTAGCTTCCAGCCAAGTCAGCAGACCACTTGACAGTTCCGCTGTAGGGGTCGTAGGGGTTGGCTGTGCCCTCAACAGTTCCGGCGAGATCGCCACGGAGCCAAACCTTTCGGGTAATCATTCGTCCTTGAGTCAGGGTACCAGTCTTGTCCGAGCAGATGTTGGTAACACCGCCAACGGCTTCAAGGGATGGCATCTGACGAACGATGACATTACCGCGAACCATTGCCTTAGTGGCAACGGCCATTGTAACTGTCAAAACGGCAAGGAGAGACTCGGGGATAACTGCCACACCGACGCAGATACCGTAGAGAAGAACTTCATCGGTGATTTTCCACAGACTGGCGGAAAAGACGATGATGACAAGGAGAATGGCGAAGGCAAAAAGCAACAGGGCGAACTTGCTGAGGGTGACCTGGAGAGGGGTTCCCTCGAGGCCAAGAATTCTGCGACAGAACTGGTAGAACTTCCAAACTGCGCGACCGACGGGAGTCCTTTCGGTGTCGTCGTTCTTATTCTTGCGCAGGAGTTCGGCGATTTGGCCGACCTCTGTTTCCATACCAGTAGCAATGACAATACCGGTGGCTCGACCTCTAGTGACAGAGCTTCCGGAATAGGCCAGGTTAACACGATCACCCATGGGCATATCGGGGTCAGTGAATACGGCATCTGGCTTCTTGCTAATGGCGATAGATTCGCCAGTGAGAAGTGCCTCGTCGGTAGAGACGTTGATACCTTGAACCAGGCGCAGATCGGCAGGAACAACATCGCCAGTTGCGAGAGAGACTATGTCTCCCTTGACGAGGGTTTCGGCCTTGACAGTTTCACTCTGACCATCTCGGATGACCTTGCATTTAGGAGTGGACAGAGCATAGAGCGACTGAATGGTCTGCTCAGCGCGGTAGTCCTGGATCAATCTAGCGGGTATAATGTTAGCATGGAGTGGAGATTAATGAGTACGGCTAGATGTGATTCGGACTGTCAGCTTCAGGGTATGGCACAGGATTCGGCCTCAGTGCTTGGGGCTTCTGGCCTTACGCATGGCAAAATCACAGGCTTCACCGTATGGCAGCAGGAACAAGGAACAGGAACGAGAAGGTGTAGCAAAGTGCAACAACGATGTGGGGAGTTGTAGCAGCAGCAAGCGACAGCTCCAGCAGATTGGCTGGGCGAGTGACGCAGCAAAGACATACCCGACAACGATGTTGAGGACAATGACGGCGGCCACGACGCCACCCTCAATATAGTCCGAGATAGCAAAGGACAGAGCGGTCACGGCGATGAGGACGACAGTCAGGGCATTGGCAATCTGCTGTATGAAGATCTCGTACAGAGAGATACCCTTGGCGCCTTTGATAGAATTAGGGCCGTCCCGCGCAAGGCGGGCAGCAGCCTCTTCGCTACTCAAACCATCGTCGACGTCGGACTTGAGGTCTCTAGCGACGCGATGAGCGGAGAGCGTATGGGGAAGAATCGGCTTCTCTATGGCTAGTAGGTCTGGGGGTTCCGCTATAGGAGGCTGGTCGTCCTGACCGGTTGCGACGGTCGAGGAGTCCGACGTGGAAGTGGCGTGAATTGCACCATTCGCGGATTTGGATTCGGTTTCTCCCATCGAATGGGTGTTGGTATAAGCGAAAGCTGGAGGGGAGCTGAGCAAGGATGTTTTTGTTGTGAAGGCAGGCCGGACAAGATCAGCCGGGGGTTTTCTGAGTAGACTTGAAAAGAGAGTTGAAGTAATATGTAGGGAAGAGATCGCGTGAAGCACGATATCTGGGTAGAGAAGAAAAGAAAAGTCGTGGAAAGAAGTTGAGAGGGTGGCAGCTTTTATCTACAATCCGAGGTAGGAGGGAACCAGGAAGGACCGGACAGATGCCGGCAACAACGAGGTTAGAAGCGAGGCTCTGTAGGAAGTTCGTCTACGTGGGAGACGGGTACCTATCCCAAACCTGTCAAGCACCTCACTCTCTCCCATCCCTAGAGACTCGGATCCGATCCAATCCAGTCCAATAGAGGAAAGGAAAGGAAGTGAATAACACGGGAGTGTGAGCTTCCCACTTACACACTCACGCACCCATGCATGTGCTGCCCCGCAGTCTAACACACACTGTGCTTCGTCGGCGCATGGTACTACCAGGTACTAAGATCCATTGTCAGAGCATTCAGAGAGACGATAGTATCGTTTCCAACTATTAAGTTGAAAACTGTCAACGAGATTCGGTCAGATTTTGTTGCGACAAGATCAAACGCTTCAAACAGCCATTCACTGCAATGCCAATTGAAGCATTATCCAACAAGCTTCATCCATCTTATCCAAGAGGATCGTCGAGATTAGGTTTGGTGGAACCAGAACGGCCTCTTTGGCGCCATTGAAGCAAAAGACTTGCTCGAGACACGTTGTTCTTCCACACCAACGAAGACGGATAATGTACTCCCAAGTACTCCTCTTGGCGTGCAGTATCGCGTGGGATACAGACGAATCAAAGCTTATCCTGCCAAGGTCACGAGGGGTTGCAGGGGATCCAACACCTACGATGGTACGCCCGTCGGTCGGATCAGCAATTGCTTTCCTTGGACAGTTGTTTCTCTTTTCTTTTGTTTGAATCATCATCTGCGAGTAGCCGACGGTCTAATATCCATCGTTCTTGTAGAAAGTTGTGCGACTTGGATAAATGTCAGCGTTTGAAGGATAACGCTCTGAGGAAGAGAGTCGCAAACGCCATCTCAAGCTTCACGTCCATTGGACAACACCTCGGACAGCAGAACACAATACGACACAAGCTACAGTCTCAATGGCAACGCAAACATCATCTGCCTGAATCAATCAATCTCCATCCATTACTGTGCTAGAATCACCCACAATCACTGTCCATTAGCGTCTGTCGTCAGCAGGCGATAACTTATCCGCCTCGACATCAAGTTAACAATATCCACATGATGAGGTTAGCCGATGTACCAATCAGTCATTCAGCGACCAATCACACTTCACCTTTTATCCTCGCCTCGTCTAATTGTCACCACTTCTCTTCTTAATGAGAGAATGCTTGTTTGAACTTGGCATGGCTTGGGCTTGGCATACGACGATATTTAACCAATATTGTGTTGCTTTTGCTTCGCCTTGGCCAAGACAATTCTCCTCTTAATCACCTGCTACGACGAGCCAAGTTTGGTTTTGCTTGGCAACGATGGTGATGAATGTCACTACTTTTGCGGTCTTCTTTTTATGGAAACCTGCATCGTTGCATTGTGTTGCTCGTTATGCTTGTTTTGTCCTCCAATGACCACATTGAGCCTTCATTCATTCACCCTGGCACCCAATTACGGCCAAGACCATCTGGGGAACGGCCTTGTTTTGGCGGCTCTTGCTCCAGAATTACGCTAAGATTTAAGCTTAACAATTGGGTTGCAAGCCTGGCCAGGGATCTTCTCTCAAAACCGCCTGAAACGACCCCAACCCTCTTGATTTTTGTACTAGGAAACATGACGGTGCTACTCTACAGAGGTTCAGAGGTTCCTGGTTCTGCTACAGGCTCTGACTTCATCGACTATGTTCAACCGTCATTGCGCGAATCAGGTATCCTGAACAACAAGGGCACTACACAGCCACGTAACCTTGCTACTAGTGGATACAGGTCTTTTTGATCTACAGCCAAGGAATTATTTCACTGTGTGAATGTTACAAGCAAGTGCCGCTCACTCGGCGCCGTCTTTTGGACTCCGGACTGGCCGTGCACCGGGATGCAAGCCACGGCCACCGACGGCAGAGACGGAGAGCGAACGGCTCAGACATTACAGCACGATAGTTACGTTTGGTCGACTACTCCGTATGGGATCAGCATTGGCCAATGGCACTTTTAGACAATGATAACCCTAGCGCTTGAATAAAGTTGAACGGGGTAAGTCTGGGGAACAAGCTTAAACCAAGCTTCGATGAGGGTCCAGACATCGAACTTCCCCGGATATCAACTTCCAAAGACCCTGTACAGCTTCTGAAAACAACTCGCTCGCCGAAGCTGACTGCTCGTATCTCCGGTTCTCAACGACAAGCTAGTCCTGCGTCTTGGAAATCATGCCACTACGATGTTAAATGAAGATAGAATCTCCCTGTTTCTCCATACAGCGTCTCATCCACCTTCTTGGCTTTGCGCAAGGCTCCAGTCATCATCATAAACGATGCGGGGTATGGGGTATTCGCATGGGCGTTAATACCATGGATGCAGCAAAACGTCTACGAGAAAGGTAAGATGAGTGCAAGAGTTCGGGATATTTAGGGTTCTCTGATGACTTCTATGTTGCGATGAGACAAGACTTGCCAAACTAGGAGATACCGGATACTGGCTTGCACGGGAGGCACAACTTCGGATACAAGTAATACGGATACAGTGTAGGTCTTGTCCGAAAATTAATCCACGCCAGCAGGGACGGTTGTGTCTCTAAGAAAGGGAACATCGGTTTGAAGCCCTCCTGGACAAACTCGAACTTCAGATTCACGGTCTATGTAATCAGTCTCAACCCTGACGGCAAACACAATTTGGCTAAAAGCTTTGCTCCAGCATTGATTATCGACCCTACTCCGTACGGGCCAAAACATGTCCTTATCCGTAGACCAGGTCTAGTACTATCTCTCACTCCTTGCCAAGACGCAGAAACTCCCTTATCCGAGGAGATTAATAAACGGCTCCGGCCACTTCCCCCACACAAGCGGCTGGTCACCCAACCGTCCGCTCACCGGCGAAAGCAACTTGATCTTACGACGTTCCTCATCCACATCCGACACGTACAAGAAGCCCATGACACTTGCAGCACGGACCGTATCGGGCGACTCCTTCGGTGTTGCGTGCATAATGGCAAACGTCCAGTGCTGCATCGGCGTTGAGGGGTCTTCTCGGGTGACACCCTGGCTGTGGGAATGTTCTAGCATACTGAGTCAGTAAAACTGGTAGTAAATGGCTTGGCAAGGGTTATGTACCGTCGGAGGTGTGATACACAATCACGCTGTCGAAATCGACTTGTTGAATCAGGGGGCTGAGAGTGCGCTTGGAGTCGCCGAAGAAATACTCCTTGATAGCCGCTTCTCTTACGTGCTGTAAGAAGGCCTCGTCTCGAATGACGACACCGTCGGACTTGTCGATGGGAACAATGCTGATGGGTTCTCCCAGACTTGTTCGCTCGTTTCTGAATCGTTTAGATAGCTCGGAGGTGATACTTGTTGAGCCAATCACAATGATAACATTAACTGGTTACGTTAGTTTATCTTCTTTCAGCACTGGGAGTACGACGTACCGGAAAATTCATCGACGATGTGTGCGACAAGCTCATACCCATCTTTGCTCTGTTCAGGAAGACCCATTCCATCGATAATGACACCTGAGCTCTTGACGTCCTCATCCTCGCTCAAGCGTGCACTTACGCTTCCGGCAAGTTTACTCATGAGTTCGCGATAAAAGTCGGGGTCTTCATCGGGTGATGCCAGTCCGTAGTAAAACACCAGAGGGAGCTTCACGGGCACACTGCTTGGGCCACTGGTAGGCGTGCTGCCCCAACCGTCCACGGCCTCAATGTCCATGACAGTCGCAAGAACACTCGCACTCAGTGTTCCCGGCAGACTGAGCAGTCCTTCTTTAGGATTCGCATTCACCACTAGAGGTTGGTAGCCTTGTCTTGTCGCATAACTCGTCAACGTCCTCGCAACCGTCGTCTTTCCCACATCTGCCGGTCCAACGATCAACACCCTCGGCCCCTCTCTCCCCTCTCTCGCCGCCTTTTGCCGCATATCATTAAGCTGTCCATGAAGATTCACATGCACATTTGCCGGGTTATCAGTCGGATTCGCATATTCCGCCACGGAGTCAACATCGCATCGGCCATCGATCTCGAGCTCGCACCCGTGCCACGTTAGAATCTTGGACTTGACGCCCGCAAAGGTGTAGGCGTTTTTAGGACCTAGTTCGACGCCGTCTTTCTCAGCTGTGCCGGAGAGAAGCTTGACGATTACGGGGGAGGAGGCTTGGAAGCGCCATTCGCAGGCTGGTCGGAGGGTGATGACGCGGGTGGTCGAGGCGGTGGGCTGTAATAAATGTCAGTAAGGGCTAATTAATAGTGGTTATAGAGATTTACCTGTGTGGGAATCTGGCCCAGGCCTGGGATTGACATTGTCGCTACATCGACTTTGACGGAAGAGAAATGTCGTCGCGATCAAAGGTGTCTGTGCGTGGGGCTCTTGGAAGCTTTCCAGAAGCTCGATGCAAGGATGAGATAAAGTTGGGGCAGCAAGTTACGTGACATAAATATCGGTGTAGAAAAGCAATGGTCAGTGTGGATCAATTCTGTCGACTAATCTCATAAGAATGAGCTACGTGCTACTACCATTCGAAACTACCCTGTAGCTATCATTTCAACTTTTAACCATTTGACCAACTTTCAATTCCCCTTCAGTATTCATCCTCAGCAAGACCCTTCCCCTTCTGCGCATTTCTGGTCGATGGAGCAGCGCGATTATCAACTCTGGGCTCCTTGTAGTGGCGCATCAACTCCTGAGGGAGAAAGATGTAAAACGACGGGACAGTCATCTCGATAGATCTGAGAAATCGCAGTCCCGCATCCAACTCACTAATAGTTGCAACAGTCTTCAATCCCGGCATCATGTTTGCCAGAAGAGCATCGTCGAAGAAAAGAGTGATCGTATCCTCCTCGACAGGCCACTCCCCAGCCCATGGGTTCTCCCAGTCATCTTGAATGAAGCCCTGTTTGAAGACAGCTTTACCAACAGGGACATGGTTCGCTGCCTTGTCGCCGATGACAAGAGAGTTGAATCGCTTGACAATATCCTCTTCGGGGCGGATGATTTCAACCAGCTCAAGAGTGCAGGTGTATTCGCTGAAGATGCTGGGTTCCTTGAGAGATAGCTTTTCGAAGAGTTCAGGCTCGTCCATGAGAGCAAAGGCCGCGAAGAAGACAGCCTTGGGATCGAAATCCTTGGGTCGCTTGAAAGTCTGGAATGACCAAGACTCTTCGGTTGATGTCTCGTAGAACATCTCTGAGCAGGCGAGGTTGAAGTGCCCGGGGAGATTAGCATTGAGCCGTCGGATCATGGGCCACTCGACACTCGCAGTCTTGCACAGCTCGAGAGCCTCCTTGACACTGTCCTCGTACTCAGGGCAGACATCGTGCTGGAGAACGTATCGAAGAAAGTTCTTAATCGTGTCGATACCCTCCTCCATTCTCTTGGGCTCAAAGGAGGTCAGATGGACGAGACTGACAGAGAAGAAGCCCGCAACGACAGCAGCAAAATCGACACTCCACTTCTCGTCATCGCCGTCGTAGAACTTCTCGCCACCTTGAGAGTTGGCCCAGATAACATCTGTCGCAGTTGCCTCTCGACGCTGGGCAGGAGTAAGTTCCTTCAGCTCTTGCTGGCTGAGACCGCCGAAGGTGTTGGGCGTGGTATCGACGCCACCGAGGAAGAGATACTCGTTGAAGTAAAGGCCGCGGTCGCCCTGGAGACGGCGTCGGGAGCGGAAACGCTGGATGCAAGATTGCATGCGCCTATAAATGTTAGCACTGGCTCTTGAAAAGATAGATACCGGTCATACTCAGCAAAAGGGAGGTCTTGAGAATAAATCTCATTCTTCTCCTCCTTGGCCTCGACGGGAGTCATAGGCGGATCGGCGAAATACTCCTCGAAACCACTTCCACGGTTCTTTGGAAGCGCTGTAGGACCACGGTTGAGGTTCTTGTTTTTTCTCTTCCGGCTCTTCCTGGCGATGCTCTGGAGGGACTCTGGCAGAGCCAAGGGCTCCTCGATCTGAGGCTTGGAGTCTTCGGCCATGATAGTTGTTGATGAAGAAGGGAAGAAGATTTGGGGATGAGGAATTCCGAGGCTTTATGTAGCCAGTAACCCTATGATTCATAGGCTAGATGAACTCACGGCGAATTCAGCCAGATATGCCTACCTAAAGATGGGACGAATCGGTTCTAAGGATCTGGCTAGCAGTGTCAAATCTTTGGCTAATAAAGGGGAACTTATGCTGGCATCAGGATCTGCAAGCGTCGTTTCTCCTGGAATCAAGATGGCTTAGAGACAGCAAAGGACACTCATAATAAGGAATGCACAAAAGAACGGACTGAAGACTTCCATCTGAAAACGTGCCAGTCTGATTGTTAGCTGTTAGCCGCTGTTTGGCTCAAACATGGGCGGATGTAAAGCAGGCGGCCAGCTACCAATCGACCGAGGCTCCAGACTGTATTGGTATTCATGATGGAGGTCAACCAAGCCCTTGAATATATATATTTATCAAGCCTGTCCCATAGTATAAGCGGTTTTGAGCTTATGGAATCACAATCTCAGAAAGCAGAATGTCATGGCCCAATGCTGCTATTTCTCTCCAGAGGATAGATAGAATTCTTGCACACAAGTAACGAAGGTTGCAAATAAGTTCTCAGGATCAAAGAACGTCAATAAGATATCGAGTTGACACAGAGTCACTCCAGGATATTTGATCCAACTAGGCTTCATGCTTGGAGGCTCAGACTCCTTTGAGTATATATTTTTTGTTAAGTGAATTTACACAAATTATAACCAATATATCATAAAGGTCGAGCACAGTCATGCAATATCCAACTCATGTGTTTGCGACAGGATTGAGCTTGGTATTTTGCGCCTAGCTTTGATGCATGGTTTTACTTCAACAACTTAGTGTACTATATGTGAATACAGTACCGACCAGACTAGCATAAAGCCTATCATCTAATCCCAGGAAATCTCTCAGGACAAAATGCCTATCACAGCTGGGCTGAAAGCAAGGCTTTCACAATACCCTAGTGCGAGCAGCACCAACCAAAACCACGCTGGTAAATACGGGCCGGCCCATCCCGGCCAAGAAAAGGGTGTCGACAACACGAGAGAGGGATTTAAGGAAAGTCATCTTGATTTGATTCGTAGGGGTTGTTATTGGCTCTGGGGTCAGTTGATAGAGGTCACCAGGCGGTTTTTGGCTAAGCTGAACGGGTGTAGCTGATAGGGTGTGATAGTGAGACGACGTGTGATGTTTGGGGTTGTACGACTTGAGTGTTTGTGTAGTAATGTTTTTTTGGTGTTTCAATTGATGTGTAAAGAGTCCGATTGAGCTCGAACTGCATAGTGTATGGTGTTGAGATAGTAGCTCAACTCGAGTATCAGTTGAGGCGCTGAGGCTTCATCTACGTGCATGCATGCATGGATGTTAGGCTAGAGACATATTTTCTCTTCCGTTCCGCGTTTGTCTCGGCCTCAGGCTCGTTAATCCGATGCATCTACGAATCAGTAGCATAGTAACCAAGAAATGACGAATCTCGTGTCATTCTTAGCAAACCTCGTTTGAGTCAGATCGCAGTTTACAGCAAGATCGCCGCTCATGTCCCAAACGCCAGCAAAGCAAACACGCAGCACATGAACAAATCCGTGATCCAGAAACCCTGTGCTCTTTGCATATCGCAAACCCCAGGTTGGGTCTGATGATAGACTATGTATCTCGTTGCGACGTGTAACCAGCAAATCGTTGGACAGTGAGACAAAAAGCCATGCCAATTCTTGGAAATGACCGAAGATGCAAATACAGAGAGAGTATGCCCAGCGCCAATGGAATTGGACCCCTGTTCTTGTTGGCTGTGGCTCAGCGAGGCAGAGCGCCTGACAGGGCTCACTTCTCGCTGTTGTTTGGTCGTTGACTCGCTGGTATTGCCGCTGAGATGAGGGGCTTGTCGACGGATCGCCTTCGTTATTCGGGGCTCGTCTCGCTATCGCTTTGAGAGGAAGTGTTTTGCGATTCACGGGCTGTACCCTGTCTGCTGGCTGTGTAATGCTAGGACTTGAGTTATTCATGAGGTTATCGTTGAGTTGCCTAGTCACTAGTTCGTTCCGCTCTGTAATTCACGGTCACCAGAAATGTTGTATAAACAGCCCGTGAAATGCCCATCTAATGACGATTTACTATCAATCTCGTACATCGCAATTCCTCCCAAGAACTCGTCTGACTGACTCTTGTCAGAGAAATATCATCGTTGGCCTCACATCATCCTCCAATTTCCCACTGGTCCGTTACATCCGCCACAAACGCTGACCAAGGCTTGGGGACTACAAAAATTACATACAAAATCGCCACTCGGATCTCTCCATTTTATTTACCTACTGCAACTCAAAGCAGCAAGTATAGCACAAGCGCCCTTGTATCTGCGGACGAAGCGGAACCATCCCCTCTGAACAAACTCGTCTCCTTGTGCCTTGACGTGTCGCACCTTGACCAAGACAGACAAGACTGGGGGTTGATCCTGTGCTGATCAGTCCTTTTTCTTCTCTCTCTCCTTGAATTCTCGCTTTCTGCGCCCCTGAATTTCTTGGAATACCTCATCGTACTTGACACTGATTTCAGGAATATCTTTTCTTTCCCTATTCATCTATATCCTATATCCTATCTATAGTGGCCATTTTTCTATCTTCTTTCCTCTCAAAAACTTGTCTCACTTGGCGCTCCACTCAAATCAAACCTACTTAAGCACTGGTCCCTAACGCTTCGCCTTGCGCTGAGCTGACCCCTCCGGACTCGACTACTACGCTACTCACCCTACCCTGCGAACTGAGCCACGCCCTCGAATCCATCGTTTGCTCCAGCCTTCAGCTTCAAAGTCCAGTCCAATTCCTTTCAACAACCGCGCATCTCTCCACAGGCTTCTTCACCGCCTCACCCCTCGACATTTCTATAACTCTCCTTCGCCAGTCGCTTCCGGACCTTGATCGCTTCTTTTATTCCAACATTGATTGCCCTTTTCCCTCTCTCTTCTTATCAAGCAAGCACCTTTTACGGCTGTTACACCGAAGACCGGCGCGAGCCCACCGCCACACTCACAATCCCACGAACTATGATGGGATCAAAACAAATGCCTGATCGCAAAGAGCTTCGCGATTACAACTACGCTGTCGCCGGCCAGTAAGTCTATTGATCCTTTTCGCATTGCATATGCGCTTCTCATCCGAGTGATTTGTTCTCCCTTGAGAGCGCCTCTGTTGCTCTGGCTTGACATATTTGCGTCACAATGCCACCCCCGCGCTTCATCTGCATCATGCTAATTTCGATGACTTAAGTGCCGGCACGCTTTGTACTCCCGATGGCGAACTATTCATCAAGCCTTGCACACAGTCCGAGATCGATTTCTACCAGTCTGCCAATCGAAGACATCCCGAGTTCGCCGATATTATGCCATTGTTTATGGGATCCCTCTTGCTTACCGATCCCACTGAGAAGACAATAGACGAGGCTGTTGCAGGTGTTATCTCCCATGCCGGAGACCTCAAGACGTCAAAAGAAGAGATTGTCGCTTCGGTTGCTGAACAGGTTGCTCATGCTACAGCGACACAACAAAAAGAAGGCGGTGCTTGGGTGCCGGCCAAGGATAACAAGATCAAGACCGATAAGGCGGTTGTGCTGGATAATGCTACCTTTGGTTTCAAGAACCCCAATATCCTCGATGTCAAGTTGGGAGTAAGACTCTGGGCCGACGATGCCCCTCAACAAAAAAAGCAGCGCTTCGACAAGATCTCGGCTGAGACGACACACGGTAGCTTGGGATTCCGGATAGCGGGAATGCGGGTCTACCGCGGGTCAGAAGATGCTTCGGAACTGGACGAGGAAAACTACAAGATCTACGATAAGGATTATGGTCGAACAACAGTCACTCAAGAAAACGTCGTTGATGAGTTCCGAAAATTCATCTTCAACAAAAACGCTGGCATTGATGAAGATCTCGGCAAGGCCGTTTGCGCAGCCTTTGTCCGAGATTTACAGAGAGTTGAGGAGATTCTCTCACGTCATGAAAGCCGAATGTACTCGTCTTCACTACTTTTCATCTTCGAGGGCGACGGCCAAGCTCTCCGAAGCGCTATTGAAGAGAACAACGCACTCATCGACGCAGAGGCAGGTATCGGCCAAGCAGCTCGAACTACCAAGAGGGTTGATAGCGGCATCGCTCTGGACGACGAAGACGAGCTAGACGAAGACTCGGACCTCGAAGCCTCCCTGCCACAAATATACTCCCTAAAACTCATTGACTTTGCCCACGCCGAATGGACCCCCGGCCAAGGACCTGACGAGAACGCCTTGACGGGTGTGAGGAGTCTTTTACGCATTTTCCAAGAGATGGCGTAAAACTTTTTACGGAAATGAAAAAGGGCAAAGACATTTGGGCACCTTTTATGATCATGACAAAAAACAACGCTTTCAAATGGGGACGGATACAAAGAAAGCATTTTGCTTAGACGGAAATGGAGAGGAGTCTCGATACCCATGTGCTAAAGGATCGAAAGGGGATCCAATGATCGAATGTAGAAAAACAGCTGCGCTGCGCTGCGGCTCGGTGCATGGCGTCCATGATGATGACAATTTAACTTTTACTTCCGCTTTGTTCTCACGTTGGGTGTTACTTTTTATGCCTGACGTCTTGTTAGATGTCTGGTCGTGGATTTGGAGTTCAAGGGGCTGGATTTAGTTGTACAATATATAAGTATAGAGGATTAGGTCATTATAGGAGGTTATAACACACACAACCTTTACTCTATTCTATTCACTCATATATGTGATACTCCCAATGGAGATGTAACGGTTAGAAGTATTCACGTACACAATGTTTTTACAGAACGAAGAATGTTTGAACAGGTCTTCATAAACCACCTTGTCCAGAAAATTTCATATACCTCGTAGAACAGCCTAGAAACAAGCCTTCAAAGCTCAAGCCTACGAAAGTAAGTCTAATTACCACAAACAAGCTGAAATGCGTCCGATATCCATACCGAATCATCATACTAGAAACGCATGAATCCAACCAAATCCGACGTTCAGTAACTCCTGATATAATTATTGTGAAGTGGAGAATACGCAGGCGCCTGTATGGAGCCGAGTTCCTCGTCGCAGCACCCATGATTCAGTAACCGATAACCCCATTGTCCCAAGACCCTCCAGCAAAAAGAACATCGAAAGAAGATGTAAAAAATGGAACTCATTGATGAGACTGGGACTCGAACCCAGGAGGATTGCTCCACCAGGAAATTGGTGTTAAGGTTAACCTTAACCTGGCGCCATAACCAACTCGGCCATCTCACCCAAGTCCTTTAGGACCCGCTTGTTGTTGTGAAAGGCCTCGCAAAATTCTAACAAGTCGCTGGAATTTCGAAGAAATGGATACGAAGCCATCTCGGTGCCGTGTTTCCGTATCGTGTAAAAGGGAACATGTGGCGGAGCGTTTAATCCTTGGACTGAATCTTGTGATCTCCAGCGACGACGTCGGCGTAGGAAGGTGGCACACCCTGGCTTTCAGAACTACCCTCGCCGTTATTTGTCACGCCATGCTGCTGAGGCGCAGGACGAGAAGAACCGCCAGCGTTCTGAGTGCCGTAGTTCATGCTGTTATTGTTGTTGCTAGCACCACCATGATGAGGTTGGGGTTGGGGCTTGGGCTGCTGGTTCTGGGGGTGGCCGTGGCTGTGCTGATGAGGGCCTGGCGGGCACTGAACGTAGACGTAGGTAACGCGGTTACCCTCACGATCATGTGGCAAGGCCTCGTACTCGTAGGGCGGCTCAGGATATTTGGCGATGATGTACCATGCATGGATAAGGCCGGGGATGTAGGCGAGACAGCAGAGAAGGATGTTGATGAGTGAGTCGGCGCTGCAGAGACCGCACTTTACCCAGACTAAATCGATGTTAGCGATGATGCGCGACAGGGAAACTGGTGGACTTACCGGGCAGTGGGGGGAAGAGAATGGCGAGGAAAGCGAGGAAGAAGTCGGCGGAACACATTGTTGTGTAGTAGAGAGCGTTCGAAACTCTTGAATGAAGGATATCAAAGAGAAAGCGATTGAGTTGGAGAATTGATGGTGTTTGTTGTTTGGTGCGAGGAAGAAAAGAGAGCGTGTGACCTGATTGATGATGACGAAGGGTTCTTGCGAGGTTCTGCGCTACGCCATGCAAGACAGAGGCCGGGTCACCTGGAGGGTGGCGTCTCTGGGGGAGGGGCTTGCGTAAGAGGGACTGTGCAGAGAGGAAGGGAGTGCGTGATTGGCTGTAGCTGAGACGTCAGTCACTGGAACCCCGCCGACAGCCACAGAATCGGGTCATCACTGAGTTTAGAGTCCTCGAGGCAGCCAAAGTCGCCTGCCTCAACAAGACTTCCTATGAAATGCAGCGATGAAGATACTGAGTTGAAGATCCACGCCTATTATTAGGCTTCCATACTCTAATTGAAGTGCCTCTGAGGGGATATTGAAACAAGAAGTGCAGCGTCTTCTTACAATATTCTGCGATATGGTTTCGCATACGTCATTCAACTTACACTGTCGACGAGACATGGATGGATTTCAGGCAGAAGCGCAAAACATCTGACGCAGGTAACGAATCGCTTATGCAAAGCTAAACTGTAAGTGTATTCAACTACTCACTGCCAGCTACCAAATACCAAGTCAAGTAGCTCGCACAGCTGATACCAGAGACTGGTTTCAACACGCTACTTCACTACGCACAGCTTCAGACAACCGTGTGCCCTCATGGTGCTGCTTCCGCTCAGCACTCTCACACAAAGTCACACATTCATCGGGCGAATGGTTTAGTGGTATAATACTCCCTTAGCATAATTCAGCCTTCTGAAAAATCTGGGAGTGGTCCAGGGTTCGATTCCCTGTTCGTCCAACCTAGGTGGTTAGAACCCACTGTTATCCACACTTTTTGGCACTTAACTTTTTATTTCTAAAGAGACATCTATCAGCCATTAAGATCACTAACTTTTCAATCGTACAGCATCGCCATAAGCACAAAGCAGGTGCTTTTTTTCTGCCTTATTGCATTTCCATGTTTTACTCCCTTTTCTGCTAAAGTTGCTTTCGCGGCCTTGGAGAGGGCGCAGTCACCAGCTCATTCTCAAGATGCCTGTGGTCTATAAGTGACCTAAAGAGAAGAATGATTTATTTATTCTTAAGTTTGCACTAAAATTCAGTAACTATCTTAGAGCAAGATAAGGTATTAAACACAGAAAGCTTTGATATGTTAGGTTTTCACGGAAACTTCCATTGGAATATAAATACCCTGGAATTCCTCTCTTTGTAAATGCGACGGAAGACCTTCTCGTCCAAAAACGCCCGCAGGGAGTTCAAGACTCAAGACCTTTAAGACCATGTACTAAAGTAAATAAAGTAATCGAAAGCTCCCCTGAGCTCATGCTTAGATTGCATAAGGTCATTACAAATTTACCTAAGTGTTTTCGTATTTGCGACTCCGAGGTTGTCTTTGAGTTGCTTGCTGACTCATCCATTTTTTATTTTCTGGGAGTATCCAGTATACCTTCCATTCATCTCAAGCTTGGGTGCAGCAGCGTCAACACAACACACCAATACGATGGACGACTTATCGAATCTTGAGCTGCTGTCCCTCGTCTCGAAGGTGTCCTCAGAGTTGAAGAATCATATGAACTTAGAGGACAAGACTGTCGCTGAATTTCTCATCGATAAACGAACCAAATGCAGCAACTTCGAGGATTTCCGCGATGATCTAGCAAAGGCTCTCCCCTCGATTCCTCTCAGTCTCATTGAGAGTATCGATCGTTTAGTGCTTGCTCTACACCCACAGTTTAAAGGTAAAAAGGCCAACCACGAAGAGCACCATTCGAGGACCCTAGAAGAGAAGGAAAAGGTCTTCAGTGGGCTCGCGTTGCCGGATAAGGAGCCTGCGCGTGACGATGGATCGGGCGCATTCGACGACACACTGGCGCTGTTAGAAGGTCTAGAGGGGAAGGCAAAAAAGGAGAAGTCCACGAGAAAACGAAGTCGAAGCCCCCGCGAGGCCGATTACAAAGAGTCAAGGAGGAGGAGGAGGTCGCGCTCGAGAGAACGACGAAAACGAGATAAATATCGATCGCGGTCACGGTCGCATGAGCGGGGCGATGAAGATTGGCGTGATGGGTACCGCGATTCGCGCAAAGATCGACGAGGGCGCCGGCGACACGACGACGATGACGACCGATTTCGCAATGCTCCAGCTCCTGAGGTTGATGATTCGCCGCAGCTGCATAAGGTCTACGAGGGACATGTTACAGGCCTCAAAGAGTTCGGTGCCTTCATCAATTTGCACAATGTAAGAGGCAGAGTCGATGGCCTCGTACACGTTTCCCGAATGTCTGCTGGACAGCGCGTCAACCACCCGTCGGATTTGGTGTCGCATGGACAAAAGGTCTGGGTCAAGGTGACAAGTCTCGATAAGGATCAGAATGGCCGTGATCGTGTGGGCTTGTCAATGAAAGATGTTGATCAGTCGACTGGGGAGGACCTAGAACCACAAGCTCGAATGACAACTGGTGCCAATATGGAAGCTTTGGGGGGTGGAGGAGGAGGTCTAAGGGACGGGTTTGCGGAACCAACCGGCATGCCTCGAGATAGCTTGGGCCCTCCACGACGACAGAAGAAGAGAATGACTTCTCCCGAAAGGTGGGAGATCAGACAATTGATCGCATCGGGAGTGGCCAAGGCTTCGGATTACCCTGACCTGGAAGAAGACTACAACGCGACTCTCCGCGGAGATGGCGAGCTTGAGCTTGAAGAGGATGTCGATATTGAGGTTCGTGAGGAGGAACCACCGTTCTTGGCCGGCCAGACCAAGCAGTCCCTTGAATTATCACCTATCCGCGTTGTCAAGGCCCCAGAAGGCTCTATGAATCGAGCAGCTATGTCTGGTACTGCCTTGGCGAAGGAACGCAAAGAACTCAAGCAACAAGAAGCCGATACAGCTGCGAAGGACGAGCCCAAAGAGAACCTATCCTCTCAATGGCAAGATCCTATGGCTGATCCCGATAAGAGGAAGTTTGCTAGCGATTTGAGGAATGCCAGGAAGAATCAGCCTTCTGAAGACGTTCCCGAATGGAAGAAGGCAGTCATTCCAAAGGGACAGTCTCTGGGCAAGCGCACCAATTTGAGTATCAAGGAACAGCGAGAGTCGCTTCCTGTATATGCATTCCGAGAGCAACTGATCAAGGCTGTTCACGAGAACCAGATCTTGATTGTAGTCGGAGAAACAGGATCAGGAAAGACGACTCAGTTAACACAATACCTCGCTGAAGCTGGCTTTGCCAATGATGGCATCATTGGCTGTACGCAACCTCGTCGTGTGGCTGCCATGTCCGTCGCCAAGCGAGTAGCGGAAGAAGTCGGCTGTAAGCTTGGTGAAGAGGTCGGATATACGATTCGATTCGAAGACTGCACTAGTCCTTCGACGAAGATCAAGTACATGACTGATGGTATGCTTCAACGTGAGATTCTGGTAGATCCCGATATGTCGCGATACTCCTGTATCATGCTTGATGAAGCTCACGAACGTACCATTGCCACTGATGTGCTGTTTGCCCTGCTAAAGAAGGCTCTCAAGCGACGCCCCGATATGAAAGTCATTGTCACTTCAGCTACTCTCGATGCAGATAAATTTTCTGCGTATTTCAACGAATGTCCCATTTTCACCATTCCAGGTCGAACGTACCCTGTCGAAATCCTCTACTCGAAGGAACCCGAGTCCGATTACCTGGACACTGCTCTTGTCACAGTCATGCAGATCCATATTACCGAGCCCAAGGGCGACATTCTTCTTTTCTTAACAGGCCAAGAAGAAATTGACACGGCATGCGAAGTCTTGTATGAGAGAATGAAAGCTTTAGGGCCTAATGTGCCAGACCTTATCATTCTTCCCGTCTATGCTTCACTTCCGACGGAAATGCAAAGTCGAATCTTCGATCCTGCACCCCCTGGCAGCCGTAAGGTTGTCATCGCCACCAATATTGCAGAGACTTCCATTACCATCGACGAGATTTACTATGTCGTTGACCCGGGCTTCGTGAAGCAGAACGCTTACGACCCCAAGTTGGGTATGGACTCTCTAGTCGTCACACCAATTTCTCAGGCCCAGGCAAACCAAAGAGCTGGACGAGCCGGACGAACTGGACCCGGAAAGTGTTTCCGTTTATATACCGAGGCAGCTTACCAGTCCGAAATGTTGCCGACTAGTATCCCCGAAATCCAACGACAGAACTTGTCCACAACAATCCTCATGCTCAAGGCAATGGGCATTAACGACTTGCTTCACTTTGACTTCATGGACCCGCCCCCTATCAACACCATGCTTACAGCACTGGAGGAGCTATATGCCCTCAGCGCCCTCGATGATGAAGGTCTACTTACTCGACTGGGGCGAAAGATGGCTGATTTCCCTATGGAACCTTCTCTTGCCAAGGTGCTTATCGCTGCCGTTGATCTAGAATGTGCAGACGAAGTCCTCAGCATCGTGTCCATGCTTAACATTCCCACTGTCTTTTACCGCCCCAAAGAGAAGCAGTCTCAAGCAGATCAAAAGAAGGCCAAGTTCCACGATCCCCACGGCGATCACCTAACCTTCCTCAACGTCTACAACTCGTGGAAGCAGAGCGGCTACTCAGCACCCTGGTGTTTCGAGAACTTCATCCAAGCGCGTTCCATGCGTCGCGCAAAGGACGTCCGCGACCAGATCGTCAAGATCATGGACCGCTACAAACACTCCATCAAGTCCTGCGGCCGCGACACCGAAAAGGTCCGCAGGGCCCTCTGCGCAGGCTTCTTCCGCAACGCAGCTCGCAAAGATCCCCAGGAAGGCTACAAGACCCTTATCGAGGGCACCCCCGTGTATCTGCACCCGAGCTCCGCGCTCTTCGGCAAGCAGGCCGAGTGGGTCATCTACCACGAGCTCATCCTCACGAGCAAGGAGTACATGCACTGCACCACGAGCATCGAGCCCAAGTGGCTCGTCGAAGCCGCCCCGACCTTCTTCAAGGTTGCGCCGACGGATAAGCTGAGCAAGAGGAAGAAGGCGGAGAGGATCCAGCCGCTGTATAATAAATTTGCTACGGAGGACGATTGGAGGTTGAGTGCGCAAAGGAAGGGCGGAAGAGGAGGTGGAGGTGGTGGTACCTGGGGTTAATGTCATTTTATATACAAATACTAGAATGGGCGTTGGGGGGGCATATTACGGTTTTGAAAAGATTGAGACTTGCATCTTGAGTGAATCGCGCTACAGGGAAAAGGGAGTGCCCAGAGAAAGGGCGGAAGAGGAGGCAATGATGGTAGATTGGGTGAACTTAATGTTATTATATGTTAGAAGTGTCAAGTCATAGCACACTACAAGACAAAGAAGGACTGGTCTAAAGTTGCGATTTCAACCCTAAATTGCAGAAAATTGGATGAATTTATGACCGTTTTGCATAGTTTGGTATACTCGTTTTATGATCTTAAGAGTATCTTAGCTAAGTTATTCTCGCTCGTCCAAGACCTCAGACCTTTGTACACCTGCTAGCAAAAAGGTCGCCCAACGTTCAAGCCCGTATGAAGTTCTCGACTTAGGTCTTATCTCTTGCAAGCACGCGAACAAACCTCCTCGACCAAGGCCACCAAACTCCAGTCCCTGACACACGGCCCGCCAAGACCAGGGACCAACAACAGAAACAATAGCGGCTGTTCCCCCTCGGTCCCGATAACTCAAACGCCATAGATCACCCACCGTCGTCGGAGATTTAGAGAGCCAACAGATCGGAAGTGCCGATTACCCCTTTATTGTGGTTGTCTTGGCGGACCGTTGGTGGAATTTCCGTCGTAGGGTTGCTGAACTTTGGCGATCAGAGGCTGCTTTTGGAGCGTGACATGGACTTCAGTGCGTTGTTTACGCTGTATGTCAATGGAGAGTATGATTCATTTAAATCCATGACGAAGTCCATGAACATATCAACTTCAGTGGCGGAGAGCTTGGTATACTGAAACAATTCATTGTAGTAATTATAGTCGTAACTTCATTCTCTTGGTCGTTAAGAGTACGTACAGGTATAAATAAGCTTCAAACATCCCCTGATACAATACAAAAAGCAAATCTCCACCCAACGCCCGCATATTATACCATCATTTCGTCTTTCCATTTATCACCTATTTAAATTGGCGACACAATCATTGCCACATACTTGACATATCCTTCAGTATCTTTGAGAGGTGTCCAGTGGCTCATCATCTTGGCTGGCTTCTTCGGTGATGTTTCCCCGCTGTCACCACTCAACGTTCTTGTCATATTGGCACGGCGAGGGATGTGGTTTGCAAGTGCAAGATCCAGCGAGACGGATTTTCCATCGCGGACAACGAGATCTCGGACTGTCGACTTGAATGCCTTGGTAACTGATGGCAGTGTAGATTGCTCAGTGAAAATGTCAAATATATCTTTGCCAATGATAGCTTCCGCCGACATGCCCAGATCAAGAGCATCGAGCATCTCTTTAGAGTAGAAAGACACACACAACTTGGGTGGATACTTCATCTCCTGATCGAGAGGCATTGCGCCCAAAGATGCTGGGTATGAAGGAACGTGCTCAAGAATCATATATCGGGCGTATGTTGTCATAAGCATTTCTGGCTGATTAGAAAATCTCCTGATAACGTTTCGTGTGCTGTAGGTCTTGTCAAGTATCGTGGGTCCAGCTGATGACCGGGGTCTATCCGAGCTGCGGCGTGGGCTCAATGGTGGCGACAGAGGAGGAGGAGGCGGTTTTTTGAACGCTTTGAAGAATCCAGACATTTTTGTTGTCTTGTATTGGTTGTTCTTGACACTCAGGGCTTCCTCAGCTTCAGGCTCGCCTTGAGATCCGTCGCTAGCCCAGCGAGAGTTGCTCCGTTCGGGTGTCTTGTCTTCTTCTGCAGCACCGTACGACAAAACTTTCAGAACATCATGAGTGTCGTGCAGCGAGGACGACACGTCGATTTGGGCGCCCATAAAGAACTTTGTTTTACCAGCGGTGTCGAGAAGAGGGCACAGGAAAAGAAGGTTCCAGAACGGCGTTCCATCTTTCCGAAAGTTGAGGAGCAATTCCGTACACTCCTCGTTGCGCCAGATTGCGGAGCGCATCTTGGCAATTCCGTCTCGGTCGGTTTGTGGCCCCTGAAGGAAGCGGCAATTGTGTGCCAAAACCTCACTTCGTGAATATCCTGTCAGTTCCTCAAACTCGTCGGAAGCAAAGACAATAGGGTTTCCGGATCGCGACGGATCACTTAGACAGAATGATCCCTTAAGGCCCGGGTAAGGGTTTGGTGGTGAGTCACCTTCTGCGTCGAGGGAGAGAGCCAGACTAGTACACTGAGATAGTTGCTGTTTGACAAAATCGGGGAAGATTTCTCTGACGATGCGTTGTTCGATATAGGTTTTAGATTCGAGAAACATGTTTTCCAGGCTGGGAATAAGTGATGTTGTGAGATGCTTGATGTTGGTGTTGAGAGCCTTGGACATAGGGGAGGGCAGATTAATTGGTGACGTTGCGGTGATGGATGTAAACGAAGTTGATATTGTCGAGAGTTGAATGACAACCTGCTCCAGGGATTGAATATAGTCGCGAATCTGCTCATGATTAGAATCTGTGAGGTGATATCATGTCTTCTCAACTTACCTTCATGAGGTAGTCAACATTCTGACCAACTCCTCGACTGGCGGCGAATCTCCATAATTGGCCACTAGCAGCATGATCGGCCATGACCATATCAAACATCTCACGTCCAACGAGATCAGGAATAGGCAACTCGCCGGAACCATCCGACTCAGTGAAAGCGATACTAGATCTTTGACTTCTGGACGATGTAACAGAGTCAATGCTCCTCAATCTCTCACCTGACCACTGCCCCAGCCCGTTGCTATACATGCCGGCACGCGGTGTGCCATCAGGGTGGTAGTCGGTATATTGTCTCAGAATGTCCTCATTGGTGTGAAGTGAAAGGCCTGAATTGCTGCGCAGGCGGTATGATGAGAATTTAGCACTCTTGGGGCGGTTTGATCTGCTACTTTTGGGTGGTGATTGAAGACCCCGCAGAGATGAGGTGACAGAATCTGAGTTGTTGTTGGAGAGCGTCGATGTTGTGGAACGACGACGCTCAAAATCGGGAAGAGATGGAATAGGAGGAGGTTCGAATGATCGAAGAGCGTTGATTGTAGGCATCTTGTCCTAATTATTATGCCCCTCCACAAAAAGAGGACGGACAAGTCGGGTTGTTGCTTTATGTCTCGGGAGTGGTGGAATGTAATGCGATTGTGCGACACAAGCGCAGTGGGTTATTATAACAGTTGCCGATTGATGTTTATAGCGCGCCAGAGTAAAGAAAGAAAGGAATTAAAATGTGAGTATTTGCGCTCTCATTTATTGAGAGGAAAAGATCAAGAGTTGTTATCGTTGAGAGTGACAGTGTAAAGCTTAGAAGATCATAGTGGGTGAGTGTTGGTGGGAGGTTGTAAGTTATCAGATTGGATTGGATGGAAGACGAGAGAAGAAAGGAAAGAAGGAAAGAATGGGACCCGAGTGCAAAGAGCAACAACAAGAAAGGCAAGAGCAGCCCAGGTAAGGCAATGACAGGCAGGACAAGACCCTCGTTCAATCGCGAGTCGCGGAGCAGGAGCAGCCCACGATCGCTTAATACCACGGTACCAGGCCCAGCTCCTTCCTCAGGTCGCAAGAGAAGGGCCTAAGACTGACTCGCTCTCAGGTCGCCATGCAATTCAGTGGATCAATCACAGGCTACGAAGGTGAGCTTGCGGGGGCGGGCCAAGTCGGGTTCGAGCAACCTTGGCCGAAAGCCACTAAAGAACCCAGTGGCTTCTGCAATGCTGGGTCCCCTTTTTAGCGCTGCAGAAATGCAGATAGCACATGTTTTCCGGAAGATATGCCCGCCCTGTGGAAAAAATACTGCGGAAGACTTCACATCAAAACTCGCTGAGGAGGTTCCGGTGTTTTATTATCCCCCCTGCGACGAGCTGAAGACTTGCATTGAGTTTTGAGTTTGCAGGGGTTCAACATGCATGCATTGATGATAAATCCATTCATCATGAGAGTCTCCTCACAGACTGACTGACTCTGAGTCTTGCCTCTCGGGCCCCGTTGACTGAGACAAACTATCGAAGCTAACAACTGAACCACCAGCGGATCGGTCCAGAGCTTGCGGTGGCTAACAAGAGGCGTCGATCCGTTTGCGGGCTGGTCACCCAAAAGAGGAAGCCTCCAAAGAAGAAGAGAGAGCAAGCTAGCGATCTACGATCCGACAACACGGACCCCATTCGTTGTCATGTCATTGTTACTCCGAGTTGAGTCAAAGAGCCAACGTTTTTTTCTCTTCTCCTTCTGGCTCTTTTCTCCGATTAAAGGAAATGCCCCGTTCAAACTCTGTTCCTTTGAGGCGTTGAAAGGTTACGTGGTCTCGGGAAATGATGACGACGAAGGTTGAGGTCGGTTTTATGCAGATGAATGCAAACACTTTGGGAGAAGTTAATCAAGGAGGATCGACAAGGATAGGCCGCCCTGCCACTAAAGAGAGAGAAAAAAACCACATGCGGTGGAGTTGCAATTGACAATTCATCTGAAACATCGAGGTTGCACTAGAGACCCTTGTTTTTGATTCCGTTCAATTAAAATAAATTAAACAGTGACACTCGCACTAATTACCCAACTCTCCATGATTATATATCATCAAATCGAACTACCATTTTTGACATTCCCCTTCGTTCAAGATAAACTTAAACAACAGAGATTACGTGACCTCTGGCCAAAAGGTTCAAGCCACATGATCGACAGGCCAAGGTGCATCCCTGCGTCAATCATCTCAACATGGTAACTTAATGACGATGAAAAGAGAACCGAGGTATGCCATTCCCATCACCATCTTTTCTCTCTCATCGTCATTCCAAATTCCTCACGAATGCAAATGCTGTCAGTCGCAGTCACCAAAAATAATACGCCGAACCGCGTCGGCCCGTTGAACAGATTGGGTTGAATACGATGGTATTAGTGCCACACCGTCATGTCTGGCCCTGTTGGTCCTCTCCAAGAGTGATCCCTGTAGAGCGTCGAGCGTCAAACCCGGCAATTTGGTCTTGTTCGGTGCAAGGCTGTGTTTTTTGCTTTTTCCCCTCTAATATCTTTTGACATCTGCACGTAGAACCCAGGGATGCTGGTCTTGAAGATTTGAATTAATTTCTTTTTATTGCTCACGCGACAGGCGAATGTCATCTGGCAGCTGCAGTGGCACCTCGGATAATCTACCCCATTATCCAGGCGTGCTTGGTTGCATTCGCCAATCGAATATAGAACCCCATCCCCTGATTATTGACCTGCTCGGACCTGGTGGTTTGTGCTTTTTGTTATTCATGCGTCTTCTTCCCCTCGCTGCACAGACTCTTTCAGATGTGTAAAGGGTCCCGGACACAGCCCAGATTAATTCCCATGCGCCGGTATCAGATATCGCTGCGGCTTTTTGTCATGGCGTTGGTTGTGTCTGTCAGTGTATCAAAGCGTTGAAACAGCTGGTTAGTACAGACTAGGCAGTTCTCGTACAAGCACCTGCATATCGTTGACCCTCACGACTCGTCTGCAGACACAGCTGAAAAGAATTTTAGCTGCATGAGTCGCAAATGGTCTGATACCGAAAAGTCCTTTACGATGGATCGCTTCCTTCCTGCGGGGGAAGGCCTGAAGCTGTCTTCGCATGCTGAAACACGCCGGCGAATGATTCCGGGAGCGCTAGAAGTTAGAACATTGGAGTTGGCCGAAGCCAAGAGATCAGGGTCGATAAGCTCTGAAGAGACTTTTGGTTAAGTAATACAAATCAGAGTCTTTGATTGGAGGGCGCATATGACAACTTCAGATATACAAGCCTGAATGCCCAAGAACTGCAGTTCCGTATTATGTATGGACAGACAAGTTGAATATCAATTCAAGATTTGAACAACCATTGGCGTAGTTGTTGCGGGGATTCCAATCGAGAGTTGATTACCATTCCTGGTACAGTTTCGATGTGAAGGTCTTGGGGACAGAGTATACTCGGCAGATGCAGGGTAGGCCAGATAATATAGACGTCCAGGTTAATGATCTAATTGAGAACGTCACTTGTGAATAGTAATATCATATGTATTATGATACCATGTGTTTTGGATTACAATTGAGTGAGATGATATCAAGAGCTAAATAGAGAACTCGTACAAGCCCAAGGTCGTTACTGATGTCCGCCATGATATATAGGATTATTGTCAACATTGGATGATTATTTGGTGATACACACCTGAACTGTGAATACAGATAAGTACTATACATGCGGCAACAAAAAGAACGACAATTCAAATGATATTTTGTGCCGATTATCGTAAGGACCTTGATCTCGGAGTGCGCATTCATTATGCCCATCAAGTACGCACGCAGAAAAGGAGTATTTTCGTCTCAACTCCCCAATCGAAAGAAGCTTCTCTTACTATACGTATGATAATTTAAGAGATTGAGATTCGACCAGTGATTCAATGCCTCTGTTTTATATCAACACAAATAACTTTCTCATAAGCCTAAGTCTAGTCTAAGACCATCCGCACAACTTGAGGTAGTGACTCAATGCCTCTTCCTCTCACGAATATATAGAACCTCCTTTCCTCCCTTCCCCTTCTTTCACCTCACTTCTTCCTCCATCTTCACTTCTTCTTTCATCTCCTCTCATTTCTTCATCTCCTCTCCTTCATCTTCACTCCTTCCAACATCTCCTCTTCTGCTTTCATCTCTTTCATCTCTTCCATTATTTCATCTTCCATCATGGATCATACAGCATCGTCTATCGCCGGCGCTAGCCAGCGGGTTATAAAGAAAGAGGAAGACGATTATGATGACGAATGCGATCTATCCTCTCTAAGCAAGCATACAGCAATGAAGGGTAGCCCGAAGCAGGCCATCTGCATCGATTATGATGACGACGACGACGACGATGAGAGTATTTCGGGGCCGTCTACCCAGCCCCAGAAAGCTCTAGGTAACGACAGCCTCACTATCGTCAAGGACGAAAGCAATGAGGATAAGAAGAGCTTCACGATGAAAAGATTGAAGTCTCAAAATGATCAGGCCGTTACAGTCGAAGAGTTCTGTGATACGATCATTGCTAACCCGGAGCCCAATGACGAAGATACGGATGATGAGGACGGTCCAGATTCCGCACATGAAGAGGACTCAGATTATCACGATTCAGACAATTCAGAAGATTCAGGCGACTCAGACGACTCAGACGATTCGGAAGCCCAAGAGAAGCAAGTCAAGTCGAAACAGGGTACTCGTGATGCCTCAAAAGTCAAGAAGCTTATCAGAAAATGCGAAATTCTAAGAAACGATCTGTTCTACAGGCAGCAAAAAGGGGAAAAGTTAGCCCCCAAGGAGCAGCAGAAAATGGAGACACTTAACGCAAAGATCACCAACGCGAAGAAAGCACTTGCTACTGATGCGAATAACGCAAGACAGTCTCCGGCTAAGACGGCTCGAGAGTACTGGCAGCGCCGTTTGAAACAAAAAGAGGAAAAAGAGGACAGAAAGCGCAAACGTGCCGGTGATGAGACAACCGCGAACAAACTTCAAAAGACAGCCATCCAAGCTGGACCTTTTGGTGGAGTTGAGCACAATGGTTTCTCGAGAGCAGCAGTCTTATTTACCTCAAGCAGGCCCCAGAACGACGACGACGACGACAATAGTGGACCGGCGAACAGGATCAAGGCCACAACTCATGAAGCTCAGATGAAGCAGATCATGGCTGGTATCCCCGAGGGAAATGACACCAGACATACCAAGACACAAAGACGTGATCTTATCAAAGCTAAAAAATGCTTCGGGTACAAGAAGATCAAGGCTATTGATGGGAAGTGGAAGCTCAAAGGGATGGAAACCCCTTTGCACAGCCAGCAGCTCGTGGGTGCCACCTGGATGGTCATGCGCGAAGCCATGGAATTGCATCCGGCGGGAGGTATCCTGGCTGACGAGATGGGCCTTGGAAAGACAATCACTACTCTGGCAACAATCATCGGCCATCCAGCAGAGCGAGAAGACAGAAAGGAGGGTTATGGCAAGGCAACTCTGGTGATTGCTGACAGTCCCCATTCTGCCTCGAGGACGTGGATGGATCAAATCAGTAATCACACCTCGGAAAAGTTTGCCAACAAGTGCCTGGTCTACGCCAAGGATTACAAGAACGCAAAGTGGTGGAGTACAAAGAATGTGGTGTACGTTTATTGCTCAAACGCCGCTTGTTGAATAAAAGATACTGACAAATCAAAGAATCACCCACTTAAATGCACTACGTGCACAGTTTCCCAGCAAGAAGGAATACAGAAAGCTAAAGGCCCAATGGGCAGGAGATGAGGATGGGTTTCAGCAAGCTCTCTCGAAGAAGCTCGGTCAACTCTTCAAAATCAACTGGTATCGAATCATTCTGGACGAGGCCCATGGTATCAAGAATGACAAGTCGAGTGGTTGGTCCAATATCTTGCCGTGTACTCCGCATACTCACATGAAATAGGTGCTCTCGCAGTCTGGCGACTGAACGCCAAATACCGTTGGGCTTTGACTGGTACACCCCTCGCCAACAAACTGGAAGGTGAGTATTCCGATGAGTTCATTCGTCTCTTACTCACATAACTAGAGTTCTATCCCTACTTAAAGTTCATTGGTTGCAAATTTGCAACTACAATGAGAAGATACCGAGCCGAGTACATCAGGAGTGTAAGTTTTGGCACTCGATCTATCTCTTACTCCTCTAAACGGACCTAGGACCAGGCAGCTGAAAATTTCGATCAATTGGTGGCCCTTGTCATGATGAGACGGTAAACTTTCGATGTTGTGAAGTTGTAGACATGGTTCTAACCTCCATCAGCCAGCAGACTGAGAAATTCCTGGGACACACCATGGTACCCCTGCCAAAAAGCCATCGCAGTGATGTTTGGATTCCGCTTTCAACCTGGGAGAAGATCCATTTGGAGTAAGTTCATGTCTTTGTAAAACTGCGGCTTTGCGCTCTTATGCTGATATCCTCTGCAGGGTCGTGGATGGTGCGTACCAAGAAAAGCTTCTCAAAGCCCAAAATGACCACCAAGAGACTGTCGCACACGAACAGCAGCAGGACGCCCAGGAGAGTGAAGATGTACCCGATGACGAGAGTGAGGCCGATTTCGAAGGTGACGAGAACAACGGCTCTAAGGCTCTAGACACGTACAGAATTCAGAGCCTGAGATGCATGCGGATTCTGCAACTGACGTCTCACCCTCTCAACCTCGAAAAGTTCTATCGAGAGGAAGACCATGAGGCATACATTGACCTGACCCTCAAGAGACTGAAATCAGAAATCACTCAGTCGAGCATTGATGCAGACCAGAAGGCGCTGGAAGTGTCTCTGAAGCCAGCCTATTCTTCAGGGCTTCGACAGTTGGAGATGGCAATCAAGGACAAGTTTGGGGGTAGCAAGGAGATGGTAGAGCTACTAGCCCTTTCAGCTAACGAAAATACGGTCAAGGATATCACCTGTGCTTTCTGTCGCAAGAGAACCCCTCCTGCGAACCCCGTTCAGAGTTCGAACGTAAGTAGGTATCTAGGTCATCCGGGGCGTTACTAATATGACCAGTGCGAGCATATCTACTGCAGAGACTGCATTTCCATTGCAACCAGTGGCGTAACCAAAACCGGCCGCCCTCGTGTGGTACGTCGACCAGGACAGGATGATAGTTTCTTTGGAGACTCTTGCTAACTCTAGCTACAGCCTGTTCAATGTCGGGCATTGGGATGCTCCACCAAACTTGGAATGGGACATGAGGTCAAGACTCCGGCTTGTATAGACGCGGCTGTGAAAGCTATCAAGGGTTTCAAGGAACCTGGACGCGATAGCATTGGGACAAGATGGACTGGAGGCCCAAAAGACAAGGCCTCGTTCTTTCGCGCCGTTTGTGGCCGCGATGACATCGACTATGGTCCTGTAAGGATGCCTCTGAGTTCCAAAGTCAAAGCCACTCTGGCAGTGATGCTGACTTGGATGAAAGAGGCTCCCGATGACAAGACCATCAGTAAGTTCTCTTGTTGTTTCCTGAATGAGATATACAAGTACTGACTCTGAGTCTAGTTTATGTGCAGTGGACTAGAACTGCAAAGTCCCTTGGCTGTGTCCTCGAAAGTATGGGAATCAACTTCCTTTACTACAACAGGATGGCGAACAAAAAGCAAAAAGCTAGAGCATTGGATGAGTTCGCCAGTAACCCTGAAATCAAGATTCTTGTAAGTTCTCCCACTCTATCGCAAGCCCCAGCAAGATCTAAGAGTCATGTAGGTGTCGTCAATGAAGTGCGGTGGGCAATCACTGAATCTCCAGATGGCCAACCGCGTCATCATCGTTGACGAATGGTGGAATAAAGCCGTCGAGGAACAAGCGTTCAAAAGAGTCTACAGAACTGGCCAGTTGAAAGAGACCCATCTTGTTCGCATTATGGCGAAAGATACCATTGATGAACGCGTCATCATGCTACAAGATGCAAAGGAAGAGGCCATCAGGGCCGCACTACAGGATGGGGAGATGCAGCCACACTTCTCCAACTATCTTCAGTACCAAATGCTATTCTCCGGAAAGGACAAGCAGACTCTGATCGCCGAGATGGAGAAGGAGACTCGTGCTAAACAGGCCAAGCAGTGATTTTGACTGAGGAGAAACCGAAAATGGGTGACGTTCCGGGAGATATTTTTGGTAAAGAATATTGCTGGCGATCTATGGATGGCGCTTTGGGATTGAGAACGGAGATACTGCACGAAGGATTCATGATGCAGATTGAGCAGATAGGCCATATTCCCCAATACCCCAGATAGTACTCGACAACAGATTGATAATACACCATTTGACGAATTATGGCTTTTCGGCTACAGTGTTTCATGAAAGATTTAACTGTTGAAACTAGTATCATACAGCCTGATTTTAAAGTCTCAGGGTAAATAGCTTGGAGAGATACTTGACAATTTTGTGACGTCTGAGGTAATCCAGAAAGAATATGTCTCAGGATCTTCGTACACTGTGATGAGTTTGTACAGGCTCCTATTGCGATCCTAATGGCACTGCGAATATTCAGTACTGAGTAAGTACCTATGAAAGATGCCGATGATCTAATCAACCATGTTTTCAACTCGCCCTTGTACAGGCCCGCGTAATCTGCTCTGGCTCCAACAGATTCGGTTACTAAAGCTTGATAGGATAGGACATACTACAGCCACTTACTTCTAAATCAGACAACGTGGTTATCTGTCACGTCGCTGTTTGCCAGGTTTGACGTATGTCTTCCTTGACTAATTGAGGTAGGGAGAACAAGCAAGTGCTTCGTTGGCGTTCAAGCTGAACTCAACAAGTGTGATTGGAGCAAGTGGTAAATTACCTCAACTGTTTTTTCGATCATTAATTCAGCAAACGCTGATGGTCGAATAGCCTTTAGCATGGGTGTATATGGGAAGCTGCATATGTTTGCTAAGGACCATCCTATTTCGTGACACAAACACTAACTAGTTGTAGTCACCATGCTTGTCTGGAATAGAAAGTGTCTCGTATCTCTCTATTGATCTGTGACCGTAGTGATATTGAATCTCTTCACATCAAACGTAGCTTCTTCGCATTTAACAGTATCTCAGCAGGAGATAACTTAATATATCATAGCACGTCATCTTTTGTCAAGACATGTTTCGGGTCCTGCTTGACCGCTTCATTGTTGTTAATGTGCTTTTGTCACTTCTCATATTCTGCAACTCATGCAGAACTCAGACCTTCTCATCTATATCGCCTACTCAACTAGATCTGCAGCTCGCTTATATGTACAAAGAACAAGAACGCCACAGGATGGAACTATTGATCTCAACTCTGAGGATTGCAGTCCTATTCGCATCGTCTGTAGATTAACCTGCATATCTAGGTGCAGAAAAGTGTCGGTCAACCCGTAACAATGAAGCAGACGAGATGGCATGCTGTGGGCTGTAAAAGGTCAGTGTATAAACCATGGAAGCCCTCTTAAGTTCCTAACTCATCTGAAGATTCTCCCCCACCCTTCACAGTTGAGATCAAAGTTCAGAGTCCATCACATCTTACTTCAAACCACAGCCATGTCAGGCTACGACCCAGTAAAGGACCTAGGTCTGACCTGTCCATACGGCGGAATCTTGTACATCTGCGCCGACGATCCAGATCGCTTCATCGGCTGCTGCACCATCAACCCCTGCGGCGCCAGAAAAGGTTTCTGCCCTGATCAAAACCTCAGATCCGCAAGCTTCAACGCTACTCTTCAGCATGAGTTCCTCCCTCAGGCTTGTATCAACGACAACGTCGATGTCAGTTGGTACACCTGCGCTGGAAACGCTCTTCCGTTTCTAGGATGCTGTGCCGTGGATCCTTGTCTCCGTGGTGTTTGCCCTCAGGGAGATTTGAGAGCTGCTAGGCTGAGCGATAAGGCCAAGAATGCACAGGAATTCCTTGACGGAGGCCCTGAGTATATGCCACGACCTACGTCTTCTGTCTTGGATCCAGGACTAGGTATCTCTTCAACCAGCCTGTGTGCTAGCCCAACCACTGCAATGACGACCATGATCTCCAGCTTCATCAATTCTTTCGCTACGGAAACAACCATTGCAACAATCACCTCCGCCAGGACAACTTTGCCATCGGAGGCTCCAGATGCACCTCCCGCGGGACCCAAAGAGCACGGCTCGAACCGAAGACTTACATGGCTGTTGATGTTGCTTTTCGCCGCAGTTTTTCTAGTTCTATACCTTGCGCACCATTTCTGGGGACACCCATGCTGTCCAGAGTGCGGAGACAAATCGTCCAAAGTAAAACTCGAACAGAGGCATGAACAGGAACACCGACACGAACAACAACAACAGGAATACGAACACAACCCGAACATGCCTCCGTACCCAGATACCGATGAGACCCGAACAAGTGATGATTTCCGGAATATGAGGGAACGTTCAAGCAGGAATAGCTCCCGAACAGTCCACGAACATCCACAGAACATGCAAGGTCAACAACATGAGAATGATTCTGCTATTAAAGATGGAACTTCCCGTGACAACAAAGAAAATGGAATCCTCGACCTGCATAGAGACTCTAATCAACAAGACCTATACGCCTATGTCCTCGGAACAGTTCCAAACAGAAAGCCGTTGCCAAGAACGAATACCCAGCCAAGCTGGCAAGACGATAACTGCCGCTGAGGACCCCATTCGAAATGCAAGATATAATATCTCATCCTCTCAAAATCTTCATTTCCTAAGCATCGTCATCCCCTAAAAGTCGTCATCCTCCGAAAACCATCATTTTCTAAAAAGTCGCCGTCGTCTAAAAGTCATCATGGGTTCATCGATATGTGAGATGGAAGGGAGTATGGTTCATGATAGCTTCGCAGCATTAGTAGCGTCAGGGGCAGAATTTCCTCTAGCCAGGCAGAGTACGGGTCAGCTAGAGCAAGACCAACTACAACTTGTTTCTGACGTCTCAACAACTTATGAACCAACCAACATCATAGTTGTCCGGAACTTTAATCAAGACTGCGACACACCACCTGCTGAGGAGAGCCGTCTTCCTTTATTTTCGACTCATCATTACAAACATGAGCGAGTGCCGGACCAAAAGCCCAAAAGATTGGTGTTTATGAGGCTTCACCAAAAACAGTGGAAAGGTAAGGGAGCTCTCACTAGAATTGCGGCCATTTCTGACGCTCGAAAACCACTTATAGAACAGGCGCTCTCTCTTCAAACTTGGCGATATTCAGGAGTTAGGAGGCCACCCCCATCATCGAGGCGTACTCCCAACAAACTCCGGAAGCGTCGAAGGCCTGATGGATATGAAGAGTGATAGAGAAGGGGTTTTATAACGGCAATCGCGCGTTTGAGGGCGCTATGATAGACATGCTTCGATTTAATTTGTGGTGGATTTACATGTTGCAACAGGAGGTTGACATTTCTTTGGACGGATACAGAGTTTGATGTTTTGAAGAATAGAAGAATGGACAGGGTCGGAGTTCTTGTGAATATTGGTTAGTACACGACAATAGAATAAAAGCAGGTTGAGCAACTTGACGCAGATGAAAGACCATCAGCTCCTCCCCATCTTTCTGCTTCTGCCAAACTTCAACATCCCATAGGAAACTCATCTTGGAACGCCCGACAGGCCTCGTATAAAATTACCTGATGCAGCGAGTTGTTAGTTTGCATGTCCAGTTTCGAGTCAAGACGCAAGATGCTCTTCGATCGATGTGGATGATCTGACTGATCGCGATCTACCACACATATAGCCTTGCTATGGAACTCGGAAGCTGTTTACGAACAGCCCTATGAGATATCTCGGATGACACTCTCCACACATGGATACCCGTCAAGACATTGGACTGTTATATCCGAGCCAACGATAGTAAGGGGATGCGACCAACAGAGACCTAGAGATATCTCCGCATCGCAAACAGCTTGTCTTGAAAATAGTAGTCATGTCACTGCGCATGGATCATGCATGCCAGACAGCCAGGCAAGGCGATATCCGCATACTAGGGAACCAACGCTTTATATGAGAACAGAGATCCACTCCTGAGAAAAGTCTTAAGAATTCTAGACTCTGGATTAGTTGGTGTTCAAGAGCTGTTCGGGCACGCGGTCGAGTTATTACTAAACTGCTTAAGCACTTAGCAGCCAGCTCATTCCTATGCCAGAACGAAGACTATCTCGATTTCACGAGAAATCCTGATGAGTAAATCGAAGTCACCATCGGCTTATCATGAGCTTGAATCAATCTTTGTTCGTTCGGCGTTGTTCTAGTAGCTTCGTACCACAGCTACCCAGGTTTGAAGAAAGTCAAAGGAGCAATGGCTCACGTCAGCGCATTGCGACCGCCAAACCATCATATCGTCATAGATTTCAGAATTTTAATCATTTTCATTGATCTTGTAAAAGGAAACAATGGTATCGTCACGGTAATCCGCAGTGAAGAGCATATTTGATCGACAAACTTCGCTTAAGCGAAGCCTTCGCGGAACGTGAGCGGAGGTTATTAAACTCCGAATAGTAGCAAGCAGCAGAGTTTTTACCGTAGAATCATAGAAAGACCAGTAGAACTCTTGTTGTTAAGGTTGAACCGAAAGCCTTCGCCGTGAAGCCAAGACGACGACTGGAATGCAATACGTCTGGTGTTGATCCAAAAAGACTTTCACAAGCAGACTGAGAACAAAGTCGGATCATGGTTACGCAACTATGAGCAGGCAGGCAAGGCACCTCGAATTCTCGAAAATGGTGATTCATAAATCAGCTGTTCAAGGCGAAAATGACAACTGATAATAAGCATCGTCAGCGAGAGCTTTCTCAGCTTCGGCGCGGTACCTGTGGCTTGAACACTCGCAAACTTAAGAAAGAAGGGGACGGTGTCACGGATTCAGCACCAGCCCTCGTGGCAAACGTGAGCTAGGCGAATCTATGAAATACCTTTCGGTCCTTCTTGGTGACCGAGATGCCCGAGATAGAGAGAGAACCGTAGTGAAAGGTTTTTTTTAAATGTTTGTCAGGAACTGAGACGGCTCTGATCTTGACAAGTGCCCTAGTAACTTAGCTGGGCAACCCTGAATCATGTCCAGGAACAGGCGTGTTGGTCCCTGGCCTAGAAACGGCCAGGTCCCGGCTGTTGGCTAGTCGTTTGCAAGCCCGTTTGTCAGCCATAATCATTTGGACAAGGACGGATACAGCCAACAGTGTGTAGAAGAAATGCGGGAACTGCACTGAGGGAAAGACTGTGGTGAGAGACACAATTCATATTTGTTGGTCCTTCGTCTGCTGTTGCACCAACGCCAAGACCGAATATCTCGCACGAGCCTTGGTCCTGTTGATCGTGTGAGATCTCCATGGCCAAGAACTGGGAGCGATCATGGATGAAATGCGGAGGTGCGGGATAGTTTCCAGGGGCTGAGCTGAGTTGAGCAGGGATGAAGGGAATAACGAGGGTGACCTATATCGCCAAGAATGTTTTTGCTTCGGCTCTCCGCTTTGCTTGCTTGTTCATCATGGTCAGTAAGCTGAACATCGATTTAATACAGAGCACCTGGCATTTTGCTCCATCGAGTATCCAGGAACAGGAAACATACTTGTCTTGCCTGATCCCGCTGCCACCGCCATCAGAGGTGACATGCATGTTGATTCACATTTGCTGGACCCTCGATTTGGGTCTCGACACCCGCTCCTCCCACTCACTCGCAAGCTGGACGCCCCAAGTGCGGATCGGAAGGGCAGATCACCCTCTTGATTGGCCGCTATAGAGATCGTCCCTCTCGCGACTCAAAAGCCTGACAGGATTACTGTTGGTCTCGCCCAGTCGCATTGCGAGAGGATTGCGAGATTTGGTTAGCCCCAAAGACTGATGGCGGCGCCTTGACGGGCGTGGCACGCGGAGGTGGTCATCAATGGTATCGCTTCTGGTCTCCCTTACGTAGCGTGCAGCTAAACGACAGGGTTTTAAGCCCAGCTGTCACTTTGCATTGAGCTCAAAATGGGAGAGCGATTACTGCGGTGTGGGCGATGAAAATATCGTCGACTGGGTATAGTGTTGTATCCGCTTCGGTCCAGACGGTACAGGTACCAGTAAGTTATCGTTATATACTCGGTGTAATGCCGTAATCGACCATGTTTTTCTGGTCTTCTTCCCGCGATCTAAGTCAGTAAATCGTTCGTCCCGAACTCTGGCGTGTGGAATGAAGATAATCTCGTCCCGGAAACGCACATTCGTCCACTGACATTACCGCCCTCGTGTCTCTGATTTATCCCACTTTGGTTTTGGCATCCCTCGACAATTTTAAGTGAATTTATCGTGAGTCGTGGCTCAGCAAGTGTCGGAGAAGCAGCCATCAAATTCGAGTCGGATTAATCGAGCCAATCCTTCATTGGTTGTTAGTGGAGAGTTTGGTGACGCCCTCTCAAACTCAAGATCCTAAGGAGGTCTCTCGGTTGTTGAAGTACTTGCCTCAACTTGGTTGCGCCTTTCCGCCTCCGGACATCACTGCATTGCACCTCCCTCCCCAGACCAGAATAGGGCAATAAGATTTCTCGATCTAGTAAGTGCTACTGAGCCAAGCACTTACACATCCACCACGGGAATATCGTTATCGGCCTCAGATTTCACAACCACATAAAGGATATTATCCTGACAGGTTATACAGGGTCATCTTTTTCACGACTGATCATAAAGAGATCCCATAAAAGAAAAACGACAAGAGTTCCCCCGTTTCGGGCTTGACCCCAGTCCCGGGGTTCGGTTGGCAATCAATTCATTCATACATACCTGAGTGACAGGAACGGAGATCAAAGTCAAATTCTTGTGGGCTTGAGACCAAAGACGGGATCCTACCTAAGATAATTCGCCTACGGGTCTCCCACGCGGCAAACATCTCGGCCATCATTACACGGCACACGCCTCTACTCTTTTACTACTCTTTGGGGGGGTTTTCAGAGTTTCGGGTGACCGCTTTGGCTTTCCTTGGTTTTAAAGAGCATTTGGTTAATAAGAAGCTAAACCCTCGATTCCTCCTCCCTTGTTGCAGGGGTCGACTTCCCTGGTCTCCAACCTCGAAGTTGACTATCTCGCGATGCGATTGTCACCAGTGTCACCAGTCGATTCCAGTTGGTCATCACAACTCGCTTCTTAATATATCGATACTAAGACATCGACAGTCTAACGACAAGCAACGATCCGCATCTCTGACACATACCTACCGATTTGAAGGGATCGACGATTCTCATCCACTTCCCGCCATCATCTCCACCATGCCTCCCTGGCTTCAAGAAGGCAATGCCCAGGGCTTTTCGCCATGGACAGATTCAACGATGGCTCTCAGCCTCGAGCCGCGTCGAGTAAAGCAGTTCACCATGGCTGCTCTTACTCCCCATCAGACATATGTTATTCATGTTGCGACTCTCACCGTAGCATCGATGAGCATACTTGCAACAATAATAACTTCGTTTTGGTTCTTTCGAATGAGGCGGAGTTTCCGCCATGAGTGAGTCTCATATCTCCTCCCTCACCCTCTATTTGCTGACCCTTGAAAAGCCTCATCATGTTACTCATTTATAGTGATATGTTCAAGAGTTTCTGGTTACTTGTCTTCCCCGCCGTGGAACTTGTCGCTGGGAAAATTGAAACGACTGAGACCTTCTGTCAAGTCAGCGGGTTCTTCCTTGCTCTCAGTATAGAAGCTTCTGACGTTTCGGTCGCTCTCATCTCAGTACATACTGCATTGTACATCTTTCGTGGAGAGCAAGGCCTCTACCCATATCGAAAGGCGGCCTACGCTCTTGCCGCCATTATACCTGTTGTGATGGCTTCATTAGCATTCATCGAAAGCCCGGGTTACATTAACACTGGCCAGTTTTGCTATCTACCGTTCAACCCGATGTGGAAGAGACTGGCGCTCTCTTGGATTCCTCGCTATATGGCTTTCACTGTTATTCTCTGCCTATGTATAGGCGTATACGTTTACGTTCGAGTGTTGATGAGACGATTCGGCTCCGGGAATGAAAGTTCGAAGAATACCCTTTCAAAAACGTCCGGTCTTGAAAGTCTCGATCCCTTGCAACAAGGAATCACCACTGTACCACCGACTCCTACGATAAGATACCACGGCCTAATTCCTTCTTCCAACCCTTCGCGGCGCAATTCCTTTACTATACTCGAAGATCGGACCACAAGACCTCCACTCGTGGCATTCAACTCTTTCCATTTGGACATGTCCGGATCCACGCATCCCAACAGGCTTCATTCGGCACGACTAGCGCGGAGAGGATCGACTCAGATGTGGATGGCCAACTTTGGTACGGATCTGACATCTCAGTCTGAACAGGCAGAAGTTGGATCCCAGAATTCGACGGGAACAACTCGCTGTGGTTCAGACGATGTGATTGCCCCTTTAGCCACCCATACAAAACCTGAGCCTGTCCACCAAACACCTCTCCACGATGTTGTCTCACCATCATATACCATACAGACCGACTTCTTTCATCGATCTGATGGCTCAAACGCTCCATCTAGGCCGCCATCTATACCTAATCTTTTCGCCATACTCCGTCGCACACCAGACAGTCCACACAGCAACGGCACCGACCTCGTCTTGACTCAGAGCGATTTCAACGCACCTGGTACTGTCAAGTCACGTGAAAAGATCTTGCGACAACTCCGGTTACTATTTATTTATCCGATAGTCTACGTCGCCATTTGGATTCTGCCCTTCATCGTACAACTTACTGGATATGGACGAGGAGCCCCCTATGGCATGAGACTGGCCAGCATCATATTTCTGTGTTTCCACGGCTTGGCTGATGCCGTGGTCTTCTCTCTGAAAGAGAAGCCTTGGAGGCATAGTCAGGCTTTCAAACGCATCAACGTCCAATTTTGGAAAAGACGACAGGAAGTGCCCGATGTGGGTGCAAGAGTCGGACGCACAAGAGAGGAAATGACACTCGATTCTCGATTCGCAAAAAAGAGGCGACAACAGGAACAAGCTGAGTGGGAAATGGATCGTCAGGCTGGAAATGAGGCCCGCAAAGCAGCGAGGGCAGTCCCCCAGTGGTGGGATGCCGAAGAGTAATGAGGAACTACATGGCGTGTAAATAAGAGCTGCATGACAAAGGTCGAGAGCTTTGGAAAGCGTACGGAGGATGATACCCAGGATTTCATAGGTCTAGATCATGACGGGGCATCATGAACTTGCATTAGATGGCGTTGCGCATTTGGGATGCATTGGGTGGTTATTTGGCGTATATGTCAAACATGATTTAGATTAGACGGAGAAATGTCAGCATCCAAAAGGTATTTGTATTCGTGTTTGATCATTTGAATGATACTCCAAAGTCGTTTGATGTCGTTACTCTAGCAAAACAGATTTATGCATTGCGCCATTTGGTATAATGTGCAATTCGAACGCTCAATTGCGATTCCTCCTTTTTCAAGTTTGGCTGCGCATAGAAAACTTCGAATCGAACAAACTCTTCCATCCATATTCCAGCATTATTTTCCCTTCTCTATCCCTCGCGGTAGAACTTGAGGAAAGCCTTAGCAATAGCAACACCATCATGAGGAAGTGGCGCGCGTTTCATAGCTTCGTTATACACTTCATCCGTGAAGATGCCAACCGTATGACGATTGAAGAGAATCTCGGAAATAATCTCGTTGGTGAACTCGGGGTGTCCTTGAACTGTGAGATATCGTCCAGGCGAGTAGAAGCCCTGCACTTCGCAGATCTCATTCGAACCGAGAGGGATTGAACCCTTGGGAAACTCATCTACAATGTCGCGATGCATTTGGTGAATGCGCTGTGTAACAAAGTCAGTGAAACAGTCGTACAATCACACGCGCAACAAATGGGTCTTACCATCTTGTCCAATCCGAAAATCTCCTTGCCCTTGTCTGTCAGATCAACTTCTGTGACTGCAACCTCCCATCCCTTATTGCTGCGTCCCAACTTGGCGCCCTCAGCTCGTCCGACGATCTGGTGGCCGAAACATACGCCTACTACTCGGATGCGATTCGTATCGATGGCTTTTTTTGTGAATTCGACGAGCTTGATGATCCAGGGGTCGTTATCGAACGCTGTGTGTCGAGAACCAGTGATAAGAACCGCATCGATTTCGTCGAGGGATGGATACGAGTGTAGTTCGTTCACGACATCGTAGCCCTTGATAGTAACGAGATCTTCGAGCTTCTGAGGCTTTGCAGCTTCTTGGAGGAGCGCAGTGAAGACACCGGTGTAGCCACCGAAGCGATCGCGAGTTTGGGGCTGCGGGGTGTCAGCTTCGAGGATGGCGAGACGAAGAGGAGCCATTTTGGGCAATGTTTGGATGTAAGGAGAGAATAGTTTACAGGGTCAGGAAGTTTGAGCTGGAAATATGACTCTTGAGCGAAAACGGCCAGGGCGCAGGCTGCAAGGCCTGGAGATGGACCCTTCCTGCTCGTGTAACGGCGGGACCGATAGCGGGGTGGACATGAGGCGAGATAAGCGGGCAGAATTGGAGACAATGATGTTATACTACCGAATAGGGAAGCGGTGAGAAGCCGGTGTTTGGAGGTAGAAAGTACTTGGTAACGTTACAGGCGGTCTACGATGCGTACTTTAGACTGACGGGAATAATTATGAGAGCCCGGTATGGAAACATTGTCTTTTCGCGTGGAAATTGTTCATAATTTGTGGTTGTGTCCGAGTATAAGGAGCATGTAAATCACTGAGATATCTTGGCTTCTAATACTCTAATGATATGATGCAACCATCTCTGATAAATTGTTGAATTCACAAGATACATACTACATACCTAGTGCTTTCATGTTCTAGATACTTGCTCAACAGAGTGAGATTTACTGTCTAGGCCTGTTAATTACAAGGGATAAATAACAAAGTTAATGTAGGGCTGATTGGCATCAGCAGGGCACCTTGCATATGAATGTCACGCATAGAGTTACGTCGTGCAAGCCATTTCCATCGCAATGATAAAATAATGCCTAAAGACTGGGTGAATGCAGAGAAAATGCATGTATACAACTAATGCTATAGCTTTCTCATCCTCAGTAAGCACAGCTACTGCAAAGTCGTTGACTCTGACCCAACTGTAAGGATGGGGCGAGCTCATCAAGTGACATTGATGTTCCCTGCAAAATTATTCTTGGTGACGTCTTGACCATTTAAGCTTTGACTTACAACTTACATAAAACACATGCAGGGACTCTTGTGAGTTTTGTTTTTTTAAACATCTAGGTGGCTTATTTTTCTTCTTTTACGCACTTTTATTCCTTTCTTCTCATTTTTGCATCAGACATGGCGATTTCTGTCAATATGGCTTCGAGATTGTCTTTGGGCGGCTTTTTGGCCAAAGCGAGAGCTGCTTTGACAGCTCCGGCGGCGCAACGAAAGGGACCTCTTACTTTTGTTGTAGGGAATGAATCAGCTGGTGAGTCAAGTGCTAGTTATAACCGAAGACAGTCTCAGCTAATAGAAATAGACCTCGATTCTCTCTGCTCAGCTCTTGTCTACGCTTATATGCGCACCCATACCCCCCCTCATACCCTACACATTCCCCTCTCAAACCTGCCCCGCGATGACCTCGCTCTTCGCACCGAGATGTCAGCAGTTCTCAAACACGCTGGACTCACTCTCAAAGATCTCCTAACTCTATCTGAACTTCCAGACTTGAAACCTGAGGAAACACACTGGTTGTTGGTTGATCATAACTCCCTCACAGGTCCACTTAAGAAGTTTTCGGATCATGTTACTGGTTGTGTCGATCACCATGCCGATGAGAACGTCATTGGCAAAGATGCAGACCCAAGAGTCGTTGAACCTTGTGGAAGCTGTATGAGTTTGGTGGTCGATGAGACGAGGAAGACCTGGGAGGAGATTTCGCACCAGGATCCTGAGGATAGCGATGCGGCTACGGAGAACGACAAGCTTACTAGACTTGCGCTTGCTCCTATTATTTCCGACACGATAAATCTCACGGCCAAGGAAAAGGTTCGAGAGAAGGATTTGAAGTCGGTTGAATTCCTTGAGGGGCGCATTCACGATAAATCCTTTAACCGCACAGCCTACTTTGACGAGATCTCCGCTGTGAAGGAGGATATTTCTGACTTGAGCTTCCGCGACATTCTGCGCAAAGACTACAAAGAATGGGATGGTTCAGGTCTAAAGCTTGGAATAAGCTGCGTGGTACAAGACTTCAACTACCTCGTCGGCAAAGCCGGTGCTTCAGAGCCGTTGATCGATGCCTTCGAGGACTGGGCGAAGGAGCGCGAGCTCGATGTGGCAAGCATAATGACAACGTCCCATCCCAATGGGGAGTTTCAGCGCCACCTGCTTGTCTGGGGTGTCACTGACCAAGGTCGTGAGGCGGTGGATAGGTTTGTGCAAGCTGGTGATAAGTTGAAGTTGGAGACGTGGAAGGAGGGAGAGCTGGATCATCATGGGCATAAGAGGTTTGCCTGGAGGCAGAAGGAACTTGCTGCTAGTAGAAAGCAGGTTGCGCCTTTGTTGAGGGAGGCTCTTAAGAAGAGTTGACTGCAAGGGCTGCAGAGTTCCAAGATATAACTGCATGAATGGAGAGCGATACGTCACTGAAAGAGGATATATTATTGCAAGTCATGAGGTTCTACTTGAGACCTTGACCGAGAAATCATATTCCTAGATGCATCATGATATTGTTACATATGATTTGTTATACACAAGACCCGAACCCATACTATGCTTTTCCAATGCCTATTTGTGAAACTATTGTTCCTCAGTCAAATCCGGTTCCTTAGACGCATTCATGCCTTGATACATTCTCTGCCTAGCAAAGTACCCAGAAGTCTCAGTATGGAGAGCCTCAACCTCCTTTAACATCTTGAGATACTCTCTGTTCGCCAACCTCTGCTTGCCATAATGTGAATGTCCTCTAAGATCACCAGCGTTCGATTCCAAGAGCTTTGCAGCCGCTGGATCAGCAACCCTGATGCACGCCTTGAGCGAGCCGTACAGTGGGCCAAACATGGGCAGGGGTTTAGGCTCGTTGATCATCTCATCATACACCCAATGTAGATTCTCGATGCAAAAGACCTGGTTATTGGTACGTGCCATAGCTTCGTAGACCGTTTTGTAGACATATGAGCTCCTGGGTTTCTTGAAGAGAGATGGTCTGCGGAATGTGTCCCAGAATCGGGGCCAGTCCCCTCGTTTCGCGTAGGCGGACAGCAGACTGCTCGTTTGAGTGTTGTTGAATCGACAGTCCTTCTGCACCATGAGTGTTTCGAGGTTCTTCTGAGCACGCGCAAGCTGAGGTTGTCCGAATGATGGTGATGACAGACCTCCCTCGATGAGCGTGAAGAACATCTCATCGGTCCAGATGATCATGCCTCGCTCCTCGGCCGTTAATAGGATCTGGTCGACAAGAGTGAGCCGTGACCCGGAAGCAGGCTCGACTGCAGGCGCTGTCATAGCATCGCGGACGAACTGATAGATTTGGCTCTGACCAAGGGGTAATCCAACCAGCTGAATGTGTTCAAAGCGCTTACGGACCTGTTCCAGATCCGGAGTCGGCTGCGCTGAGTGATCATGCAGGTCAGCGATTTCATCTGATACGACGGGAGAAGTGTGAATAATATGTGAAGGCTCTGGTGAAAGCCGTCGGGCGCTCGTGGTGTAGGCGCGTCGTTGTTGGGACGCTTTGTGTAAGGCTTGCCATTGTTGAGCAGATTCCGACTTGGGGAGCTGAACTTTGGCGGCCAGAAGTTCATCAAGCTCCTCAGGGCTGTTGATCTTCTCACCACGAGCTTGCTTGTTTTCTCGCAAACTCTTCTTGAGAACGGTCTGCCACAAACTCTCGAGGTCAAGCTCTGCACGCCGGGATTCTGTCATACACTGGATAACAACTGTGGTGCCTGTTTGAGGAGCACCAAAACCAGAGAAACGGCCGCTATCGTCCACCTTGGCAGCTTCATCGATGCTGTCGCTGTTGGAGGAGAAGTTCACGCAGACCCATCCTGTCGAGATACCATTGTCACCACCAGGAATAATAGCAGTATTCGTACCCATTAACTTGGCCTTTTTCCGAAGTCGACGGAGCTTCGTCCTTAGTTCACCAGGCCCAATCAATCCATCGGCTCTTGCAGATATGTTGTGGTTTTTTCGGAGCCATCGCACAAAGCGACCAGATGAAATGTGAAGATGTCGTTCGCTTCGAGCTGTCGCAAAAAGCATGATCAAGTTGGGACCAAGAGCAGCTGGAGGATCAAGGTCGCGCATGTCCAGCATAGAAATCTCATCTAATCCCATATCCTCGAATATGTATTTCACCATTGGTTCTAGGACCTCTGGTGCACCTTCGGGTATTTTTGGTAATTGGACGGCATGCTGATTCTCGGGGTGTCGCGGGGGCTCGACTTCAAGAAACCAGGGAACATCTTCAGGATCTTCGGCCTCTTCTGTAGCTTCGAGTTTTGAATTGAGAGCATCGCTTGGAGGAACCGGACTCGAAGACTCTTTTTCGATTATCGTATCGTTCACTTTAACATCCGAATAGAACCTTGTCGCTAGAGGAAGCCGTCGTGAAGTGGTCTGTGGCAAGCTGCGAAAAGAGCTTGTGGCTGGCCTTGATACAACAGCACGAATAATAGCGGATTGGCATTGGCGGCAACTCAATGCCGCAGCCGCAGGTCGAGTGAGCATGTTGAATTTGATCTCTCGATTGAGATGCAAGACTAGAAAATCAGAGTCACGGAGCTAAAGAAGCGTAGAGCGTCATGGCTGAATTTGGTACAGTCCAGTTATGAAGTGGAGAAGAACGGTTCACAGCTCTCGATCGGCCAAGGCGGGCTCCATAGAATAAAATCTGCACCCTGGAGAGCACCTACACCAGAGAGTACCTAGACAGAACCTCAACTTCAGGTCTAATCAGGGCCAAAATGGACTAGAAGCTCCGTTAGAGCCTCGACACCAATATGATTTGCATAAACAATTAACAATAATATTTCCAATATTCTCTCAATCCGTCTCTATTGAAAGTCTAGTGCACCCACTTTCATCTCTACCTTCTCGAATTTCAGGTGGGTCTGAAAAGAAGCCCCCTGCTTTTCTATTGCCACGATTTGTTCCACACGTGACCTCTCTAGTGTTTCTCAGTTCACCGTCCAATCCTTTCGATGCTGAAAAATTTGGAGATAGACTCTCAGTATCTGCTTCACGCGACAGCAGCAACAGGACAAGACTTGTCCATCAACAATTGTTGCGACACTCCTTCTTGTACTTGTCTTGTCTACGAGTCGAATTCATTAGCTCGTGGTATTTATTTCCTGCCTAATGTTATAATATTCCATCAACTCAGCAGCCATTCTCTGTTGAGCTTCTCGCAGCTGGGCTATTTCGCCCCCCTCATAACCACTGCTCTTCCGACGACTCTCATCAAATCAACACAATGTTCGTCCGACAAACGAGGAGGAGCCTCGCTCTTCACAGGAGCACTGCTCTCCGATCAATTGGACTTCCTTCGAGATCTTTACCATCACACATCACAGCAACGAACCTGGGACGAAGATGTGTTGTTTCTCAGCCATACCAACCCCGCAAGCGCCGAGGCTCAGAGTCTGGCCCTGGCCTCAACCATGGAAGAAATCTCGCGACAGCTGTCGACGATTACAACTTTGGTCACAACCTTGGTGCTTTACACAACCAGCTTGCTAGCTCTGGTCTACAGCCTTTCCAGGCTCCCCCGCTTTCCTACTCCGACCTTCGTGCCCTCGACCCGACGTCTCTGTTGACAATTCCAGAGCCAGCAGCACCTCGACAATTCGGCAAGATCAACAACAAGGGTGTTCCTGGTGAGATCGAAGAGATGATTCCAGTCTTTGATGCTTGTGTTCGCGTAGGCAAGCTTGATCGAGCATCTCTCGTTCTGAAGCGACTGAACTTGACTGGTTTGCTCCCTGGTGAAGAAATGATCATTTTGCACAATCAATATCTCCGCGCATCCCTCGACCAACTTCGAACGAATCCCGACCGAAAGCAAGCCGAACGACTCCACAAGTGGTACGAGCTGCAAATAAGGAACCAGAATGTACCACAAACCGCGGAGACAATCGCATGCATGCTCAAGGCCTCACTGATCTCAGAACGTGGAGCCCGCTTGGAACGACTCATCAACCGTTACATGAGCATGGCTCCCGACGAGGCCGGTCTGCGAGTATTGAGCAGAGCCGATATTCTCAGCGACCAAGACCTTGGTGTTATTACCGAGATCTGCCCTACTTACAGGGTCGAACCCGGATCTGAGGAAGCCAGCTACGTTAGTCTGGCAAACGAAGAGGAGGGACTTGAGCTGGAGGACGACCTCAATGAAGAGATGACGGCGTTCGCGAGTGAAGATTATCCCGAGGTCCGTCCGACACCCCAACGAGGAGAGGGTTTGAACGCTTTACGACGAAATCTAAACCTCATGGCCGAACTCCAAAATGTCGATATCTCAAAGCTGGATCCTCTTGAGCAGCGTGAATTCCAAATACGTCTAGAAAAGGACTCCATCGATACCGCTATTGAGAAATGGCGAAACTCAAAGAAGAAGATGGACAAGATGGGTATCAACACAGCTCTGAGTGTCAAGGCCGAGGATAAGAGTCTTTCTGACTGCATGCACCGCTGGCTTGAAGCCATGGAGGCTCGATTAAAACAGGAGATCATCAAAGTCGAGGAATCTGAAGATAAGGAAATTAAGTCTGAAGAAGATCTCGAGCGCTGCATCTACGGTCCTATCCTTCGAATGGCAGACCCTACTCGACTGGCTGCAGTGACTATTCTCACTTTGCTCAACATCAGTGCATTGCAGGGCGTTGATAAGGGTGTGGTCATTCAGCGCCTCCTCAACGACGTTTCTCGAGTAGCCCAGGATGACATTCAGACTCAGTTCAAGGAAAAGGCCGCAAAGGAACGTCGCCGGCTCCGCAAGGTCCAGTTCCTAGCACAGGAAAAAGACGCTCAAGCAGCTGAGTCGAATGAGCCGATAGCGGCGAAGGAGTCGACGGAAGCGAATGCTTCTACCGAGGTGAATGAGTCGACGGAGGCTGATGCGTCTACCGAGACGAATGTGCCGGTCCGGCAAGAGATCATCACTGATGCCTATCAGCCGACAGAAGCGAAAGATCCTGTGTTATCATCATGGTCTGTCCAAGTGAGGGCCCGCGTTGGGTCAATTCTCTTGAAATCTCTCATCGAGACCGCCAAGATTAATGTGGTGAAGGAACATCCTATCTCAAGGGAACGAATCAGCCAACTTCAACCTGCCTTTTCTCATATGCAGGCTCCCAAGAAGGGAAAGAAGGTCGGAATGTTAACCATCAACCCAGAGCTTGTCGAACGTTTGAAACGGGAACCCATGGGTGATTTCCTTGCTAAGCACCTCCCCATGATTGCCGAACCTCGACCATGGACACGCATTAATGAAGGAGGCTTCTTAGTTAGCAAAGCCTCCTTGATCCGTGTCAAGTCAGGAGACGTTGAGCAAAAACTTTACGCCAATGCGGCTATCAAGCGTGGTGACATGGACCAAGTCTTCAAGGGCTTAGATGTGCTGGGGAAAACGCCGTGGAGGGTCAACAACTCGGTTCTCGACGTGATGATCGAGGCCTGGAACAGCGGTGATGCCATCGCCAACATGCCAGAGCTCACACCCGACCTTCAAATACCAACAGAGCCCACAAACTCAGACCCTCTCCTTCGCCGGGCTTGGATTCGAAACGTCAAGCAGGTCGAGAACGAGCGTGGGGCCCTTCATTCACAACGATGCTACATGAACTTGCAATTGGAGATTGCTCGTGCGTTTCGCAAGCAAGTCATTTACTTCCCTCACAACATGGACTATCGCGGCCGTGCCTATCCCATCCCGACATACCTGAACCATATGGGAGCTGATCACACACGTGCTCTCCTGAAATTCGCCGAGGGGAAGAGACTTGGTGAGCAAGGTCTCCGATGGCTCAAGATCCACCTTGCCAATGTGTACGGCTTCGACAAGGCCTCATTCGACGAGCGAGAGGCATTCGCCACCGACAACCTTGCCAACATTACTGAGAGTGTCGAGAACCCGCTGAATGGTAGTCGATGGTGGTTGAAGGCTGAAGATCCTTGGCAATGCCTGGCTACTTGTTTCGAGCTGAAGGCCGCCTATGATCTCCCTGATCCTACCGAATTCGTCTCCAATCTTCCAGTGCATCAAGATGGTACCTGCAACGGTCTCCAGCATTACGCAGCACTTGGTGGTGATACCTGGGGTGCTCAACAGGTCAACCTCATGCCTGGCAGCCGACCTGCCGATGTTTACTCGGCTGTCGCAAACCTCGTCAAGGAGTCGATTGAGAAAGACGCCAACGCAGGTAGCCAGCTTGGAAAGAACTGTCTGGGTAAGATCACCAGAAAGGTAGTGAAGCAAACTGTCATGACCAACGTCTATGGTGTCACATTTGCTGGTGCCAAGCAACAAGTTTGCAAGCAGTTAGATGCCCTCTACCCAGAGATGTTCAAAGAGACTGGCATCCCCAATCTTGTGACCGCCACGTATATCGCGCAGCATATCTTCAATGCTCTCGGAACCATGTTTCGAGGTGCTCACGATATTCAATACTGGCTTGGTGAGATTGGCGCGCGTGTCTGCAAAGCCCTGACACCAGCCCAGCTCGATCAGCTGCAGGAGGAGAAAGACAACAAGCCTGCTGCGAAGAAGACTGCCTCGGGCAAGAACAAGGAATTGGATGAGTTGACCTCACAGTTTCGATCTACGGTGGTCTGGACTACGCCCTTGAGAATGCCTGTTGTGCAGCCTTACCGAAAGTCTATCACCAGAGAGATCCGCACCTGTCTCCAGTCTATCAGTTATCCTACACAGGGTCAGACGGAGCCCGTGGATCGCAGAAAGCAGCTTCAGGGATTCCCCCCTAATTTCATCCATTCACTGGATGCCAGCCACATGCTTCTCTCAGCACTCAAGTGCGACGAGCTCGGCTTGAAGTTCGCTGCCGTTCACGATTCCTTCTGGACTCATGCCGCCGATGTGGACATTCTGAGCGGAGTTTTGCGCGACGCTTTCATCCGAATCCACGAGGAGGACGTCGTCGGTCGATTGGCGACCGAGTTCGAGGCTCGATACAGGGGCTCGTTATATCTGGCCAACATCCCTAGTTCAAGCCCTGCCGCCATGAAGATCAAGGAATTCCGCAAGTCGAGCAAGCTCTCCCACAAGGAAGAAGTGTTGCTAGAACACAAGCGCAACACTCTCCTCCGGTCAGGCAACCCCTGGGACATTGAGGCAGCAAAGAAGATTATCACGCCTGCCTCCATCGTTGAGGAGATGTCAGCCTCGCAGGAGGAGGACCCTGAGATTAAGAAGGAGACTGAGGATATTGGCGGCCTCGGACACATTCCTGAGTCGGAAGGCAACCTCTCATCGGCGGTTGAGGAGGCTGTAAAGAATATGGATCCTGCGGACGACAAGATTGCTGAGATGAGCCACAAGCTTCTTGAGCGTCTTAAGCATACCAGTTTCGAGTACCGAGTTATTCAGCCCAAGAAGGATGTCAAGCAAAACTGGAAGAGGATCACGCATTTCTGGCGCCCGCTGACCTTCCCCGATCTTCCCAAAAAGGTATGTCGAGAATCTAAGAGGTCACTGCAATTTAACATATACTAACATGGTTCCCAGGGTGATTTTGACGTAAAGCGACTGCGAGAAAGTCAGTATTTCTTCTCCTGACTAACGGACCTCCTAAAGTCATTATTATAATGTATCACTATGATGAAGACAGACATGAGAAGGAGAAATGATTTGGGCGTTGTACATTTGGCGTTTAGAGATGGGGGATTTTTTATTCATGATAGCGAAGAACCAAAAAAGCATTCGGATAGAGGGAGTATGTGGCGGCTGTTGGCTGCACTTTGTATACCATAGGATGAGGATGTAGAATATGTACTGTACATTAGTGTTGGGGGTGAAAAGAGGTCACATGGACTTGACGTCTAAACAAATAAACAACACCAAGATGTTCAAACATTTATGAGTTTCTTGAAAGTGCCATCGACATTGGTCTATCACATTTTTTGTTCTTCTACACTACTTGCATCGTAACTTGGTGTTTATCGCACAACAGCATCCTTGAGGCTAGGGACAGTGCAGACACCACCACTCTCAGTAACAAGACGTCCACGACCAGTCTTTCCAAGCTGCTCAACAGCACCCGCATCAAAAGCAACCTCAAGACCATCAGTGGTGGTGAAACCAGGCTGGAAAGTCTCCCAGATCTTCTTCTTGGGGTTAAGGACACCCTCGGGGCTACCCTCCCAGCCCTCGAACCAAACACGGTCGCCGGCCTTGGCACCCTCGGGAGGAGTGACGAGCTCAACGGGGCCCTTGTGGTCATCGACCTCACCCTCCTTGATCTTGGGGGACGCGGCGAGGACCATGGCGCAGGACTTGATGCCGCGCATCTTGACGGGCTTGAGGTTGCAGACGACGACGACCTTGCGGCCCTGCATGGACTCGAGAGGGACGAGGCCGTTGAGACCGGAGCAGACGGTGCGGCAGATTTGACCCTCGTACTCAACGTAGTCCTCGTTGCCGGGCTTGTCACCGACAGCGATGGTGGAGACGTAGAGGGAGTCGGCATCTGGGTGGTTGATGGCCTTGAGAATGTGACCAACTCGGAGGTCAATGAGAGCAGGGGAGAGAGGGGCAGCAGGGGCGGGGGCAGCCTTTTGCTTGGGAGCCTTCTCCTTCTTCTCCTTCTTAGGCTTATCGGTAGCAATCTTCTCCTTGGCAGTCTCAACAACCTCCTTGACCTTCTCCTTGGTACGATCAACAAGCGAAGCCTCACCACCAGTGGCAGCGGCGGCAGCAGCTTCCTTCTTCTTCTTCTCCTTCTCAGCCTTGGCGTCAACGGGAGGCTTCACGTAGAGAACGTTATCACGATCAACCTGGACCTTGTTCTCATCCTTGACATCGAGACCGAACAGGGGAGAGTTCTGGACAAAGTCGACGTGGCGGACGATGTGGGGATGGCCCTTCTCGCCGGTTCGCTCCTCGGGAGTCCACTTGGCGACGACGGGCGCGAGGGTCTCGTAGATGGCGACGTCGGCCTTGGAGGGCTTGCTGCCGAGGAGGGTGGAGCGGCTGGAGAGGTGGTTATTGAGGGTCTCGAGGATGGTGGACTTGTCCTCGGGGGACTTGAGACGCTCAGAGGTGGTGAGCCATTGCTGGATCTCAGCCTCCTCGGTGGGAGTATAAGTCTGGGAAGCGAAGGATGCCATTCTGAAGGTTATCAACGGTGAGAGGCTTCGGGGTGCCTGGCGGAGAAGTCGAAGGGCGAACAGGTTGGCTGTGATGAGAGATGAAGCTTCGTTATAGCTTCACTCGAGAACTGATGTTGAAGAGTGAGTATGTGGCTCTACTGCAGCTTGGATAGTGCCTTGATATTTTCTCTTGGTGGGGTGGAGGGGTAATTCCGGCCTGTTACCAATTGAATTGGTGGGGGGAGAGGCGTTGCTGTGGCGTTAGCAGAAAAATGTGGCTGTCGTTTTTTGCAACGCGCTAACTCGTGACATCGCCCCTTTCTCGCGTTTGCTCCTTTACGCGGTACGCCCTTTGTCTCTTCTATTGTCAAAGCTGAAGACTCGGCGACGACATTGTCTCTGAGAAACGATACAATTAATCAACTTGTACACTGTACATCAATTGCTTTGAATCGTTGTTAATACTCGGGCCTTCGTTTTTTAGGCCCCTTTTGTACTTCCCGTGAGAAATTTCTCCCTTTTCTTTTTTCTCGCCCCGATTTGAGGCGAGTCAACTACATCATTCTGCTCACTAGCGGATCGGATCGCCGAAACCGCCAAACAAACCTTGAGCTCGACTCGGCCCCTGACGCTCCTTTTTCTCTTTATATTCTTGTTTACTCATTCTTTTACACATCATTATAATATCATTTTAAACATGGCGGCACCCAAGTCGCCGAGCAACTCTAGCTCAGCTCGTTCTAACTCACGGCTGCCCACAAGTGTTCCGAGTTCGCCGCCATCGGAACAGCAGGATGATCTTGAAGGTGCCGACGATGCGCTTATCAAGGAGGAGCAGGAGGCTCGTCTAGAGAATGAGAGAAATGAGGAGAAGCGACGACAGGCGATGCTGAAGAGGAAGAAAAAGAAGAAGGCAGAGACAAAGTCTGAGCGTGAAGCCAAGGCTAGAGAACTTGATGACTTGCTCGCAAAGTCAGCTGCTTTCTCTGATATCCTTACCAAAAAGACTCAAGTGTTGGGCCGAGTCGGTAGCAGTCTTGATGGCAAGACGCTTGGTGAGCATAGCTTGGAGATGGCTCAGCAGCCCAAGTGTATGATCAACGGGACCATGCGAGATTACCAGCTTGAAGGTTTAACATGGATGTACGAGATTTGTTCTCAGGGCATGTCTGGTATTTTAGCCGATGAGATGGGCCTTGGTAAGTTTTGCTTTCACTTTAGGAGTATCTCCTGAGTACTGACTTATTCCAGGCAAAACTGTTCAAACCATCGCCTTGATTGCGCTGCTCCGTGAGCAGGAGAATTATCTCGGCCCTCATTTGATCGTCGCTCCTTTGAGTACACTCTCAAACTGGATGGATGAGTTTCACAAATGGACGCCTTCCATCCCTGTCATCATGTATCATGGCAACAAAGATGACCGTGAGAAGATCTTCAGGACCCAAATGCTGAAGCATCTCAAGGCTGGCCGCCCCACCACCAAATTCCCCGTGGTGTGTACGTCTTATGAAATGGTTCTCAGAGATCAGCACAACCTTTCGAAAATCAACTGGGAATTTATCATCATCGTAAGTCTCATTGCCTCATTCTCACCTACACCAGGTTAACATGATGCTTAGGATGAAGGTCATCGCATGAAAAATGCAGACGCCAAACTGTTCCAGCAGCTTCGTCAGTTCTCATCCGCCACCCGTCTGCTCATTACCGGAACGCCTCTTCAAAATAACCTGAAAGAGCTGTGGTCGCTACTCCACTTCTTGTTGCCCAACATCTTTACAGACTGGGAGGCCTTTGAGTCGTGGTTCGACTTCTCTGATCTCGAAGATGAACAGGGTACAGAGGAGTTCATTGCCGATCAAAAGAAGCAAGAGCTCGTAAAGAAGATTCACCTCATTCTTCAGCCAATGCTTCTGAGGCGTATCAAGCAGGATGTTGCTGCCTACCTGCCAAAGAAGAGAGAATACGTGCTCTTCGCTCCCATGACAAAGGAACAAACAGATCTTTATAACGTGCTTACCAACAAAAAGGTCGATACCCGACAGTATCTAGAAGACAAGGTCTATGCAAAGATCCACGGCACCGAATCGGCCGAAGCAAGCACCAAATCATCCCGATCAAGCAGCCTCGCGGCACCAAAGACCATGACACTCCCTGTTCGTGAATCCCCGCGTAAGAAGCAGGTCGAACCAGAGGAGCCAGCAGCCAATGCATTTTCGGTCATGATGGCTAAGCGCGGTCGTGGCAGGCCACGCAAAAACCCAAAGCCTGAGGAAGCACCTGTGACACCCAAATCTGGAGGTAAACGAAAGGGTGCTCCCGCTTCTTTGGAGCCAGAGCCAAAAAGCGCAAAGTCAACTCGCCAGTCAACACCAGTGAGCACTCGTGGACGACCAAGAAAGACAAGAACCTACAAAGATGCTGGTTCAGATGAGGAGAAGATGTCGGATGATGAATTTGAAGCAAAGTTGGCCAAGGAGATGGTCTCTGACGATGAGGACCTGAGTGATCAGGTGTCTTTGACACCAGAGGAGCGCGAACGTGCCAAGGCATTTGAGCTTGCCAGTAAGTCAGCCTCTTATATATGTTTCGAGCATCTACTGACGTGACTCAGAAAAACAAATTTCGCAGAAGAAGCTGGGCAACCCCCTGGCACAGCTGCGACTTGTCTGCAACTCACCTCACAATTTCTACAATCCTTGGATCGCCTCCGCAGATCTACCTGTCGATGACTCCATAGTCACTGCTTCCGGTAAAATGCTTCTTCTCGATCGCTTGCTACCCCGTTTATTCCAAGACGACCACAAGGTCCTCATCTTCTCGCAGTTCACAACACAGCTTGACATCCTCGAAGACTACTGCCGTGAACTCCGCGGCTGGAAAGTCTGTCGTATCGACGGTTCTGTCGCGCAAGATAGTCGACGTACTCAAATCGCTGATTTCAACAGCAATCCCGAGTACAAGATCTTTTTGCTCTCTACTCGTGCAGGTGGTCAGGGCATCAACCTTGCATCAGCCGACACAGTCATTCTGTTTGACTCAGACTTCAACCCCCAACAGGATCTTCAAGCTCAAGACCGCTGCCATCGTATCGGCCAAACCCGCCCTGTAGTTGTATTCCGACTTGCTACGAAGGACACAGTCGAGGAAACTCTTCTCAACTCCGCCGACGCCAAGCGTCGACTTGAGAAACTCGTCATCAAGAAGGGTAACTTCAAGTCAATGGGTCAAAAGATGGATCTCCACGAAGATATCGACCCTGAGTCGCTCCGCGCTCTGCTTCTGAAGGATGGCCAAGTATACAAGGCCTCGGGGGGCGAAGAAGTCCTCAGTGACGCTGATCTCGATATTCTCTGCGACAGGAGTGAGGCAGCTTATGAGAAGGCTGCAAGCGGACAGGGCGACGCTGATGCTTTCCGTGTTGTGGAAACTGGTGCTGATTCTATCAAGATGGCGCGAAAGGATTAAGTGTTATACAGGTGTACTACTATTTGCTGACGGTATTTGTTGTTTGGGATTATTACTGGAAGGGATATATCTGTGTGTTATCGAAGCTGTGGATTTGCTAAAGCGTGTTACGGTCATCAGTCGGTATGGAGTTCAGCCACTACGTTTGTACAAACAAGATATCAGTTGACGGAGACTCGACTGAAACTAAGATATTTGCTTATTCTTTTGGCATGTTCCTTAGCTACATGATCAACCGTGACTGTTCCCTGTACGCTTGTCAATAATCAGACCACAGAGTTCAGAGGTGTCTGGTATATTTCCCTACTTGTGTATGTCATTTGACGTTGCTGCCTTTCCGAACATAGCAGTTTTGAAATTAAAGCTTGATCGTGAATAGCAAATCATGAGAATGGTTGATTCTACGAATTTCCTTAGACATGTATAATAGAAAACAGCCTGCGATACTGTCAAACTTCTGGGCTGTATCATCATCTTACCTTCACGGGCTTTTCACAGATCATTTAAGTTCAGTCTTGGAAAAAAGAAGTATCATCTCATCATAAGCTATAATAGGTATCTGATAACAAAAACACCCAACGCCTATCCCCCCAACCTGCCAGTGATGCTAATGTTGAATCCAGAAGGGTTAATTAATCTCTTCCACGTATCCAATCTGCCTCCTGGCATCTGCTCCCCCTCCAGGTCCGGAAGCAAGTCTCTTTGCCAATCTCTCCTGTGTCTCAACCAATTTTTTCTGCGCCTCGAGTCTCCTCTTGACTCTCTCATCTGCACCTCGTTCGATGCGTTCCAACTCTTCACGCTCACTGATGCGTAGACTACTAAGTGCTTGCGCATTACCGGCTCGTTCAGAGTTCAATTTAGATTCCCACTCTATCATCTTCTGTTGTCTGGTCTCTTCGGCTAGGAGTTCAGCTGCGGCGACTTGTTGGATACGCTCAAGACTGGACTGCGTCACTTTGCTCTGCTCCAACTGTCGTCTCTTGACAGCTGCGTGGAAGAGCGATTCTTCGAGATCAGCCTTTTGTCGTGTTGCATTGATGTCCTCGTTGTGGAGTCTACGACGACGGGCATCCTCAATTTCTGCTTTGTGATTCCAGATCTCTCTCTCCACACTGGCCACTTCCTTTGCTCGCGCGAGCGCAATAGCATGGTCTTCAGTCTCGAGTGCCAGTCGTCGTAGTCTGGCTTTTCTTTCGCGTTCTTGGACTACCATATCATTAGGGAGACCGACTGCATCGTCAGGTTGGTCTCCAGAGTTGGCGTAATATACATCCACTGCTCGATTCGCTCGAAGAAGGCTGAGAAGCTGGTCTCGAGTATCCGATTCAGGCATCACTTTGCTGACGTACATTGTCGGAGAATATGTAAACTCGCCATCAGTGTAATGATTAAACGGTTTGTTGATCTCCTTCCACATAGCCACTTTCAAGAAACTGCGAGTAGTTGCAATAGGATCTGTAGAGTCGAAGCAAAGAAGAAGCAGAGACTTCCCATGCGACTGCAAGGTCAAATCTGAGCCAGCGTCAATCAAGAAAATCATCACCTTCTGCATGAGCTTCTCTGCATCTGCAGTCATTTTACCAGACCCTGCTCCATGGCGACAGACTTCACCCAAAGCGGATCTTCCATCGTGTAGTGGACTAGGGAAGTCGGGATGATGACCATGTTCCACTAGAACTGATACTGCTGCAAAGTTGAGTTCTCTGGCGGAGTTGTGTAGTGATCCATCATCTTTCG